TTAATGGATGATGACACATGCCTGTAGATGCAGCTCATCTGCGGTTTAATGGGTCTAAATTCAAGCTCAAGTTTCATGGAAGTGAAGAAAGACTCCTCCAAACTGTCTCTCACGATACAAAGACCCCATCACTTTGACTAATGGGTGTGATGCTGTTAATCTTGAAAATGACAGTTTTATCATCCCAGATTAGCTTGATCGAGTGGTTTGACATGTGTGGACCTTTATGGACCCTGTGACTCACTCCAGAGGGTCACATGATGTGTGCTTTTTAAAAGTTGTTTAGTTAAAAAAAAAAAATGTTTCAACTTTTTGAGTTTCTTGTTCAGTAGCTTTACCCATCAGAGAAGTGTAGAAGGGAATTGTCCCTGAATAAAAGGTTTTGACTCCAGCTGAGTTAAATGTAGAGGGTTGGAAGCATAAAATGGTAAACTCGTGTTAGGACCTCAGAAATGTACTCAGGTCTGATATAGAGAGCCAGATTAGTCCACCTCCATTAAACTTGTTGAACGCTTGGAGTGAGTCAGCATATTTTGAGCCCTCTATATCACATTTTTAAGTGATAATGTTGACATTTGAAACCCTGATAATGAGTGTGGATAATGATGAATGGATGTACTCCAGCTTTTATGTTCTGCTTTTACTTGATGTACAGCACTGAAGCCTGAGTGGTGAGTTTAGCGATTTATTTTACATTTTCTAAAAGTATTTTATTCAGTTTTATTTATGTTTCTTGTCGGTCTGTGTGAGATCAGTTTTGCTCGGGTTAGACAGATATCCACGCTCCTTTTTTTCCTCTAAGTTGTTGGGTCAAAAATTTGAGTTGAGCTGTGAGCTGACATTTGACCGAGTAAATAACAGCTTTGATTTTCATTTTTACGCTCTATTTTTTGAAGTAACTGAAATAGCTTCTCCAACTTTGCGTGCGCATCCTGTTTTCCCTCAACTTTCCCTTGCCCTTACTCAAACACACACATACCCCCACACACACAAAGAGAAGCAACCACAGAGTATCCACCGCCCCCAGGCAAACTGAGAGGGTTTTTATTGTTTGGAGAGGCTTTTGTTTAGACAATGTGTCACACAGTCAGTGTTTGGTACTCCACCTCATCCACTCTGTGTTTACCCACATATTTTATCCCATCAAAGGTTTAGCTAAACGACACTTTCTAAAAGCACTGAGTGATCCTCTGGGGGGGGGGGGGGGGCTGTGGAAAAGACGGAAAATGAACCGAGTAGCAGGAAATCTCACTTCATTATGGAAACATCAAGAAGAAGTTTTCAAAATGGAAGTGAGGAGTTTGTCAGCAGCTATAATAGCAACGACAGTGTGCTCTGGAGCACGACTCTTCATCTCTCTTGTGCGCTGTGATTGTTTGTGGAAGCGACAGAACACACTAGATGGTGTTTACTCTTACCTTTTGTCTGTTTGCTGTTGTCCTTGAACACATGATGCTGTCCTCTGCACAGAGACAAGTGCGTGTGCATGAGAGAGAGAGAGTGAGAGAGGTGTGCGCTGGACACAAGATTTACCTCCCCTCTAAATGTTTGATTCACTGCTAAACAGAGATGATCTATCGTTTCCTAATTATGGACCGAAAACCTGTTTATCTAAACAACAAACAGTCATCCTCCCTGTTAGATGGAAACTTCTGGTGCTTCTATCTTTGTGCGATACACTCACGCTCAGAGGCAGAGAGAGAGAGAGAGAGAGAGAAGGGGGGCCTAGGGCGTGTGACAGGCTGTGGGCTGTGAGATCCTTGAAAAAACTCTGAGTGATCAAAAAGACCCTGGAGTAGGAGGGGGCGAAGCAGAAACATGTGTTGTGCTGAGTCTTCTGTCATATCTGCCTCTCTGACTTTTTTTCCTTGTCTTTGCTTCTTTCCTCCTCCCATTGTCTCTTAAATCCCTTTTCTAACTCTGTCTTTCTCTCTTTCTTCATATGCCACACTTCTTTCCTGTCTGTGGCATGCCACTTTTGTATTCAGCTTTTTCAACTCTGTATGCCTTTTCCCCTCCACTCGTGCACTTATAGAAGCAAAGATATCATTTTCAATTAGAATAGGCGAATGTTTTTTTTTCCCATGTCTGTATTTCAAGAGCATGCACTGGTGAAAAGAGGTCATTTCTGATTGATCGGTTACATCACACACATTAAACGAATCATAATAATGTAACCAGACTCAGAAAATCCACGCTGAAGATCCACTTATAGACCATGAATCATTTAAAGGTATTGCCGCGATGATCATTTGTATAATCTCTTTCTCTTATCCAACAAATTGTTTTATAATATGCTTATTGTTTGCGAAACCATATCATTAAAGCGGTCTTGTTTTCTTTAAATGCAGCTTATAGTTGTATTTTGAGATTGAATACCTGTTCATGTAATAAATGACTCTAAAACATTGACTCAAAGCATCTGATTTCAGAGTTGAACCACCAGAATGTGACAGCTGTGCAGGAATCTTTATCAATAAGTCAATTTTCTTCTTTTATTGACTGTGCTTTACTCGGCTTTAGTGACACTATTTGTAAAGAATCAACGTACGAATCTGTCATAATGCCAGTAATGAAAGCATTTTTATGTAGCTTTTATTAGATATTGATTTTGGGATCACTTTCAGAATATCACAACAGTCATTAAGTCGAATTGAATGTCACTTTGGAATTAAAAAGGTTGGCTGAGGTAGGGGACTTTCTCTATTTAAAGTCTATAAATGTTTTACGTTTGCTGTTTTTCAACCGCTTGACAGTGTGTTGTAACAAAAGCTCTATATTTACATCTGCCGTCTCTTTAACCTGCTTTTCATTCTCTTTCATATAATCCTATAGGACCAATAACACTCAACCACATCAGCAGAAACTGATTAAACTCTTTAAGGTCAAAGAACAATGGCAAACACACAGATATAAATATTCCTCTAGTCATTAGCACAGCTGTATTTCACTGTTTCCCCTTCATTCCTTTTCTGTTTCACCTTTTCTGTTTTCTATCCTTGCTTTCAACCTTTCTATTCTTTCATTTCCCTTTCTCACCTTTTTTTGATTTTCTCCCCCCTCCCCTTCTTTTTACCCTTTACTTTTTCTTTATTTTCCTTTCCCTTGTACTCATCATTCCTCTTCTTAACACCCCGTTTCTTTTGTTTTTCTTTTATCTTTCCTTGGTTTTATTTTTTCTTTTTTGTCCCCTCTTTCCTTCTCTCCCCATTTATCTTCCCTCTCATATCCTTTTTATCTCTCCTTTCACTTTCTTCCTCTTCTCTTCTATTTGTCTTTCCTTCCCTTTTCCTTTCCCCTTTTATTTTCTACCTTCTTTATGTTTTCCTTTTCATTCATTTTCTGTACCACTCATTTCATTTCTGTACTCTGTTGTGTTTTTTTCCCGTGTCCTCCTTTTCCCTTTCAATTTCTCTATCTCTTCTTTCTGTTGATTGCTTTCCTTTCCTCCCCCTGTATTTAGAGTAGATGCTCCTGCGTCACTATATTGCATACACCTTCCCACTTTTCATGGAAGACTCCCAGAGTCGTTGAGAGTAATGCAGTCCTTGAATCTAAACCTTGATATTAAAACACAGTTTAAAGGAGGTCAGCAGCTTCGTGGTCTCATATATCAGAACCAAAATGTAATGATTTTAATGGACTTCTACTCTGTGTGACTCACAATTGAAAATATTCTCTTTCCCTGCTCCGCAGCTCATGCAATATCCTCTAAGGACCTCTGTGAGCCCATCATAAACCCAGAAGTTGACCTGCAGGTCACGGGTTTGAGATTAATTTTCCCAAAAGCATTTTGAGCACATTGATGAGACTGAGACCCAACAGAAAAGGAGTGATCGGGTGGAAACTTTTGTAAGGCGAAAGAGAGAGAGAGACGGAGAAACAGAGAGAGAGAGAGAGATGCTTTTTACGAGTTCCTCCACACGGCTCAATCTTTTTAGGATACTTTCTCAAACTCTCTGATACTCATGTCTTTTTACTGCGTCTTCAAAGCTGTAGTGATTTGTTATATGCTAAAAATATAGGATGAGGATTTTATAATCAGCAGTTCTGTGATTTTCTTTGAAGGCCTGATAGCTTTTTTTTATAAACAACATGAATATTGAACCCTGAAAACATTAGCATAAACAATTATTTTCATTATTGATTTATCTGGTTATTGCTATCAAAGTAAATCTGGTAATACAATAACATGGTGACATTTATATGTGATTTTTTGCCTGTCGACAACCTTCAAGACATTTAGTTTTCAGTTTATGCTGTAATCTATGAGAAAAAGTTTAGATCATCACATTTCAGAAGCTGGAAACGTGTGGATGATGACAAATCAGCATGAAAAAGAAGTCAAAATATCTTCAAATGTACTTCAATCCACATTATAGTATTTAAGAAATGGTAATATACTTTTTGATAAAAAATACTTTCCCTTAATAAAAATAAATCTCACATTGATCTCACATTAATAAAGTGAGCAATCGTTATTTTGAGGCCTAAAAAAATTCATACATCCTATTTAATAATGAGCAACTTTGTATTCAACAAATGTCACCTTCCAATCAACTTGCTGTATCTTACATCCATATGCAGCATGTCCCCCTCTCTGACTGTCCAGTAAAGCCATGGGCTTGAATCGTTCCTATGACAACAGGCCATATACAGCCACCCATCCTGTGAGGCATTATGAGGCTTCTGTCCTGAAAGTTGCTTTCCTCTTTCATACAATTTAGGTGAATTTGTTTAATATTTGGAAATAGTGTAACAATGAGAAGGTTTCCTGCATCTCTTTTTGCGTCAAACTCTTATTTTCCTCCATGCAGCCTTCTATAGTGTTTTATGTGCTGTGAGGAGCCTATAAATTCAGCACAGATTTTTTTGGTTCTAAACGATACCACCAGCTGTGTTCCCAAACATTAATGCACAGTAGGCCCTAATGGGAAATGAAGCTGTATTGTTATGAAGAAAAGAAAAAAGGAAAAAAAAAAACGTTGCCACTTTCCTGTAATCTGTCTTTAATGAGTCTGTTCTTGTTTTTATCACACACACACGCGGGGCAATCTCAGAGTCAGGAACAGTGAGATGGGATAGAGAAGAGGGGGGGGAGCTTTGGAGAAGGATAGATGGGGAGACTGAGAACTATTATGTCTTAAATGTAATGCCAGTCTCCATTTTAGGAGAAAATTGCCCATCTCCTTTCTCTCTCCACTTTGATGTGGGTCTGATGGATAGGCAGCTGTGTGTTCGATACCCATTCACTGACAGACCTCACACACAGTGCACAGATAACCTGATTGCCCCCCCCCCCATCATCATCATCATCATCATCAGTGTGGCCTGTCAGGGGGAAACTGATGAGTTTCTCACTGCCTCTCACCACTTCTCCACCTCTTTGCTGCAGTTTTCCTTTAAGCAAAATCCACTCGTTTTTCTCTTAATGACAAATCTTGATTGCTTTTATTATTTCGGTGCTACAAAGCTCATGACGTGTAGGACAGAAACCCCCCGCGTGTCTCATGGGAAAATGCATGGAATCAGCACACGACACGTCTTGCATGGCAATACAACGATGGCTGCCCTCGCATATAGGCTATATACTGTAGCTACAACACTGAATAAACATGAGCTTGTACATTTAGAGCAAAAGTGTGTGTCCTGTGTGTTTCATCAGTGACCCCGGATCTTCTTTTGAACACACCCCGAAGAAGAGACTGTCCCTGAATGAAAGTCTTGGTTATACTTTTTGCTGTTCCATATAGTCAGAGAACATCTCTTGTCCATTTTGATAAATACTCCACTTTTCTGCCTTGGGGTTTGGTTAGGGTCTGTGGAATTTGCATTTGATAATCTTCTTGAAAGCACTTTGGAAGTCTTTGTTGAAGTAGGCATATATGATAGGGTTGAGGAGGGAATTGGAGTAGCCCAGCCAGTTTATGACTGCGCCCAGCCAGTCGGGCATGTAGCAGCTCTCTGCACAAAAAGGCAGCACCAGCGCGACGATGAAAAACGGCAGCCAGCAGAAGATGAAAGTTCCCATGATGATCCCGAGAGTTTTCACCGTTTTACGCTCCCTGGCCAACGCGATCTTCCTCTTCGCACCCGAGTTCTTTTCATTCATGTTTTCAAATCCCTGCGAGGAGGACTGAGGCGTGTTGGGCAGAGGCAGGTGCGTCTTCGAGTTGCTGAGAACTTCTATGATCTCCAGTGACTCCCCTTCCTCTCCGTGCTTCACCGCGCCGTTTACGCACGGAGAGTTGGGCTTGGAGTCGTCGCCGCGCTTCCAGCCTTTGCCCCCGCCGGCCTCACCGTTTGTTTTCTTATGGAAGATGGCCGGAGACACACTCAAGCACGTGTCTGACACTTTGGATTTCTCGGTTTTTTTCACAGTCTTTCGAATCCGAAAGCGAGCTGCTTTGAAGATTCTCCCGTACAGGACCAGCATGAGGATAAGAGGGATGTAAAAAGCTCCAAATGTGGAGTAGATGGTGTAGCCCGGGTCCTGACTGATCATGCAGGCGTCAGGGTTCGCTCTGTCTTCGGCGCTTCTCCAGCCTAACATAGGCGGAATAGAGATGGAAAAACCAATTAGCCAGGTGACGCTTATCAGGACCGCAGCTCGCCTCGGCGTCCGTTTATTTACATAGTCTATAGGGTCTGTTATGGCCCAGTACCTGTCCAAGGCTATTGCGCACAGATGCAGGATGGATGAGGTGCAGCAAAGTACATCCAGAGAAATAAATAAATCACAGATCTCCTGCCCGAGTGTCCACTTGTTCAAAACTTGGTAGAGGGCCGCCATTGGCAAAACCAGTACCGAAACCATGAGGTCTGTGACGGCCAGGGACCCAATCAGATAGTTGGCCACATTCTGGAGAGATCTCTCCAGGGCGATGGCTGCCACGACGCACGCGTTGCCAAATATGGAGCAGAGGATGAGGGCCCCCAAAAGCAGGGAGGTGATAATCTGGTAACTCAGCTCCGGACCCGGCTGGGATCGAGACCCCGTGCCATTCTCACTTGCGCCCCAGTCAGCCACCACGTCCGCACCCTCGGGGTAACTGCTGGTGGCGTTGCTGTAATTGCTGCTTGTGGTTAGGAAATCCATAGTGCGACCACACTATAGGAACACAACTTTCCCAGATAAGCGGGAGACATTCAGCCCCTCAGACTGCTGCTGATGCTGCTGCTGCTGTGCGTTTTTCCGGCATCCATCGGAGTTACCGCGTTCGTGCCGTCCCTTCCAGGACGCATGACGCAGACATGTGTGTGTGTGTGTGTGTGTGTGTGTGAGTGAGTGCGCGCGCGTGTGTGTGTGTGTGTGTGAGAGGGGGTTGCGAGCGTTGACAGCCGGGTGCTCACTGGTACTGCGAATCATCTGAGCTTGGTGACGCCGTGAATTCATTTATACGAGCAGCTTCGGGTACGTCAGACCGTATGGAGGTCGCCCCGGAGTTTTGTGCCTCTCCTCTCCTCGTTACTCCGTTTTTCACTGCAGACAGCCGAGGAGAGCACACAGCCTCTCTGCTTCCTTCCTCAGTCGTTTACTTTTGACTTGGGAAACCCTGAATATCACCTTTTGTGGATTATTTTTGAAGTTTTCAGCTTAAATAGTTGGTGGTAGTCAGAATTTAAACTCTAAACTTATCTGAAACAAAAACTACAAGAAAGCGAAGACATAAAATGCGTACTTGAGGTGGAAATATTGACCGGGAGATTTGTTTTTTTTTTTCTGCATTACTTTTAAGAAACTTTTAGTTTAAAATATCTTGATGATAAATGTGATATTTTTAGGACAAACAAGAGGAAATTCGGAATTTTACGAATAAGTTTAGACAGTTTATGAGCGGAATCACGTTTCGAGCCGGAGGTAACATTGAGGGAGTGTTCAGAGCGCGGAGGGTAGTTTCAGGACCAGGGACAGCGCCACCTTAGCTCAGAGAGGACAGCTGCTGCCATCTGCCGTTCACAAAGGCTACTACATCAAATGACAGCCAGCTCTACACTTAGTTTGATTCCAACGGAGAGGCGGTCACTGTAGAAAGGACGAGAAAACAGGGGAGAGCTTGGTCTGCATAGACGGATGGTGTTACACGCGAGGTGCTAACTGTGTGGATGAGGAAAGGAGAGTATCCTGTTAACAATATTTGATTTTTGCTAGATGGTGAAGGAGAACATTAAGTTCCTTGCAGAATGGAGAGGGGTTGAAGGTTTTTGCTGATAGGGTCAAGTTTGAAGGTCAGATAAAACCCAAACTGTGTGAGAGAGAAAGAGAAAAAAAATGTTTTCATGTGTGTGATCACGACAGAAGTTATTATCACTGAGGTATCCCTAAACATATACCAAAAATACACAAATCAGCAGAGTTACCATTGATAGATTTTATGAAAAGTTCAATAACTTCACATTTTTGAGAAATGAGTACATAAGACACAGTTTATTTTTTAGATTTTTTTCCACACCTCAGTAAAATGAATGTTTTATCACACTCTTAAATACTACACTGAAATTAGAGCCAGTAGAGCCATCACCAAGACCAAACAGCAGCTCCTGGATGAGCAGAAGTCACGCATAATCATGACATTCAAGTCACAGAGCTGAACTGAGTTTGTTAAGGTTTGGTAATGACACAAGCATTACTGCTGTCCTGGGAGACATTTCTAACCACCCTGAAGAAATAACAGTCACTTAGAATCACAGTTAAACTGTTTTCAACTCCTATTACTGCAGAGAAAAACCTGCAAGTTGCAATTTTAAAAAAAAAGCATAACACAGAAATGAAGGGAGGAAAATACGGAGCCAGGAAAAGACGGGGTCAAGGAAGGGGAGGGTTGCAGGAGGGAACAGAGGCTAGAGATTTAGGGGCTGTTTTGTCTCAGGCCAGGGACCAAAGCTTGTCCCATCCTGGTTCTGGGTGAACAATAAAATGGCTGCATGGTTCTTCTCTTTCTGTGGGGAGGAGAAATACAAGAGGTCAGAGCATAAGAGACTAAGACTTATGACTCATTTAAGTGCAAGAAAACAAAGACTGACCTATGTGGTCTATCTAAAAAAAAAACTACTGAAGCTCTAATAACTGCTAGTTTAAATCAAAAGGTGCGAGCACACACAGTATGTCACAGTTTGTTGTGTATAGGGCGTTGCAGCCGCAGACCAGTCGAGGTGTCAGTGCCGTCTATCAAGTGCCTACAATGGACATGCAAGCACCATACCTAGATCACAAGTGTGATGGAAGAGTGTGGCCTGAAGGTGTTAAAGTCGTGACACTGGCCTCCAAATCTGCTTGATCTTAATCCACTAGAGCACCCATGGGATGTGCCTGATCCAAGCAGGTACCAGCTCACAACTTACAGGACTTAGTAGATTTGCTGCTGCTGCTGCTGACATCTGGGTGTGAGAAACCAAAGCACACCTTCAGAGGTCGAATGGAGTCTGTATCTTCTAGGGTCAGTTTTAGATTGACACAGCATCAGGTAGGTGGTCAGAATATTAAATCTGCATGGTGTGTACTGGGGTGTAAAGTTTTCAGTCAATGTTTATTTCCTCTAACAAGAGAATAAAATATATGTATTTAATGTAGACCACCATCCGTCCTATAATACCAGTAATCTGTCTTAGTCATGGATATTTTAGAAACAGAAGTACATACAAATGCACTAAGTAAATAACTATTGATGTCTGTAACCACCATTAATACTAATTAACTTTAATTATCAGCTTCTCTCTGAAGCTGCTTTTTCCCTGCTGAAGTAATTGTTCTACCAATCTGAATGTTAAACACAAAGAAGATAGTCATTCTAGCCTTTTTTTAAAACACATGAATTTTTGTAGGGCTTGGGTATTTCCTGAGTGCAGAAGTACCTCAGGTTTCAAAATCATTCTGCTTTCATAACTCCGTGGTTGAGCACAACCATAACTCTGTGTTTATAAAACTCAAAATGAAAAATCAGCTGACACCATGGCAGTGGACATGACAGAAAAGGTTGCTCTGGTTTTTTCACTTTTTTGTGCGTTCAGTGGCAGCACAGCAGTGTGTTTTCTATAGGTCACATACAACAATAGTGAGGCCGTGAACAGTGGACCTATTGTGATGGGGCTTTGTCTTTTTCAGCGGTGTGGAATAACCCAGGGGGGCTAAAGGGGTTTGATAGTTTGGGCTAGAGAGCGTCACTGTTCGCCTCCTCTACCCTGGAACAGTCCCTCTGGTGATGAGATAGAGTTTTGAACTCTTCATCCAGAAGTAGAGGGAGAGAGAAAGAAGATTTAGGTGAAGATGACCAGGACATCTGGTTGAAGTTTAATCCGATGAGTTCTGCTGGCAACTGAGGGGCTCAATTGTGCCAGCATGAGCTCCAATGTGGGATCCTCTGGGGTAAATGTCTCAAGGAGAGATGGAGATCCAAGTTCTGAAGATGCTGGTGAAGGAAGAAGTACCAGTGAGACTTATACCCCATGCTTAGAGGGAATGGTACCTGCTGAACAGGCTGAAGAAGGAAGACCGAGTAGTGTGAAGCAGCTGGTGAGACCTGCGCTGCCCGGGAGGAAGGCACATAGAAAGACCTGCAGCAAGGATTACAAAGAAAGGTGGCGAGAGGGAAACCAAGATGGGGAAGAGGATTATCAAAATGATGGACACGTAGGAGAAAGAAAACATGGGAAACAAAGGCTGAGAAGGACTGATGGAGCTGAGAAACATAGAGATGCATCACGGGACAGAGAGAGGAAAGAAAGTACAGAAAGCTTGTCCAGCTGCAGTTCTGATGACCAGGTAAACGGCACTACTGAAGCTGCAGGAGAATCAAACAGCTTAAGAGGACGCATACATCCAAGACCCCTCAACACCAGTTTAAGCCCACAATCCCCTTGGCCAGCAATGAGGACCCTGTCTCTTCCTCTTCCTCAATCCACCATCCAAACCAAACCCATTTCTTCGAACCCTCCGAGACTTCCCTCCAGGACAGCTGCAGGAGAACTCTATCACTACTCCTCTTGCTCATCCAGGGAGACAGATCCATTCTGGGCGGATGTAAGATCAGAGACAGCAATCAGACGGACCCGACAAAGCCATCACGTTCAGACACCTATCTCATCTCTTACTGGATCTAGGGTAGAAGAAGATGATGAAGAGGAAGGAGACGAGGGAGAGGGCTTGGGAGATGGTGAGGAAGGAGGAAGCAGTGTGTTGGAGATGGTGAGTCAAAGCGTGACCTCAGCGATGGTGCCGCTCTGTGACTCTTTTGGGGAGCGGAGGATGAATAAAAGAGAGAAGAACAGAATGAAGTGCCTGAGGAGGCGGCAAAGGAGACGGGAGAGATGGAGACAGAGTCAACTACAGGAGAGCAGACAGGTAAACGACACAATTACTTAAACTTAAACACAATCATGGGCGCTAAGGTCACTGCGAACAAGTGATGTTGACGTAAAAGAGGGGAAGTACCACTGAAGTTTTGTGTTCCAAAAGTAAAACAAAACTACAGTTCTGGGGGTGAGGGTTAGAGCCGTGTACTCTTATGTTGATACAATGCTAACCTTTTTTTTAAGTATTACAATCTGATCTACGTTTGGCGAAATGTGTTCCAATGCTTAAGACTGGTTTTACTGTCTCGAGATATCACTGAATTACATGCTAATTTCAGCATCATCACTGTGTATGGACACAACCTTGGTTTTCTTAGCAAGTAGTCAATCTCTAAGGGAACCTTGTAAGACACACTGTGAGTAAACCAAGCTCAAAACCAGGTTTCTCAAAGGGTCCCCATGGAACTGCACAGGCTTGGTAATCAAATGAACCGTTGCAGTCACCAGAGTGCATGATTTATCACTACTCCTTGCTCAGGAGCTCAAGTATGTCCAACCCTGTGAGACGCTAAGGTCAGGCCTGAAAGGATTGACCACCATCAAGTTATTAGATCCCCACCAGCCCCCGCCAGCACAGGGAAACAATGGCCTCATTATATGGTAGTATGGTAGCAACATTCAGAGAGAACCTGCTACCTGCTACCAGCTGGAAATCAATGAACTGATGAGTCTAGTATTGAGTCTTGGAAATATCTACATCAGCTGCCCTGTGGGGGTTGATTCTTGTGTATCTGGAATATGGAACTTATCTTAATACCAAATTTAGGTTAGGCTACATCAGCATTTCACCAAACATCACACGACTGATGACTCACTTACATGAAAGAGCTGGACACCAGACATCAGATAGTTGGAGAACAGTCAATGTCCCTTAACTTCCTGGACAGAATAATCAAATTTATAAAGCTGTTCTGCACAGCTGTTGGCAAATGATGAGTTTCTCTTCCACAGTTGTATACAGCGAAATGAATCAAATGTTGATCTCGTCACTTAATCCAACAATCAGCAGAAAGAAACTCTAGATAGAAATTCTGTTCTGATTAGATTCAACAATGACACATGAAAAATAGGCTCAGATCAAAGATTGTAGCACAACTTTAGGACAGTCTATAAAGATCAGCCATTATGAAAATCTGCCCATAATGTTCTGCAAGTTCCCTCTCATCCGCTCAGGGCCAAAACCACACCAACCTCACTAGACACAGGCTGATCCTGGTCTCACGGAAGTTGGTTAAAACTTTTAGGGAGTAAGTGTACACAGCATTGCTGAATTTCTCAAGAGACTCTTGGTGATTCATAGTAAGGTCCTTCAATTATCTTACTGATCCACTTAAAGGCCTGTTTATGCTGGATAGAGGGCAAACACAGAGGAAGCAAGGAGGAATATGCATGTGTGGGTTGATGTGTGTGCGTGCATGTGTGTGCGTGCATGTGTGTGTGTGCATGGGTGGCATAAGGCAAAAAAAAAAAAATCAGAATAATGTTGCTGCATTGTGTCCACTTTTCCCTGTGTGTAGCCACTTGTGTGTGTGCATGTGTGTGTCTGTTCATTTCATCTAGAGTCCGACTCTTGACAGCCCTATCAGCACCCAGCTCATCTCAATAGCCGTTGTCTATGTGGTTTAAAGTGGGGTTACATCTGAATTAGTTGCATGATGATGATGAGGCTTGGGCAGAGAGCCCTTCAGAGCAGCCAGACAAAAGAGCAACGTCTGTACTGATTAGCTGCTGCAGATCTACAGTAGACTGGTAGACTGAAATTGTTCTTGCTGCTGAATTAGAGACAGTTAAATACTATTAGAGGCTCTGAAACAGAGAAAATCCATGTCCTAATTCCAAGCCCCCCATGCTGATTACATTGTTTAAAGTGGAGATTTTCCGTCCTCCCTTTTATAACTGTGTGGGGGTTAATATCCTAACATGGTGTAGATTTAAAATACACACGTTATCTGGCTATAGCAGACAGAAATGTCTCGACTGAAGGATCATTTTAGGGGAAACAACAGATATTAGAGCCACCATGAGGACAACTTGTGGGTTTTTAAAATCTTTTCCAACTTGCTATTCAAAAGCCGTAGCATAATTTAGCAACTTAGCTTGGATTAGCTTTGCTTCAGTTAGTTGCTAACCTAGCTCATCCAAAAGTTAAAAAAAGACCCATGATATGTCACATTTCACAAATATGAACACAAACAGATAGAAATAATGTTCTCAAACTTTCATCAGGTGACTTCATTGCTGGTGTTGTTGTCATGTAGGCTTTAACCAAAGATACTAGCTAGATAGAGAGATGCTAGCACAGATAGCAGTGGCAAACTACAGATCACTAATATTACGCGACTTAATTCTAGATTTGTGGTATTAATGTTTGTGTGAGCTATGATAGCACTTTAGACCTTTTATAATGCTTTATCCATATGTCTGCGTCTCTGTGGCTTCCAGTGCTTGAACTATGCTAATCCTCGTACTAAGAGCACACTCATGAGGACTGAATTAATCATTTTATCCAACTCGAAGAGAGGTGAATAAGCTTGTTGGTCAAATTACTCCCTTAAACTGGCTTTCATTGGGAGGACATTGATTAAACTTGTTGGGTCATTTGTCATCATCAAGGCTTACTAAGTGTGTGTGCTTTCCTCTCAGCTCTGTTACACTTTGCACAGTTTGACTCAGCCTCACTTAGGAGCTGCTCACTAAGACCCCTGCACTTCTGACACTTTAGGACTCTTGACACTTCAGACTTAAGGATACTTTCTAGGGAACCTTGACAACAGCCCTGACAATAAATTCCTCTACCTCTATTATCACTTTGTTCTTTAGGAACCACTTGATCACACATTAAGGTTTAATTTTTAACATATTTCACAATTTCAGCAATAAGGTAAATAGGCAGTTATTCACATTTCCTATATCTCTGTCTGAAGTCAATATACAGTATATACCTCATGACAGAATCTTGTGTAACTAGTAAGTACTACTGTGTACCGTAACAGTAGGCCAGAGGTTCAGATGAGTGATGTTGACACCAATCTTTCCTCAAGAAGTGTTTTCCTCCCGATGATGGCTAATTTGTGCCGGATATTTTTGCTTCTGCTGCTCTATTGCTGCTCTGTGTCAGCTGTACTTGCTTTGTTTAAGGATACCAGTACTGCTGAGTTTATCAGTCAAATCTAGCAAAGGTTCAAAACAAAGAGGCTGTGATGCTTCCCTTTGATAAAGAAGGGTGAATTTTTTCATTATGCTCAGATTTATCGATGTAACCAAGACAAAGCGGCCATGTCACCATGCATGTTACCAAGGGAGAGTCTCATAACCCATGATAACTTGAGAGCTGTGTGTTCTGTCTTCTCGGTTAATGACACACCTTGGGAGGCAGGGCTGACACAACAGGAAAGTCCCAGGAGCTCCCCCTGGGCGAGAAAGTGGTAATTACTCTGGAAGCGCCCCCCAAGCCTTATCAAGAGTGGAGCTTTATAGACACAAATCTCTGAAGGTCTGCTGTGACAAAGCAGGCTCTTGTCCACCCACTCATATGAGTTATGGTTGGAATGAATTGGGTGCATGCATTTGGGTGCGTGGACTCCTCAGAGGCTTAAGAAAACAGGACATCAATAGCATAAAAATATCTTTTGTTTTGTGAAATTATGTTTACATGAGTCATACTGTACCTTTTGCTTATCCTACAATAGCTTGCTCTTAAGTAGAAACACTCTACCCCACACCTTGTTAACGGTACAGTGAGTGGGGTTTGATTTAGGTCTTGCATCAGGCACATGTTGTTCTTTCTATGAATAGTATTTATGCTTTAAGGTAGAATGAAAGAAACTGTAGGAAGGTTGGCATATTATACCTCAGTAAACTCACACCTGACGCCCTAATGTCCTCACATGTATTATTTCTTACTACAGATGGCTGTCAAGACATTTACACTCCTTGAATTAGGTTTATGAAGGAGGAGATTGTTTTGACTGTTAAACTGAATCTCAAAGGGACAGCAGGAAAAAGACATTTTTACCTGTATTTATAGTATGCTAGTGTGATGACATCTTGTAGCGATAATGTATGTTATGTCACTTGTTAATGTGGCTGTCTCAGAAGCTCTCCATGTGGACATGATCCTGCAAAAATGTGTTGGCTTCAGGATTTAAGCCAAAGAGATTAAGTCATAGACAAAGCACATGTAAAAAACAAAAAAAAACAAAACACCAGTTTCCTCAAAACGCCTTGCTGCAGATGGATTTAAATTGCCTCACTGTTCTAACATTATAATAAGCAGCAACAAGCAAAAGTATGCAGTAACAAGAACATGAATTTTACTTGTGAGTGGGAAGAAAATAATCAAACTAACCATAACATAAAAGACTGAAAAATATTAAAAATCTATGAGTAACAGACACTAAAAAAATGTATAACCTTTGCTAGGGATCTTTATATTAACAGGTTTCTTCCACACTCACACATGCTTTTTATATTTTATATGATGTATTTCTTATTGAATTTGTGCAATGTTTATTAGGCTATATTCTCTGTCTTGTATGGATGTAGATGTCTGTGTCATTCACGTTTTTATGCTCTTGGTACAAAGAAAATTCCCTTCATTAAGGCCCCTATGAGGAGTATTTTGACATTTATGAAATAGGCCAAAGTTCAAACTGATATCTTTTCATGATACCCCAAAAACAAACAGGACAACCAGGGAAAGATCACCGTATGTTGTCATTTTTAAAGCCTGAAACTGGTGTGAGGGGTCAAGTTTCAGCCAAGCAGCTAAAGAAACAGCCCTGTCTTTATAGTTTTAATGTAAAATATTGACAATAAATGTGATACTTGTAAAGGACGAGATAAGGAAAGACTGCTGTGTCCACAGGGGGGCACCAAAATTGACACAAACGGAAAGTTCCCCAAAGGAGCTTTAAAATACATTTTGAAAAAGAATAAGATGAACAGAAAGCAGGACTTTATATGTGACTAAAAACTTTTATAAAAAAACTAAAAACCCTTTTTTTTTTCCTTGGGGGGGGAAATTTGTCCTCCAGCCAAGAAAACAGAACATATGAGAAAACTGTTTTATCAACTGTATTATTAAAAGAACTCAAAAGCTTGACAGTCAAATAAAAGAGTTTTTCATTCTGCTAAACTTAGTCCTTGGAAAGTTAAACCTCATAATAGAAGCTAGAGGCTCGGCTGCAAAAGGAAAAGCTAAAATGTCTTGGACCTTAGAGGTTGCTTTCATGTGTGTTGGGTCAGACAGTTCAACTCCAATGATTTGATTTGCCGCCTAAATGACAAGCAGCAACCTGTTCGAGTGTTGGATTAAAAACGCCAAAAAGATAGAAGTCAATAAAAACTTACAAATATCAGTTAGTGGTTGTCGTAGCCTTTCACATCCATTTGATTTGTCATTGTTACTGCCTCTCCCAGAGTTCCACAGGGAACCCATCGAGCAGCAGCAGCGAGGATGACGAGGACTTGGGCGCGGGGGACAGAGAAGGCTACATCTGTGCCGTGTGCTTGGACGTGTACTTCAGCCCTTACATGTGTCACCCATGCAACCATATCTTCTGTGAACCCTGTCTGAGGACACTGGCCAAGAACAGCCCCACAAACACTCCCTGCCCCCTCTGCAGAACAATCATCACACACGTCTTCTTCCAGAAGGGTGAGCTAATGGGCACAAAGCACTTTCTGTACCATTTACATGATTTGAAAAGCTTATCTCTTCCACTTCTGACTCCACTCAGCAAGTCGAGGTTGAACAACACGAGAGGATTGAACTTTCAGATAAAGCAAAAACATGCTGTTTAAAGTGGAATCCTCCGTGACAGTGTAACAGTCAATGTTTGCAGCTGTGCGTGTATTGTTTTGTCTGTTTGCTGCTGCACGTATGACACCTAAACTGCAGATTGTTCAGAGGGCCCAGCTGCAGATGTCCCAAAGGGAGCAGAGCAGACCTTTAGTTCAGCTCTCACCAGATGAGTCACCCAGACCGAAAAGACAAAATCAAACGCAACCTGACCACTTTTATTTAGTGCTTTCTGATGTACAAACACTCCTTACAGGAAGTAAATGCATTGTTTTATAATAGAAAAAAAAAACACGTGAAAAGAAAATGTACAAAAAGAATAAAACCGTCATCTTAAATGTGACTTCTTTCAGCAACATTGTAAAGATAATATTTTCACACAGATCAGATGCTTGGAAATATAGGATGGATTTTATGTAACCTCATGATGGCTGCACACTGATTGCATGGGTTGTGGTCTGATTTGGACAAAGCTATGAATAAGTAATGGAGTTCTGTGATTCACTTTGGCCTACTTCTGGCTGTATGTAGGAGAAATGGAGCGGCAGCAGGGACACTGCTGTGGCCATAAAAAGGCAGAGTGGCTGTGGTTATGAGCACTGCAGACACACTGAGGGCTCTTGTGAGTGATTAGGTGACAAGGATTGTAGATTAGATTCTTGTGTTGATTATCAAAGCCAAGGTCACACTGAAACAGAACAGGAGGAGAACGAGGGAGAGTGGGGATGCTGCATCGGCCGCTTTACTTTGAATAAATCAAACACAATCTATCCAGGCCATCAAGAAGTGGAGGTGTGAATAAGATGTGCACTTTTGATAATATTGTGTTGGTCTCTCTCTCTTTTTTTTTTTTTCCACAGAGCTTAACCAAACAGCGAGGACATTCTTCCCAAAGGAATACCTTTCCCGGAAACAAAATTTCCAGAAAGCCAGTTGTGCAAAGTGGCCTTTACCAAGCTGCAGAAAACTTTTCCGCATCTTTGGAGGCAAGTTTGAAATCATGCTGATTCTCTGTGTTCAGGATAATTGATTGGATTTGTCCATTCCAGCTGCAGTTAAGGATCCTGTATGTCTGCAAGTAAGACTGTTCAATTTTAAAGGTTTCTTGAATGCATTTGATCATCTTAGTTCACACGATACAAACAGAGGTGACTGCTTTTCTCTTTAAAACATGTACTCCATATTACACACCGAGTGTTGGAGTGACCTTAGGAGAAGCAGTGGTGGAACATGTCCTCAAATTAGTTTCTAATTTGTTCAACTATTGACCCATACCACTAATTAAAGCAATGTGAGTCCCAAAATACTCTTTTTTTTGAGTACACTGATAGCTTTAAAAATATGACATAATGCATTTAAACTTTATCTGAGGTTTGCAGCATCAGGGAGTACAGTAGAACATCATGAAGACACTGTATCAGGCCATATTTACCTGTTTATGATTAGATATCAGTATAGTTGCATGACTTCTGACACTTCCAGTACAATAATTCCTCCTGAAAAATGAAAAGAACCACAAAATTTTCGTTTTTGCTACTGATTTAATTTATTATCTAAACAGTGTTTCACAAATGTATCCACCCTGAGAAGACTTGGATTTGAGTAGTCCAAAAGAAATAGTCATGCTGTTAAACCCTTTCAATTACAAGCAAAGACTCTGAGGTACGCTCTATTATAAATTTCCTTGTGTTGCAGTTGCAGTGTGGCATGGGAATACATATATACAGATCATCTAAACTGCAGTGGAGAGAGTGGAGAGATTGGATCTGCCTTTCTACTTCGTCTCCCCTTTCTTTTTGCCTTTGAGCATGAATGTTCACATGTTAATAATACCGAGCTGGATCTGCTTCCTGTCATCATCAGCTCACCACTCATAAAGATTTTGATCTAGTGTCATATGAGACCCAAAACGATGCCATAAGGTCAACTGCTATTTCAGTCCCCTCTTGTGTTTCTCCTTCTGCATTATTTACTGTTGCAATTGTCTATTCTGGTACCAGTCAATCAAAATAGGAAGGTTTCATTTTTCACCCACACCAGGCTTCCAGAGACAGTCCAGTCCCATCGCTCGTCAGTTCCCCCATGGAGGAGGCTACCACCTGGACGCGCTGGATTTTGAGGACGATTCTCGCGGCTGGCACTTTGACATGGACATGGTCATAATCTACATTTACTCCGTCAACTGGGTTATTGGCTTTTTCATATTCTGCTTCCTATTCTACCTCTTCTTCCCTTCTTTTTGAAACTCCCAGCAACACTGATAGAGGCTGAGACAGTGGAAGATAAGCATGAACATGGAGCCGATCGAGGGCAGGGACCTACATATGCAGTACATATAGGGGAAAGGGGGAAACTAGGGTGTAATGAAAGACAGTGAGTGAAGTTAAAGCAGGTAGGTTGGTGTGGTGGAGGGAAAACAACAGTGTACCCGCTTGTTGTCTCTGATGAATAAATAATTAAAATGGAGAAATGGTGTATCCAGAGATGTTTGGGAATCCAATGTTCTCTGTTTTCTGTCTTCACTTGATGAACATGTATAACACGGGTTGCACAACATGTTTTCCTCCTGTGTAGAGGAGAGTTAACCTCCCAGAACATAACAATTCAAAGCAACAACAAGTTTGGCTTTTTCCCTGTAAAATACAGTAGAGTTGACGATGCTTCCACCGTGATAAACAACAAGAAAGACAAAAAGTAGAGAAGTAACACATGCGAGCACTTTCTGGATGGATTTTAACGTCAGCAAATGTGAGGACATAGAGGAGCTGCTTTTTAAAATGGATTTCAAATCATTGGCCAATGGTTTTTCTGATCCTTTTGTTTTGCAGTTTACTTCTGCATAGCATACCATTAAACTTTTACAATTGGCAGTCACACAGTTTTAAAATAACATTCAGCATGTTTGGCTGCAAGTTTTAATTTGTTTTTACTTTTTTTTAAGTGAATATTTTGTCTTTTTTTACAGCATTTTCTAAAGTTCATAAGAAAAACAGGTAATATTTACAATTTTCCAGCTGTTGCTTTAGAATTATTATTATTAGTGGTATTATAATTAAAGGGGGAACCATGTGTTACTGTTAAATACATGACTGGTTTCTTAAAACGTTTCAATTTTGGGTTTGGAAACCAAACACTACCAAAAGACAAGAGTCTCATACTTGTCTCAGCATCAAGCATATTCAGCCCCTAAAATACATACTGCTGTCTTTTTGGAATAAAATAACAATTACAACCAATGCAAGTAAAAACAACAACAACAAAAGATTAGCATATGTGCTAGAGTACAAAGAACTAATAATCTGTACAATGTTATAGTTGAAAATAAATTCATGATCACAAATTGTTCATGTACTTTCTATTCTTAAACCAATTTTATATAAACCTGGAGATACCATCTGTACAGGAAGTCTGCATTAAAATCAAACCCATGATCACTGCAGAACCCGCCACATTAGAAAGACATGAAATCCTAATGTAAGCCACTTACACTCTCTACCTGTATTTGCGCTGCACGCCACAAACACATGAATTACAGTATCTCTTTGCATTCACAATTAAACAGTAATGGAGCTTTTCAAAGAGCACTCACATTGAAATGGACTCCAAATTTATTCAGAATATCAACCACATACTCTCCTCTTTGTGGTTATGAAAAGCAGGGATGAGCAAAAAGTCACAGCTGAAAGCCACAAATAAATCCAGGCAGAAAGATGTACTCTAAAAAGTACAGTTAGGAGGTTTTTACTATTAGCTGTGACCATACATATCATTTTCAGGATGCTTCTAATTTTCTATTTCCCTCTCCATGCTCCCTTTATCTCCTGCAACTTCTAAATTACAGAGATGCAGATGCACAGATGTATACTTTTGTACTCTATTTTTTTTGGGTGTTAGGCCTTCCTTTGTGTAACACCCGGGTATTGGGTTACAGGGCTAATGTTAGGGTTGTGGGGTTAGGGTTAAAATCACTGTCCAGGACCTTTTTAGGAACATGTTTCAGACCTTTTGGAGTTCGTTAGAACAAAAAAAAAGGGAAAAATGTCAAAAAAAAATTTGGGTGTTGGGGCTGTCTTTGTGTAAGACCAGGGTACTGGGTTACAGGGTTAGGGTTTGGGTTTTGGGGTTAGGGTTGAAATCAATGTGCAAGACCTTTTTAGGAACATGTTTCAGACCTTTTGGAGTTCGTTAGAACAAAAAAAAAGGAAAAATGTCAAAAAAAAATGTATGGGTGTTAGGGCTGTCTTTGTGTAACACCCGGGTATTGGCTTACAGGGCTAGGGTCAGGGTTATGGGATTAGGGTTAAAATCTATGTGCAAGTCTTTTGGAGTTTGTTAGAACAAAAAAGGGAAAAATGACAAAAAAAAAAAATACAGGTTTTATAAACACAATGCAACACAGAGTTTTGATCCTGCTGTCGTTGAAATAGTAAAACACTTTACATTTTCTTTGTGCAACACAACACAAATGTTCTCGTGGTCTGGCTGAAGAGGGGGAAAGACTTGGAAGAATCAATTTAATAGGTCTGGTAAGAGTTATTAAAAATGTTCATATAAAAACTCAGGTGTTTAAAGTTTATAAAGTCTCATCTGATATATTGATAAAATGATATTGTACTTCTTAACTTGTGACAGCAAAGTGGCCAATTGAATGAATTCACACGTTCAGGAGCTCATATTGGCTCCAGCTCAGGGCGGGGGTCTGACATGATGGGCCCTATTAGTATTCCCGTCCTTTGGGTGCGCAGTGTTGCCAGCCTCAGAGCCACGTCAGGCCTGTAGCAACTGCTCGTCTTCTGCCGCCTCTCCAAGGTTAGAGACAGGCCTGCCCGATGAGCTGGAAACACTCGAAGTAGAAGACACTTGAGCTGAACTAAGATCGCCAAAAAACCGGGACTGAAGTCTATGGAAGGCTGAGATTTCCCCCCCGCACTGAGGGTTCGAGTGTCGGCTGTGCGCTGCGGAACAGTCAGCGGGGACATTTGCAGCCTTTATTCCGTCCCTGTAAGGAGGTTGAAGCGCTAAGGAGAGATCGTTATCGCCCGTCTTATTTGTGCTTAATGGAAACGCGCAATCACAAAAAATGGTTGCATTTGGAGAATCTCCGTGAATGTGATCGTCTTCTTCCGACATCGGTGCGTCAGAGGAGACACCTCAGCTAGCTGGACTCCTGGTTTTGGGTGTGAAGTGTTCACTGTGCACCGTGTGCTGCTGGAGTGAAGGTGACTTGTCGAGGCAATGCGGAGAGGAGTCGCAGGCGCTCATCCGGTACTTCTCCTGCGCTCTGAGGCTCGTCTGGGAACATATTTGCTCCGTCTCCTTCACTAGAGGGGAGGAACGTGAGAGATAGACAGAGCAATAACAATAATCGAGCTTCAACGCCAGCCAGTAGTTGGCGAAGGTGAATTGAGAGCAAGCAGAGGAGAGAATAAGGTGAACAGTGAGGTACAGGGTGGTGAAGGCAGGAAGACGGAAAGTGGTGGAGTTTGGAGGGGGGAACAAGACAAAAGCGTTCTGTATTAGGGCTGTTTTATTAGTTGATGTGTATGCATGAGTTCTGCATCGAATGGGCGCAAAAATCGCCCCAGATCCGCCGGGAACATCTTCCAGATCGGCAAACCTCCTTACCGAGATCCACAGAGGAGGGAGAGCACCGAGAGCACCCGCAAAGCCCAGCGCGCCGTGGCCGACTGCAGAATGGTAGGTTTGCGGCAAGTCAATGCCTGCATGGTGCCATTCATGGATACTGCTTTATTATAACCACAATCTTTCTTTGTTCTTTGACTATATCTACTATCCCGTGCCTGCAGGATGCACAGGCGACAACTGTTAAAAGCTGCAAAGAGAGAGAGGGGGGAAAAAAAAGACCGTAGCTCGGTCTGGGAGCCTAAAAATAGCTGTATGCATTTGCATTGCTTTGTCGGCAGTGAAGCCAAACAGATCATCTCCGCGTGCAGACTGACTGTGATTTGCATTTTGAGTTTGGAAAGCTGCTGGGGATTTGGGTTCATTTCAAAAAGCGCCTAAATTACAGGATCATCTACTGAGGTGTATGAGATCATTGCACATCGGTCCTGTGTTCTGACAGAAGCTGGAAAGGAGGATCATAGTCTAGCTTTACGTGACGTGCTGGTGGTATAGTGAAGTACAGCAGGATGCCGTACAGGAGTTGCAAAGAAAGGAGCAGAATATTTGCACCAAATGCTCAAGCTCTAACGTTGTGCAAACAGCCAAACTTAGCATTATTGGACCTTTTGTTGATTAGAAATGAAAGCCCAGGGAAATGCCATGGCTACATTTGGCTCTATGGCATGCTTCCTGCAGAGTTAAACTGTCATTTGTAACCGCATATGCTCAAATTTGTTGATTTTTTTTCTATTAACCCACAATTCACTTGCACCCCCACTTTGTTAGGAAATAGAAAAGCAAGTCTAGATCAAATGCAGCTCAGCTTCTTCTTCATAGAAAGCATGGTGTTATGTTGACATGCAAGCAGACTGGGGATAAAAGCTGTACTGCAGTGACCAAAGCATAAGCTCTTCTCTGCTGTTAAAGTTGCATTTGTGGTGCATTCAGGTAGTGAGTTTTTCTCTTTTTTAATTTTCTTTGTAACACAGATAGTCCAAGAGTTCAATACACTCGTGGCTCTATACCGTGAGCTGGTCATCTCCATTGGCGAAATCACTGTGGATTGTCCCTCTTTACGGGCTGAAATGCTGAAGACCAGAACCAAAGGCTGTGAAATGGCACGAGCGGCACACCACAGTCTGTCCTTGATATCAGGGTGAGTTGGCACACACGCTGTCCATGGTGCTAAAAATTTTAACCGGCCACTCTGCAACACTGCTGTTCCCAAAGTTGTAAAGAGTCTAATTTTACCAAAGTACATCTCTAATTTGCATAAGCGTCCCTATTTTAAGCTTCATGTATACTTAAGCCTCCACACTTCAAAGAAATCATCCAAGTGTCTGCTCCTTTACTTTGAGTGTGGTGAGCTCGGGATGGGGAGAGAGTTTGAGTTGAAAACAGAAAATGAGATCGGCTTTTAGAAACCAGAATGTCTTTAATTGCTGGAAGGACAGAATTACCAGGAAACAATCCCAGGAACAGGCTGTAACTGTCCACTACCCATTAGCTGGGCCTAAAATATTAATGCTTCAAGTGGAACACTTCCCATGGCCAATATCTGAGATAACAGCATCAATAATGTGCAACCACTGACTTTCCCGTGGTTGCTTTTAGTGCACTGTGAAAGAGACAGTGTGTGTACAGTTCAAAGTTTGTGCCTCACTTTGTGGTCATTTTAACGTTTGTATACCAGCATGCTTGAGAATATTTCATGAAATCCTGGGGTTTGTCTTCCAAAAGTGATCAAGTAAACCAAATTTAAAATGCATGATACATGGTTGGTTTTATGATGGGAGTAGAGAAGAAATTGCCACAATTGAGGTGGGACATGCCAGGTAGTTTGGCCTTCACCCTCTACTGAGCTCAACATCTACTCCTCTCTCTGGACAATGGAAGAAGGGCAAAGCAAAGGTGTGGGATTTGAAGGTCCTCCTCAGTAAAGCCGTAAGATGCCAGCTGACCTGGCACTCGCTGACTTACTTAAATAACAATCAGGCAGGCGAAAGCTGGTGTTGAGAGGGGTTTGGAGGATGTTTGCAGAGCCAGTGCCAAAGCCTGTTGCAACAATAGCAGCATCAGGTTCACTCTTGCTAAAGCCCATTTCTCATGATCAATTTTGGATAAAGTGAAATAATCAGGTTTTCTCCCATTAAATACGAGTTAACTGGGATTTTCTTGTCGGCGTGTATTAAATATGTCTCAGTAACCCTTTTTTTTTTTTTTTTTTGGAGCTTAATAATTAATCCACTAGCTTTATCTGACAGTGATTTCAGAATATGTATCCTTCACTTTCTCTTACATGCTTGACAAAATCCAAGCATTGGAAACACATGTACACGACACTCTAATGCATGGTTAACTAGAAAACAGGCTTGTTGAATGAGGCATGAGTTTTACAATAACCTTTTGCTAATCTTTGGAGTAGGGTTGACAGTGCAGAACCTTAATTTTTCTGCACTATTTTTACTAAGTATAAAACTCATAATCATGCAGATAGATACAGTCGTCTCTTCAAGACAAGTACAATCCATTTCAGTCCTGCGCTTGAATTTCCTGCCGCTGCTGTTTGAAAATAGAGACAGTGCAGCAGCTTTAGAGAGAACTCACTGATAACAGCATCAACATGATTGTCACAGTCATCACCAGCACATCCTCTAAAACCTCCTTCTCTAAAAGCTCTTCAACGTCCGTCTCCACTTCTGGAGAGACACAGAGCTCGAATTAGACAGCACAGGTCATTCCCCTTTAATCTAATAAAGCCTGTGTGTCTGAATGGTTTGAGTGATGCAGGGCCCCTCCGATGCGCGAGCGGAAAGCTGATAAACAGGATAGCGTTGATGACAGCTGTGCTTTAGCTATGGAAGACTGTGGAAGGCAGTTCTGTGACAAAAACAAGGATGGCAGGGAGACGCTTTGCTGCTAAAAGAGAGGGAAACCAACAGCAGGATTTGTGTGAGAAATGTTCGTAGCAGGTGCAGGTTTCACGCCTTTCATCGCTGTCACTTTCACATGTGATATCACACCCGCAGAATATCACCTGCTGTAATTCTTCCCCACTTCTCTACCAGATTTATACCCTTGTGAAGTTACTGTGGTTTAGATCAGTTATGTGTAAATAGAAACTACTCAGATGGTTGAATTTTCTTGAACTCATTCACTGTTTTTTATTTGATTGTATTAAATTGTTTTTAAAAAAATGAATATACAGGCACTCATTCAACAATCAGCGAATATTCAGTCAATGGAAAGTTTGATCGTGTTCACTCCTGAAACAAATCAATTTAGACGAATCTAAATTGTTGAATTTTAGCAAATGCAAACTCAACAGTCCACCCTTCACCTGAAATTTCAAGTCATTTTCTTGGCATTCTTTGCTTTTATTGATAGGATAGCTGAGGAGAGACAGGAAGCGCCTGGGGTAAATAGGAAGGCATGCAGCAAGGGGTATCCAAGTGGTATATAAGCTTCTGTGCATGGGGCGCAGGCTTAAATTTAAAAATGTTCTTGTTTTATTTGTGGAGCACTTTAAGTTTCTACAGGTTTAATTTCTATTTTGTGTGCGCCAGTTAATTATACACACAAATAATATTTATCTTGTGCACCCTAGTTTTTAACCTTTGAAAATGCAACAGTGCCATCACCTGCTATTATTGGTCATTTAATGCCATTGGTTGCAAATAATTAGCTTTATTCATCAGCTGAGTAGATAAAAAAAAGCACTTTAAGTGTGTGCAGAGGAAAATATTACAGAACGAAAATGTTCATTTGACATCAGGGGGCTCCAGTTTTTTATTTTCACTACCTTTACTATCCATCTTCACTGTCAAGCAGAAACCTTGTATCACCAAAACCACTGAACGACTGAGAAAGTCTTTTGTTCCAGCAGCAGTGAGATTTTTTAATAGTATATGCTAGGCTCTGACTTAGCACTGCTGCATAGTTTGTAGAAGTATTTATTTTAGTGTTTATTCATTTTTATCAGGCTTTTGTTGTATTTCATCATGTCCTTATCTTTTATTGTACCAATTTTAAATCATGTTTCATTGGCCTTCACTGTGTTTATTGTGTATCTGGTGTTGAGTCTGTGTTTTTCTGATGTCTCCATGCTGTTTGTTGTCCGTATGAGTCTTCTTGTCCTGGTGGTGAATAGTTTCCCCAATAAAGTCTACCTTATCTTTATCCTTATCCTTAATACTTACCAGTTAAAAAAAAAACACACACACAACTAAACACTGCATGAGATTCTACAACTCCACAACTTGTATCTGTTTCCTGTTAAAAAGCCTACCCAGTGGCGTAAATGAAGATCAGTCTGATGAGCTATGGAGATACGAGGTTTCTGCCTCAAAGTGACGCTATGTGACTTTTTATGCTCTTCAAGCACATGTTGCAGTCACTTAAGTCGGGCAACTTAAGCCACGGTATTATTTTTAGGGAAAAATTAGGATTAGGTATAGTAACTTTATATTTTATACTGTTACATATTACATTTATGCATATCCGTACCATATTTATCCTGTAAAAAGAATCTCAGATCCATATGTTTACATTGTATATACTCCATATTAATCTTGTTTCATATTTTCTATATTTTTTATCTATCTTTTTTCCAATGTTTTGCACTGATATGGGTGGCTTTAATCTCATTGTACTGCGTATAATGACAATAAAAGGCATTCTGATTCTCATTCTGTAAGAGTTTTAAAAAAACAGTAAAATAATGACAAGTAAAAAGTTCAGGATAGTTACCTGATTTAGCCTCTGTACATCAGACATGTCTGTATCCTTAAACCAAACAAATATCTTTATACTGTAGCCTTTTAATGTCACTTAACAGGATGCTGATCACTGATGTTAGCGGTTTAAATAAAATTACACCAAAACTGAACTCAAAAGCAGTCGTCATATTTGTCAGAACATCAAATTTTGAACTATATTTATCTTTGATTATGGTAACATAAAGCAGTTTTTTCCGGCACAGAACTGCTTTTTTGATTTGACACTTTTCGTAACCTTTTTTTCAACTCTATGTGATTCCAGGCCAGAGGATGGGGAGATCCACCCTGAAATCTGCAGGCTCTTCATCCAGCTGCAGTGCTGTTTGGAGATGTACATCACTGAGATGCTCAAATCTGTCTGCCTGCTGGGCTCCCTGCAGCTCCACAGCAAAGGTAAACCTGTGGATGGGTCTGTGGATGCCAGCGGACATATTTAAACCAACTTCATTTCAGAGTGTGCCCATTTACCAGCTTTTCACCTCATGGTACACTTTTAGAAAACCTGTCAGAAGCCGTTATAATCCTGGCACATTTAATTTCCCATCCTCTTTATCCTGATAATCAGATAATGAAATAATAATAAGGATCAAAAAACCTTAATACATTCCCTAAAGTTGTGTCTGTTTAATAAAGTTGAATGATTATATAATCTAAAAGGTAACTTAAGGTCACTCCCTTTTCTTTTTTCCCTCATAAACAGAGGCGGTTTATGTTTACAGCTTCTTGCTCTGTGTATTTCAGGTAAGGATACCTGCGGCCCTCCTGGAGTGGACAGCAAGACAGAGGACAGCTCAGATATTCCAATCCTGGAGGACACCTCTTCCTCTCCCACAGACTGTCCTCAACTCTGCTGGCTGGTGGCCACTGACATAGAAAACATAGAAAAGTAGGTTGACAGAACCATGTTGTATTATCTTTTATGCTGTTACTGAGAATTAATACCAACTACATACATTTAACTCCAGGCTTTTTTTTAGCCTCACAAATATTGTAAGAGATAGTTTATAGATAGTTTATCAAAGGTAACTGTGTATGTATGAGAAAGAAAAACAGGAAAAAATGTTTTATTGTTTATGTGGTTATATTCAATATCTGCATTAGCTTACAAATCACGCTCCTTTAATCGTTGTCGCTAAACACTTTGAAATAGTCTTTTGTGAAACTATTTCAAAGTGTTTGCAAACAGTGTTCATCAGAGGATGTATTTTTTCACGCAGGTAAAAATATATTCACAAGTATATTTAAAGACGCAAAAAATTAGGCAAGTGTTTGTGTTGGAGTTTGAAAATCTACTACATGAAAGACGCTGCAGGTTATTTTTGTTTTTTGCAGGGATATGAGAGAGATGAAGAATCTACTCAGTAAACTCAGGGAGACAATGCCTTTACCATTGAAGAACCAAGGTAAGATGAAAACAGAGACACACATCTCCATACTCACAGAGAAGTGAAACTTTTACCCTCTTGTTGGAAGACAGTGAAGTAGATTTGATAGACGAGAGAATATTAGTGTAATGTCTAGAACTGGCAGAGTTGTCTGACTTGGCAGAGGTCTGCTTTGTTCTTGTGCCCAGATGACAGCAGTTTGCTGAACCTGACTCCCTACCCACTGGTCCGACAGAGGAAGAGGCGGTTCTTTGGGCTCTGTTGCCTGGTTACCAGCTAAGGGCCCCGCCTTCGTGGGTAGGAGGCGGCAACAAAGACACCATTACCCACTGTCCTTCACCACTTGTGTCTCCCACCAATCTATTACTGCCATTTTCAAAATAATTCCTCTCTTTCTCTTTTTATTTAAAGGCTGCCCATTTTATAATTTTATTTTGTAATACAAATAAGAATTGTAACAGCAGTGTTATGAAAACAAAAGTCATGAACGTATATTTTAAGATATTTTGCAACAAATTACTCCCTCTTTCGGTAAAAGACGTCAAAAAAACTGCTCGTCCAATGTAAAGAGAATGAGAGGTCATTTAAAAGAATGTCAGTGTTTGATTACTTCCACAAACCTGAGTGATGAATTCAGGATTCATGTTTAAAAAAGGGAATATTATTGTCTGTTTTTTGTCAGAAATAATGTGATAACTTACAAATAGATGCTGTCTGAGTATTTGCAGATGGCACTCACAAAGACAAAGTTATACATTTGTCTGTCTCCGCTGAAATGACAGGTTTGTGCAGAGTAAGTCTGTTGTGTGTTACAGTCTCTGTTTTCTGTTGTTTTTTCTTCTCTATGTACTTAATTTAGTCTTCCATAAACCAAGAACCTGTACCCAACTTTAACTTTCCAGCTTCAAAAAGGAATATATGATACAATACTCAAAAAGAATACTTCTTTGCACACAATATCTATCTATAAATTGAGACATTAGACTTGTATATACACATACTCTTTACGCAAAGCTCTCTGATTTATTTCCAAAGTCGGGGTTAGTTTGCAGCAGGGAATCTGTTGGCTGATGTAAGCAGAGAGGCTCTTCCTCTGTCTGAGCAGCTCTGTGCAGACAGAGGGAGGCAGCATGAGTCTTGCTTATTGACGGTGGTGATCAATGTTTAGGGCATGGCGATGGGACAGTAGTCTAAGCTGATATAGGTCATTTTACATTGTTAATAAAACTTTTGTTATTAAAATGTATCTTCTGGTCTGCAATTTTCTTGCATGTAATGCATGTAATAGTCCACGAGGTGGTGACAGACAACCAAAAAGGACATTTGTGCATAAATCAAAGTGTGAAGAAACTTTATACAGTTATAACTGCAACTAATTTAAAATGTTATACTTTCTATTTCTGTTTGAACATTATGAAGTAATTGGTTTAATTTCCTTGTGTTACTTCTTGGGTTAGTCCCACGCTTGCAGAGTAAATATGTTATCCTGGAGGTTAGACAGTCATAGTTACACAGTGAGTGAGAGAGAGAGAAAAGGAAAGAGAGAGGGAGACAGGCCTATAACCCTTTTTTCAAGTCCATGACACAGCCTTAATTTGTATTTGCTCATGTTTGGGAGCACAGAAACCAGAGTGCGGTTCCTGCTGCTAGACCTTGGATAGTATCAAGCTGCTCTCTCACTTTTGAGTCTGCTCAGGTTGCAGTCTATAAACAAAGGAGTTATCAGTTCAGTGGTAAGCATTAACAGCTACATTATCACTCTTGTGTTTTTTTTTAATGGAAAAACTTCCTCCTGTTTCCTGGTGTCTTTGTCATTAGGAAAGAAAACTGTGATTTTTCTATACAGCCAAAAGACTAGTGGCAAGATGAGGAGTGACATGGACTGTTCAGCTTCTTGGTGGGTGTGTCTTTGAAAGAGCTGCTGCATTGGCTCTTCCTTTAGCATTACCCCTACAGGACGGCACATCCTGGCATCAAATAATGTCTCAAATGTTAGTAAAGTGGCCCTGAAGGTCAAAGGCATTATTTTTCAGGATGGCAATAAAAAAATAGAAAATATTACTCAACAAAAAAATATTTTGTGAAACATAAAAAATTTAGTTTAAACACAATGTATTTTTTGGAAAGCACAAATAAGTTCAATCAATCAATCAAAATCTATTACATGTTACAAGATATTTGAGAAATCACGTACAAATTTTACAAAAGTTTACATTTTGTTGACATAAATAAAATTTTGGAACATAGAAATATTTTTAAAACATTATTATTATTATTATTATTATTATTATTATTATTATTATTATTATCATATAAGATAAGATAATTATAAGAAGTAGTAGTAGTAGTAGTAGTAGTAGTGGCAATTGTATTAGATTTTTTTTTTTTCATTTCCAAAATATTTAAATGCTTTTATGCTTAAAATATCATTTATGTTACTTCAGTCTTTTTGTTTTAATAATTTGTTTGTGTTTTCCAAAATAAATTTGGTGTTCATGTAAAATAGCTTGGGGCTTTGTTAATTTAATTTAATTTAATTTAATTTAATTTAATTTTTTTATTTTTGTATTTATTTATTTATTTATTTATCATTATTTATTTTTATTTCTATTTTTTTATCTTTTTATTTTAATATATATTTTTTTTTTTTTTTGGGGGGGGGGGGGGGTATTTCTTCTTTCCATCTCACAAAATCGTTTGTGTCTTCTGAAACCTTTATTTTTTGCTGTCCTGAAATGTTTATGCCATCGGCCTTTAGGGCCACCATAGTATAGGGAATCACGGGGTATCAGTAATATGACTGGATGCATATCACATCCAACCCTGTAAAATTATTAGTATTGATCAATATAATTTGGCCCTTTTAAACATTTACACTTCCCTTCTCGCACCTCCCCCTGATGAAGCTGTAGTGCATTTGAGGACAAGGACAGCTGCTCTCTCTGTTACCAGTTTGTTCCAAGCTAAACACGGTGGTTCAAGATGGCAGCCTCAGTGAAAAGAGATCGGCTACCATGAAGATCTTATCTTAAGTTATCACAAATATACTTATTTGGGTGATGATAGAACCTGTTTCCTACAACACATTAGACCGTCAAGTTAAAAAATCCTGTTTTTCGCCCTCACAAATCTAAAGGAAAAAGACAATTTTCCGAGTTCATGAAAATCTGTCTTTTTGTCATTTTCACAAAATGAAATAAAACAAAATTTAAGCAGAGTAAATGCTGTACTGTAGATTCACTACATTTACCAATGACAACAAAAGTGAAGGAAAACAGAGTAGGAAAATACCAGTGCATGCAACCAAAGATCACTGAATCTCATAATAGAAATGAAAATGATAACGGAAGAGAAAATAATGTGAATTTGATGCCATGGCTGTGGCTGTGGGGCGGTCTATTCTTTATTGACTGACTGACCAAAAGAGATTTTAATGATTTTTCAGAAAGAAGATTAACGCTCTAGTTGAATATCTAGATCAATGTTAAGCTTCAATGAAGCAGCTCTGAGTAGCTTTTAATTGAAAAACATATTATTGGTTTTGTTATTTCTGCTTTTTTGACATATTTCTGTGACTTTTTTCTGTACATGCCCAAATCAATCCTTTTTTATTCAAAAATATGACACAAACTAATTTTGAAAAATACCGTTCATATGCCTTCAGGTCAGTTTCTGTGTATTCCCCTCTATGAGCACGAGGGTGAGTACAAGCTGTAGTGTATTTGTGGCTTCAGTCCTCTCACCCAGCAGTCTTTGGTGTAACTGAGGGACACACATTAACTTTCATGGTGAGAGGAAACAATAAACATCTAGGAAACACACAAACACACACACACACACACACACACACACACACACACACACACACACACACACACTTGCGCTCACACAGTGTAAGGGCAGTGAGCCAGCATCAGAATAGACTGTCAGCAGGGGGTTGCTTGGCAGGCAGAGCACTGTCTGGGTTTGAAAGCACAGGGCATCTTTGGAAATAAACCATATCAGTGCAGAACACAGATTTTCAGACATTTTCTCTGGGGAGACTCAGAAGGCCGGTTTCTTGAAAATCTAGATTTAAACAAGGTGTATGCAGCTCAAACAGTGGGTTAATTATGGAGAAATCTACAATTTAAACAACAATTTAAAAAATGGAACCATATAGTTTAAAATTAGGAGTATATCTTTTTGTTTTGCTTTGCTTCGTTGTTATAAAGATCAGATAAATGAAAAGAAATTCAACATGGCAGGTCACATGCTATTAATTTTTTTGTTTATTTGCACACAATAGTAAATTTTTCAAATGCAATAAAGTGGTTACATGGAAATCTGACTGTAGAAATATGGAGAGAGTATTATTATGGATTGATATTCAGGGGACATTCAGGTCACACCCTCCATCTTCAGGCATCACAAGGCAGGATACTGACCACTGACACCTTTTCTCCTTTACATCTCTGCAGTCCTGCTTCGCACTCACTCATGTTCTGAGCAGCTGCACTTTCATCCTCCCCAACACGGACACACACCTGTGACCCCGGGTTGGAGCAATCTGCAGAGTCCTTACAACGGCATTCATTGGTTTGAGCTGCAAGAATTACAAATGGACAAATGAGAAAAAGGACTACAAATTACAAAACTTTTACTTTAATATGGCCTGTTTTGAACCTCCCTACCGTCACAGGTTTCCCACATGTGACAGTCGTTGCAGCCTGCTGTGCTGCGCTCCGGCCACTCGCAGGCACTGTCCTCAGCTATTGTGTGACTCTTTCCCATACAGCGCAGTGCATGCATTTTGCATACACTCAGAAGAATAGATGTTCCTCGTGCAGGAGAAGTGGCACACATCTCCAAAGATGAACTGGTGGCACAAAGACATCCATGTTATCACTTGATTTGATGAAAAAACTCATATCAAAGTCTTTTCTTTATATTAGAAAAAAAAGGTATACCTGCATTCAAAGGGCATTTTGCAGACACATTTTCCTCTGGCAGACTTCTCCCACGGTTTACATAGCACTGTGGGAGGGGTGAGTTTTTGTGGCGCACTGACTGTGGACACACCAAACAAACAGTGATTAAAAGAAAGAGTGATCATCAAGTCAGTCATAGATGATTTAAATAAACCGACTGTAAAATATACCAGGTATGCAGCTGATTTCTGCAGGGTCAGGTGAGAAATTCTGGCTGGAGTCACAAGAAATTGATTCCGCTCCTCTCAGTTCCTTCCCTGGTGGACAGGATAAAGTGACCATGTTGCCAATGTAATAGTTCCGACTTAAAGGAGTGGCAATCACATCTTCAGCGAGGGACTCAAGCGTGCACCTTGTTGCTGTGGGAAAAAAAAAGTATACTTTGACAAAAAAAAAACTGCAGCAGTTCACAATAAATCTACAACTGTTTTTATTTATTCATTTATTTTTCATATGTAGTTTCTTACGTGCACACAGTCCAGGGCCGTCAGACCAGGTTAGGGCAGCAGTGCATTCAATGATGCCGTCACCAATAAGATACAAACCATCAGTGCAAGTGTACTCCACTCTACTACCCACAAGATAAATGTCCTTAGGATCCTATGGAGCATGTAAAGATAACATGTAGATAAATATTTACTGAAAAAAGGCAGAAATTAAGAGGCTGGTGATACAAAGGCTGTGAGCTTTACAGAGTGAGAGTATAAGTTGGTCGACACATACCATGGGCTGAAACAACACAAAAGAAGAATTACAATGCTTGTGATTGCACATGTTGTTTTTGAACTTTACCAGGATGTAACCATTGACTAAAGCTGGGGGGGTCCCACATTTCTGACTTGCTGGAAGAGTTTGATCGAAGCACTGAGGCTCCATTGTTCTGAAAATATTAGAGTAAATGATAATAGACTTCAAAGATTTAACTGATGGTGCAATTTGAACTCCAAAATGAACTGAATCTGCCTCTGACCTTAAATATTCCAAGTCCTCTTCCTCACAGTCAGACGTTTGAGTGGTCTCTCCAATACAGTGCTGTCCCCCATTCCGAGGTGCGGGATTGGCGCATGAGCGACTTCTTGATCTTTGACCTCCAGAGCACGAAGACCAGGCAGACCAGCAAGCCCAGCTCCCATCGATCACTCCTTTGTAAGCAGAAAAATGGAGGAGGATTGAAAAAGGATTTGAGTACCTGTGACAGCTAATGGAATTTTTTGCCCTATCCACGACCTCAGACTTCAGAGTGCTGCAGCCACCCTGCTTTTCTCGATAGTGATTGGTAAGTCTGCTTGCTCTGTATGCCGAACATGTACTTCTTATTGAGGGAAATTTTACAGGTGATATAAAAACAGTGTATGAGGTATCCCGTCTTGGCATTAGCAGTAGCTCTAGATCTGAGAATTAAACCCTTAAAAGCTAATACAGGAGATCCCCCCTTTCGTTGTTAGGATTGGTCTACGAGGGAGAAGCGATGGATGAGCACAGTGTTGTCTCAAACTATTTTAAATTGTGAGCACCGTGAGAGCAGCATGAGAATAACCTGTACTGAAGGTGTTGTAGCACTCGAGAGGCAGAGAGAAGAAATTATTGAACTGTGATATTTCTGTTTATCTAATAGATGCCAACAGGGCAAAGACAGGGTTGTGAAAACAGTTTGAGGCACGCTTTCTTAGTAGTGAAGAACTGTTGTTACAGTGAAACTCACCCTGCTGACCGCCTGCTTCTGTTCCCAGCTCACAGGCCAGTCCTGATGTGCCGGGCTTACAGAGACATTTGCATTCATCCCCATCCATGACAGCCATACCGTTGTTACTACAGGGCCGACAGTGGCAGGGATCTCTCTCGGAAAGGTACTGCTCTATAGCCCTGCGAAGATAATGCCTCTTCGCACCGGCACACTGCACCTCCTTCACCAGCTCTGACAGAGGCCGCAGCTGCAGAATAAAAAGTAAATGGTAAAGAGAGAGGAACTCGAGAGCGTTGGAAGATTGTATTAATTGGTTTGGTTGGATACTGAAATACATACAAAATTCACAGATTGAGAAGTCTAGGGTTTTATTTTACCTTTTGTTTGATGACTTTTGGAAATGTTCGTACAGAGTCAGCCCAGTTTGAGTACATCTCCCAGTTCCTGTCCGGGTCATTCAAATTCAGTCCCTGCAGTGCTGCAGCGTGTTCAATGCCACCACCCTCAACGTCAACTTTGTTCACCGAATTTGTCCTATGATCTTTTTTTTTTTTTTTTTTTTTTTTTTTTTAAGATTTTACAGGTGATGGAAGTTAGGGAGACAAGCAAGTCATAAAACAAAATCAAATGCTGGTATTTACACTGAAAAGTTTATAACATCCATAAAAGTACCCTGAGACGACCATGAGCGCTGATGATCATCCTTCCTGCAGCTCTCTGATGTGATGGGGAAGAAAAGAACCCAACGTTTGGTCCTTTCACACTCATGATACCGCTCGCTTTCACTGCCTACGAATCGATAGAAAATTAAAAGGAAAAGATAGCAAAAATTTAGTGCCAGAATATAATAGCATGATTGACACTTATACACTCACAGTTTAAAGCTTCTTAGAGGAAGTTTCTTTTTTCCTATTTTGGCATCTCCTGGAGACAATGAGTATTTCTCTCATATTTGTTGATTTTACTTGTTTTAGGTGAGTATTTCTAAGAGAAAACTCTCATCAGCCTTCTTTTATGGTGAAATGCATCACTTAATGGGAATATTTGCTATGGGAAAGTTTAAAGAAAGATGTTTCTAAATGATCCCATCTGGTCACCCCTCAATCATCACCTCACAGTGTCACAGGTTTTCAAAATAAGAATTGAGAAAATACCAGTCTCGTCATTGTAGGTCACAGGGATACATCAATGTGAATTAGAGCTTGTTTCATGACCTGTCAAAAAGTAGTCACTGTCACTTTAAGAAATCTTGATTGTAAAAGTAACATTTTATTTTAATTCTAATAAAGCTTTCACAAATAAAGAGGTTTCTTTTCCTTTTAGACAAACTTTTCTTTGGTTTATACAACAAAGTATTAGGGCCATATTAAAAAAAGAAAAAATTAAGACTTTGAGGTTAAAGTCGTTAACTTACGAGAATAAAGTCATTACTAACAGGAATAAAGTCGTAATAAAGTAATTGAGAAAAAAGTCGTAATAGAATCATTTCTCACGAGAATAAAGCTGTAACAAAGTAATTACTTACGAGAATTAAGTCGTAACAAAGTAATTACTCACGAGAATAAAGTCCTAATAAAATCATTTGATATTTTTGATAATGTGGTGCTGATGTGCCAAAAGATTAAGTATCTCCTTGTTTGAGAAACCTATATTAAAGTACATTTTCACACAATGCTCCATGGCTCTCATTTCAACAACTGTCATCTTAAACAACAGGTTAGAATATAAGGACTTTATTCTGACTTTATTCTCGTAAGTAATTATTTTATTACGACTTTATTCTCATAAATAATGATTTTATTATGACTTTATTCTCGGGAGTAATGAGTTTAATTTGACTTTATTCTCATTAGTAATGACTTCATTCTCGTAAATTAAAGAGTTTAATCTCAAAGTATTAATTTTTTCTTTCTTAATGTGGCCCTAATACTCTGTCATGGGTTTAGGCCACAAAAAAAGCTGATACAGATTTTTAAATCCTTACTCATGATTCTCTCAGTTTCTTCATCAACACTTGCAATGACTTTGAAGGAGCCTCCAAGGCTTCCCTCTGACAGGTAGTGTGTCCCAAACCTCTCCAGGACTTTCCTGTAGGCAGCGTAGTCATAGACTGATGGCAGTTTGGCTAGTGCCTTCCAAAACTCCTCAGATATGGGGAGGTACCGAGGAGAATTGCTCTGGAACTCAACCACCTCGATGTTGTTCTGTAACACTAAAAGTTTGTGGGTCTGGAAAGAGACAAGTACATGAATAATAGTAATATCTTCATTCCTAATTGTCTGATCAATGTACAGTGTCATTGTTTTAGCTTCCTACACACCTGAGTCCTGTCCTCCGTCTGATGAAAGTCATAGTTGTGAAATCCTGTTGTTGTCCCAGACGCTGTTTCTCTGCGTACCGTGTCCTTTGCATAGTGCCATTTACTTGTGTACACCTCATCACTGAAGTCATTCTTGACTGTGACCTGAAAACAGCATCAGTCAGACATACAGTAGCCCGTGCATTACTGTTTTTAAAAGGTTTAATATTAATGTTTCACACAATTGAGCGATATACAATTCCTGATCCCAAAGGATGCAGAACTAAGGTAACTTCAGCACTTATTGATATCAGGAGTAAATGCAAAGATTGTATATTATTGGTTTCATAGATATCAAGACATCCTATGAGGTGGGGGAAAGTCCCTATGTTGCAAGTCCAAGTCAAGTCCAAGTCCTTTGCTCTCAAGTCTCGAGTCAAGTCCAAGTCAACACAGACAAGTCTCAAGTCAAGTCCAAGTCCTTACCGTTTCTTTCAAGTCAAAAACAAGTCATATCAAAGCCATAAACCATTTGTTATATGTAAAGATTTACATAAATCAAGGGCATTTTTCACTGTTAGCATTTATTGTTAAACAAGGGTTCTTGTTTGTGTTTAGTTACATAGTGCAGCTTTAACCAAACTATTTTACATGTCATACAAAAAATAATCAGATAAACTTCAATAATTGGAAACTTAGACAATATGCACAAAAATAAGGGAGACTCAAATACAATTAAACATTAAACTGATACTCTAATTCACTGTTCCAAAACAAAACAAAAGAGAGACACAAGGCAACACATGGAAACAGGTGGGCAGTACTAGCGAGCGATTTATGTTCAGTTCTCCCGGTGTTGTCGTTATGAGGGAGGCTAGAGCTTGAGACAGTGTTGCCAAGTTTCATAAGAGAAATAAGGAAACAGACTTCCAGAAACAAGCCAAAAACAAGCAAATTTTTTTTGCGGGAAATAAGCAGACTTGGCAACACAACATGGTGTTACCAACGGCAGTAATTCCTGACTATTAGTTGATGCGACACTTTTTAAATGGTTTGGGCTTGCTGTAAGGTATTAAGTGACTTGAAAAGACTTGACTTGACTTTTCAAGTCACTGGGCTCAAGTCAAGTCAAGTCTCAAGTCTTTAGCAATCAAGTCCCAAGCGAGTCCAAGTCATTTCTGGATTTCATCAAGCAAGTCAAAAACGGGACTCATGTCCAAGTCGAGTCTTGAGTCGAGTCGTCAAGCCCCCAACTCTGCTATGTAATACATAACTCTGTGGACTTCAGAGATGGTTGTTGTCACCACCCCTTTTTTAAGCCTTGAGTTCAGCATTTAAGCCATCACCATATTAGATATTAACAGTTAGAGGAGTACACATTAGGATTACATGGTTGCCAGGTCTGCCAGGTTGTGGGGCTTCCTCATTGATCACAGGAAAGCCCTGAAGCTAACACTGTGGTAATTCTACTATAGATCAGAGCACCCCGTCCATCCATCAATTCATTACCTTCAGCACTAAAAACATTACAGCATTAGACATAGACTGGAGCCAATCCCAGCAGTCATTGGGTGACAGGCAGGGTACACCCTAAACAGGTTGCCAGTTTCTCACAGTGCAAAAATAACATACAGCCAGATAACCAGACACCCTCACATCTATGGGCAATCTAGATTGGCTAATAAAAATATCAGTTTGGTCTCTACCTGCTGGCAATTATAAAGAATGCATGTCCAATTATGTAGCATCACTTTTAAAACCAGAGGCTATGTCTGCTTCTTCTACAACCTACAGTTTATGGCTTAAGGAAGGTGTCAAACCCATCAACGTATCTTTGCAGTATTTACCAAAGAAAAAACAACACCAAATATTTCTACAACAACTAACCTTGTAGCTGAATTTGAGTGTGCTGAGGGGCAGTCTGTAGACAGCGTTGTGGAACCAAAAGGTCCGGCACTGGCCCCCAAAGCTGTTTGTGTTGATAACACTGGCCCTCCGCTTTCCTGTTACAGCATCAAACCTACAAACGCAGAAAAGGCCCCACTGGTCAGAAAATGGTTCTTGCTTATGTGTCCTTGTAGCCTTAATGTTGCCAAATCTATTAGCCGCTCTCAGGGGCGAAGCACCAAATTCTGGGTCCTGTACACTCTCAATGTCAGTGGGCCCCTATCCATGCCAATGCATGAGGTGCGTGAGCAAAAAAAAAGACCTATTTACCAAAGTGTAATGGTCTGGTGATGCCAGTCTAGTTTCCATATATTGTTTTTTGTAACAAAACTTCTTGAGATTTGTCACTTACCCAAGTCCCAGGAGGTTCATATTTGGTGGTAAGTCCGTGCTTGAGCATACCATGTATTTTTTTATTTCACAGACACGTTCATCAAGGCCATCTCCCTCACAGTCTACATCCCCGTTACACAGCAAAGACCGGCTCACACACTTCCCTGAGGATCAAAAGTTGGACAGATTGATCGGTGTTTCTAATTGCACTCCTTATGGTTGTATGTTTTAGCTGAGGTTCGGTTCTAACCAGATCCACAGCGAAACCGGTCTCCACATCCATCCTCTAGAGGGCAGCCTTTGGTGGTTTCACACGACCTCGTCTCAGTACGTTCACCATCACAGGGGTTTCCACCAAACTGAGTAAACACCATCATGGATCTGCTTCTGGTCTGTAACAAACAACAAGATGACCAAGAAATCTTTAAAAAACATTTGTGTGGAAAAAAAAGGTTAATATCAACCTTTAACTTGTTAATTTTCAGTGCTGACAGATGGGATGATCATTCAAAGACATTTTTTCATCTCCCTGACCTGTAACTTGGTGCAGCCATCACACTCGGACCAATCACCAAAAGGCCCCCACTGGCAATCAGCTCTCTGGTAGCAAATTCTTCAGAAAAGGTTTGAAATTTGATGAATTTAGCAAACAAAACAAGATGATCATTGTAAACTTGGGTCATTTACAGCTTTTAACAGTGAAACACTTAAAAAAAAGATAAATAAATAAGAAAATCGGATTTACCCTCTGTCAGTGAGCAAGAGCAGCAATGGTACCACTGTGAAAAAAGTTTGTTCAGTATCCTAAAGGAGGGAGGGGAAAGAAACAGACATGGAGGAGACATACGGTGGAGGAGGTTTAAAAGTAAACTCACAAACAGTGTTACATGAGTCAGATCATAGCTGTCAAATACCTCAAATAACATCTTTTAAAGAGTCTTGTTTTTGAGTCTAAAAGCTCCTTACCTTCATGATGACTGAGGAGATGCACAAGGCAGAGTCCTGAAAGGGGCCAGATCCTGGTTATTTATACCATCAGTCCTCTTGGTACGGGAATTAGGGCCTTTAGTGATCTTTCCGTGGAACTCATACCGATGCTCTGGACTGCAGAGAGGAAAATATTTTTACCCCCTCCCAGCTTTTCCAAAGAGGTCATACTGAAACTAAAACTAAGTGTTCTTCATTCCTTTGAGACATTTCCTGCCTGTTTTTGCCAAAAGAGCTGGACTGTTTTTAATAGTTTGGGTCCCCTCAGTTTTGCTGGGTCAGCTTGGAGTCCTTACATATTGCACAAGAGTTAAACATCTCACGCCCCTTCTTGATAACGACTTTTACCGAGACAGCAGCCTCACTATGCCAAAATATTACTGTTGCGCAACATTTGTACACCACACAAAACAATTTGTATTATTCAAACTCACTCCTTTAATCCTCTGATTGACAACTTTAAATGTTCCTTTCTCATAGGCTAAAACTAAATATCCTTCAACTTCATCTTTATTATTGTCCTGAAAATTTAAAATTTGATCTACAGTGGGCAAAATTATAGAGTCTAAACATTATCAACTCCAGATACATGTGAAATCTCACATTAAAAAAGCAACAACTAAGCAAACCCAGCTTTCTGGGTTATAAATGTGAATGTAAGTCTACTTTTTAAGGTATTAGTGTATAACAGTGAAAGCTGAAATTAGAGAGATGTTGGAACTAAAGCTAATAAGATGCGATGTCGTCAAGCCGACACTGGAGGGCAACAGAGATGTAAGAACTGATTCCCCTCAAAATCTAAGATGTGATTCAAGGCAGAGCAAAGCCATGGATTTATCATAATCTCAAAATCAAAATGCTGAGAAACCTTAACAGGACTTCTGCGTTTGTTAAAAAGGACCTCTGTCTGCAGTGCACAGAGTAATATCAGATTTTTACAGTCACTGGGAAGACAGAGAGGCGAGATCATGAAGTCACAGATTAAAAGAAACTGTGAAACTGCAGATGGACATTTGCTGTAGCTATAAACTTGAGAATCTCTGATGCATAGTGAAAGGTACATCCATAGTTGGATTTAAATTCAATGTGTCTGTCTAAAAATGGATGTGTCGCCTTCTGTATATCTGCCATTATACACAACAGGTGGCCATACTGTGCAAATGCTTCTCGTGCTGGCAGCTCAGAGGGGAACAACTAAATTTGAACGTTTGAATGTGAAATATGCCCGTCACTTTTAGGAACACTCACACGAAACACTTCAGTCCTGTATCCATATTAAGGATGTCGAATAAATGTAAGGCTTAATATAAAATCACTTGCATAAAAGGTTTATTGAACTGTGCTTTCAGATGCATAACATAGAGGGAATCAGAGAAGAAATCAGGAAACAGCTTACAGCAATGTAGTAACTGAGAGGTACTTCGTTCTCCACCATCATCTCCGATGATCAAATGGACAGCCAGCTGTCTATCTAACAATACAGAGCAGTATTCTTTAATATGGCACCAGTGTACATCAATTTGAAGTTACATCTGTCACATACAAGAGAGGGTCTTGGTAGAAAGATCATTCTTGGTTCTACTTTACATGAATATTATGGTAACACTTTCCAATAACCATAATTTAAAAATGGTAACTAGATAGTTTATTAATGTTAAATCATCATTTAAAAACAGCATATTGACCAGTTATAAATGTCAAATAGATAGTTTATTAATTTAGGTTAATTGTTACTTTACCATAAACAAGCAATGAAATTATTAAAGGTTTATATAGAGTTTAAATATTGGTTGTGTGTCAGTAGCACTTTGTAAATGGTTAATATTTGTTTTTTTTTAAACCATCTATAAACCTTACTTAGATGGTTTTTGTAAAGTTAGGGTTAGGGTTGGGTTTTTTAAATTGTAAAATGTACAATTTATCAATGGTCTATATGCTATTTATAAATGATGATTAAACATGAATAAACTATCTGCTTACCATTTATAAATGATCTATTTACCATTTATAAATTATGGTTATTGTAAAGTGTTACCAATATTATCCTTACATTCAAGATTATGGAAGTGGTTTGTTCATGACAAAGTTCCCTTCAAGTTCTTGAAATTAAAGAACAACGTGCTTTATGCGTAACGGTCAGAGATCATGACTTCAAATGACCACTCAATGCTAAATGACTCAGCAGCGACTGTACAGCAGCAAGCCAAGTCCCTGCACTGCAGGCTAGAATAACAGTTGGCTCAGACAATAGGCCACCAGACCGTGCCCTCCATTAGTGCTGCCTCTGTGCCTGTCATGATGTTCAGAGGTCACGTTTGATCTCCATCTGCCCTTCAAGTTTGGTCTGCCAGAGAGCGACAGTCTGTCGGGCTCAGACAGAAGAGCATTCATTCAAACGAATATGCAGCGTATGTGTTGACTCTCCTCCAGGGTAAGTTGGAAACCATATTTGATCATGTTTGTTATCAAAGTGAAGTGTGCTCTGAGAGCATAGAGGTTGGAGCGAAGGCTAATCTGATACACACAGGAAATTTAGCCAAATATCACTTCTGTTGGGTTTTACTATCTGGCATAAAGTGTAGAAAATTATCAAAACTACAAGGACAAATGTGCATCGATGATTTCACTGAACATTATCAACAAGACACCTCGACCAATACTGCTTAAGAGGCCGCAAGTTCCTCAGTGATATACAATTTAATTGGAGCAAAGAAAGAAAATAATGCAGGGGTTGTGGCTCTATTCTGAGTTTTATGAAAGAGGATTAGGGACACAGGAAGAAAAAAAAATATAGGAGGGAGATTTTTTAAATTTCCATTCAGTCAGATTAAAGTTGAAATTCCGGGATTAAAGTCGAAATTAAAAAAAAAAAAAAAAGACGAAATTTTGACATCATTCATTTTAACTTTAATCTTGCATTTTCAACTTTAATCTCAAATTTATTTATCTTTTTTAAATTTCGACATTATTCACGACATTTCAACATTTTGTAATCTCAAAATTTCAACTTTAATCTCGAAATTTCTATTTTAAATCTCAAAATTTCCACTTTATTCTCCTTCCTGTAATTATATTTTTCTCCTCATGCGGCCCTAATCCTCTTTCATAAAGTTTAATAACTAGATCTTGTAAACCAGGAGGTGAAAATTGCAAAATTATCAGCTGTTTTGGTGAACTTCATTCAAATGACAGTCCTGAGAGGTGAAGCTTCTGTAATGCACTATGAACATTGCTCCATTTGTCAAGTTTTACCATCAATAACCTCTAACAAGACTGATGATTTGAAGATTTAGATATCATATTTTATTTCTGCCAAAAATATTGCACAATTTCTTCTAACTCCACTCTTCACTTTGCAAGTTCTAACAATCATCTTGGATTGTTGTTTCCTTTAAAGGGCAAATTGCCACACATTGTGTCATACACCCTCTTGAGTAGCTGGTGAAATCACTGGTGAAATCACTCCCCCTCCTCGTTTTTCACTCCAAATTTACAAAAAAAAAAAAAAAAACGGTACGTTTGGTTGCTGCCTCTTTTTAAGCTGTCTGAATTCCATCATCCATCTCTTCCTCCTCCTCCGTCTCTTACTCCTCCTCATCTGTGAGTCCGCCTGCGTGATCGTGACACAGAGAGACAGACCAACACATACACTCACACATGCATAACAACACAATAATAACACAGTGCATTTGCATTTTATCACTTATCCAGTAAATGACTGTTTTAAGGGAATCCAAGGACATAAATTACAGCTTTTTTCTTGTGCTTTTCCCTCAGCTGTAATACTGTGATGTTAAATCAGAGCATTCACAGCAGCTAATTTTCATCTGTTGAGCTAGCCTGTGGTTACCAACACAACATTCCTGTTACACTCAACATCTTTAAAAGAAGTGTGTGTGCAATTTACACATCCATGCTGCTTCTTACAATGTATTCAGTGGTCTGTCTTTTAACAGGTTTATTCAGCAGTGGTAGTCTGTTTGTTACACTGTCCTTTCCAGCACTGGGATATTTGGAGTCCATGAGTCAGGGCTAATCGAGTTTTTGAAGTCAGTCTGCCTTTACACATTTGTATCCACTCACGTATGTGCATGGTGTCTGTATACCCATAAATAAACAGATGATACCTCCAGTGTCCAATGCAGGGCAGTAAATCTTTTTATGTATGAACAGAAACTGGACTGTAGCTATAGAGGAGAGGCTAATTTCGTGTGATAGCCAATAAATCTGAGTGCACTTAAAGGGATATTCCGGCGTAAAATTAAGTTAGGATCAAACACACCATCTCACTACATGGAAATGCGATCAGACCGAGACGCTAATGCAGAAGAACTACCGCATCTGCAGTGCAAAATGATTAGTATGGTGATTATAACTTCAAGGAAATGATAAAGTAAGGATCACAAATGTTCTTCCTTGAGCTGCGTCACTCTGCTGCAGTCAAATTAAAAAGATGTTTGGTGGCTAGTACTATGGCTGGGACCCTATATGTACTGTTGATGAAGTTAGGTTCTGTTCTGAGCATTATTTGTGGCTATAGAGTGGCGTTTTGGTTGAGCATGTGGCTCTCTGTATTGTTATCCTGTGGTCGTTACTAAAGTTGGTATAACTAGAGAAGCAAGCAGTTGGCAACATTCATCTCTTGATGTGGTGTCTTTCTCGGTGTTATGGTATGTTTGACCCTACCTTAGTTTTACGCCGGAATATCCCTTTAATCCCAAATGGACCAAACAGCAAGCGCCATGTTATACGGTTTAACATACATCACTGAAGTTCAAATTTTTGTATGTGCTTGAGGTGCATAACAGACCTAAATATACGAGCAGGAGGAGTGAATATCATGGAATATATGAATAAAATATGTGTGAATATCACATAGGAATAAATGGATTCCTGGTTGACCTCCTCCATACTCACACATAAGAGATAACAAGGTGTTATTCCTGCAACATTTTCAGCATTTTCTTGGACACCATTTGTCTGTTAGGTATGATAGAGTTTTCAAGTTTGAAATTATGTGTAGAGCATTGACTGTATATACTATGGACAACTTGATTCCTCCTTCTGCCAGTATATGGATTTGAAGCTGAAAAGCTCTCAGTATTTCTGTGATTTTTCTTCATTTTATGAAACCAACATTGCGCAGTAGCATTGTACACACTCCACCACTACGCATTCAGCAGGAGAGTTGTTGTGATGGCACTCGGCTCAAACAGCGTATCTCCTGGGTGAGCTACGCAATCTTCGCATGCCGGTAGGCTGTATCAAATATCAATCATAGAAAACATGAACCCCTAATAACTTTCAAAAATGGTCTTACTGTAACTACATGTCAACACCGCAAGCAGGGGGGAGAAACATTTATATTCTGTGTAATAAATTTCTAAAGTTTGTCTGCAGCCCCATACGCTTTGTTGAGGAGGCAGGATTTATGACCTGTACTGCAGCCTGTCACCAGTGGGTGATAACAATAAAAGTAAAAATACCCCAAAATATAACTAAAAAAAAAACTAACAAAAAAGTTAGCCAAGTAGAGTCAACAGTAATGGGGGTTGTTCAGCAAGTCTTAGGAAATGTTGCACTTTGTGTTACAGGTGTAGTGTGTTTAATTTTTTTCTTGTTAACTTTGAATGAGCCTCTTATACTCAAAAAGAAATGAGTTCCCCTGCGGCTATGTGAGAAGCACTGCTGGAAAGATGAAGAAGCAGAAAATTATTGTTTTGTGCAAACTGATTGGGATTGATTGGTGTTTTTGATGGTAAGAGCTTGACAGATGCCAGCTCGTAGTTACAATGCATCACAGGAGCTTCTAGTCCTTGAAGGCCTCTCAGCTCCACTGATTAGAGGGAATGTTTTAGTCTTTCATCTGATCACTGAGTTTGTGAAAATGTCAACTTCTACTCCTTTAACTAGTTGTCTGTCTTTGAATGTAGACAACATATTTCAGGACATCACATACAGTCCAATATCATTATTTTAGGGGAATCTTTTCTGGTCGCATAGATTTCTTTTTAACAAAACTACTTTATGTTTTAAAGGTCATAACTAAGTGAAATACTTTTTTAGTACAGTAAAATGTACGCAGACACAAAACATTGATTCAATGGTGACCCCACTAATCTTCGAGTCCTCATCCTAAGCAACACCTGGTTGTAGGATAGAAAGCAGATGCTATGGAACAAAATGCAGTCTCAGAAAGTCACCCTGAGTGCTGTTACCCACCCACCTCTATCCTCATCACCCTGGAAACAGGATCATATTTCTCAAAGAAGGAAAAAAAAAGTTTTTTACAGTTGTATTTGGTGACTGAATTAATTTAAAGTTTCATAAAGATAGTTTCTTTAATGATAGTTTTATCTCACCAACCGGGCAGGAACTGGTCATGAAAGAAAAACTTCATTATGTCTCTCATGAGGCATTGAAGCTTTATTTAATCAGAGATTTTCCACTAATAACAGAGTCACTTCTATTCGAACAAAAGTTTTGTGTTTTACAACAGCAAAGGACTCTTTTCACACCAGAACATAAAAAGCAATGACAACCGTTTAGACAAGGGAAGACACAAAAGTCCACAACTTGCAAGTCTTTTCAAGTCTGCTCATTTGGGTGGGTACAGTCTTTACATGTGTAGGGTCAGAGCAGTGCAACATTAGAGAAATAACTGATTTGAAGATTTTCCTTAAAGGGTAAAAACATTTCAAGCTGAGGTGAACTCATGCTCTAAAGAACAATATGCAGATTAACTTAAGAAAGAAAATAGATGAACAGACCTGAAGTACCAAGTTGGGTCTCAACAAAAGATATAGATATATACTTTTTCAAAGTTCATGCACAAAACAGAAAAAAACAAGAAGCAGTCTGATTATTGATTAAGATTTAGGTTAAGAAAAAGTTATTAATGACTATTTGCAATCATTTAAATAATTTACAATTTATCGGCAGTATGCTATCTTCAATTACAGTATGTACAAACTTTCCACGATATAAAACATTTGAACATTAAACCACATTGAAGTGAAAGAAGTACAGTTTGACCTTTTCAACATGTATTCATTATTACATTAAAGCGTACATTACAAAAATGACTGTCCAGCTGATGCCCAACCACCTGATCAATAGATCACATGAAACCTTTAAAATGGCACATTTACTCACAAGACACATACATTCACGAATTAGAAGAGTTAAGTTCCCCAATTTGGTTTTACATTACCAAACTATACAACAAGGTCCCTACAGAAGAAGACATTCTCTGCAGGAAATGCCACACTGATTGATCAAAAGGTGTGGTGATGCATGTTTTTATGCATAACGCATCGAACCTCATGTTGAAATACGCGGGTGCCATTTCAGTGTATATCTCCAGAAAAATGTACTTAACATAAAACAAAGTCCATGTAAAGATCCAGTATTGGTGTGAACACTTAAAAACATAAAACATCTAATGAAGTCGACACCAAAGAGGTGGATCGTTTATTTTCTATGTGTCAGAGCACAGCTGTTACATCAACACATCCTGACTCAGAGTGAAGTCCGTCCTCTGTTGAGTTGAAATAAAAAAGGTCTTTGAATGACTTGAGGAACTTTATCACCTCTTATTATGAAAGACACAACACCATAATACATCTGATGATGACTCACATATACTACAGCACAGCGGTAACTATAGACACACACACACACACACGCACACATATGGGGAGCAAGCGTTCTGCGGAGGAGACACAGACAGTGGATAGACTCTGGCACCCAGCTGTACTGTATTTTTATACTTAGCAATCACGACTCTGCACCCACCACACAACCTGATAAATTTGTCACGCTTTGCCTAAACTATTTGAAACGACTGGTAGCACTGATTGCATTTCCATCTGTCCAGATCAAATCAACAGGAAAATTACTTTTGTATTAAAATGCAGAAAAGTTTAAGTGCACATAACATAATTTCAAAGCCTGATCTCAGTAAGTTTTTCTCTACAGAGACAGAATAAAGACTTTGACTGTACACAAAAGGGTCTGATCGATGTCTAAGTCTACAGCTGACTTCATGGAGTCTTTTCAGATGAAACACATATAAAAAATGGTTGATTTCTGGTTCACACGCTGAAATACACTGATATAGCACTTTTTAAAACACACTTTGCGTTCAGTCTGTGTATTTTAGAAAACCGAGGATGCATATTGCTGGAACTCAAAACTTCTCTCTGACAGTTTTCCAAACAGGCGAAAGAAAATGCTATCTAACTGCACCAGCCTACATTTTAATGGGATTATTTAGAAACTGTCACAGTTACTTGATTACTGACAGGGATGTACAGTTAGCAGGAAGTGGGTTTATTTAAGAAAAAAAAAAGATCACACATGGAAAAACAATTATCCCAAAATTGGAAACAAACAAAACCTATTCTCTCTTTGTGCTCCACATAAACATCGACCTCGCTTCTCCAACTTTAAACTCTTCTGACATCAGCCACCTTTCACAATTCGATCTCTCATTTCACTATAGCCCTAAAGAAAGTGAAAGGAGCCGTGCAGCTCCTTCCATGAAATAAATGCCAAAGAGAAAAGTGTGAGAGCGCACACCAATCCACTGGAGGTGCCTGTGCTCCCCGGGGCGCCCTTCCCCTCGCAGTCCCTCAGGTGGCATCATCTTCATCATCATCCAGGTGATAGTTGAGGGTGATGACGGCGCTGATAAATTCTCCGAGCTCCACAAAGTCAGCTGTGATAATGTTGATGCCGCTTTCCCCGGGTCTCTGTGACCGGATCCACTGCATCATCCCCGGCAAGGCTCTGGTAGGATGCAAGGAAACACAAGCACGCACACACAGAGGCGTCAGAGTGAAAGAGCAGACAGAGGAGGATACAGTCAAAAAAGACGTAGATGGGGTTGAAAAAGGGTCTGATTTATGGTCGGCTGGTTTGACAGAGAGAGGGCACGCTGTGATAAAAGACCTCTGTGGCACAGCATGGAGTATCTGCAAGCCGGCCACCAGCTGTGAGGATGACACTGTGAACAGATGCTGGTCATGTTCATGTGATCTGTGCACCAGGGCAGGATAATACTCCTGCATGAGCCTCGTCCAGTTTTCTATACAGTAAAAGGCTGATCCAACATGGCAAAACAAATACGGGGAATTATTAGAGATGCCTTTATCAAAGTAAGGAAACGCCTGGTGGGAACGGCAGAGGAGCTATCACATGAATTATTCATGGGGAAAAAATTGATTGTTTTGCTGCTGAGGCTTTTACAAAAACCAGTGACATTAAGAGAGAATGAAAAACAAAGCTGAAGGTAAATGATATTCCCACTAAGAACTGAGAAAATGGAGAAGTAAGGGGGCTCGAGTTGTGCAGTGGAGTATGGAGTATTTTAAAACCATACTTGATCAGAAGCACAGATTTTTAACAAAAACTGGTTTCAGCAGAAGTGAAATTCAAGTATACTAATAATACTCTGAAAGTCTTTAAGTATCGGATATTTACTGTGCTTAAAGCTCTTGAGAGGTGTCTTCTTGTTGTTGTTTTGTGTTGTTTCTATCATCTCTTTGGGACCAAGTGCTACATCCAATCTCTTTGCTGAGCCTATCCTTTACATGTTTAGCTGTTTCCGACAAATACATCCTGTCCTGCCTTTTCAAACAGCCAAATGTATCACTCTGTGAGATCTTTTTAGCTGTGTTAAATGTGTTTTTGTTTTGCAGCATGCTGTTCCACATCAGATCTAAGAAAACATTGTTGTTTCCACTTTCATTGTATGTCTTTTCTCACCATCTTGTGGTAATAGTCCAGACTCCCTTTGCATCTGGACTTAAGAATTAATTTAGTATCAAACACACCGTAACACCGAGTTAAACACCCCCTCGAGAGATGAATGTTGCAGACCGCTTGCTTCTCTAGTTTTACCAACTTCAGTAACGACCGCACGATAGCAATACACAATGGTCTAAGGAGCCAGGCGCAAACCTCAACCAAAAAGCCACTCTATGGCCACAAATAATGCTCAGAACAGCACCTAACTTCATCAACAGTACATATAAGGTCCTAGCCATAGTACTAGCCACCAAACATCGTTTTAACTTTGCCTAATTTCTTTAGCAAATAGACTTAATACAACTCACCATCTCTCTTCCAGCAGCCACTTTTTTGTAGCGAGACCTTGGGCCAATCCATCATGACTGCAGTGGAGTTTCACAGCTCAAGGAAGAACATTCATGATCATTGATTTGTGAAAATGCAATCAGATCGAGACACTAAGGCAGTAGAACTACCGTGTCTGCAGTGCAAAATGGTGATTATTACCTCAAGGAAATGTTAAAGTAATGATCATAAATGTTCTTCCTTGAGCTGCAGCCCCCTGCCTCAGTCAATGATGGACTGGTCAAGGTCTCGCTACAAACAAGCAGCTGCTGGAAGAGAGTAGGAAGATGTTTGGTGGCTAGTACTATGGCTGGGACCCTTTATGTACTGTTGATGAAGTTAGGTGCTATTCTGAGCATTATTCGTGGCTATAGAGTGGTGTTTTGGTTGAGCGTGTGGCTCCTGAGACCGCTGTGTATTGCTATCATGCGGTCATTACTAAAGTTGGTAAAACTAGAGAAGCAAGCAGTTGGCAACATTCATCTCTTGGGGGGGTGTCTAACTCGGTGTAATGGTTTGTTTGACCCTAAATTAAATTTACGTTGGAATATCCCTTTAAGCCAGAGTTGGCTGACTTGAAATCACTTGTTGCATGGTTGCACATGATTTATCTTGCTTCTTCTTTTTCTTGGAAGTTTTCACACCAATCGGCATCCTTAATTTTTAAATTACAGGTACCTTCAGTTTTGAACCTCTTAATTTCCACTTCATAGACCACCAATTTTCTCCTGATGTGAGTACCAAAGGTTCTTTGGGGATATTATCAAAGTACACGCACATGTTTTATTAAGTAAAGTGGCAGACTAAATGTGAAAGAAAGTGGCAGAAATATAAAAACTCAGTCAAGCTAGATGGATATTCCCAGAAAGTACTTAAGTACTGTCACAAGGAACCTTTACTCATTATAAAAGCTTTACAAAGAAAGACAATGTAAGACGCCTGGAGATACCTGCCTCTAAATTGAGTCCCGAAATGTCACAGTGACTCACTTGGATGTTGCTGCCAGTAAATGTTTTTTTAATGTCTGGTGTTGTGGGTAATCATGTCATTTCTGTCGCCTGAGGTGTTGCTGTAGTTTCAGCTCGACAGTCTCGGTAACGTTGTTTGTCACGATTTGAGCTAACCCTGCATCTTTTTCAGTGTCATACTCAACATGAACATAGCGTGAATTTAAAACATGTATTTGCTATTCACACACATGTCTCACCTTTCTGTGATTGTCTCTCTCAGTCCGCTGGCCACGCCCTTCATGACAGTGCTGGCCTTTGGTGTCAGAACAACCTGGGAGACAAAGAAGGTCCCCTTCCTCCTGCAGGGGGACACATCAAGCTTTTAAACAGTTTTTCATTTCCTTTTCTGCATTTTTATCTATTTTTATCTATCTCTAAGTATTTATGCAAAGTACCTAGTGCTATCTGAGCAGAGCTGTGCTACTCATATTGAAAAACCCTGATTGATTTTTGCATAAAACTGCTGTAAGGGCCCACACAGAAACAAAATCATTTTATAGTGAGAAATAAACTTTATATGCAAATATATGACTGTTTTTTGTGTGTCTATTGCATTCACTTTTATTGTTTGGATGGGTGATTCTCTACAGCAGAGAAAATGTACTTTGTAACTACAAACTTGTTGGTGTTGGTGTAACATCCCCTAAGATTTAAAGACGTGTGCATGTTAGTATTATGACAAAAAAATCTAATTAGACTTTTATGCATGTATCGGATTTTATATAGTGTTTTATCAGTGACCCTCAAAGTGCTTTACATTGGATACATCATTCATTCGCTCACACAGTCACACCCTGGTGGTGGTAAACGACCTTAGTCACAGCTGCCCTGGGGCAGACTGACGAAAATGTGGCTGCCAATCTGCGCCAACAGCCTCTCTGACCACCACCAAACATCTCTCACAATCATACACCAGTGGACGACACACACTGGGAGTAAGGTGAGGTTAGGTGTCTTGCCCAAGGACAATAAAGCACCAAACACAGATTATAACCCAAACGTCAGGCTCATATTTACATAAATGTAGGCCCTGACCTGCGATCAGTGACAGATGCCTGGAGAAACTGCACCAGCTTCTCTGGGTCAGTGGTATTGGCCCAGGGAGAGGGCATCATCTGGCCTGGCCACAAGAAGGGCACCTCCAGAGCCATGGGGTGGTGGTAGAAAACAAGCACTTGATACTCCTTCTCCCACAGGTACTGCAGGGTCACCTGGAGAGGGAGGGAGGGAGGGAAGGAGGGTTATGTTAAAGCAAGAAGTGAGAAAACTGGGAGCTAAGCTTACGAGAGTGAAAGAAAACTTTACTAAAGATGTACAAAGATGTATAACTTTAGCATAACCTGCTCCTGTTGGCTTATACAGTTTAGATTACAAATGTTATTTGTCAATTTTAGATTTTAAAAACTGTAGTTCATGCACACCTGAGGGTGAGAAAGACTGAGATTCGGTGAGCACGGATGCATTAATTTTTTACACCTTTCAATTATTACTGAAATTAATTTAGTCGTAACACCAATAATGAACTCTGGAAGAAAAGTAAACCTTATACAGAGCTGGTAAGGATACATCCACAGAGTTGCAACAAATCGGGATAAAGCTCCTATTATGCCCTTATCTGGTGAAAATGTAAGTACTGAAAATGCGACTGCTTTGCTGCTCATGTTGCATGCTGAAAAAAGTTTAAAATTAAAGGTCATGGATGAGAGAGGTTGCATGAATTGTAGAAAAGCTAATGCTAAACATAATGATTTTCTGGAAAGTTTGTAAATGTTGGTACAGCGTAAAACATATCCTATACATTGTGAAAAAAAAACACCAAATGAACATGAGTATGCTGTATAATAGGGCTGGGCGATATGGCCTTAAATCAGTATCACGATATATTGAGCAGTTCACCTCAATAACAATAAATGGATGTCAACTACTCCACAAGCTGCTCACCCCCTCCCACATTAACTTTGTCTACTTCAGCCGCCGCTCCAGCCACTACAACTTTTGAACCGTCCTCCATCTCTTCACCTGTCTTTCCCTCTTTGTTACGGACTGGATGGGGTGGAGTCACGTCTCTGATTTAGGACCATGTCTTAAAGGGACATTAGACCATAGCCTACCTACACACATCCAAAACCAACTTTTATTTATTCATTTATTTTTTTGACGCCAAATATACTGACACGGGCAAAATGATGTTGGTTACTGTTATAAATTTCAGTATCAGTAAATTTTGGTTTTATCGCCCAGCCCTACAGAATTATTTTCAAAAAGTTACACCTGCAGGTCTGAAGTGTATCAACATGGGCGGCATAATTTCTGTTTCTGTGACTATACTGATATCAAGGTAGCTTTTATTTAGGACATGAACTGTGAGGTTTGAGTAGTAACACCAGAGTAGAAGAGTAGATATTGTTAAAGCGATGTAGAAACAGAGAAGAGCAGTGAATATGTTTGACATTTGGCTATTCTAAATTTAAACACCACCCTAAATGCCCTCTTCAGCACTGGGAAGAAGTTCATTATTTTCCCAGAATCCACCAGTCACTCTTGGCCTTTTCCTCTTCTCTGCACTTTATTCTCACTGAGCAGCAGTAGCAGCACCTGACAGGAAACTATGATCCGAGAGCGGTGGTGATGATGGCGTGGGAGGTGCTGAAGGGCTAATACTTTTTAAATGTGATCAGTGTTTCTGATGTGCTCTTCATTTGCACTCTGCCCTCAAGGTGGAGAGAGATAGAGAGATGGTGGTGATGCATCAAGAGTAGGGAGGGAGCGGAGACAGATTTTTCTAAAAAATTATGATAATTATTTTGTTTTTTGTTTTTTCCAGCTAGGGGTGCAAAGTGCTTAAGCATTAAAAAACAATCAGAGATATAAAATGCAGCTGTGAAAAAGACGATTCTGAGCATCTACTTGACTTTTATGCAAAAAGGGCACACAGTGAATGGATGTAATAACCATCTCTCTGAATCTCAAGTGATCAAAACACAGAAAGAGAAAACAATAATTATTATAAGCCTTTTAAACACAGACAAATGGATGTGCTCCTGTGATGTGCCTCTCTCAATCCAGAGTTGTTGGGGTGATAGAAGCTTAGACATGGCCGAGGCCAGCTTCTGGGTCACTTAATTCCACTTAATCCTGCACCCTGCTAAGTGTTAAGTGTATTTGATTCAAGCGGTACCTCCTGTGCAAAGACAACGGGGCAGAGTTTCTCTCCGAACACTTCCTTCAGCATGGCCACTAGTTTTTCATGGTGAAGGTTCTGCACGCCGTAGAAGTGGTTGAAGTCCAGGAATACTACCTCTCTGGCATGAGCTGACAGGAAGTTACTGATCTGCTCCAGACCCTCTCTGACCTTGAAAGCATAAAAAATCAGCACATGCATTAGTATAATTAAGTACATCATGATAGAAAGTATCTGAAAAAAAAATTGAGATGCTCTTTTAATCTCTGATGGATTTGTTTTAAAGTGATATTCCGACGTAAAATTAAGTTAGGGTCAAACACACTGTAACACCGAGTTAGACAACCCCTCGAGAGATGAATGTTACCAACCGCTTACTTCTCTAGTTATACTAACTTTAGTAAAGACTGCAGATGGCAATACAGAGAGCCACGCACTCAACCAAAATGCCACTCTATAGTCACAAATAATGCTCAAAACAGCACCTAACTTCATCAACAGTACATATAGGGTCCCAGCCATAGCACTAGCCACCAAACATCTTTTAAACTTTGCCTGATTTCTCAAGCAAAGAGACTAAACATAACTTCCCCACTCTTTTCCAGCAGCCGCTTGTTTGTAGCGAGACCTTGGGCCAATCTATCACGACTGCAGCGGAGTTTCACAGCTCAAGGAAGAACATTTATGATAATTTCTTCATGGAAATGCAATCAGACCGGGATGCTAAGGCAGAATAACACAGTGTCTGCAGTGCAAAATGATTAATATGATGATTATTACTTCAAGGAAATGATAAAGAAATTATCATAAATGTTCTTCCTTGAGCTGCCTCACCCCGCATCAGTCCGTAATGGACTGGCCCAAGGTCTCACTACAAACAAGCAGCAGAAAAAAAGATGTTTGGTGGCTAGTGCTATGGCTTGGATCCTATATGTACCGTTGATAAAGTTAAGTGCTGTTCTGAGCATTATTTCTGGCTATAGGGTGGCGTTTTGGTTGAGCGTGTGGCTCTCTGGCTCTCTGTATTGCTATCCAAAGTTGGTAAAACTAGAGAAGCAAGTGGTCAGCAACATTCATCTCTCAACAGGGTGTCTAACTCGGTGTTACGGTGTGTTTGACCCTAATTTAATTTTACGCCGGAATATCCCTTTAAGCTCTTTCAGATAAATACTCTAACATGCAAGAGCATCACTTGGCAAAATATAAAAAGACCTAAACTCTAAGCTGACCGTGGCACTGAAGAGTCCGTGGGCGAAGAACAGCTCATTGTCGGGGTCACGGGGCTTGGTGGAGATACGCAGGTCAAAGAAGCGGATCCCAGCCTCCAGTTGGCTGTTGAAGTTCATCGTCTGCGTAGCTAACCACTTCCTCATCAGCTTTTTTGCCACCGTGCCAAAAACAGACACGAAGTTCTGCACCGTCTCTGGCTGCTCGGGGCCAACAGGAGACGCCTCATCGATGTAGAAGCTGAAAGAATCATGGGAACCTGGAGGAAAGAAACACAACAAAGCATGAGTGTGCATGCAGGTAGAAACCGCGGCTTGTTTTCATTTCTGTGGTGGGACACAGCTGGAAAAGTGGGGTCAGCACTGGAAAACAGCCTGGCGCCATGGCAACAACACTGACAAAGGAAACAGAAGCGTCCCGGAGTTACAGGTCAGAGTCATGAACTCTAGCAACTTTAAAAGAAGTAAGTGTGTGCTTGCATACACCGATGTTTTTTAGCCATTGTGTTTTTCAGACGGAGCATGTCTCCTGGAGAGCAGAAATAATGTGCTTATTATCTGACATTATTCTTTTATAGCTTAGTGAACCCTCAAACGCACCACTGACAGAGGTTTCTGCCTGTTTTGTTCCTCACTGGTCCTCCTCAATATAAAATCTTCAATAAAAGGTCGAAACTGAACAGCTATGAGTGTTCAATTGTCCTCATTTTTGGTTGGTCTTTAGATTTACTTCTTGACCTTTAAAATAGCAACAACACAAGGTCCATTTCACTTGTTGTTAACAAAGTTACCAACCAGCTCAGTAAAACAAAGATAATCTTCATGTATGCATTAAAACACGCATGATGCCGGTGTTTAAAATAATTTATCTATGAGCTGAGATTTGATGCTTTAGGACTGGTCGTAGTTTCTCCTCTTAAACTGTCACTGGAACATTTCTTACAGACTGCATGTTGCTGAAAAACCTCTGCAGGGTCTGCATTTTCTTTCAGGATACCAGTTTTCTTTTCTGATACCAACTCAGTCCAACAGGTGACCTTTTCTGCTCTCTTCTTCGGACTAACAGTTAGGGACACTAACTTGCAAGCATTAAACTGATGTGATAAACAATGGCTAATGTTTGTGGACTCATAGCACGTTATTTGCAGGCGAGCTGATGTCAGTCTACATAGAAAATATTGGCCAACATCAATGTTTGACTGAATCACCGATGCGTCCTTATTAAGATATATAAAAATTGCCAAAGACCAAGACAACGGACAAACCCCAGCTCCTAAGATGGGAAGGGGAGAGTGGGGTAAGATGAGTCATTTTTCATATTTCGGATCACTACATCAAGGCAATCATAGTTTTGTCTCTAACTAGTGTATCTGCATATATTTCAAGATGTTGTGCATCCCTGAATGAGAACAGAATGAGTGTAAACAGAACTGTCTTGATTATACAGCATGCCAAAAAAAAGTGGTCTAAAAGTTGACCAAAGGAGCGGGGTAAGTTGAGCCATATCCCTACTACCCCACCAACCTCTACCCCAGCCCTCCCTCACCTTCTCTCTCCCTAAATAACAGTCACTTCTTCACATTCATGTGTATTTTTATCTAGTATAATATATTCAACTGGTACAATAATTATTTTTATTATTATTGCATATAACTGCTAAAAAGCTGTTTTGTAAAAAGCCATTTTAACATGAGAATGTCTTTAAGTGATTCAGAACATTCACAGCTGTATTTTTGAAAAGAAAAAGTAACACATTTCAACAATCTGAACTGAAACTCTGATCCTCTCATCAGACTCCTTTACTTTCTCAGTTGAGCCACTGACTCAACTTACCCCAGAACTACTATGATGACTTTATTAGTCCTCTAAGCTAAAATGGTGGACTTTTATTCCTGGTTTTTGACCTCATGGTGTAGCTCATAGATACCACTATAGATGTATAAAACAAATTTAAAATGATCTTTTTTTTGGTCTGAACACAATTCTAATCCTTCACCCATGTGCTTCTAACCTTCACAGACTCCATGAATTGATGCCCATCTCCTAAATATTTGGTCACATGATCAATTTCTTTTACCATTTCCAAGAAACAGGGGGTGGCTCAACTTGTGACCTTGTCCTTCAAGTAAAATAAAGCATCTCACTTTTTCCAATAGATGAATCAGTCTCAATTTCTGATCCTATCAGACAGTGTCAGTTTTTCGGTGCGTCAACAGTGAATCACTCGATCAATTTCAGACCCTTTGAGATTGTTTCAACTCTTCACAAAGGGAAACGCCAATATTTGACATTTGCAATTTTCCTTCAAATTATACACCCCTTCATTATATCACCGACATAAAGAAATGATTATATTAAAGGAACATAGTATACTTACCTATTCAACTCCTGGTTGCAGAAAATGATCCCAGTCATTGTATCATTGGTTTTATTAAACTTTCAGGAGCATTTTGAAAAGGTATAATGGTTTCTTACAGAGCTTTTGTCAGTAAATTCAAAGTATATAATCACCATTGTATCAAATGTAACACAGAGAAAGTGGCATGAGTCAACCTGTAGCCCAGGTATAAGACAGCTATTTCTCCATGCACAGCAAATAAAAAGCACACAAAGCTTTACAAGCAGAATTAGATCGGGCTCTAACTGACGGGGCTGCTGTCTGCTATCACTGATGAGGTGAACATCATACACACTACATACAAATTGAGCTACCACTGGATTTGTTGAACACACCAACTGTTGCCAACCATCTGCATCTCACCACAATTTTAAGAAGACATCACTCTGTTTCTTCTGCAGATAGCAGTTCACAAAAATAGTGCAATGGATTCGACCGAGTGAATGGGATGGGTTTTGTGAAGCTACGAATTGCTGTGTTTTGAAAAGTTTCAGGTTTCAGTGCCTTGAGGTTCACAGAAACATTTCATTTTGCTCTTTGCAGTTTAACTGGCATTCAAGGGACACAAATTATGTATATACTGCATATTACTGTATTAGAGCAGGGAAATACAATTAGTAACTCTGTCTGTCAGAGTGTTGCTGCAAAGGTGAAACAGGTCATGTGTTCTCTCTGGAGGATGAATTGGATGTTTGTGTGTGCGCACAAATTAATGTCAAAGAAATTCTACTATCCTCTTCCTGTCCTCCCGATCAATGCAATCAATTTCCTTCCTTTTCATCGCAATCTCCCACTCCTATGTAAAAAAATGCGTCATTCATCTCAACCACCAAGCACACTCATGCACAGATAGACACAGGGCCTGAGGTGACCTTCAGCTAATACTCCAGTGCCAGGTCTCTGCAGCAGACCCACGGAGTGACCATAAGCAGGGCAGACAGCTGAGTCCTCGGGCAAGGCAGCAAACAGCATCACTACAGGCTGAGCTGTACCACTGGGGTCACTGCGTTACAGTTTGACCTTAACCGTTCGCAACAGCTGCCTCTGTTATTGTTGCAGAGACGCATTTCTCTTTGGCTCATAAGCAAAATTAAAAAAAAAAACAGAAGTAATATTTTTAATCTTGTAGCTCAAGTTTCTTTTTCTCCTAGCAGTGAATAACAAACAAATACATCAGGTTATTCAGAATCAGAATCTGAATCAGAAGGGGGTTTTTATTGCCATTGTCAATGAACAGGATTCACAGACTAGGAATTTTTTACGGCGTGATGGTGCAACATTAAACGGAGAATAATATATAAAATACTAGAATAGAAAATAATAAGAGCATGCAGGACATATATAAAGTATAAAAGTATAAAAATATAAAAGGCTATGTACAGTAAGTATAACAGGCTATGTACAACTACATAATACAGAACAACAGTGCAGTGGGAGGAGTGCAATTAAAAAACCAAGGTACATTAAACAAAAGTGACCAGTGATAAAGTGACAGAGTTAAAGTGACTGAGTTATAAAGTGTTCATGAGTCCAACGGCAGAGTTGTATTAGCTCTACAACAAACATACACCTGATATGGAAGTACATCTCAAGTCGCACAGTTCATTAAAACATTCCTTTATTATCAGGATATGGAAGAAAAGGACAACAGCTCTTAGAAATCATACAACAGTCTCCTATAGGATCATGCAGAAATTTGTGAATGATGCACCTAAGGCAAACTAATAAATTCAGTGTATGTATTACTTAAAAGTACAAACTTAAAATATGTATGACACAAAGCCTGTACCTTATGGCACAGTACAGAGAGGAATACTCTCACAGGAAAATATAGACTTCCTCTTTCCTATGTGTGCTCATCATCTGCAAGAATCTGCAGGGGAAGCTTGCAGCATTCATGCATAATCACATCTTTCTACCTGAGCTACCTTGAGCTTTGAGCATGACTATTTATTGTTTACATCACAGAAGGGTCTGCTTCAGCTGTGCAGATGATGAAGTGTCCCTGCACATACAAATTTTAAAAAATGACTGCGCCTCAAGTGATCTCTCTATCATTTCCATCCACCTGACCAAAAACTTTTCACTAATGACATAGCATAATGTGTAACAAAGGGTTTTCTCCTCTTAAAAAGAACAAGATGAAACAACAGCCAGACAAAATTTCTCTCTCCAAATAAACCCCCCGCTGCGTGTGTAAGACTTGCACATTAATGGTTCTTAAGTTCCAACTGATCATGCTGATTAAAGGTTCATCATTTGCCACTTGCCCAAACTGGCTTGATGACTTTCACTTGGACAGAAAGTCTGAGAAACTATCACAGCAGCTGGCCAGAGCAACACTTTCTTAGAAGCAGGATGCAAACGTCTTCAGCAGCATAATCACATGCCAGACAAGGATGTGAGGATGCCCATGTGGCAAAGATGATGTTAAAAAAGAGAGAGAGAGAGAAAGCGAAGAGAAAGAGAAATGGATTAATGTTGGAACCAGCTGTGACGCCAACAACAGGAAGATTTACTTAATGCTGCTGATGATAATGATGATGACGAAGAGGATGAGAAAGACAAGGTTGGTGGGTGATGATGGTTACTTCGGAGAATTGACCTGTTAACTGAGTCACTGCGGCTGAACAAGAGCACAGCATTCACAGCAACTGGTGGTTTATGCATTTTTCTCCATGAAAAATCACTGCTGTGCACCGGGGACACTTCCAAAACCAATCTGATGATGCTGAGAGGAGAGGACAGAAGATGAGTGGAGTGGAGAAAGTGAGGAGAAAATGGGGAGTAACAGTGTGAAGATGAGTAGAATGACACTGAAAGATGGATATGAGCTCCACACTCCCTCTCCACACTTCACTCTCCCTGCATGGATCTTTTCTCTTAAAATCCTGCTCCTCACATCCACCAGTCTTCTGTTCTTTAAACCTACTTTGTCTCCTGTCTTTTCTCAGCACAAACCACATCCATGTCCGATGGGGCTAACGTGGTTAGAAATGTATAATCAAAATAAATGTCCCCCTGTAGGAAACTCATTTACCAGCTGCCAGCAGCACCGAGGCAGAAGACGCCTCAGTTCTGACAGCCGTATCTCCCTTTTTCTGAGATATTTTGATGAAAGTTTTTACGCAGAAATCTCATAACATTGAATATCTTGACATAAGTTCTTTTACATTATCTTCACACAGAATCTTTAAATGATTCTATGAACTATACTATGAAGTAGATTCTTGCACTAATCCAAAATAATAAACTTAAAGGATAAGCCCAAAGTCAGGTGCAGTGACCTAGGTCAAACCTAGGATGAGCTTAACAGGGATATAAATGGGATCATGACTCTTGGGGTCTTAAAGAAATTTTCAGTATAATCCAGACCATTTTTTTTTGCCTGATCTGGCTGCTACAGATACTGTTTCTTGCACATATTCATTTTGACCAATTTTACCCTCTCCTTTATTGGTTTTCCAATTTTCAGTGTTTTTTTGTTTTGCTTTGTTTTCCTGGCTGTTTTCCAACCCGTCAAGCATCTCGCCGCACCAGTGTTTATCCTTGCGTCTGATACCATTTATCCTTCTTGCTCAAGGGCTTAAGTAGCAGCGGGATGAACTAGTCAAGGGACTGATTGATAGATTTACAGCTTGAAGTCCTTGGCTGGCCTCAAGGGAGCTGACAAGAATGAATATGCCTCTTTCATACAAAGGATTTGATTTTACTGTCAGACTGTCTTACCTTAATACAATTGTTGTCTTCCTTACACCCTGGCCTGGGGTATGTTATTTATTTCTTACCTCAGGTAAAGCCTAAAGCTGTTACACTGAGCTATTGGAGAGGTTAAGCATCTGTGAGCCATCCTCTGCATATCTAACAGGCTGGCTCAGTGTAGGCACGGTCCTAGCTCTATGCTAACCATTTATTTCCTCCATGAGATTTCCATCATTAAATGTAATCAAACCTTTTTCTCTGTGGTAGCAAATAAATCAGTTTGAGTTTCAACCACTGACGGTATACTAAGTGGTTGCCATGCCTCAGTGCTCCTCCCATTTTAAAATGTGATTTATATATGTGACTGCTATGTTACATTTGTGGAGCTAAGGCATGCACAGAAACTGGAATTTTAAGGCCTACTGGAGTTGTCGGACTGACGTCACATCCCCCCTGCTCACCAAAACATGCATTTAACTCACAGATAAAATGTTAAAGATTCATCAAGATCAGTATAAGCCACAGCAGACACACATGGGTAGAAAGAGTCGACTAACTTGTGTGTTAGTGATTATTTTATTTTCTCTCACCATTCCTCATCTACTCTAACCCAGTATGAAACCCTGCAGAAGCCTACATCTGTCACAGCTATCTTTGTATATGAGCAAACTATGATAACAGAAGGGAGGTTTATCTTAATGTCGTTATTTCACCAGCGGTGTTCTGTCTGATAACAGGAAGGGGAGTATTTACCATCTATACTGCAGCTGGTCAGTAGGGGGAGCTCCAAATACTTTGGCTTCACTGCTTGTTTACACTTGTGGCATCATTTTTAATGCACAATATATGGTTTCAACCATAGACTGTATATAGAATGGACGCCCTCTGCCTCCTTGCTGGGTGAGGCCACCCTGACAGCAGCACACTCTAGTGGTGGGCTGCAGAATAGGTCATAAATCCCACCTCTGCCAGCAATCCCTATGGAGCTGTGATCAAATTTTAGAAATTTATTACACAGAATATAATTTTTTCTCCCCCCTGCTTGGGATGTTGACATGTAGATACCAAAATGTGGTATGTGCCAAAATGTTTCAGAGATTTTCTGCCTCCTGGTGGCCAAAATTTGAGTTGAAGCTACTTTAAAATGGTGGATAATTTTAGCACCTGTACCACCCATTCAGGGAGCTTATATTCTCGTCTGCGTCTTCTTTTTTTTCTGTGCACAGCAGTTAGTTGAAGACACAGACTCATGCTGTTCAGCACATACTCCAAATAGTACATCACCTACTCCAAAAGTATTCAATATCCAATTTAATTTCAATAGCAGCAGACTTCTTCCCTCTGGGGTTAAAGCCTGTTTCATAGTGACAGGTCCACTGAGGAACAGATTCACAGTACTTCTGGCAGTACTCAGACAGTCTGTAATGCTCACTGAGCAGATCTAACAATAGCCGCAGATCAGCTACTGGGAAAAAAAAGGAAGTAATTTCTCATTCCTCTTATCCTCCTATTCTTCTTTTAATGACCTCCACCTTTAATCTGCCATCACTTCCAAACTCATTCACAGTTAGCTATGGAGTAAAACTGGCCCACAAACTGAGTAGGTTTGCACAGTAAAGCCAAAGAGCCATGTTAGGTCAACAGAGAGCTGAGTCATGTCTGGAAGCTACCATGTTCTTCTCTCACAAACAAGTAGTTCTGACCAGCAGAGAGTTGGCAGGATGGTATTTATGTAAAAATGTATTATTTTTATATAATTACCACACTGCCTTGGCTCCTGCATCATGTCATGAGTCACGGCATGACAAGCAACTCTAAATCTGTGTATTAACTTGAAATAAACAGCTCACTCCCCTCACTGCTGCTTTGTGATTAGAAAGCCCTCTGAATCTAACAGTCCTCGATGACCTCTTGTCTCAGAAGTGTTTATTATGGTGTCTTTTCACAGCTCCAGTCCTTTTTTGGACAAATTTCATCTAGGTTTAACAACAGCTCTGAGTCAGCTCTCTGCAGGGTGACAATTTATTGGCATCTTTAAACTCTGAAAATCATGCAATTTTGATTCACTTGGACCTCAGCGGCTGCTTTTGACAAAATCCATCATTAAAAACACTCATTTTCTCAACCCTGTTGCTGTTTCAAATTCACGATCCAGACCTGCAGTGGTTTGCCTCTTATGTTTACACATTCTCATTTTCTTTCTCACTCTTCCCTCCGGAGCTTCACACTGACTTTACCTGGAAAAGCTTCATGCGAGAGCACGAACTACTCAACGAGTTGGGTCAAGCGTGATAGAGACTTTGCCCCTGCAGTCCTTCGTGGTGTGTTGTGTCTCGATGAGCTGATGTCTAAACAAGTCGAGAATTCACTATGAGCAAAAGGCCATGTTGATGATGACACTGATATGACATGGAGCATAGTGGCCTGATACTCTTTTCTGCTCGCCTGTATTTTACTTGTTCCTTTTTTGTTAAAACTGTGGATACAACTTTCAACGACACAGCATTATTTGCCTGAACCAAACACAGTAAATCCATTCGTTGAAAGCAAATCTGATACTAACAACCACCCACCATGTGCTACATGAATGAAATAGCACTTAGAGAAATGTCTGATTTGTTCAAATGTAAAAACCCAGCTTGGGTGCACCACAGGGCTCTGTACTAGAGCCCATTATGTTCTCAGGAAATGTGTCCCTGGGGGATTCAACTTTCTTATTTAGCTAACACTAATAAAATTCTGTATGTGTGTAAACTTATTCATGCTGAAAGATCCTTTTGGCTCTCTCGAGGATATCATCACCTCAATTGCAAAATGTCCTCACTTTTAAACTCTTCAAATTTCATCTCTGTCCTGAGAGGCAGGTGTTTCCTTTTGAGAAATCTAAACATTTTCTCACACACAAGCATCTAGACAAATGCCTTTTTCTCTTCTCCCACTGATAATTGTAACTCTTAGTCTGTGGGAGTCAGTCAGGCGACCTTGTCTCGCCTGCAGTTTCTGCAGCATCAAACAGCAAGGGCTCCTCAAGATGAGAGACCACCCTCCTGTCTGCACTGGCCTCCTTTTATTGACTCCTGATTAAATCAAGGATTGAGTCAAAGAGTTTTTCATTTCTTTAAAGCACCCAGTCAAAAGGCACAAGTGTATATCTCCACTTCAATTCCTCCTGGATATTTCAACCGGGTATTTCGTAAAAATCTTCAATTTGTTCTTCCTCCCCCGGAAACCCCACTTTACTTTGACTCATATTGAAATTCTCTGTCAAGCCAATTTGATCCACAATTGCATTTATGTGCTGCATCATTGTCTTTCCTTAATGTTGTATTTTAATACAGACTGTCGATTTCTGTACTGATTTGCTTGTAAATTACGTTATTTTTATATACAGGTAGGCACTTTTGCTTTACTGGCATTTCCCTGTTAGTACCACCACATTCATACAATGATATGAGGCAATATCCTTTGGTTTATTAACTCCTTTGTGAGAGAAATGTAATCTGTTTTAGCTCCCTACCTTGGATAGGCGCAATAAAAGGAACAAATAAACTAACAAACTCAAGCTGACTTTCCACTTAATCATCTTGGCAAAGGTTTTGCAGCAGAAGTGATCAGAATACATATAACGTGCACTGTGGTTTATAAATGTTTTCACTCTGAAACTGCTGAGCTTTATACTTGTAGATCTAAATCAGAGGCAAAAGCAACAGCACATATGGTGGGTAGAAATTATTTGACATACAGCAGCTGTTGTTTCACTTGAAGCACAGAATCTATAATGTGGTAATAGTATCACTTTTTCACATAAGCCATTTGCTTAAGCAAACACTAATTACTTTAAATATGGTAATCATCCCGTATATGCTAATAAAACATCTTACAGATCAGATCAACTGCCAATCATTATGCATGGTTATATACACTCAGAGTAGCTCTGCAGTGTTGGAAACACAGACACAGGAGGGACTGTTGAGCTTTTTGGCACCAGCAGAGAACCATATCATCACATCACCCCCACATAGCACCCCAAATTGTCAAAACACTTTGGCCTGGATCAATGAGGCTGCTGGCTGGTGAAGCGTCCCTTTTTTTTTTTCCTCCAAGAAAACAAATAGCATCTCTGGATCTCAGGACTCAGAGGGTACAAGCTGAGGACTGAGATCAAGCAAGAAGGATACTATCCTCATCCAACAAAGTTTAAGAGTGAAACTTGAGGAAATAGTGCTGCTGTATCTTTGATTCTCATCTCTGCCTGAGCAAAAGCTTTTAATGCTGAGCTGCAACATGAGACAATAAGATGTGATGTCGGAAACACTAAGAAATATAATCATATGAATAGCTGAAAGGAAACACATGGTTGGTGCGGGACAAAAAATTTATAAAATCCCGTGGATTATGAAAAGTCTCAAATGTGCATAACACAAACACTAGAAGGTGCAGAGACTCTGAGGATGTTAACAGAGTCTGTTTCCAAGTGGAGAGACTCAGAGCAGCTTTGCTTCAGGCCACAGTGCCAATGACATGTAATGATACTTAATTAAATTGAAGGGAGCATTTTGCCTTGGCATGGACCACATGTCATGTGATTCAGCAAAATGACCAGGATGAGGTAATACTGGCCATGCTGTTTTTCTGTCTGTTGGTATTTGATTAAACCTGAAACAAATGGTACATGTATTCTTTATAGCAGTGGCTAATTCTGATAATTTGCCTCACAGGACATCAAAGTCAAAGCCATCTGCATTTTAAATGCCATCGCAGCACATGCCAACCCTGAACCCACCAGGTATCAGAAGCAAAAGGAGAGAGATGAAGAGAAGGAGAGAGAGGAAGGAGACCAAAGGGTTAGATGTGCATAAATTAAATGAAAGGAGAAGAATGCAGGGGAGCGCTGTGTGGAGGTGTGATAATCACCAGGCAGCAGATATGGAATTAAGTTGATACTAATAAGCGAAATTCATCACTCGGATCAGTGCCGGGCTTTACAACCAGTTTCCAATTTGAATGGAGTTGAAGGAGACCTGCACACTGATTGGCTGCACGTCCAACATCTTATTTTCCACGGGAGGCAGTGCGAGCATGAGTGTGAGTGGATTGAATCAGTCTCTTCTTCTCTGTGGCCACCACCCCAGAACACACAAACCACCAGGAGTCCTGGTCTAAACAGAGGAGCGAGGTACATCTGTCTTTTTGACATATTTGAAGTAGCTTCTCACGGTGATGTTGTTTCACCCGATTTCCTGATCACGTGGGATATTAGATAAGTAAACCGTGATTTAGAGACATATTTTTGACCCTGGAAAGCGCACTCCAACGAGACAGATGAACTATTTAATGAAATGGATGGCACTTCTCGCGTTGCGCAACAGGTCGTACCCTTTGTTGCAATAAGAATATTGAACCAGTCTATTTGTTACAGGCAGAAACGAACAAGGTAAATAATTGAAGTTTGCAAAGCAGCCAATCTTTAAACACGTGTAATTCACTGATATTTATTCATCATCCAAGATGCATGAACTGCGCTTGGACACAGAGTGAGATGGACACACTCCTCACCCAAACATCTCGTGGAAACAAAAAAACACCTACCAGGAATAGCCAAGTTGGTGAGCGGGATGGTGTGCATGCTCTGTGGTAAACTTGCCATCCAGTCTGCAAACCGCACGTCGCTTCTCCCGTGAGACGAAGCCATGCTGCCGCCGCGCACAGAGCTCCGTTTCTCCAGGACCGGTGCCTGCGCCAACCTGGAGTGCGCGCTCTCTCTCTCTTTCTCTCTCGCTCTCCCTGTGCCTTTCTCTCCACTCACAAGCAACGTGTTACTGCCTCTCTTTCCCATATACACACAAATGTGATGAGAGCCGGTCCACACCCCCCTTGAGCAGCACACACCACCGGGTATCTCAATTATGAAAATGCTGTTCATTGGAGCGATTCTAACATGAGGTCAGCTTTCCAGTAATGTGCGTGAAAAACACTGTAGAATGAGTGTTCCTGTTTCAGGGTTCACCTCATTTACACAAGGTACTGAACATATAGATATGCATTATCTGAAAATCTGCTCCTCGCATGGCAGTAAAGTTTTATTTCTGCATAAAGTTGGCCATGAAGGCTAGACAGCTGGCCATGGTTCACCTATGTTACACAATTGACCTTTAGGGCCATGTCTGAGGCCAGCCACTTGATGGACTGTGAGTCATGTGGCAGTGATTCATTTTAACAGCAATTATATGGCAGTGACGATGAATAAATAACACATTTACTGCAGTGATAATTAGCAATCGGGCCACCTTAAAATGAGCCATTAAACTAACTGAGTCAGCTTTGAATAAATATGGGAGAATTCACAAAAGACGGCACATTAATACCAGTGTAGTTTAACACAGTATTCAGCAGAACACTGAGCAGACCCTTCTCCAAACGTAAAACCTGTGTGTGGCGCAGGAGCAAGAGTTCATTAGATAAAACCACAGTGAGCACAGGCTTTATACTACAATGTTAACACCTGGCATGATCAAAACACACTGTCAAATAACACATTTTTTTTCCAGACAAGAGCCATCAAAATACTGGTTTGTTAAATAGCAATGACAAAAATGTGATTAAAATGTGGTTAAAATGGGCAGAACAGGTGCAAAATGGCACCTAATGTGCTGCAATTATGGCTAAAGCAAAGCCTCTCTGATTTCTTTACACCAGCAAGTTAGAAAACTGTTCAGCAGCAGAGATCTAGAAATATTAAGTTGAACAAGAATCAAATTCAAATGACAACAAATCCCAAAAGAAATAAATTAGGCTGCTTCAAAAAGAGAAATAGAGGCTTTATGTTGGGGCTGCTAAAAGACTTTTTATTTGGTTATGGAAAAGATAGACATTAATTCTGATAGCTTTAGATGATATATTAAAACTCACAAGACCATTATGGGAATATTTAATACCTCTAAATAGCTATTAATGTCTGGAACTGCTGCTGCAGGGTACATTTCATACAGCACAAATAGATTCTGGATGAGACAGAGGGGTGAGGCTTAGTTCACAAACACTACTTACGTTTGCACAGGACTGTGTCAAGAGAGAAATAAGAGGCACTGTTTTGTCCACAGGGTCTTCAAGATCAGTACCAACTATGGCCCGGACTACATGTATATAGATATTTATTTATCAGGATATTTTTGTACTCCCGTCTAAATAAATGTATCTGTCCACACGTGTTAGTTCTCAAAAATATCTGCGTCCACACGTAGCCTTCAAACTCAATCCTATCTGGTGCCGCTTAAAAAAAAATTCAGGAACAAAGCTACCTGATTGGCCGATGAATCGTAACAGCGTGATGCGTCATGCATTGTTTGTGGAAGCTACGCTAGTGCGGCGGGTCCATGTGACGGTGTGGCGGCTGTAACAAAGCAGACGCCTCTGTGAGCTGGCTGACTGGTGGATGTAATTGTATAAAACAAGGTTCACTTGCAAGGCTGAAATTAGCCCCAAAAAGGCAAAACAAACGTAAAGAATACCCTGTATGTCCGCCATCGTTGTTGTTTTTCTTTTTAATTCGCATGCGCGAGCTGCGGTTTGACGTCATCGATCCGTAAAAGTTCAACCACGCAAATCCACTTATACGGATATTTTTTTATTTCTCCACTTGTTTTTTCAGATTCAGATTTATCCGGTTTGGGTGTTCCAAACTCCCGTTTTGGTGTGGTAGGGAGGCCTAATCGGACATAAATATGTGCGGTTTGAAATATATCCGCATTCGTCTAAGGGCCTAAAGCTCCCTTACAAGAGCTCTAAGGTTGGCTTGGCAGTCATGTTACACAACCTCTTTTTTCTTGAATTTGGCTAACAGCTCTAGAAATAGGTTAAAATGTAGGCTCATTGGGTGCCACTCATACTTGACACATGAAGGATGTGTTGGATTTCCACCAACAGCCGGTGGTAAGAGCCCCTGTCACTTTCTTCCATTTTTCTGCCTGATGATCCAATCTGGTTGATCCTCCTGAACCCTAAAGCCCACTGGCTGAATTCTCCTGTTACGCAACAGCCCTCAGGTAATGGCAGCGCCTCTCTACTCAAGTGGAGAAATCACATCAAGAATGTCAATGCAAGAGCACAATCTGTAGATAGAAAGCTCTAACCTGTGGAGTGTCAGGAGCCGCCACTCTCAGAGCACTTATTTACTTTTAAACATAGTCCAGATTGATGAGATGAACATATTGAAAATGTTTTTAGAAACACTTATTAAACAGAAATTACGAAACGTAAACAGAAAACAACCCAAAACAAATTCCCAGTTCCTCAGCTCAGCACACAAGGTTGTATTTTATTTATATACAAAGAGAAGGAAGAGGACGGTTAATGCCTGTGTACAAAAACGTTAAGGCCTCGTGTTTTCTGGCTCAAATGTGTATACGACTGTCAACTCTGATATTCGTGAGGCTAAGAGAAGAGGCATCACACAGTTCGACACTATGGTGGAAGTTATAATTACAAATATAGTTAGATGATACTTTAAACATCCCACTTTTTTCAAATTAAATGAAAAAGAAATATATCCTTAACTTTTTTTGTAGCTTGATGTGGCAGAAATTTAAACACCTTCACACATATATATCCACCTGACCTACAGCACACAAATGTTTTCTTACTTCATTACATTTCAGTTCTTTTGAGTACGTCAAAGTTACTTATTGATCTACAGTATATATTATTAATCTTCATATGTTTACATCCCGTTTGTTAGTATTGCAAGTAAAGTTTAATCTCAGCCGAAATACAGTATTAAGAATTTTTTGCATGTAATTTCCTGATGAAATGTTTGGTAACAGATTTAAAAACATTACAAAAAAGTTAATAACTTAATGATGTGATAGGCAACAATGTAGTTTCCCTTTTTTGTTCGTCAAACTAGATAACAAAAGACAAAAAAACACTCGTGCATTTTGGATCATGTGAATCCCTTTCGGTGAACATAAATGTGGACTGAATCCTCCTGAAGTTTGCATACTGATTAGCAGTGAACAGAACAAATCATTTCTGTTTTATTAGCTTATTTGACTCGTCGTAGGCTGATAGATCACCAGCTGTTTACCACAGAGAGATGAAATGAGAGCCACAAACACTTGTCAGATCCCTTAAAAGCTCCTCTAGATCTGCTGCATGGGCCTCAGGTTAGGAGACACCTATGAGAGAGAGACGGATCAGAGGGGATGTGTCATGGTAAGAATGCTTGAAGTTCGAAAATCAAAGATAGCGCTGGTGGCCAAATTGTTTGGCTACTTACCTCAAACTCAGTGCCGGTGCATGCCTTGATATCCTCAGGAGTGAGACCCTCCCACACTTCTATCAGTGTCAGGCCTTTTGTCTTATCCACATCAAACACAGCCTGGTGAGCAGAAACAGGGCAGAAAATAGAGAGGCAGGGAGAGAGCAGAAGAGATGAGATGTTCAGACTGAGACAGATGAAGGAGGGTGATAAGATACAAAAACAATATCAAGGGGAGGGTTTTTTCCATAATTGTGGGGCTCAAATTCTTTGTTTTGTCACTGAGGTTATAGACAAGGATGCCATTATGACTGTGACCTCAAAAGGAGGGCAAAGCACCCCAAATAACACTGTTGCCACAGGCAGAGACCCACTTCAGTGTTTTCCACACATGAAAAAAAAAGCTGCAATTATTGGTGACACATCCGTGACATGCCTTACAGAGTGGTCCTTGAATCTCTGTGCCACTACAAAGCAGTGGGCAATTATAGTTTAATTGTTGAACTACTTTTGTCATAAAAAAGAATAAAAAAAAGGTGTTGTTGAACCAGGTTTTAAAAGACTGTAGAGGTACAAGCGTACACTCAGTCTTCACAGTTGACAGATCAATTAAACATATCTCTGAGTATCTGTGGTTCTTCAGGATTTCATATATGATCGATATTAGGAACTGTTCTTTCTATATACCAACCTTCACAAGCATACAACATGCTCAGAACAGTCTTCAGAGTCCGTAAAAGGGATTCCTTGAAATACTTCGAAATTTAAGAGTGAAGTGATTGTGTACATGGCCAAAGGCATCATTCACAGTTGGACAGACAGAAAAGAGGTGCTTTTGGACAAGTACAAGAACAATTCTACCAAAGTTTACACCTGAAGACACAATACCAAAAGAAAATATGGTCATGAACACTTGTAGAGCACCTTCAGGCAACTGAGATGTTCTTGCCTCTTTAAACCTCCTTTAATCATCCTCAGTAGTTCAGAAACATTGGCTCCACCAAGATGAGCTCTTACAACTTCACTGGTATGCTGAAATATTTTTCATACATCCTTAAAATGATCCTGATTTCTGCCACATTTAGCGTTCTAGTTTAGGACAACGCGGTGATAAAGTCTTCATCTTCTGCACTGCAACTCTGTATTTTTGCAAAGCTGCAACTTCCAATGTCAGAAAATGAAGCTGATGCGAGCCGAAGCCCTACATTTATGCCTACACTGTGAGGGGATGTCAGAGGGATGCCTTGTAGGTTTTCGCTTAAATAGCCTATTGTGTCTTCATAGAGGAGAATAGGGGTGGGAGAAAAAAATCGATTCACATAAGTATGACGATTTTTTGTTTCACAATTTTTAAATCAGTTTTATGTTCAGAAATCTTTTTTTTTTTTTCAAATCAAAGAATAAATCTTAAAAACTGACTTACACGTGATGTGTATTTTTGGGGAAAATATGGTTCCTGGAATCGTCAGTAGACAATCATAATCATTCAACTGTTTCACTGGTGTTAAAAATGCAGACTAAAAATCAAGAAAATCGACAATATCGTAGAATCACAATTTAAATCAGCATCCAAAAATCGTAGAAGACTCGAATCGGGAGAAAAGGTTATCATCCCAACCCTAGAAGAGAAGCTATTGATTCATGGGCATCTTATAAGAACTAATAACCGTATCTTTAGTTACAAAGTCTTAAAGCTGAGGATAAGTAACTTTGCTTTTGGTGCCCCCTGTGGACAAATCAGTCGTTGAACTATACAGAAAATCCCGTCCTGCTTTCTCCTTTTGCTGTTACACTCTCCCTTCATTAACAGTTCTTCTTAGTTCATGATCATAAAGACATCAGCTGGTGTTTCAAACTGAGTCATATTTCAGCCAAGAGACTTCTTTTCTCCAACAAGTCCAGCATGACAAATAAGCCAGGTGTTTCTACAGACCATCTTATACAATAAACCTTTAAAACTAAATCTGGGTCAAAAGCATTTTACCTATTTATGCACACCGCAGAGAAAATACTCTATGAAGACAGGCCAGGCACACACAGCTGAGCTGGTTCCTGTAGCTTCTCCCAGCAGGGACTGACAGGCTGAGCCACAGTCACATCCAGACGAAGCCCGGCAGGACTCGCGGCTCATTAGGACCAGGCGCACACAGCAACAGGGCAGGAGGCAGATATCTCACTCCATTATAGCAAGACAGATGGAATGTCACATGGAAAAAGGGTCTGTGAGTAACACAAAAACTGACAAGTATTCCTAATCGAGACTTCGGTCACAAGTGACTGAGGATAATTTAGGATTTGTCAAACCGTGCATATAGATCGCTGTAACACTTTGCTGATATTGCAAGTGCTGAGTAATGTCAGCGTGGGCCGACAAACATAGAACATTTTATGTCAAGGTCTTGTGCATTTATAGATTTTTTAAGGCAATTAACTACAGACTGACCTAGTTTCTGAAATCCCCTTTGAAAATTGAAAAACAAACTATGTTTTGCAAAGCAGCCTTTTTGTTGTATTACTGTTGAGTCATCCTTCCTCTCTGTCCTCAAACTCACCACCATCATTAACCAGATTGATGCCAGTTAGTCAGGGAGAAGCTGCTTGTCTGACCCATGTGTTGTCTGCTGAGAGGTTGGCAGAAAGTCGGCTGAAAGTTACCAGAGCCAAAAATATCCCTCGCCAAAAATGTTCAATGTATAAAACAAGCGATAGGAAAGCTTTTTGCATAAGCCCTCAGAAATGTATGAGCTGTTTGGAGGAGTATATTTGTGAAAGTGCCAGATCAATGACTGAGGCTGCTTCAACAGATTAGCTGTCTACAATCAAGTTAGACAGTCATCTCTGATTAGTAAAACTCCCAAATATGGCAAAGAAAATGTGACGAAATCCTAATGAAGAATGAAAGTGCTGGAGGGGGGTCATGGCATGATTTGGCATGATGAAGAAAAGTTTATCCATTAGAATATGCAAAATAAGCTTCAAAGAGCCTTTTGACATTCACATTTTGAGAAAAGAGAACTTTGCTTTGATACCAAAAAGGAAGTGGAGGAACGACTCAAAATTTAAGCAGCCTAATATCAGAGTTCTGCACTGCACTGAAAATAGTCCGACAACATGTCAAATGTTACAACAGAGAAAAATGTTGTTTAACGCTCATCTTAAATATGTACTAAAAATATTCTCTAAGAGTTCAGGCAGTGCGGTGAGTATTTTTGTGATGGTAAACTCTACCTGGAGTCCAAGTGTTCAATAAGTGTTGTTAGTTGTCAGAAATAACGAATCCAAAAGCCCTCTCTGTTATTTATCACACAGCTCTGGGCAGTCTCTCACATCTTTGAGAGCTCCTAGCGAGTCCCCCGAATGTTTGATTGAATGTTGAAAATCCGCACCTTGAACGGCAGTAAGTTGCTTGTCATCTGAAAAAAGTGAACTTAATAATTTTATGAGTCATCAGATTTGATCGTTGCTGTCTGGAGGGAGTTTCTAACCCATGCTTGTTGTTGCAGCTCACTTTTCCTCTCGGCACTTGTTGCCTGTATAAAGTCTACACACTCCTCTCCATTATTCTTCTGCAAATGTCTTATCGAGTTTGAGGTGTTGTACTTTCTAATGCTGCTGCCAACTCTTGAGACACTGGCATTGCATAAACTGCACTAAGCCGTTTTGCTTTTGTCTTCTTTCAGCTCAAGATAAACACACATACAGATGATATTTCCACAGTGCTGCTGACTGTCTCACTCTCACACTCTGGCTATAATGTTGACACGACACAGGCTGCAGCAGTCTGCCTATAGCACGCTGTACTGTGCAATGTAGTTGAGATCAGATCAGACAGGTTATACTTTGTTTTTCTATATCTGATCTGATCTCAGTAATTGTGAGTTACTGCTGAGCTCTGCTTACTTCAAAATACCACAGAAATGCATTACCACTAATAGGATTCACTTAAATTACCAAGCTGAAAATAAGAACCGTTTCTGTTTGTCACCACTGCTATGATATCAGTCTATCATACCCAATATGAAACTGGTAGAAATCCATCATAGTGACAGAGAACTTTAATCTCTGGGTAACAACAAAAAGCTGCCATCATTTAGCTCACTTATTGCTTCAGATGAATGTGAGAGCACTAGAGAGAAGTGAAAATTAGTCTTTACCCTTCAACAAATAAACTTCAATAGCCGCCCTGTATCTTGTTGGTGTATTACAGCAATTACAAGGTGCTGTCTTTTTGAGTCATTTCAGACAGAAACTCACAGTAGGACCATAAAACATTTTCAATTTGCTTGCCGCAGTTATATTTGCTGTCATTGGCACTGCTTTCATTATGGAAAATGCCATGGATAATACTTTTCTGGGCCCATTATGATGATTGAATAATTCAGGAGTTGTTCTGCTTCATTTGTGAATAAGTGAGCAGTTGCTTTTTTTACTAAAATAATCCCCCAAATGGCTGTTAAGAGGAGAGAGAGTATTTTGTGAGGAAGTTTTTCTTTGCAGAAAAGCATTATGGCTAATTTACTCCATTCTCATGCTGTAAACAAAAACATTAGAAATCCGTAATTTTAATCGCAATGGTCCGAGTGAGCAGGCTTGTTACCAGGGCAGCTGTGGTTAAGGACAAAGAAATGGCAACATGTGGGTAAAAACGTCCAAGCATATAGAGAAGCGGCAGAGATGTCGCCTAAGGCAACAAGTTTCCTACCACCCTGGATCTCAAATCATTGCAATAGGACATCGCTTGAATCACCAACCCTTCTGGTTATCATAGGGGGATGCTGTGTTTGTTTATGTCATCTTTATGAATGTGTATGAGGCTGGGAAAACATGTTTTTTTTTCTACAGGGACTGAAAGCCTTGATTGATCTTTTTCATTTTGCCAACAGATGCTTTAATAATGAAGAGATGGCTAAGGATAAAAAAACAAAGATAACCATTATGAAGCTTATAAAAGGCTCTTTTTGCTTTGACATATTTCTGTCCTCGTTTTCTACTGCTCCTTGTTTCACGACAACAATAATGTTCTCAAAGCACACATGTAATTTGATATCTGGTGTTAATGGTAAAATAAACCGAAAGCTTTTTGCAATATTTTGTTTTTGCACCGACTTGTTTTTTTTTATCTTTGTAAATGAAAAAGGTTTCATTTCATTTGACTCAATTAATGCTAATGTTTTTCGTCATTTTGGCGACCTGCTTACACTTTCAGTTTCTGGCTGTAGTTTTTGCGGTCAGAAGGTTCAGAGAGAAGTACATGAATGCCTCCCTGCGGCTAGAACAGCATGAAAACCATTCATGGATCAATTCAACCAAATTAATTAGCACATAACGTAATCATTTTCTGAAGTCTGAAGTTCAGAGGGTTTTTCTTTATTAGATTATTCCAAATTACACCGTTACAGGAACATTGTGTTTCACATGCAGTGTGCATTTTGGCAACGAATCATTACTCACAGTTAAGTTTAGAGAGAAAACTTGAAACTAAAAGCCTGGGGAAATACAGATTGGGTGTTTGACATTGGGTGACAGCTTAACAAAAACGCTGTGATAACTCCAGCAGTTCCAGTTCTTTTGTTTCCTGACCTTTTCTTTAGCGAAGCAAGATTTCTATCATGATGTCTCAAGGCACCTTGAGAATTAAGCTATCATGATATAATTATTTATACATTGAGGTAACCGGAAAAACCTGAAATAACAATTACACTTGTGCTCACTGGTAGAAAAACATGTCAACATGACAACCAATCACAGCATGAGCTCGAGGTAGCACAATGCCAAGTGTGTTTATTGAGGAGCTGTCGAGCTGATAGTTAGATGTCAGAATTTTTTAAGGTTTTTTTTTTCTCTCTTCCAAACTAGGGATGCACCGATCCGATATGTGATATCGGTATCTGTCCCGATACTGAAGAAAATTCTAGATCGTGTATCGTTACAATGGGGCCGATGCATAGTGGCCGATCTATTCACTCTAACTCTATGCTATGCACGATGAGTGGCATCCACGAGTAAATTTGCTGAGCGGATGCCCACGTTGTTCTCAAAATGGAGCGAGCAAAAGGGTCTGCTATCTTGAACTTGCAATACCTGCGCAGTAAATGTTCCGAGGGGCGGTGGTAAAACTTCAAGTTACAACAAAAGGTAATTCAGCGCCGTTTTTTTGTGTTGGAATTGGGTCGGTATACTAAACTGTTGATATCTGTATCGATACTGGAGGTGAAAAAAGCGGATCGGCGCATCCCTAGTCCAAACAAAAAAAGACACTGTAATTGACAAAGAAGTGTTTGAAAGGGGGCCAGCATCTTGAAAAAGTTGCAGATCTTGTTTATGTTCAATTTCAGGCCATGCAGAGAAAAAATATTTTCAAATTAATTTACAGTAAGAGAGACATGCACTCGAAAGCATTTAAAAGGAGGATAGGGGATGCTGAGGTCAGAGTAGAAGTAAAGATTACAGAAGAAGATGAGGGAGGTATGTGAAGACAGGAAATGTGAAAAAGATGCCATGAGAGAAAGAATGCAGAATGTAAGTACTAACAAAGACAGTAAAGAGCTGACGATGTAATAAAAGGAGACGTTACAAATGGACGGAGGGGAAAGCGACAGCAGAAGATAAAACGAGAAAGGTGTTGAAGAAGAGGTGGTACTGATGTTTGCAAGTCGGTAGAAAGAGCTTTAACCTTTATAAATATTGACAGAAATCTACTGGGTGAGAAATGTTGCACAATAACAACAAAAGGCAGCGGAGTAAAAAAAATAAATAAAAGGAGAAAAATAAAGGGGAGAAAAAGTGTGGAGACACCACAGGACTTTTAACACCGACAGGTCAGGTTTTCAATGAGCCTGTTTCCAAAGGCAGTAACCACCAGAGGCTTACATGGTATTAACCAGAAAACATGAAAACACAGAAACCACATCGGCACCCAGCGCTACTCTCTCTGGGTTTTTCTTGCTTGCCTCCCCCACACTTTTTTTTCTTCCAGTCAGCATTTCTTACTCCTCTTTTGACCGTCCTCCTTTCCCTGTAAATGCCCTCTACCCTCCATCCTCACTCATCTTTATTTTTCAACCCTGTACTTTCGCTCACTGTCTGCTTATTCCCCTTCAAAAGAAAACTCCATCCCTGTACTGTCCTGACTGCTGTGGAGATTTCTCTGGTCTGCTTAATTCAAAGATTTGCAATAGCAGAGGGAAACTACTGTTTACATAACGTCCCATACTGACACTTTTGCCTCTTTCTCATTGCAAGTGCTACTCTCAGTCAGACGACATATGTTTGTAGAGGAGGGAGATATTCAAAAGGTTACACACGCTCCAACATCCTGCCTTCACATTATGCGGAGCTCAAACTGTGGGGTGCTGATGAAATTCAAAAGCAGAGCAGAAACAAAGCTCTTCACGCTCAAGTGGAAACAATGGAGATTTGCCTGCAGGCCAAGCTTCGTAAGCTTCTTCAGAAAAATTGAGTGTTGAGATTTATAAGGGTACACCATGTATTCAAAATGGGTACCCATCGTTTTCCATAGACTTTGTTCTTAAAGGTAGTGCTCCACCAAAAGGCCATTCAACGCACACCACACAGTAACGTATAATAAAACACTTCCTCGACAATCAATTATACATCCCCCACTTCTTCCATAGAGAGCATGTCGGTTGCTTTCAGGGATTTTTCAAAGATTTCTCAGGTAAAGAGGTCAAGAGGTCTCTTCAGTGAGCTGGATGTAACATGGCCTGCAGCAGGAGGTGAGGGAGGATCAATACAGTACAGCATCAGGATATCTTTTATATCTACAGCCACGTAGATACCTGAGTACCTGTAGGCTTTTATATGAAACTAACATCATAGTCAAGGAAACAGAAGTCATTTGTTGGTTTTCAGATACCAAAAAATTTTGCTTTCTCAGTCATTACAATGTTGCTCAGATTTTTGGCGGCTACATTGACAAGCAGATGGAAGAGGCTTGAGGCCTCACTGCAGTGGCTGCTGGTTCGACCTGAAGCTTTGACTCTTTGCTGCAATTTATCCCAAACTCTCTACTCTGCACACTTTCCCTCTTTTGACTGAAAGCAAAAAATTCCCAAAAGGCAACTAAAAAAATAAATATGATTCCTGGGAACATTATTTATAACTCATATACTCATACCATACAGCTTATTAAAGCTGACAGCTTTGTAGATGTTTCTCTGTGTGTGTTTTTGTAATATCACACAACTTTTTCAGTGTTCTGGCATCCTATCCTAACTGTTTTGAAACATGTTGCTGGCATCGGAAATTTAAGATTCTTAATGTGATGATATTTTTGAGCTTTAACATTTGATATGTTGTCTTGGCACTATTTTAAACACATTAAGGGTTCAGACAATTTACAAACCCTGATGTTCTGTTTTATTGACGTTTTAGAGAGAATCTCAACTTTATAATGATTTTACTCTTTTTTACCATGTACATTTTATCGGTCAGTATTCTTAGTCATTTATCTATTTATTCATTTTTATTGATCCTTAATCCCACTGTTCTCCTAAGCATTTCATTTTTTACCCATTCTGTCTGATGCCCTATTTATCTTATCTTCCTGTGAACTTGTGTTTCTGTAGTATGCAAGCTGCACAAGTCAATTGCCCCAGGTGGGATTAATAAAGTTGTCTTGATCTCTTGACTTAGTAGAAAATTGGAATGTAGAACATGTCAGGTTTGTAAGGACTGACTTTGTTGGTATTAGCTTAATATCTGTCCTTTTTGCATGACAATCTCATTATGGAGCCAGAAAACTTTCTGCTACAAAAATATGTTGATAGTGTTTTCTTCTGTGAGCAGAAATTGAAGTTTCTCTATGTTCAGCCAAACTCAGGTCCTCACTGAATCAAACTGAGGCAATTCTATTTAGAGAAAACCAAACCCAGAGTCCACAACATCAATACAACCAGCATCATTGCAAACGGGGCTCAGAAGCAGGGTGGGAGGATTATTAAATATGTTCTTGAAGGGAAACCAAACCCTAACCATAAAAAATTAACAGGAAAACAAAATAAAAAACATAACCAAATCCATATCAAGCTCTTTACAGAAATCAACTGATTAAATTAGGGCTAATTCAATAAAAGTAATTTCCATCTACCATGCTGCTCCGTTGCAACACACACACTTATCAGCTGAAGTGTGGTTGTTTTTTGAGGAAGAAGTAAAACAGATAGAGATACAGAGTGTGATCGGTTGTGCTCATCATGTCCCTAGCTAATTATTAGTGGTGATAAAATAGGAATGCAAAACCGTCTACAGCCAACAGAATTTTTAGATTTCAATCCCATCACTCATGACTAGAAGGTAGAGTGGAAGTGTGGCCAATAATTTGTAAGGATTGAAAAAAAAAACCTGGTCTGAAAAAAGCCTTCAGCTGGTCATAGATTTTTAAAGCTGTTATGAAGATAGAGGCTTGGAAAATGCAGTGTTTAAGATCGATCCATCAGGAGGATTAGTCGTGGATGTGACCAACAGAGGAAGTGAAAACCAGCTTCAGTGGGGAGATATTGTTGTTGTTCAGCATGGTGATCATTAATCATAGACTGTACATTTATAATGGCCGCATGGTTACGAAAATAGAGGACACCTTGCAATCCCACAGGAACCGAACACTGCTGCCTGATGTCAGGAGCAAATTTCAGTTAAGAAGGCTGGAGCTTGCCTGTGTGTCCATGCCTCACAAGAACAGTTCTGTTTAACAAAGACAGGAATTTGCTTAAAAGTGACATGTAATGACCTGGAAACCAGGTATTAGAAAGGCCGTACATACTGCACAGCCAGAGCAACTGACTGTCTGTCTATGCAGCATCTAAGAATAAGAATAAGAATAAGCCTATCCATTTGCTGCTGTTAAAATGACTCTGACTCTGAACACACCTTTTCGGTGATGATCCGATCCACACACTGCTTCCCTGTCAAAGGCAGGCTGCATTTGTCCAAAATCTTGTGTTTCCCCCCCTGCAAGAAACAGAGAGCTGGTTAGAGGAAAAGAGTCACTCACAGTGTTTATTCACATTTATGGACTTGGCTTCAATTTTTAATACATCCAGGCATATGTTTTTATGTATGCTCATGCTTTCCCCTTAAGGATTCAGTCTGCATGTTCTTCACTATGAATGTGTGCCTCAGTTTCCCCACCGGTCGCCTTTGAGAAAAAACACACACATCCAAATGTCAGTGACGCTGCCTGAGAAGCAACCATCATTCATTACACAACCCCTCCCCCCCTCTCCCCATCATGAATGAAAACAGGCTTCAGGGCAGTAAATTTATGTTCACCTGCTGCACCATCTGGAACAAAGCTTGGCGCCAGACAGGCTCCCATTAGGACGAAACAGCATGCTTCTTTGAATGCTGAATGTTACGTTGCCTTTGCATCACATCAGTTTCTGACTTTACAATAGCAAAGCGATTTGGTTGGATCGCTCTCTGACCTCAAGTGGTGATAGTAGCTGCAGCGCAAGCTTTCCTGTAACACTGAGCTAATTCTAGACTTGTATTTAAATCATCCAAGGAAGAACAACTAGGAAATGATTTGAGTGCAATCATGGTGAGCTGGCACTCTGGTGAAAAAGGCATTAAGCAATCCATTAAAAGAATTATCTCCAATCAGCCACAACACTCACACTCATTGTCGAGGAAGCGGTTATGAGGTACGCTAGTTGAGGTACAACACAGGAGAATAACATGACCAATTTAAAACTTATTTCCTGTGTTCGGTCTTCAAGGGGCAATGTACTTGGTTTCAATTAGTTCCAACATGGATAGTAGAGGCTCAACAAAACACTATTAAACACGTGTAAACAAACCTTGGCTGAGTGCTCCATAGTGACAACCACTTTGGTTCCAGCGCTGGCCACCAGATCCATGGCTCCTCCCATTCCTTTCACCATCTTACCCTGAGAATTAAAAAAGTAAAATTGAAATAAAATGAATAAAACTGTCATCATGTTTAACAAATAGAAGCAAAAAATTAGCAATACACACAAGCATTTATAAAGGAGATCAAAATAAAGTGTTTTTCTTGCCCACTGTGTCTATTTAGTCAAAAGCTCTTCTAAAAGTTTTTTGAGTAGGTACAAGTTTTTAATCTGCTCTGCTGCTCTGTCTTTAAAATGAAAGGATATGTTCAAAAGCTCTGTGCTTTGTACGGACCTATTTTATCCCTGCTCCTGTGAGACCCTGAAAAGTTTCACATGCTGAGACAAAATACAGGAGGAGGAGATTAAAATTAATCTGCAGGATTAGAAAAATGTGGTTAGTTTGTAGTGGCAACACTACAAAGGCCTGTCGTGTGAAATACACATAAAATAATCTTCAAAAAGCAGCCCTGATAAGGCTGAGTATTTGAAGTATTTTTGTCACTAGTTTTTTCACTAGTTCCATATTTGTACATCATTAAGAAGTAACCAAAACATTTAGTTCTGCAGATGGGAACACGTGCACTGCAAAACTCAACTCAATAAAGATAGTTATCATTTTCTAATAGAAAGAAGTTCCAATGAAAACTATTAGCTGTCTGCTCTGCATATTTTATAGCAAGGCAGATGAGCTTCTTTCCTAGAAAAAACATCTTTTCTTAACAAGTTAATGTTTTTTTTTTCTTTCTTGCTGTGAGCACCACAAACTAAATTGCATTCTCTGCCTTTGTCTGAAGCCAGTGGCAAAAAATGTCACAGACAGATGTCTGGAAACATGAGCAAATTAAACCTAAGCAAAGATTCAGACAGAGGTAAAGGAGAAAATATGCTTCAGTGATTGTGTCAGCCGGGGCTCAAGGCGTATCAATCCTGTCTTCAGAGCACACGGTTCTTGAGACGAATGAGGCAGGCAGCGGCATTCTGAGTGTGTATTTAATGGTTAAGGCTGCTAAAGGTCACTGTAAGACGCAGCAGAAACAGGAGTAAAGTATCATAATAGAAGCCATCTCAGTGCTTTAGAAGAGCTTTTGAATTAAATGGCTTTCATAGTCATATGTTAAAAGAAGATGGATAGGTCTAAACAGGGGTTTAGTGTCGTGTCTCAATCAGCAGTTACAGCTAAGAGCTTCAATTTACACAACAGTAACGTTACACTTGAGACATCTAATGCGACTGTAAGCTCACTGCTTCTCCATAAACTAGAAATGTTCTGTTTTCTTTTCTTAAATAGCAAAGAACTGAGAGCTAATACTCTTCGTGCACATCAAAAGTAAAAAGTTTTGTACTAATTTAGGAGGAAATTAAATGAAATGTTATTAAAAATGAGAAGTTTTGAGAGTCTCTTTGATATCTAAAAGGGTCAAGAAAAGCTCTCTTAAAACAGTGAGCAATGCACAACATCATCAAAGCAAAAAATAAATAAATAAATAAAAGCATCGAGTTGGTTAAAAATTTGGCTCTTCGTCCCTTATTGTTCCAAATAGGCAGGGCTGGCATGCAGATATGGCCAGAGGGTGACGACTGAGTAACTGAATTAAAATCCCATTTGCTCATCAATCATGTGAAGAGCCTGCTTCGCTCTCTGCTCCAACCAGAGAACATATATATATGCCAAGTGTGGTGCATCATAAGGATGCTGTCTGCCTCAGGGGAGGCCAGCTGGGTGGAGAAGATATCAGCAGAGAGCGGAAGGAGGGCTGGGAGAGTGGAGGCGGGGCAGAGGAAGTGGAGAAAAGGCTGCTTTTAATTAACTTGACTTGACTATCTTATGTTTCACTTATGGAGAGTGGCTAAAGCAGTGAATATTACATCTGACAATAGAGCTCATATCTCACTATGACTTCAATCTGTTATTAGAGCTATAACCGCTTTGGCTTTTCACCTCTAAGCACAATCTCACCACCTTTCATCCTTCCACTGCTCAAAGTGAAATAGTCTCGCCGGTGTGTTCAGAGGCTTCCAGAGGTAAACACTCTTTGACATCATTATTAGCAGGACCCACACAGGTGGAAATCCAGCAGTGTGAGCCAGAAGCCTGCTTTTATACACCAGTACATGCAGCAGGTAGGTAAGTGTAGGGAGTACATAGGTGTTTGAAATTAAATATCCATTAATATGACCTCATTCATTATTTTCATCACTGCTTCTTTAATTTTGTGAGCTAAAATTGGAAGGTACAAGAAATTTTATCCATTCATTTTTGCATACGAGTTAAAGGAATTCAAGCAATGCAGCTGCAGCGCCTGTGCTGCATCCAAGTGACAGAGCGAGCGACAAGCGCAGCTATGCAGCTCAGTCTCTGAGTGTGTGAGCGTGTACATGTGGTGAGATGTCTCACTGATGCTTATGACCTTGTTGCTTCTAAAACGCTGTAATAACATCACTGTGGAGACCTGCTGACATGTATGGGCTCCCCTGCTCACAGAGTGCTGTCAGTGACCTGAATTGCTGATTGGTCTTTGCTTTCCTCTGATTGACAGCTTAGCATGTGGTTATCTGACCTGCTTTGATTAAGCTGCAGCCTGTAGCAGAATTCTCAGTTATCACAATTTGTAATGAGCATAATAATTTAAAAGCTAATGTCAAATTTACGTACAAGTGCATGTTAAAGTATTAGAGCATTGTAAAAAAGTTATTTTAATTTTGGGAACTTTAGAAAAAAAAAGGTCAAATTTCATGTATTATCTATTCATTATAAGAAAGGGGAAAAATGTTATGTTTCATTTGGTTTGATTTTAATGACTTTGGCTTATATCTCATAAAAATCAGAGATCCAGTAACTCAAATTCTTGGAGCATTTCTCAAAATCAATCCAAAGAAGTTATCTCAAGTCCAAGAGCATGATGATTTAGGGCTCCTTCACCATGAATCAGTGTGTGGCATGACTTGAAGGTGAGCAGCTTGTGGCACTGCTGAGGTGCTCCTGAAGCCTAGCTTGCTTTGATTCATATGCTTTGATAAAGCACTCTGCTCACAGCCAGCCTTTTCAGCGATAATCTTCTTCTCTTGCCCTCCTCGTGTCATCAATCATCTTGTGGACAGCTGTCGAGTCAGCGGCCTTCTCAATGACTGTGGTCAGATGTTCAGCATTGTACGGCATCTACATTGTTTGAGACTGATTGACTTAAAATTGAAATAAAATATTCTAATATTTTAAAGTATGAATTTTTACATTTCTGAGTTGTAAGCCATAATGATCATATTTGAAAAACTCTCGAATAAGGCTGTCCCGATACGATATTGATATCGGTCCGATATCAGCCAAAAAACAAATAACGGATTATATCAACCTGCATCTAAAATCTCCGATATCAGCACACCGATACAAGCAGTTCATTCCAGACTCCACTCCAACACCTCTAGCTAACAGTGTCCGGATCCAACAATCTGAGCCCACCTGATCACAACAAGAGTGAGTACTACGGTACAGGAGTAGGAGTGATGTCGGCTGTGTGTCAGTATTTTTCGTTAGAGTCCGAAAAAGACACTGCAGCTGAGTGCAAAACTTGTCATGCACAAGTTTGTGCCAAAATCGGATCAATATCGGTATTGGCCGATACTGAAGGCTACAATATCGGTATCGTATCGGAAGTAAAAAAGTTGCATCGGGACACCCCTACTTTGAAACCTTTTTATATACGGTACTATTAAAGCACATTTACTTCACATTTCCTCTCATATAAAAAAAACTAACAGTCAAGTGTGTCATTTATTGTGAATAAATACAAAGAAAAACAAATATCGAAGGTATATAGTTTTATCCTTTTGTTCTGAACATGTATGACGGAGTCAAATGTAAAAACTGCAACAACAGATTCGATTAAAAATAAACTTTCATATCCTGCTCATTAAAGTTATTTCATTCAGACAATTTAATCTCCAACTTTTGTTTGGATTTATTTCATCTGCCCGCTTAATTGCATTACTTGCAGCCTAAGATTGGACCTCTCTTAATACTTTCCTTCTAAAATTGGACTCAACCCATAATGAGGGGATAATACTTTGGCAACCAAGAGAACTGGAGACTTTGGAGGATAGACGCTAAAGCATCTGGCTCACTGCCCAAACAAACTGCAACACACTTAAATAGCAATCATCTGAAGTCAGAACAATATCCACAGAAATAAACACCCTCTACTTATGACGCCAGCAACACTGTGAGCAATTAAAGTCATTTAATTAATGCAGCTTTGATGATGTTAACCTTACTGGACTGACCAAAGCCCTGCAGGTTTTTAATTTCCTACCCACAATGCAGTAATCTTTGCAACACTACTGGGGCAGTCAGACACCTGAACTTGAGTATCATTCCACTTTTCATTAGCAGAAGCCATAGAAACATAAAATACTCCTTTGAGCAAAGAATTTGTACTTTTGTAAACCTGAGAGGCGTTGCTCAGCTGCTCAAATAGAATCACAGGGATACATTAATAAAAACTGTTTGAGAGGAAGTGCTGCTATTCATGTAGTGTATCACAGAAAACCTAACACAATTCAGATTTGCACAAATGCCCAGTTACAGCATGTATGAGGATTCAAAGCAACTTTAATGTCATCCTTGTGGTTATTCATTTCACAGCTTCATATGAGCGCAAGTAATGAGAAAATCTGCTCGCACTTTTCCCCACAGGTCTGAAAAGTCCATTTCATTCTTTTAATTTTTCGCTTTGCATGTATCTTTGTCTTTGAAATGAATCCTTGCCAGCAGCAGATATACGCTCTGTAAGACTACCCATGAGCTAATTAAACAGGCATTTAGAGAGGATGTAAGTAATGGAGCATCCAGCTATATAATGGCTTTTAAAGTGAGGGATAGTGTAGGGGGGGAGCGCAAGAAGCAGAGTCAGTGGTGTTGAACCCAGATAACAGTACGTCCAAAGTCAGAGCTTCGCTGAGATGACACCCATCAAAACATGGGATGGCAGAGACAATGACACAGTCAGTCCCACTCAACCAACAACACTTTCCCAGCGAGTTGCCAGTGGCTAAAAACTGAGGCTATTTATGTAAGACTTAAGAGGCTTTTATAACAGTACGCATTGAGCAGGAATCAAACTGCACTGAAAGGCTTTCATACAATATTTTCCTCAACATGTCTAAGACAACAGATTGACAGGTATGACTATTCAAATCTGCTATATGTTATGCAAAGTTGATCTTGACCCTCCACGCTGTAAACAAGAAGAGTTAAAAGATATTTCTGTTTCTAACACATACTGTCACTGGCCGTCTAAAATACGCAGCTGCTGCTTCAAAGCATGAGATAAGCATCTTAGGAAGCATACTTTGACTAGTGCTCCATTTCTTTTTCCAGACAGGGGTTGCTTGCATTTTTTGTGTTGCCATGACGACAGAAAATCCTCATTTGTTGTGCAAGTGTTCACTTTCCAGTCAGTGGCAGACACACCACAGAAAATGACCCCCTTCACAATCCAAGAGTTCCCACTAACCAACTGGCTTCCTCTCTCTCTCCCCCACAAATTCTCTGACAGTTCTCCGCTGTCTGATACAAATGACTCTATTTAATAACATAGCGACGGACCGCCACAAGCCTTCGTTACCCAGACAACTAATGAGAAGAATTAGAAGGAGAGACGGGACGTGACAGGGAGGCAATAGAAATCGTGTTCAAAGTAACTGGAAAACATTTCTGTTATAGAGTATGACTGATGAAAGCTGTAAAATCGATTGCAAGAAAACACAAGCAACGTTTTCTTTTCCAAATGACCAATGATCTTTGAGTTCATTCAGATGTAAATCTCAACGAGAATGAAAAAGAAACGAAGGAGTAGAAGAAGAAATGGGCAAAATGCGGAGGGTAATTATTATAATCAAAAAAAAAAAAAAAAACGTTGAGGAAAGGTTCATATCAGTTCAAGGATTCATATGAAAATTTTACATTTCATTAAGCTAACAGAAGTAGGAACAACTATAAAGAACTCTTAAACGCTCTGAAAACAAAGACAGAAACCACCTAAAATTTCAGTGAATCTCAGGAAAATGCACTGGAGAACAAAAACTTGTCATTCATGAAATTTACTGAAAAAGACACTGAAATGTTTGGGCAGGTAAAAATATATAAAAAGGACATTCTTCACTGAGCAGTTTCTCCTGAAACATGTCCAAGTAAGTTTGGTTTAGTTAAAGCAGGATAATGAATGAGGCTGTCTTTAATAGCCCCTTTGCTAAAGCTGCTATTAGGCCTTATTATGTGTACTTGAGTCACTGACTGCATTTTAATAGCAGCTTTAATGACGCTTAAGCTGCTGTTACACTTAGCTTATGCTGATGGGGATATTAACAGATGTAGCTCTTGTTTTCTCAGTTAAAAGGCTATTTAACTGGGTTCTACTGTGCTTTTGTTTTAAAATCAGACTCATGCTTATGAATTTCCTCTATCCTCAAAATCAGCTCATCTGAATGATGCCCTCAGATTTGGACAGGCAAATGAAAACTATGGTGGAATTCCAGAGTTTAATATCTTCATATGTTGTATTATGACAGCTTTGTGTTGCTACATTTTACGAATCATGCAGGAAAAATGTTTGTCTTCCTCTCCTGCAAGGCCTGCTGCATGTTGGACAGCTCTATTAAAGCCCTAGAAGCTCAAGGATAAAATAGTGGACCAGATCCAGAATACCATGCTTTATTCTATTACCAATCTCCCAATAATGTTTTCCCATATCTCAGGCAGAGAGGAGATGTAAAAGCATTTAAAGCCCTCAACTGGAAAATGTTCATCTGCACTTAGCGTATTAGCAGCATTCAAAATCAACATAATCATGCTAAGAATACTGCGTTCCAGACTCCTACGTACATTTCCAATTTCACGCTTTGTACCCATCGATAGATAGTGAATAATTCTCATTGTCAAAGAAGGTGGGAAATGTAATTCTCATCATACATCCTTTAAAGACGAGAACAATGGAGATGCGAGTGTAGGTAGGGGGCAGAGGTGTGTGGGCTTGTGTTGGTGTATAATTGTGCTTTACAAACTGTCCAACACTTGAATGGCCTAATGAGGTAAACTCCCTGCTACTGCATTGCGGTTCCTCTGCATGTCTTCAATGTCTGCTTAGTTTGTTTGATCAAGCACTGGTTAATGAGCAATCACCAAGACAAACAAGCACAACAAGAGAGGTAAAGAAAAAATAAATTAGAGATCTAGTGCAGTACATCCTCCACACAACGCTGCCGTACATCAAGCACAAACTGTACACATTATGTTTGAAGAAGAAAGCAATTTCCACAAGGTCTCTATGTATCTGAAACACTGTGTCTGTATCCACTAGGGCTGCTTGAAAAGAGAAGCATCAAGAAAACAGTGCACTGACTGTAACAACCTTGCATGTGCACTCCAGTCAAGCAGAAAACAGCCGTGTGCCAGGAGGCATTCTGGTCCACTTCTCTCTTTTTGTAGGCAGGCTTTTAATGGGTTCTTGACCTTAGTAATCACAGAGGAGGACTGTGGCAACTGTGGCCATAAGATCAATTGACCTGATGAAACATAAAGCAATATTTGTTGGCCACCCATTATACCGGGGCTCACATTAACAACCTTTACCCTTCAATCCCTAGACCAACATATCTTACTGCTGTTGCATAACAACCAAGACTGCACCTCATGAATCTGCTTTTACAAAGACATCACCAACTCAGGGAAATGTTCAAAGACACCAAGCATGAAATGATAAAGACGTTACAATTATGCCTGTCTAAAAGATAAATAGAGTAGCACAAGAAATGACAACAAATACAATTAACGACAACTATTAAAAATCTGTTTAAATCTTGATGTCACCCAGGCAATACATGCAAACATGATTAAAGGTTTATGAGTCATAACGCAACACATCCTGGTATTTAGAAGAAGGATGGAAAAGGAAGCTGATTAACACAAGACTATTCTCATTATCTCTGTTCTTTGTAGGGATGCTAACGTTTTTTCGCTAATATAAAAGCAAACCAAAGACCTCAGGGTCTTGTCCTGAGCCTGTGGGCACTAGCTTTGATTTCACTGTTAAATCCTCAGACCTGGTTTTCTACCAGCTTTTCGCCAAATTTCAAGAGAACCAGTTTTCAAATGGCTAAAACCTTATTATAGCATCTACATGTAGGTCCATCTCAATTATTGGAATATTATCAAAAAGTGGAGGTTTTTCAGTGATTTAATTCAAAAATGTGAAACTCCTATATTATATAGATTTATCACACACGGGCTAATATATTTCAAGTGTTTTCATTTTGATGATTTTAACTTATAGCTCATAAAAACCCAAAACTCGGAGTCTCAGAAAATTAAAATATTACTTCACACTAATAATTTAAAAAAGGATTTTCAACACAGAAATGTTAAACTACTGAAAAATATAAACATGTATAACTCTCAATACTTGGTTGGGGCTTCCTTTACATGGATTATTGCAGCAAGGCATGGAGGCGATCAGTCTGTGGCACTGCTAAGATCTTATGGAAGCTCAGGTTGCTGGGTCTGGGGGTCTCGCATCTTCCTCTTCACAGCACTTCATAGATTCTCTCTGAGTTTCAGGTCAGGCGAATTTGCAAGCCAATCAATCACAGGGATACGATGGTCCTTAAACCAGGTGTTGGTATATTTGGCAGTGTGGGCAGGAAAATAAAAACATGAGGGGTTTTCATGAGCTGTAAGTTATAACCATCAAAATAAAAAGAAATAAACACTTGAAATATACCAGTCTGCATGTGATGAATCTATATAATACATGACTTCCACTTTTTGAACCAAATTACTGAAATAAACCCACTTTGTGATGATATTCTAACCCATTGAGATGCACCTGTACATAAACACTCTTTTGTTCTTCAATTTTCTCAATTATTTTAGGGATGAAAGACAGCGAAAGAAGTTTTTCATGATTGCATCTTTCAGTGGTGACTGAAATGACAATTTCAGTGAAACTAGTTTTTTATACAAAGTCATAATAACAGCACACAATGGCTATAGAGAAAGTTTAAAGACAAAATACAAGTGGTTTTAAAACTTTACCTACAAGAAGAAAAGAGACAGCTAACCCTAACCCTAACCCGTGAGCAGGTTTTTATGCTGTGCGGCTCGGACTGCAAAGGTAAAGGGACCCCTTGATGCTGATGTGGATTATTCATACCTGCTGTCACAACAAACTCAGAAGCTGTCAACCTTCAGGTACACATGCTGAAGGTCACTGGATCAAAACTTGCTTCATCTCATTTTCTCACCAGGGACGTTGATGCCCTGAAGTGTATTCATTTTGGCCAAAACTGAGAAATGACTGCCGCCGTAAATCTGGATTAACATAGACATTTAATCAACATGTACAAAGAGAGTCTTTTAACAAGTTTTTCCTAATCTTTCTAATAGTGGCTAGACTCCTCTTTTAATGTCTGCTCTACAGAAAACTGCTCACTGGGGAGAGATGTTGCTCCGGCTCTTTGAATTTGTTATGAGACGGGAACATTTTCTGCAATACACTGAATGATTGACAGAGAAAATAACCAACATATTAAAATGTAACCAACTGCAGATATCTGTTGGTTGTATTTTATCTTTTATTTTGATTTGAAAGCTTTCCAGAAAGTGTTAGCAATTGAATGTCAGAAAATGTAAATTCACGAAAGAGCAGAGGGAAATCAAAATCTTAGAGGCTGAGTTAAAGGTTTCAAAATCGGATACATATTGTCATTTGATTTCTTGAATATCAAAGAGACAGTACATGCACAGACAAGTGCAAAAGCATCTAGATCCTGCAACAGGTCATGGCTTATTCTCAATTTTCACGTCAATGAATTCTGGACTTGGAGCTCCTTTTTTCAGCTTAGTGTGAGTGTTGAGTCCTGCCCAACACTAAGATCATGTGGTGTGTTAGTGCCCAGATGTGGGCCTAACAACACCAAATTTCACCCTTGGTGAGTCTGGCTCCCTGTAGACTTCACTTTCTTATCAGAGTTCATTGTGAACTTGGTGATGTAAACTACTCACACATGTATTGCAGGTTGGTCTTTTCTTATCTCCTTTCTCATCTTTTTAATATTTTTTGTCATGTCATGATAGGGTGCCCTCTTACTTCTTTTTGCAGCACCCCAAGCCCTCGGGAACTCAAACACATACAAACCTGCTCATGACACCATTACAGTCCATAAAGATTCAGGGCTCAGGTTTTCTGATGCAGGTTGGGACTGAGTTGATGTCATGTTATAGAGCGGTCAGAGCAGAAAGCAGAAATGTTGGAAAAAAAAAAGAAGAAGAAACAGATGTGATGTGTTCAGCCAAACCCAAACTTACTGGAATCATCCAGTTGGCTAGGTCTCCGTGTTTTGACACCTGCATGGCTCCAAGCATTGTCAGGTTGACGTGACCTCTGCAGAGGATGACACGACAGAGGAAGACAGCTGTCAACTTCAGAGTCAGTTACATTTATGAACTCACTAGTTCACTCAAAAACAAGAACACTACTTTCTTGTTTTTATTCCTTTTCAAACTTTAGTTTCTTGTTGTTATTTAATCTTCAATATAACTTATTTCTTGAGTTCAATTCAATCTCTACTTGGAGTGGAGGACTTCTCTACTCAAGCTTCTATAAGAAATCCCTACGATATGAGTTTTGCTGTATGAGCCAAGTTAAGAAAACAAAACTTACTGTCTGTTTCTACAACATTTTCAAGTTAAAAGTGAGAAATCAGACAACGCTTCTACAGCAGATAAATTGTTTATTTGGATGCTTGCAGACAAACAAAATCAAACCCGGACCTTCAGCACTAATGAGAGGAGTGAAAGTGAAAGAGTCTTGATTTGTATTCCCTGCTGCACGTGAAAACAAAAGGCAGGTGGGCCACTCGCAGACACTAAGACTGCAAAGTAAAAAAGTTTCATGATGAAGCTGGAGTAAAAAAGTAATCCCAGCTTTAGAAGTGACATGGGTTACAATCATATGTTGTGTTATTCTTACTCTGCAACTCTAGACTTTTAACAGCAAGTACACACACTCATATAGTCAGCGCGGTTTTGTTTGATCGCAGCCACTGACTGGACAGCGCTATTTATGAGCACTATTGGATTTCCACTGGGTGGACAAACAGAACTGATGCTGCAGGGAGTGCGGGCGGGCGATCTCAGACAGCTGGCAAATCAATAAGAAGCAGGGACCTTGGGAATATTGGCATAGCTGTTGTCTTGCTCCACTGGTGACAGTGGCTATTTGTTAATATCCAGTGTTACAAATCATGGCAGTGTCCTGTGGTCTGGTCCTGCTCAGCAGCGATTGTTGGTTTCTGGTGCTATTTGTTATTTCTTTGTTTTTTTAAGCCACACTAAGAAGTTTATAGACAGAACTCATGTTGTTTCGCAAATGATTTGAAAGTGTAAATGAGCTCCCTCTGATGAAATCCAGAAATGTCTAATTTATTGAGAGTTTTAAAAGCTTTTGTGTTGTGACCTTACCCCCGGATCATGGCAAATGACTCATCACTGGAAAAATAGGAGGCCCCAGGGAGCACAGTGACCGTCTCCTTTCCTATCCAAAGAGAGGATTGGCAAATTTAATATTTGGTAAAGTCCAGTTTTAGTAAACTTTGATAAAAGCACACTAAAATGTTGGAAAATGTTGTACATCAGCAGGTGGATTTTCACTTTAAAAAGCTTTATTAAGATGCCCTGTTGTCATTAGAAAGTCATTCAAATCTCTGTGCATTGGTGAGTAATAGGGGTGGGAGAAAAAAATTGATACAGCACAGTATCGCAATATTTTGTCTGGTGATATATCACATCGTCTCATTTACGAAATATCGATTTTTCAAATTTATTGTTAATATGAAGTCAAATCTATGATAATGGAAAAAAAATCAACTGTTTGTCCAGCAGAGGTGACAGAAGAAAGTTAGTGCAACAAATATATATATAAGGTTTGCATGATGTGCTACATTCAAATAAAATACTGTGGTAATAAGACAAACATAAAGAAAAGCCAAATGCTAAATTAGCTGAACAGTTGAAAAAATTGTATGAATCGCAATATATTGTATCGCAATACTCACTTTATTGCAATTGTTAAAAAGTCTCGCAATAATATCGTATTGTGATTCCCACCCCAAGTAAGTGGGAACTGGATAAACACCTGGATAAACACTTGAAATCTCATATACTATGACAACTGAGTTTAGTCTCGTACCGTATGGCATCTTATAGTGTGTGAGCTAAAACGCACTCATCCTTGAAAATGTTTGCACGACTTTTCACACAAGCGCACTAGTGTGAGGTATTGATTAGGATAACACTCACCAGCATTAATCAGGTCCGCATCCACTGCTTCGTCAGTGGGGTATGGGCCCTGTAAAAGGGGAGATGAAGATAAACGAGAATTTGCACACAGTTCGGCAGTCACACATACACCCACATGTCAATCAGCCTGACCAGCCATGATCTTTCAAGGGAGGGACAGACACAATCACATTTTTCTGATTAGATGAGACATTGATTTTCCGTGTGTTCAACAAAAGGGGCAATCCTGTCAGGCAGACAGGAGAAGAGAGAGAGAGAGAGAAGGGAGCAGGGGAGAGGGGAGAGCAGACCCTCTCTAAAACTGGCAATAGTAATTAAAAGAAACTTTGACAAATAAAGCATTAGCATAGGCGCCTACATTCTCCTGTCAAAACAACTGATCGGGTAGTCATTCCAAGGCAGCAACAGCAGCCGTCTTTGTTGAAGTCTCTGCCAGCAAATAAAGCTTGTGAGAACGAAAAATGGAAGAGAAAGTGTCAAACTGCTACAAGTTGTTACACAACAAACTCCTGCACATTTCAAATGAAGGCCCTGGCTAGGAATGATGCCACTCAAACGAGCCTCCGTTTATCTCGCTTCATGTGCAGAGGACGGTTAAGTTTAAAAGCATTTATTCCTGCTTTCAAAACAGCATGGTCAGAAAATATGCTGCTCGTTAGCTTGTTTGGTTGGAGTTCAAAGCGCTGTAAGCTGAAAGGAAAAAGAAAGGCTTCTGTAGGCGTCTTACCAGTCCCAAAATTCCATTTTCACTTTGTAGGTGTACAGTGATGTCTGGCTTTATGAAGTTGCTGGCCAGCATGGGGATACCAATACCAAGGTTGGCTGATGGGCTCTTTGTTAAAGATGGTCACGACTACATGTGCACTACCATGTGATGAGACACAGAGACAGAAAGAAGCAGACCCAGCATTATGTTGAAAGATGCTTTGCCAAACACTCGCTCAAACCCTCATTTTTAAGCACCTTGTTGACTCATCCTAACAATCATGTTATGTAAATAAGCTAAAAAAAAACTGTCATCTGGAGAGGGCTTGGGACCACAGATTTTAAGTCTCAACATTTCCACGAAACCAAATTTGTCACACTGAATCATCCATATAATACACAGATAAGCCTGTGGCAAATGTTAAAGCAACAGCCTGTAAATGTTTAATACTGATATTAATATTGGAGGTGTATAATTTGCAAGTACAAACAACTGATGCAAAGGCTAAAGTCAGCATTTTGTGTGGGAAACAAAAAGCCAAAGCACAAGAGTTTGCTCTTGATAATTAAAGATAGTACATAGTGTTGCACTGTCTGCTTGCAAAAGGATACCATACATGCCATCTTCAAACTCCAAAGCAGCCCTGCGAATGATCCTTTCCCGAACAATATCTGAGTCCTTCTTTGGTTTGGGTTTCTCTGCTTGGCTTTTCTGTACTGTACGTTTCTGGAACAAGATAAAGGAAGGTAAGGAACTGGGAGAAAGCATCTTTGGAGGTTATTTCTGGCTGCGTACAAGGACACATATGGATAAGCGCTTGTATGTGTGTTTCTCAACAGTGATTCAAAGGTTAAACCGGGCTACAATGGCTTAGTCAGGGGGGGTTTACTCTCCATTGTTACAGGATTAATCACCTTTTTTTATCAATCTACGCAAGTGTTACATGAAGCATTGCTTTTAATGCACTGATATAATCTCATGATCCAGAAAACAGGAGAAGAATCAGTGCAACATTTTACATAAATCAACCTTGTTTAATGAAATAATCCAGAAAATATGGAAAGCACATATGCAGCGTGCCATTTCATTGCTTTCATGTATAATCTCTCCATCCATGCGAGTTCTGAAAGGCCTTGTCTTGTACCTCAATCCTTTTCTCGTAGCTGGCTCCCTGGACAATCCTTTGGATGTAGATGCTGGGTATGTGGATGTCCTCCTCAGCGAAGGTCCCAACGTCCACTATCTCCTCCACCTACACAGACACATAGAGAGATAAACTCCATCTTCACTCAATAAATATCTCCCAACCCTTGAGATTAAAGCTTAGATAAGGAAATGTTGCACTGATGGAACTGGGCTGCCAGGAAATAACCTCTGCCCGTCCAGCTATGAAATTTGACAGATTGGCTGATAAGGACCATCGCTTTCCTTTGCTACTCATGAGACATATCTAAAGATGGAACAGTTTATAGGACTGGAGCATCCCTGACTAAAATAAATACAAAGGTTCAATTATTACCACAAAGTGAACAGGTGACTTTTTGTCTGATATTAAAACCTAAATTGAGCTAGGTGACGCACAAACAGATATTCGCCCTCCAAATACGGTCTCACAGTTTTGAAATTCTGCTACTGCCATGTCTTTCACGGGTAAAGTGCGGGTAAATATTTGTGGGAGAAGGTGTTGCATTTATTTTTATTTTTGCCACTGACTGCAGTGTTAGTGTCTGTGCAGCCGAAAGCCAGCTTGGCAGGCTGAGAACAGAAGAGGATCATCTGACACAGCAAGCCCAGGGTAAACAGCTTGATCCTGTGATCTAAGGGGGATGAGACGAGAAGGGGGTGCACGGAGGATACATTTTTGGCACTGAGGGGGGCTTTGGTCAAACCAACACATGAAGGTCAAACAAGGCAAACACTCTCTGCTTCTCTGTGTGGAGAGCAATGTTTGGCTGCTTGATTTTATTCTTGGGTAATTTCCACAAGCACTGCCTGGGGACTCTCATACAAGGTTTGCATTTCAGCTCGGGGATCTAAGAAGGGCTATTTTAACACTGACCGCTGAAATTCTTTAAAAACAACATTTAACGTTAAAACTCTAAATTTGTCACCAAATTTTGAGAGGTACTGTGTCTCAAATCACATCAAACCACATATGCATGAGACAAAATCGATACAGCATAGTATCACGATATTTTGTCTGGTGATATATCACACTATATCAAAGGATATTTTGATATCATTTGATAAAGTGATTACCAATGTGTCAACAGGTAGAGATAAAGTGTGCAGGACTCATTTCTTGCAAAATTTGGCATGACGCGTGATCGGGTTGTCTGTTGAGTGGTTTGAGACTGAACCACTGGTGTTAGGGGGTTTCGAACCATCTAAATCAGGAAATTAGTAGGGGCGGGAGAAAAAAATCGATACCGCATAGTATTGTGATATTTTGTCTGGTGATATATCGTCTCGTCTCACTTAGCAAGTATCGATTTTTCAAATTAATTGCTAATGTGATGTCAAATCTATGATAATGAAAAAAAAAAATTCAACTGTTTGTCTGGTGAGGTTTGCAGAGGTGACGTCATAGAGCAGGAGAAAGTTAGTACAACAAATATATATAAAGTTTGCACAATGTGCTACATGAAAATAAAATACAGTGTAAAAGTGACAAACATAAAGGAAAGACAAATGCTAAATAAGCTAAACAGTTGAAAAAAATGTAAAAATCACAATATATTGTATAGCAATACTAACTGTATTGCAGAATGTTAAAAATCCTAATAATATTGTATCGTGGCCCAAGTATCGTGATAATATCGTATCGTGGGGCCACTGGTGATTCCCACCCCTCATGACTCTCACACAAAAGTGCACCACTTTGACTAGAAACAGTACTTAAAGTGTGTACACACAGAGGCTATGCCACCCAAACAAACCACAGATGGAAAGAGCTATTGATCGAAGCAGAGCTGGGTCAACACAATTGGGGTAAGAATCCCACAAGGAGTGCACCAGCTTCTCTCATCCCTGGATGACATTAGGAAAATCTGTACAGCTGATCCCCTGTTTCCCTCTTCATATGTGGTATGTGTTTAATTGTGCTGCTGTTTTTTTTTTAGTGTATTCAGAACTTAATTTCATATTTACATTAGGCTTCAGTCTCTGACATTTTGAGTCAAAACACAAATCAAGCCAAGCTTTAAGAGCATCAGCAGTGAGCTTTGTTTCTGAAGAAGATTTTTCTTTCTCAAACAGAAAAGCTCCAAGAGGGAGGAGGCGCCGATTCTCTCTTTCTTTCTGAAGAGTCTTCAAAAAGGATAAGCACTCGAAAAAGAAACAGAATTAAAAGGAAAAAAGGAGGGAGCGCACCAGAGTTATCATCATATCTTTGGGGACCTAAAGGGGACTTAACCATGACAACATAATTCTCAGCTTTTTATGTTTCCCTGCTTCACCCCTGTGTGGCTCAGAGTGTAACCTATTTATTCCATTTACATGAGGGGCAAGCAGCCGTTCAGAGCAAATTGAATTGAATCTCTCCTTATCTTCACTTCCTCCCTCAGCACTCTGCGCTGACTGAGAGGAGTCAATGGCTAAGAGTGGATCCCATCTTAGCGTTGTCATGGATACACAGGCTTTGGTCTGCGGTGAGCAGGGGCCACTCAGGACTGTAAAGTGATTTTAGACTCTTTTTCTGGTTCTCTTGCAGTCTGGTTCTGGTAAATCTCTGATGCTCCGCAGCGAAAACGAGGCCATGCACGATGAGATTGGTAGCGCAAGAGATTTGATACAGCAGTCCCACACATCCACCCACAGCTTTCTCTGGGGGCTGGATGTGTCTTTTGTGAGAGTGATGATTTTCATAGACATCTTCATCAAGGAAGACGAGGCTCATTGCGTTATGAAACACCAACAGTAATGAAATACGGAAGACTAGCTGCCGAGGGAGTTACTGAAAATATGGAATGTGGCATGAAATTCAAGACTTCATGTGACTGAATTCAATTAACAATATCGATGTCTAATTTTCCCTCTCTCCTCGGAGAGATGAGTTTCTCGGTATCTGTTTGTCTCACACACACACATTCAAACAGACCCAATATTCAATTTCCAATTACCCTTCTAAAGCTAAGTAAGAGCACAATAACACGCTCATGCAATTTAAATGTGTACATAAAAAAGCCTCTTTTCTTTTCATCTGGGTGGTGTGTCCTGGCTGGCATCGGCGCTCAGATGCAGTTCAGACAGGAGGTTCAACAGACAGGGACTGATCCGGCGTGAAAATAAAATGGTAAAAAACACACAAATAAAAACACACACAGACACACACAAATGAGCAGGTGTGAGGAGTAGGCAAACCGGCACACATTGATATTCCCGTATCTGTAGAATGATTTTCACATCAATGAAAGCTGAGCAAGGCATGAAGTGAGCTGGCAGGAGGATAGAGGGAATCAAAGTGCCCTCGGGGGACATACAAAGCGGTTCTTTTTAAGGGTTTGTGCTTTTTTAGGCTCTGAGCTTTGTCAAATCTTGTTAATCTCAAAATTGATTAGACACAAGCTACTGCATTCCTGGAATAAACCGTCGACGATGTTTGTTTTGTACAGTGTTTATTCTGTGATGATCAACAACTGCTGGAAAAATGCCATTGTTTTCATTAACGTTTGGCGGACCACAATAAAGATAAAAAAACACACACACAACCGCATTATCAGTTTGAGCACATTGTGGAGTAGAATAATCAAAAATAATGGCAGGTCAATCAAAATGTCAGAATTCATTTAGACAAGAACGAAACAAAGATTGTGTTTACATGAGGACTGCAGTCCTTGTTATGATTACATTTTTCAATAATCTTGAATATGTGCTTTGCATATAAATGTTCTGGTTTCAGATATCTAGGCAAGGTCTTATCCATAGACTGGATATACTATGGACAACTTAGTTCTGCCTTCCGCCAGTAAGATTTGAAGCCGAAAAGCTCTCTGTATTTCTGCATTTTTTTTCTTCATTTCCTGAAACCAACATTGCGCAGTAGCGTTATACACATTCGGCGGGAGAGTCTCTCCAAGGGTCGCTGTGATGACGCTCGGCTCAAACAGCGTATCCCCCGGGTGAGCTGCGCAATCTTCGTACTCCCATAAGCTGTATCAAGTGTCAATCATAGAAAACAAAAACCCCCTAATAACTTTTTAAAATAGAGCTGCACAGAAAAAAGAGGACTTGAGCACAAACCAGTCTTACAATAACTACATGTCAACATCTAAAACAGGGGGGAGAAAAATGTATATTCTGTGTAATAAATTTCTAAAGTTTGTCCACGCAGCCCCATAAGGATGGCTGGCGGAGGCGGGATTTATGACCTATACTGCAGCCTGTCACCAGAGGGTGAGGTTCTCTGAGTGGCTTCACCCAGCGAGGAGGAAGACACTGTCTATTCTATACAGTCTATGGTCTTATCCAGGTTTTTAAAAAAACAGGATTTTCTATCTTAAGTGCCCAAAATACACCTTGGACCACTGTGGCAAGAACGAACTGTATCCTTGACTCATTTTTTTCTATTTCTTGTACAAAACTAATACAGCAACTGGACTTGTCAATTTCTTCTCTCCCCAGCTGACTAATCAGAGGGTGCAGGACATTGGATGTGAGTTCTGTAAACAACAATGACAAAAGGATAAACTTATCAGATTCTTCTCTTTTTGAGGGGACATTTACTGGTCTGAGTCGCTGCTCTTGCCAGAAAACAATTATTTTCCCTGTTTTCCTTTCTTTTAGAAATGTCCTTGAATAAAAGCAAATATGAAGCAGGTCAACAGTCCCAATGGTCACAGTTCTAAGTAAGTGGGAGTGCCATGAGACAACTTTTGTAACCTAGCAACAGTAAGCCCCTGTGAGAGGCACTATGAATTGAAGATAGTGGCAGCACAAAATAAAAAGTTTATGGACTGAGGGCCAGACACTGGTGCATCAAAAAATGACTTATATATGAGAAATCAAGACTAGACTACAGATGTATTACCATACTATTGTGATCCTGTGTAGAAAATGGAAGATTCTTATGTTCAATGTATAAATCAAAAATAGGAATGAAAAGTGAAACTAGTACAATGATGAAAGTGTTTCTGTACTTGGTGGAAAACTATCCTCACAAAATCCTAGCATGTGTTGGTTTATTTCATGTGAACAAACCCTTTTGAGAGTGATATGTGTCCTTGAATTGGCACAATAGAGGATTGTGTAATAGTAACGTAATAACCTGATTCTTATTATAAGCTTTGAATCAGATTTAAAACCTCTTAAAAATACATAAACGGAAAGAAGCTTGAACTATAATTGTGTACTTACCTGAGTTTGTAATCCATTAATGTCTGTATTGTGTTTGCATGGGCATATTAGCACACGCTCTGATATGGAACAGCCAGGAGAGAGAAAGTGTGGCTACTGGCGACAGAGCATGAGGATGACAGCGACACCACACTCTCATTACCCCGTGTATTTATAGCCTCTCCATCTTCCTCTCAGTGTGTGTGCCTGTATGTTTGTGTATGTGGGCACTTGGCCACGGTCTGCCGCCACTTTCGGGGCTCAGCTCTTGCTTTATCCTCTAACCCAGAATACTCACAACGCCGGCAATCTGTTTCCTCTCAGTGGAAGCCTGCCTCGCCTATGACAGCTTTTACAGGATCCAGAAAATGAGCGACAGCTAGCCAGTGCAAACCCTGACAGCATTACAGAGACTAAAAATACACTTTTCCAATTGCACATACAGCACATGAGCAGACCTACTCCAAGCAAAATGTTTACATTTCAAAGAGCACATAAGCCCGTCTGCGATGTGTTTCAGATTCAGATGATTGACAGTCTTCAAAAGACCTCTAAACTTACAATCGGAGCAAATAAAATGCAAATGTACTATTTCAAACATTCAGTTTGTGCATAAGTTCAGCAAACCTGTCACAGCTCCAAATAATCTTTCATATTTATATGCTCTGTCACCTTTCTGTCTCTCTGCTCCACCACTTCTGCACTGACCTACAGCTGATTATAAAACCTTAGCTCTACAGGCAGTCTAGAGCAGATTAGTCATCTGTAAATGTCAGCGCCACACATGAATTTAAGCCTATTTCATACCTCTCTTACTCTAACACAAGCCAACGTGAGGTAACATTTGTTTCAGACTGAGCATGACCAGAATGGCCAATTGTGTCCTCTTATGTTGAGGAGTACATTCTGTATACTATGACGATACTAGAGAAGCATTTTCAAAAGAGACGTTCAAGTACAGCCAGGAAATACTCTTCAAGGGGAGAGTGCAAATACCACTCGTTATTACGCAGCCTGTCTAATTAGTGCTCTAATTAATGAAGGGGAGGTCCAACTTGAACAGCTGCCGGTAACTACACTGTATTACATACTCCAATCGTGCACAAAAATGGATCTGTCGCTCTGTAGCCCTCGATGGGAATGGAGCGGAGGACCACAGGATTTTAGCTGATTATCTAAGCAGTGTTAATTACTAGGGGTGGGAATCACCAGTGGCCCAACAATATTATCACAATACTTGGGCCACGATACGGTATTATTGCGATTTTTTACATTTTGCAATACAGTGAGTGTAAAGGAAAAATAAATGTTTCGGAAAGGGGAATGCGTGGTACCGGTTTAGGAAGTGCAGTTGAAAAGTTTGTATGGCGGCGGGCATACACGCTAAAGTTATCCATCTTGTTTAGATTACTGTAATTCCCTGTATGTCGGCATTGGCAAGTCAGAGCTCAACCGCTTGCAGCTCATTCAAAATGCTGCTGCTCGTCTCATGACTGGGACTAAGAAATGCTGCTTTCCTCTCTTCACTGGCTCCCTGTTAGGTAGAGGATCGATTTTAAGATTCTTTTATTTGTTTTTAAGTCTGAATGGCTGGCCCTGGAATATCTGTCTTACCTTGTTGAACTGCGCCAGCCCTCCAGAGTCCTGAGGTCAGCTAATCAGGTGGTTAGAATCTAGGGGAGATCGAGCATTTTCTGTCGTGGCTCCCACTTTGTGGAATATTTTACCCCTGACAGTGCGTACTGCTAACTGCCTTTCCACTTTTAAAACACTTCTGAAGACGCACCTGTTCACTTTAGCTTTTGGGGAAGTATTGCTACTTTTATTGGGTATTTTATGTATTTGCTATGTTTATCTATATGGTGTTTCTATGTGTTTTTATATGTTGTACGTCTTTATTGTTTTTATAGTTTTTATTGTTGTTTTTTTTAAATCTCTGGCTATTTTACTGTAAAGCACTTTGGTAGGCCACTGACTGTTTTTAAATGTGCTATATAAATAAAGCTGACATTGACATTGACGCTGAAGGAATATCCGTCACTCACTCTCTGCTCTTAGCATCCAGCTAGTGAGGGAACAAGGTACAAATTTAATATAATTTGGGGATGATGAGTGCCAACGTTGTGTGCATTTTTCTATTTATGTGTCATTAAATGTGTGGGTGCTGGTCTGTGTATGTGTTTAGCACAGCCCACCTCTCTAAAAGCCTTGAGCTGGCATGACACATCCCTGTTAACTAGGGATGTGTCATGAACTGGATCTCAATCTTTTGTAATAAATGGATTTAATGGTTTTTTAAATATTTCTTTATTCATGAATTATGAAATACTTTGTACGCCTTTTATGCGATTATGTAGTGTAGATTTTCATCTTGGTTTATGTTAGCTGTTTATCATGAATATTATCAGTTTGTAATTATTGTTCTTTCTGCCTTTTTTCCTTTGCTCAGCTCTCAAGTGTTTTGTGTCAAACTGCTACCACCTTTTAAAATAAAAAATAAAAAAGTGAAGACAAACCATCTGTTGAAAGAGTCCTCCATTGCTCTAGCTGGGTTGGCAACAGTGAGTATTGCGAAACAATATATTGCAATTTATATCAAATACTAATTTTGCATTTGGCTTTCCTTTATGTTTGTTTAATTTACGATGTATTTCATTTTCATTTTCATGTAGCACATCTAACCCTTACCCTAACTTTATATCTATTTGTTGTACTAACTTCCTCCTGCTCTATGTTGTCACCTCTACAAACCTCACTGGACAAACAGTTGATTTTATTTTTCCATTATCATTGGTTTGACTTCATATTAGCTATAAATTTGAAAAATCAATACTTGGTAAATAAGATGATACGATATATCACCAGACAAAATATCACAATACTATGCTGTGTCGATTTTTTCTCCCATCCCTATTAATTACCTGATTTAGATGGGTCAAAATCCCATAACAACAGTGGTTCAGTCTCAAACCACTCAACAGATAACCTGATCACACATCATGCCAAATCAATTTCGCAATAAATGAGTCCTGCACATTTCATCTCTACCTGTTGGTTGACACATTGGTAATCACTATATCAAAAAGTCGCCATCTCAAGGTGGTTTTCTTTTGAAAGGAAATAATTTCAGCTGGAAGAGAAGTCACCTCTCTGCTACCTACAATGGAAATGTTCAGTTTAATGAGAATTATAACAGTTAAGCAGGATGGTGTATATTAGAGGAGTGGTTTTTGCTATCATGGTCCTGACCATCAAAGAGAAATTTTCCTTTCAATAGGTTATTCTGTAATTGGGCTAAGTTCAGCGGCACTTGGTTAATATTTCATTCTCAAATTTCACTGCTTGGCTTATTCCACGAGTCCATTCATGAGTTCACCTTGTGCTTCTTGAAAGGCTACTGTAAGTGAAGTATGTTATCAAGGCTGCTCATTCATGAATGATTTGCCGTGCCACTTCATAGATGTGCAGTCTTCAGTCCCAAGGATATCCGATACTTACATGATTAAGGACAGTGTTAATGCCATCAGTGTTCCTCTGACGAATTGTCTTTTCAAACTCATATAAAACAATCATACGCAATACACATTTGAAGGTAAAAAGCTTTCAAAAGCTTTCATAACTCTGAAATTGCAGAAAACTGCTGCAGTTGTAGAGAGGACAGCTCAACAACTACCACCATTTGCCTCCGAGCTCAAATTCAAAGAAGTGAACCATGCTGGAGGCAACTTTTACATTGTTGCTGCTGCCACATCCTATGGTGCATCAAAAAAGGGGACTCAGTCGTGTGCTGTGCCTTTTCTTTCAAGCATAATCAGGGCTTTTAAATCAATTGAGACTCAAAGCAAGGCTACAGTCTGTCACACACAAATCTCTCAGCATTAGAGCTACAAATTGCCTCTATAGCGAGTTTAAAAAGACAAAATTACCTCAACAACACATCTATATTCACAACAAGGCCATGATTAAATCATCTCTGATATGCAATACTGCATACTGTAACTTTTTTCTTTACAATAAATATGTCAAAAGTTGACCTCCCATTTCTTCTATAACACTGATGACAAATCGCACTGAGGCATTACTGTCTTGGCTGAGGTAATTTGGGCATTCATTGCACTGAACAGCTTATTCATAAATCTCTTTAGGCCGGGGAAATGATGTGGAAAATGAGAGGATTCATAATTATTTGCCAACAGTTGCTTGAGTAATGGAGTTAGTGCGGGGCAAAAGTCACGATCAAGGCAAGTAAAATCAACAAGGCATGATAAGTGCTGCGAAACAGCGTCCAAAAATGTGGCTGAGATTATTCAAACTCCAGCAGTGAATTAGCCAGACATTTCATACCATGAAGAAGTCTTACTGGGTCACTGTAATACAATTTCATGGCCAAACAGTGATTCAATCTAACCTGGACTTTTGTTGCCACACAGCTGTACAGTAGAGGGCTGTAGCTGATTCCCTTTAAGACGGAGGTCATTTATACCACCAGTTAGGCCTCCCGTCGGTTAAAGGAACAAATCACGCTCACACATACATTCATTCAACTCATGCATGCATGACTGGATGGCCCTTTTGCACACAAACACCCACACCTCTGCACACAGCACTGCCACGGTGAGAGAATACAGTTGAGTCATTTACTGTGACTGATGGTCGAACAACAGCAGAGCCCACTGCTTTGATTCAGTCTCTGGTGCATTGTTTCCCACAATGCAATGGGGCCTTTCACTGTACCTGCGATAAGGGAATAACTGGACCAGCTGGATACTGTGCAACATTCAACAATTGAATAGCAGGATTTGGTTGCCTGGCAACCATGGCAGGGGCTGGCAATGATCTGGTAATTCTCAAAGTGCTTTTGTGTTATCTGGTTCTCTGACACGCTTCCTGCCTTTTGTAGTTCAGATTCTGTTTGAGAAAGAGGAGATATTCATAATAGAGTAAGAACAGGACTATGATGCCAGTGACTGACTCCAGGCAATGAAGCAGGAGATAGTTCTTGTCAAAGTTCAGATTCTTCACACAGAAAGAAAAGGACTTAGATGGAGTACAAGAAGACCACAAAAAGTCTTCATGCATTTATCTTGAACTTGACAGATTTGGTGTCTTCTTGGTGAGATAAGGCTGGCCAGTGAGTCAGTCCAGGGTTAATCATACACTCCTGGGACATCATTTGAATTTGCCATTAATGTGTGACAGAAGTAAAGTCACTGAGTTACATATCTTCACATCTGTTAGCCCCTGAGGACTGAAATGCAATTTACAAACACACACACACACACACTCACTCAAAACGCCAAGAGGGAAGTAGTTACTCAGAACCCAGACTAAAATGCAAGTTTTCTGTGATGACAGATGGCTAAGGATATCACAAATTTATTTCAAATTTGCCTCAGTAAAGTCAATTATAGAATAATGTAGCATAATAGCATAAGGGACACGTTTTAGAGTTTGAAACAAAGGCAATTCATCATTTTTATGAATATATAAAGTATCAACCCACACTAAACAGATTAATATGTTTCAGCAGATTTAGGGGTTTATACGACTCTTAAGAGGAGTTTGGATCACTAACCCCGGACGCCTGAGCTGCCAAGCTAAACAGAAAGTGATATAAATAATGAAAGCATTCGACCCTATCTGCTGCTTAACCGGTACACAGAGACAGCAGGGTCAATATTGACAGCACATCAGCAGATTTATGACCAAGCATGCACCGACTCCTAAAGATACATTTATTTTCAGAAAGAGGGGGTAATTGCTTCAGCACCGCAGATAAAAGGCCTTTAATGGCTATTGTAATAGAGGCCTATCACTTTATGTCTCCAGTAAGTACGCTTGTCATGGATGATATTCATTTGTTACCTAGACTGCCATAAAAAAAAGCACCATAAAAAGGCGCAATAAAACAGCGGTGGACACAATCTGATGAATTGCCTGATCGGACAGTAAAACAAAGTATTCAATTAGCTCAAACAGGTTCTCAGGTACTTTAACATGCATGATAAATGTGGTCCAGAAATACACATTTCAATACTTAATCGAAATGAGTTATAGATTTCCTTGGTTTTGCCAGGGGAAACATTTTTGTGTACTTGAAACTTAAAGTAATTATCAAAGACAAGAAGGATTCACTCTTCAGTTTTTGCTGTCACTCTTAAGTTTCTCTCTGAAGGCAAGTAAGAGGTTATCAGTTGCTGCAAAGTGTGAGAATGACATTTTGAAATACGTTCAATTCCGATTCAACATTTTAAAAATCCTGTCTGACATGATTTGTGAGACTGCACCTCAGATTAAGTTGAATTCCCTGACATTTTGAAGCTCTAATCTGAATGCGGGTGACTTTTGACGACTCGTTTTTGGAATATGACATGAGCTAAGTGCAGAATATTTGCAGGCTTTGGTGAAAATGACACCGCTGGTTGGCGCAGTCTGGTTTTAGTCCTTGTGGGGAACCTAAAATTCCACTTAAATGGGTTTATTCAAGCCACAGAAGAAATTTAGAGTGTTCCACTCGCAAAACAAGATGATTTGTGTCAAGCCCCAGAATGCACTTAGAGTGAGGTTTATTGATCGGGATGTGACATTAATCGTTTTGAAAAACAGCATACTTTCAATGACATTTCTTCGGGCTGAACATATTAGTCTAGACCTTATCAAAGACATTCACAAAAGTAATTTATGTACATCACACCTCTTTTCCCATTTGAAGTGAAATTTGTCCGGTGGATGCTAGAAGTTGTGAGTTCCAAAACTTGCTTTGAATACTTTATCCCTTGTCCTTCTTTCCTCTCATTCCTGCAGTTCTTAACTGTATGCAGGTGGAAATACCTCAAAATAAAAGCAAACAATCACAACAAAATGCACCTGTTTTTTTTTTTTTTTTTTATGTGTCCAATAATCCAAATTCAGCCTTGGTCTTTTCATCAGTTCCCTATTGTTTCATCTTCCCCACTTTCCAAAAATTGCACTGAGCCGAACATTAACACTCTCTTGTCGAAGCAGATGGTTAAAACAGTCCAACAAATGATAAATGCATCTCATAAAATAGCTCTCTTTGCAAAGCGGCATTGTTATTCCTGTCAGTGCAGTCAGCATCGCAACTCCAGCAGACATCAAACACACATTTCTTGTTGGCGTCACTGGCGTCAGAGCGACTACCCTCATGATCCATGGAGAAGATAATTAGGTTACTTATTGGAGTTTTTTTTTTTTTTGGTTGTGAAGTGTGCCACACACTGTAGCCTAAAAAAAAACATCAGTATCTCTGCTATTCATCGACATGACACAAGTTTTAGAGATCAGCTGACCTTAATGCCCCCACACAATCTTTGATGAGGAAATTTACTCTCCCAATTTAGGAGCAGGCATTTCTACTCAACAGCAGACTACATCTCAGGTCCAACGACCACAAAATAATTGAAAATGTGCTTTGTGAAACCCCATTAGATTTATGAGGGACCCTTTGCTGCTGATTTATTTTCAGAAGGCGCCTGTGTTTTATGGTTTTCACACACAGTTTTTCTCCCTGCTGCTCTTTGATTCAAGCCGTGGCTATATGGGAGGTGTGAAGCTGTTTGTGTGCTGGAGGGATGGAAGATAGAGACACACACACACACAAACAGTGTATATACACACACACACAGAGGATGCAGAGGAGCAGACACATTTTTGGACTGTCAAATGCCTGACAGGTAGGTAACCAGACACATACAATAAAGCTAGAGAGAACACAGACAGACCAAAGACTTCTTCAGGACATTAGTACTGTATTTTTGACATAGACAGATGAAGGTGAAGGTCTTAAAACTTGTAATGTGCTATTAACATCTGCAATTTTTGACCCCTATTCTTAGCAACGCATCAAAATAGTCCTTTCAAGCCCATGACAGTAGAAAAAGCTGGTCTTTTACTTTTGAGATGTCTTTCTAAAATCTCAGCTCCTGACCTTGAGAGTGACTGAAAGGAAACACCTCTCTTTCTCCACCTTTTCATTTGAGAATTATTACATCCTCAAGCATCTATCTCAAATGATGACTTTATTTTCAAGCTTCACTGGGTACAGGACGACAAGAGGGTAACTGCTTTGTGGATTGGTCCAGTATTTCATGTTTAATGGATGCTTTATATACTTTTATTTCTCAATGGTCAACATTTAAATGAAGTTCAAACTTTTTTTCGTCACAGACTGATTCCAGATATGTTCTAGATGTAACAAGAGTGTAACATAAGCTGTATCAAGTGTCAATCATAGCAAACTTGAACCCCCAATAACTTTTAAAAACGGAGCTGCACAGAGAAAAGAGGACTTAAGCACAAACCAGTCTTACAATACCTACATGTCAACATCCCAAGCAGGGGGGAGAAAAGTGTATTTTCTGTGTAATAAATTTCTAAAGTTTGTCAACAGCTCCATAGGGATTGCTAGAGAAGGCAGGATTTATGACCTATACTGCAGCCCGTCACCAGAGGGTGCTGTTCTCGGGGTGGCTTCACCCAGTGAGGAGGCAGATGGCGTCCACTCTATATACAGTCTACGGTGCTAGTTCTTCTGTTGTTCTTTTGATTGATGATTATCTCTAGGCTAACTGAACATCTGGGACTTGATTACAACACAATAGAAGTATGCATGACAAAAAAATGTAACTAATGTAAGAAAAGCTGGTGCCAAAATCCCTAGGGAAAGTGAAGCCAAACTGGTGGATGTATGTATAGACTAGTAGACTGGAACACACAGTTACATGTGCCAGTTGACAGGTTTCAGGTAGGGTGGGTGTCACATTTTGCCATGACAGGGATTTTGCAGTGTCATCATCACCACTTTTAAACACACATTTTGGATTTTTGATGCACACACATGATCTTGATGCAAACACAATGGAGATTTACTTCACCCCCCCAACACAGACACAGCTACAGTGGCAGGTAAAAAAACAAGTGGAAGAGTGATTTGGGCTGACAACAGCATTAATTCAATCGCGGTCTTCTGCTTGTTCCTCTCTGACACCTCAGAGCGGAGCCACACACACTAACTAAAGGGTACCGCCCCCTCTTTGTGTCAGAGTAGGTGTCAGTATTAACACTGAAAGTCAACTGTGGCACACCGATCAGCTACGTTTGTGCTCTTTTCTCTCTAAGTGTGTGTCTCTGAGGATAACAATGCAACAGCTGCACCTCAATTTTGACAAGTCAGCCCCTTAAAAGTGTGTTTCAAGAGATGATTCAATTGTCTTTCTCTGATCTTGAGTATCACACTGCAAACTTGTTTTAGAGAGGGAGGAGGGTCATAATGAGTAAGTTTGCATTCAGATATATGACCTGTTTTCATTGTGTCTTACTGCAGTATAACACTATTACCAAAAAGAAAAAAAGGGCTGAAATGTTAAAACATTGTGTTTCTAGAATTGCGTACCTCAACTATGGTGGTTTTGGCTGCCTTGCACATTGGCTGGTTGAAGTTTCTGGCTGTTTTTCTGAAAGAAAGACAAAAAAGGAAATGATAAAAAACTCATTTCGAGGTGAAAAAATGTACAAAAAAATAGCAGGTAAAATCTGAAGTACTCTGTAATGTCCATGATTCACCACTGACAGTTGACTTGAAGATACTGCCCTCTTGTGGACATAAACTTTACTCACATACATCAGGTTGGTGCAAATTAACCCAATTAAAATTAATGCAGAGCAAGAGGGGATGTGGTTATTCTGGGTTAGATGTAGATATTCAGGATAAACACAAACATGTAGTAATTAACTCGTTCATTAAACATCCTTTTCAAGTTTTGTTTTTAATCTGGCTTGGCACAGCTTTCTTGTACGTCACTAAACCTTCAGTTAACTTTGCAAAACTGAGAGGATGTTTTCCTGGTGTAAATTTGCTAATGGAGGTTGATGTTTATGCCATGGTTTGTTTGCAAACTCCGAACAAATAAAAGTAAACTGTGTTAGTGATACAAGCATGCTGATAAGAATCAAGTTATATACTGTCTATTTCCTCAGACCTTGACTAGAGTAAGGTTAAAGCCAAACCAAGAGAGCTGCTTGAAAAGCCCTCTTGTTTTGCTTTTTCATATAACACCAGCCACATGATCGGATTGTTGTCCCAACACAACTACAGTGATTAAGACTAGTCTGAAACGCTTTAAGGCAGGGAGCAGCTGATTCTCAACAAGATAAATAGTGGCAGCTCCAAGCTAATGATGTGGGATCTGTGGATATCACTGTTGAGAGTGGCGCATTAGTTGTTTTCACTGCTTCATTAGTTACCTGAAAACAACATTTCCAGCCTTGTCAGCTTTCCATGCTTTGATAAGTGCGTAGTCTCCAGTGATGGCCTTTTCCATTACGTAGTGCCTGCCGTTGAACTCCTGCACCTGTACAAAACAACGGCACATTGAAGAAAGTGAGGGGCGATGGATGCCATCGAGCTTTGTGACCTGTTCTACGACATTTTTAGACTTGGCCCAGATTCTAACTGTTTAGACCTTGATAAGCAATTAGTGCTACTTTTTGGAAACCAGAAAACCATGAGCCGGACAGACTTTCATGCCAACTTATTTCCCTCATGTGCCACATCTGTGTTAAGATTAATCCATGTACACATGAGGAATTTACTGCAGTATCTTGGCACCACCTGCAGCACTAAATCAAACCAGTCAAACAAGTTGCAGTTTTCTGTTTTTACAGCTCCTTCATGATGCAGGATTCCCACAGCTTACGAGATCTGCGTTGTGCTTTTCTGTATCTTCATGCACATTATGAATATAGACTCATTGCAGTACCAGTATTAGACCACACTTACCGGTCTCTCCTCGCTGGCAATGCCAATGCTGCCATCTTTGTTGTATTTAATAGGAGAACCTCCTTGTTGGATTAATGTGCCATATCCAGTGGCTGTAAAGAAGGCTGGAATCCCAGCACCTCCGGCCCTTATCCTCTCTGCAAGAGTGCCCTGTCAGGAAGAAGGTGACACATTAACGAAGTGAGGGTTTCAAATCAACATCACCAGCAGTGTTTTTGTATGTAAATGAAGACTAAGCAGTCTGTTGTCATTTCAAACTGTAAAGACATGTAGAACAAAATGTGCACTTGCATGTGATGCTGTATGTGTCGTGTAAAAAGTTGTACATGAACAGTTTCACATGATTTCTGACCCACCTGTGGCGTCAGCTCCACTTCCAGCTCTCCAGCCAGATACTGTCGCTCAAACTCTGCGTTCTCCCCGACATATGAGGAGATCATCCTCTTGATCTGCTTAGTCTGGAGCAGCAGACCCAGGCCAAAGTTATCCACCCTGGAGTAAGCACACACACGGCGTACGATGAACTCTTAACAGTGCAGTCAGGTCACCCATGCAGTAAACAAACACAGAGACCAGTGGCTTTGTACTTAAAATCATGCTTTTTAAAATAATCTGAAAAATCACAGTAAGCATGTCTTATATAATACTGGTTAAATCTCCCATTACAAATTGCAAGAGGCAGTCAGTCTGAATGCTGATCTTTATCAAAATCTATCAAATACATTTGCCATGAACCAGATTTCACGAGATTTACAGTTATTCCAAACAAAATCAACTTTTAAATCATTCATCATGATAGAAAAGAGCAAGAGAGTCTAAATGTCCGCCATTAAAGACACCATCCATCCCATAACCAGCCTACAATATAACAAAGAGTAACAGCTAACATTACCCTGAATGCCTCCAGAGGTCATTCAAGGTCATTTCTTGACTAAATGAGTGATATGGCAAAGTCATAGTCAGTCTGTTCACAATGATGAGAGCTCAGCTTGTTACAAGAAGCACTGAGGCATCTGAGAAAATCTTTTGTTTCAGGTCTCTGAAAATAAAAGAGCAATGAAAAGAAAAATGAATAAGGGGATATGACAAATTTATACTACACTTTCAGTGTGAGCACTTGTAACACTTTAGGATGTCTCACAATTGGACTGTGAAACTCTTATAAACTATCCCACTATAGTTCGTGCTCCTTCCAAACCGTTTATGACTAAATAAAGTTATTATGTTACCAGGGCTTTAAAATGATCATAAAATGAGCCTGAAGCTATGAGAGGAATGTCTATGCATAATATCTGGTCAGTCATTTACTAATAAAGTCATTGTCCTCATAAAACTCTTTAAAACATACAACACAGTTTCAAACAAGGCATTTTGATTTGATTTAAGAATTTATGTTTTAAACACCGTCTTTGATTTCATCACCTTTGCAAAGCATAAGTTTTGCTTCTTTTGTGTATCCACACAGAAGCTTCTTTGCACTTCACTCTAACCTCAAGTCAGCTGACATGATATCTAGGCCATGTGGACACAGAATACCAAAAACAGATGACCGATACCAGCACCCTGTCACACACACACGCACACAGAGCAATGACAAATCGGACGTGTTCTAGGAATGCATAAAAGGATAAAACCTCAGAAAAGTTAGTACGCATTTTCTGCTCTTTTGTGTGAAACTCAAGTTTAAGCTCTGTATTCGTTTGAAGGTTAAATCCTCATTATATTCAAAATGACATCAAACTAGAACTTTTATAACAGAGTCCCCTAAATATAGAGTAGAAATTAAATCTTTTAAAGTTACACCTCCTTTGTTTGTGTAACTTCTCCTAAAGTAACAATCCAGAGTGAATACCAGTGCTCCAGGGAGTGCAGCTTGGTCACAGCTCCTCCTGTGTACAGCTGAAAGCCTCTCAGCTCATATTACACAGCATAAAAAGCCCAGTGTCTCTATGTCCAACAAAATAAAACAGCAGTGTCTCGCTACACTCACTCTCTCTCACAGCCAGACTTTGCCCTTTTAGATTCGAGATCTGAAAGAGTTAAGTGGTTTTGGAAAAAAAAAAACACTCTCCAGGAGAATAAAGTTCTGATTAACACTGCTCACTTCGGCTTGCATAAATGATCCTGTACATTGTTCCTATCCTCTGAGATTATATGAGAACATGACCTAACTTGTTCAGCAAGTTTTATACGAGAGGCTTTTAGACTTTGGTGATTCAAGAAGAAGCAAGCTAAGGAAGGATTGTTTTCAGCTGTAAGAATCTCCTCACTTGGTTTAAACATTGCATGCTACTTTTTTCCCTTCCATCCTTCTTCAAACTTACCAACATAACAAACCCATTTCAAGCGCGGTAAACAACAGAGAATATGCTGCACATTGGCCTGGAAGCTTTTATCAAATACACATAATCAATGACATATGTAACACATTCCTGCTTATGTGGAATAGCTCTCCGCTCTCCTCCCCTTGTTGCAAAATATCCCACATATACGCCAGATAAATGCCTCTCCCTGTCTGGAAGCCCAAACCAACCAACTATAGTTGAATATAACAGTAGGGAGGCAATTACTTGAGGCTACTTTAGCAACCAGAGTTCCCACTTGATTAACAAGAATAGTTTCTGTAGACTTTAGTGCTTGTGTGGTGTTTATTTCAAACTCTAATCATAACAGAATCTGCAAAAAAAAACACTCAGAAAAGACTTTTTGAACACATTTTGCTAGAGGTAACAATCGTCCCTGAAAACATGTGTCTGCAGGGGGAAAAATACTGAGGGGAGTAATGATTGTGCAGACATACAGCCTGGCTCGAGCAAACATTTTACACACCTGTTCCAAGAATCAGTATTCCCAAAAATCAAAGTCCGCTGCACGAGTCTGTTGGATTGGAAAGGACTGTAACATTTGTGTGGTGCTCTGACACATACACCAGATACAATAAGAATCACTGCGCTCCGATGTTAATGTGGTTCTTTCAGTATTGCCAGCACAGACAAGTCCTTTCTGAACTTGAAGTTGGACTTCTCTATGCATGCTACTCCCTGCAACAACAGCAACCAATCCTTAAAATGCTGCCGTAAATTGAACAAACAAGGAAAGGGTGGTTGTATTTTTTATCCCAAACTCACCAGTCAAGTGTGACACCCTGCCTTTCAAAGAGCAGCAATCTCAGCACAATGTGTCTGGAGATAAGATCTGATTTTGGGCACCATCACAAATATCGGTGTTGCTATGTCAACAGTGAAGGTAAAACTTTGTTTCCTATATGACGGCCTGGTAGGATTAAACTACAGAAAAGGAATGCAGCAAGACAACAGACTATTTTCAAGAATGCAACAGTGATATTTACGTTATGCTGAACAACATGCAGGAAAAATGCAGAAAAAGTCTCAGCCAGCACAGCAGTTTATAACTCTGTAGTTATGTCATAAATCATGTGTCCTTAGCTTCCCTTTTTTCCCTATAGCTATACACCCTCATTTAAGCGATTTGTCTTGTCTACATAATACAGTGATTTCCTTTGAGTAGCTGCCAACGCACTTTTTTTTTTAACTGTTTTTGGGCAATAAACCTCAGGTTCGGTAATTAAGGGGCATTGAGGTCAGCAGCTGATTTCCTTGTGCAACAAAAGAAGCTTCTGGCTGTTTTTCCATGAGCCAATTTTATTTAGAGATTCCACAAAAGCACCCTTATGAAGCTCAGCCATCACGAAATCTTTGTACTTTTTTAACCAGCCAAATAGCCTTGTCATATTGCTTCCCCGGTGTGTGATTTTACACAAAGTTTCAAAGCTGCAGAGGAGTCAGAAGTCAATAAACAGTACAAGCTTTACTCTCACACAGTGCTGATATGTCCTGGCAAACCTCTCCTTTACACAGAGTAGACATCATTTTCCTCTCTGTTGCTTCAGTCTATCCACTTTGGGGTTATGATACTCATCACGCACAATACAACACAACCTCTGAAGGCATTGGCAGCACAAAATAAACCTCTTCTCTGTGTCTGCTCTTGTGACAAATCTAAAAAGCTCACTTGTGGACATCCTCTTTGGTCAGGTTTCTGTCCAAAGATACAGGTCAACACTGCCTGTTCAAACATACAACACAAGGGTACTTATGGGGTTCATTTTACCCCAAAAAGTTTAAGAAAGTCTGGAAAGAGATATCTTTAACTCCTGATTATCAATTCCTGAGCTCACGGCCCAGTGAGAGTCTCACTCACTAAACCCTGTTTCCTTACAGCTCTGTCATTAATTTCAGTGGCCATAAGAAGAACTTTGATGTTGACATATGGGGAAGGATTCATAAATGTCTGTTTGCTGATATTGTGTAACAGTGAGTGACAGTTTGAACCAACAAGACATCTGAAAAAAGAACAAGTCCATCTTCAATCAACTTTCTCGCATCGCAGACTCTAATCAGACAAGTGTCAACAGTAGGTAACAATGACAGCAGAGAAAGACTCGACTAGACTAATAAGGATTGCACATCCACTACTGAATTAGAAATGAAGCATGGCATGAAACATGACACTGCAAACATTTCCAGGGCCAGATGAAATCTGATTAAAACCAGAGGTAGATAAACAAACTAAGTATTTATTCTTGAAAACCAGCTTGGGTCTTTACTGGTGAACTAAGTATCATAATGCAACACCACCATTGAATAAACTTTATGGTTTAGGTATACATTTACATGCAGGTGCCTGCATGGATAGCACAGACATGCTTCTTTTCCTCTACATAAACACACTCTTACCCAGCATTGTTGCTGACAGCTGTGATACCCCTCACGCCGGTCTTCAATAAACTGTTGATAAGATTCTCTGGGATTCCACATAACCCAAAACCTGTGTTGAGAAAGAATTCATGATAGAGTGAAAATACAGGCAAAGAGTCAAGCATGTAAATGATTAGAAGGTCATACAAGGTGAAATTTTCACCAGCAGCACAGCAGCAAAAAAAAAGAAGCTGCTCTTGTCAAGCTTGGATCAAGTCCCAGTTAATTCCACTCCTTGCTATCTTGCTATATATGGATGGTAGATCACATTTCTAAAATTATGTAAGCAATGATTGTAAGACTTTCCCTCTCACAGAAGCGTGACACAGCAGAAAATGTTTAACAATGTCACTCTGAACTTGACTATAAATAAGAGCTGTGGAATTTGTATCTGCTGTGTGTGTGTGCATGTTTATTAACCACCTTGTCCTGCAGAGTCAAGGCTCACTTTAAAGTATTGTTTACAAAACTTCATGCTTTTTAACATGGAGGGAATTTACCAGCACTGTCAGTGAGGCGTAACTGAGTCCATCCTACCATCTTGGAGCCACTTTGCATAAGTGAGGTATTTCTTACCTCCAACTAAAAGGGTAGCTCCATCAGGGATATCCTTCACTGCCTCTACGGGGTCTGAGTAGAACCGTGAGTTTCTTTGACTGGAGGTCGAAAAGTAACAGCTGGAAGTCTGTAGAAATTACAAAATAGTAAACAAAACCATGTTGCAAACAATGTAAACTATTCTTGATCAAACACAATGGTGTTGTGCTATGAAACATATGCAAATGTGAGTTAAAACTTAGCGTTATCACATAAGACTGGCAATATGTTTGTACATTGTCATGGTCTTATGATGACAAGAGGACTGGAGATCAAGGCAGAGTAAACTTAACCAGACAGAGCTTCCTAAAGACTCAAATGTAAAAACTTAAAGGTGTTTTTCTGTTATATTTATTTATCACAAATTAAAAGAAGACAAGAGATGTCAACATGACTGATTTGTGCAACGCCACCTCTAGTTCTTTCCAGTTTATCGACAGTAGCCTGTGGTAATAGACCAGTTTTTGCAACACACCACACCCGATATGTTAATTGGGAAGTTACCTTTAATCCTCTTTGAATACATAAACTCTATCCTCTGTCCTTGAAACGGTTTGTCCATTCTCAAAGTTGCACAAAATGTTACATACTACTGCTGCACATATTTTCACCAGGGTAACACTGAACATTTCCTACTATTAAGGGAAAAGTAATGCTTATTGGGGTATGTTCCTACATTTGCTTTCCTCTTTGGTTCTGATCTCAGACCTCACTCTGCACTATTTATAGACATGTCCATCTTGTATAATGTCCACATTGTTGCTTCTGTCTCAAGGAAAACACAAGTTTAGAAAAGAAAACTGAAGCTGAGACTGTGAGGTGAATGATTATGCACCTGCATACATTGCCCGTTCAACACTCGCACACATGTTGACATGTCAGGATACTGGTTGTACTCACAGACAACACGTTACAGAGCATTGTTTGTTTTAATACAGGCTTATCATGTGCATGGTGAACAATGCAGTGATGTGATCTAAACTTCAATAGAGGGAATTCCCCGCCAGAATTGTAAAGCCAGCAGCTTGAGGTCAGTGAAGTCAGTCGATATCGTCGAAATTAAACTTAATAAGAGCATAAAAACGAGCATTTATTGTTATTTAACGTAGCTGATATCACATACTTCTAAATTATTGGACAACTAAGTGAATAAAATGAAAACAATAGTATGACCTTTTTATGCAGCCGAGTCATTAGCGACCGTTTAAAGTCAGCTTGAACAGTTTCACAGTCACTGACCGTGTAATACCGACCTTGCTCAATTGAAGATGAGCGACGTTAGATTTGGTTGTGAAGGGACCTGAGAGGTTTTTGAAGAATATATTCTCCGCTCTGCACAAAGCTTTGAGGGCCGCCATGTTTTGGAGCTACACACACTCAAACACACACTCACGAGGGGTACAACTCGAGGAGCAGCAGAGTGATAGCTCCAGCCGTAGGAGGACGACAGATGATGCTAAATGTTGCGACTGCCAATGTTAGCTTAAGCACCAAAAAGACCAGCGCTGTGCGGACATTGGCTGGTTTGTCAATGGGCTGGACTAGCTCGAGTGGAAACAGAGGCTGGGCGACTTTATTTACATGTAACCCTTTCATGTCCACGACTGTGCTATATGACACCCATGAAACATATTTATACGTAAGAAATGTTTAAAGAAAAGAGTGGAAAAGCTCTCTGGGGATGATGAAACATTTGTTTTTAAAGCCACAATTGGCGCTTTTACACACAAACAGAGACGAGTGGAAATAAAAGTAACATCCAATAAACGCGTGAAAAATGCTGCATTCAAGTCCTGTCGGACACATCCGAGTGTCGAATTTAAACAACTCGGAGACTCGGGCAAGATTTGTTGTGCCAGTCTTGACAACGTATCATGATCAACAGGGCAGGCAAACGAGGTTTTGTTCATGCTAATAAATTATATAAATTCATTCACGTGTTGCGCATCAACTTCTTGGTCAAATATAATTTTAAATCGCAAACGTCTCTTTATAATATATTAATGTTAGAAGAAGCATAATGTAGGGGAGAGAGGGGTAAGATGAGCCATTTCTCATATTTCAGATCACTACATCAAGGTAATCATAGTTTTGTCTCTAACTAGTGTATCTGCATATATTTCATGATGTTGTGTACCCCTGCAAACCACTAGAATGAGGGTAAACATAACCGTCTTGATAATATAGCATGCCAAAAAAGTGGTCTCCTATGGTCAATTTACCCCATGTATGGGATAAGTTGACCATAGGAGCGGGGTAAGTTGAGCCGTCTCCCTGATGATCATCTCCTAAATATTTGGTCACATGATCAATTTCTTTTACAATTTCCAAGCAACAGGGGGTGGCTCAATTTATCCTTTGGCTCAACTTACCCCACTCTCCCCTACAGAGTTATGTTGAATTGGGTAGAACTGTCATATAAATTTTGTACGAGAGGGTGAACATTTACTGTTTATGACCATCTAAATTTGTGTGTGTGTTAATCTTATGAACTCTCGTTTCACTTTTGTTTTGACTCGTGGTTTCTTTGATTTAATTTAGCTGGTGATGCGCATGATGTTCAGTTGTTTCACGGTAATCTTCCAGAATAATAGTTTTACAGATGCGAGTAAGTAGCAACAATTTAAGTAGATCCATCCATCCATCACGTGAATAAAAAGATTGGAAGAATGACCTCTCAACTCGGTAACAGAGACCATCCGAGCAGCACTTGAACGTAGCATAATCCCTGGCTCACGTGACGAATAGTTTTAGTCATGGCCGACGAGTACAGGCGACAAGGTTTCGAGTTGGAGAGAAGGATATTTGAGTTAGACATCAAGTGTTCTAGTCTCAGAGCTGAAAAGCAAGGTACTGATGAAGAATTGTCACTTTCATGTTTACTGACTATTATTTGTACTTCGATTGCATGCCTTACATTCTTTGCAGTTTAGTAGCCAACTAGCACGCTAGCTTGACGTTATCTAACATAGCTTGCAACCATAACAACAGCTGCAGTCTGATGAAACGTTTAACGGTGACAAGCAATATTAACGACATAGTTAGCGAACGGGTGGTTAGTGTTAACTTAACACTCACGAGGTAACGTGTACTCGCTGTTCAATGAGTGTTTTGGGTTTTTGTGAGTGTGTGTTGGAGTTAGCGGCTAGCGTAGTTGGCTAACGGTAGCTAAACTGTATTGTTGACAAAGGTTGACTTGGACAGGTAACGTGATGCAGCGCACTGTGAATTTCCACCGAAACAGTCAATAAAGCGACTGTTCAAAGTCATGTTTTATGTTTAAATGTTTTTCCGAAATACACAAAGAAAGTCTTAGCGCCAGAACATCTCTTATGGATTGTCTATTATGATGCAATAGCAATTTACGTGCAGCATACTATATTGTAATATTACTTTAAACTGAAATAACGTGCAATATCAAAGGTAGAATAACCTCTAGTGTGCAGCTATAATAATGCAATGACTTCAAGTGCAACAAGTATTTCTGTTAGGCAGACTAATAGACAAGGTCCGACTACTCTGTGTTTCTCATCTGCCTTATGTTTTCTTTTATCTACCACCTTTTGTAGTCATGTTGGCATGAAATGTGCGTGTAGATGAATGCATATGAGAAAATGACAGTGGAGAAAGCAAGAAAGACTACTTTTCTGTCACTAACCGTTTTAAAATAGCATAGCAGATTCAATATTTGAAGTTCCACATGTTTTGCCATGATAGTATTCCCTGTTTTGGTGTTCCAATTTAAATAGGACAGTTTGTTTACCTAACAGTTATTACTTTTTTTGTTAATGTGGTCAGACAGGTGATGACTACTTATCATATTAATAGTTGAAGTCATAGTGGGTGATTGTGGTGTATTGGAGTTCACTATATTGAAAGGTATTCTTATTTTTGTTCCTCTCATGCTTGTTAACTAATTGACCAAAATATAAATGAATGTAATTTACTCCAGTACACTAACACTACCAACCACTTATTCAGTATTATTATATTTAATACATGTAAGGTACATTTGTCACATGTTTGATCATGTCAACAAAGCTTTACATTTAGAAGCTTTTTGTAAGTAGAACTTGTGGTAGATCTGTTGGATTGGATTACAATCCCCAGGTTTTGGTGTTATGTTTGGGATGTATATAATTCTCCTGTTAAAATTTGATTTTTGTTTCATGTAAATGTGTTGTTTTTTCCACAGATGATGACTATTTACAGAATGCATCTGCCATACTAGACAAGTTGAAAAGCTATTACAGGCATGGAGGGGAAAGTAGCAACCTTTCCAAGGTGCTGCAGGATTACACACAGGTACTACTTTACATTGCACTTCATTATTTGTCATTAAGGAATCATACCACATATGACTATGAAAGGACTTAGTCCAATGTTAAGATGGACAGTTTCATCTCTGTTTTGCTTTAAGAAGAGGCTTAAATTAGAAAGACTTGTGCAAAGAGCTTCGTTTTGTGGCTACCAGTGGCAGGTATATTATGAGTTTCATTTATGTGTCGGTACAACTTAAAATGAAGATCCCAATTGACTTGTAGAAAAAGAAAAGAGAGAACCTTCTTGTCAAGAAAAACAGATTTTGTTTCTATCAGGACAGTGATGAGTTTTTGCATGCTGAACTGGAAATATGATATGGGTATGCATATGTTTTGTTTTTTAATTTAGGTGATCTTAGACATCACATTTTATGAAGAGAATAAACTGGTGGACCAGGAGTTTCCTGAGGATTGTTCACCATTTAAAATCCAACAGCTACTGCAAGACCTGACTGAGCCGGAAGTTTTGGCAGGGAGGCTAGCACCAGCACAAGAAGTGAGTATATGAGTGTCTGAGTGGGTGATCCTACCTTAAGTCTCTGTTTGGTTTACATTTTTAAGAAACATACCTGTACACTTTAACATTTCGTCATAATATGACAGCACCATCCATGTCTTTTGGTTGTTATGGCAGGTTCAGTCTGTGCTTGGCCTGGAGTTGTTAGAATGTCTCTATTGGAGACGGGGAGCTTTGCTCTATATGTACTGTCACACCCTACACCAACGAAAACAGTGGATCAAGAAAAACAAGGACACATTCCTTAAGGTACTGCGCTACAAAACGAGAGGACTTTAATAATTCTATTCAAAGACTTTTTTTTAAGTTGTGTATTCTGAGAATAGGCCTCGTTTGACTCATGATGTTTTTATTCAGTGCATTCAAGAGGGTGTTCGCTACCTGATGCGGATGCTGCAGGTGAGAAACTCTGTGAAGCTCAATGATGGGGTGGTGCTCCATGATCCTGCAACTGCAAGCTTCTTATCTGAAGGTGAAAATGTCATTGGTTATCTCTGAATATCAAAAACTATAATGCTGCACCTGAACTGTTGAATTTAATCATACTAACCCCATATTTGTTTTCAATCAGGTATCTTCTCTGACACACACCTTTTGACTATGATGTACATCGGGGAAATGTGTTTCTGGGCAGTCAAGTATGAAGACTGCAGTGCTGACACTATGGATCGGAAAGAAGATCGGCTCCAGTTTCGGGACATTGGCACGCAGATCCTCAACAAATACGTGCTTGCCTGCGAGGGCCCTCTTCAGGGCCAGGGCTGGAACACAGAAAATGCCAAGGAAATCCTTAGTATTTTACAGTGAAGCCAATTGCTTCTTTCTTGTAGTTGCCCTAAGGCACAGATCTAAGTTCAGTATTCAAATATGTATCAACCCCAAATTCAAATGGAGCCCATCAGGTGGGGTTTTATGTTGTGGAAGGTTAAGAGAAGACATCGGGTGTATATGTATGTGATGAAAAGAGTCTATGGATCAGTGCCTACAGGCAACCTCATCCAATGCCAAATGGCCCAGGCCAAAGCAGGTGACTAAGAGGTTAGAAAGATAAAGATAGGCTGCAAGGGAGGTTGTTAAATATGATATTTTTTTTCTTTCCCTGTCCTGCTGAATAAGCAGTTATCATCCTGGTTCCAGACTGTTGACTGGGCACTTATTTTGCTCTGAGAATGTGTAATAATAACATTAATATGAGTATAAAAAAGGTTATTAATAAAACTGACCTTTTTTTTTTCCTTTTTTTTTTTTTAAAGATTGTTACAAGTTTGAAGATAATCCAGCTGGAAAAAAAAGACATTGCACAGTAACATTTTATTTATTGTCTCGTTGCCATTTTGTTATGCTTTTAATATATTGTAATTGCATATACATTATATATGTATGTGTGTATAAAAATGCACACTAAAGGCAAAGAAAGTTGTTTGAAAACTATTTGACAATGATGTATTGATGATCAATTGAAGTATGTTCATTTTTGTCATACCAGCTTTGTAATGCACCACTTGTATTCCCATTTATTGCAAGTTCCATTTTATGCCACTTGAGTTATCTTGATAGTATAACTATTAATACAGAATCTGTGTTGTTTGGACGAAAATCATTTTCTTTTTTATGTCCTCGACGACAATAAACACGCGCGTTGTTTTAAGAAAGAAAGTTTCAAGTTTCTACTTAAGATTTCAGTGACTCAGCAACGTAGAACTGCAACACCCACAATGCCTCACGGCTTCCAGCAACAAGGAAGCGTGATAATGACAGGAACAACGTCGTCAACTGTTGACATCGAGATTTTGGGCTAACAGAGGCCCATTTACCTACATGTTGTAATTATTTGTAAAATTATCGCAAATTCGTACTCTTCAGAAGTCATGGCGGCAAAGACACATCAGCTTAGTGAGTCTGTGGTGATTCGCAGCCTTCGGCGTTTCAGAGACAGATACTTTCCCCACAGCAGAGGGGATGTGGACGGAGTTCTGGCATCTGTGGAGGACTCACAGGATGAACACCAACCGGGCTTTTTGGACAGTTTACCGGTGAGAGAATCATGCTGAGACCGCCCAAGTTTAAAGCGGAAAAATACGTCTTAAATTGCCCGTTTACGGTCAGTTACTGTCAGGGTTGAAAAATAGCTACAACTTAAATGAAAAGATGAAACACTTTACATTGGGAACATTAATAATATTGGTAACAAAGGGAGGAAAAAATATCAAATTAAACTTCTATTTTCTCTTAAATAAATAAAGGGCAGACTTTGTACTTAGCCTGACCTTTGTATACGGAAGAGTGGGGTAAGTTGAGCCACCCCCTGTTGCTTAGAAACGGTAAAAGAAATTGATCATGTGACTAAATATTTAGGAGATAAGCATCAATTCATAAAGTCTGTGAAGGTTAGAAGTACATGGGTAAAAGGGTTAGAAATTTTTTTTTTTTTTTAAAGGAAAAAAACATTTTTCACTCTTGAAAGTGAATTTAGTCTGTCAAAAGTTTTATTAGAAGTGTGCTCAGACCAAAAAAGATCATTTTGACCACTTGGTCAAGTGAGTCTCCTTTAAGCTTCTAGCCCAATATCCTTTTCACTTTAGCGCAGTTTGATCTGCTATGTATTAGGGGTGGTAAAAAATTGATTCACATAAGTAAATTTTTGTTTTACAATTTTTAAATCCGTTTTTATGTTCAAAAATCGTTTTTTTTTTCTTTAAATTGAAGAATGAATCTTTAAAAACTAACTCACATGTGATGTGTGTTTTTTGAGGAAATTGGGTGCCTGTTATAGTCAGTAGACAATCATAATATTCAACTGTTTCACTGGTGTTAAAAATGCAGACTGAATATTGAGAAAATTGACAATATTGTAGAATCGCAATTTATATGGAAGTGGCATCCAAAAATTAATAGAAGAATTGAATCATGAAAAAAGCATATCATCCCAGCCCTACTATGTATAAGCATGGTGTCTTGTGTACTGTCTCCACTTCTCCTGTTTTGCGTTGAATATCTTACTTTTCCAACTCTTAGATTTCATTTGTTTTAGTCTCTTAATCTTTAAAACAAATTGGTACATTAAAACTGAATCTTGTGAGCCCAGGATCAATAAAACATAGCAGCTTTTGATAACGGTCCACAGTATTTAATTTAACATGTCCTGCCTCTTTAGGTGGACATTCAGTTTTTGATCATGAGCTATCTGTGTCCTGCGGACATCTGTCGCCTTGGAGCCTCAAGTCGATACTGGAAGGCAATGGTTAAAGATCCTTTACTGTGGAGATACTTCCTGCTCAGGGACATGCCACACTGGTCCTCCATTGATCACATGAGCATGCCCCAGCTAGAGTCACTGGATGCACCTCTGATCAATGCAGATGAGAGCCTGGATGAAAGGGAAGAGGGGGGCAACAAAGGGATGGACCTGAAATTTGACTATATGTCAGAGTGAGTATCTTAAATCTTTCTCACTTCTTGTACATAAATAAAAAAAGCTTAGGAACCATTGTGACTCTTATTTTTGCTCCAACAGATACCTGAAAGGTTGCCCATCCTGCAGACAGCAATGGCTTCCTTCCCGTCCAGCGTATGAAGTTGTGACTTCATTCCTTCAGTCTCTGGTGCCCTCAGCTGAACCCCGCTACGCCATGTTTGGCCCCGGCATGGAGCAGCTGGATGTCTCTTTAGTCACAAGGCTTATGCATGCACCAGATGTGCTTCCTGTGTCTGGCACTCCACACAGACAGATTAATGGTGACATGTCACTGAAATGATAAAATTCTTTTAGTTTTCTCTCAGTATCAATTTACTGTGAAAAATCTCCTTTAACCAGCAGTAAAGTGCATATTTTTCTAATGCTTATTTTTAGCTGTTGTTGGTTTATTTTCCCACCACTAGGCGGCAGTAACTGCCCAAAATTGATGTGTAATTGTGTCTGTTATTGAGAACTCATGCCAAACTTTTCTGTCTTTCTAGGTATTGGCTCAGGTATCAGTTACCTGTTCAATAACCAACACAAATTTAATATCCTTACTCTGTATTCAACAAACAGGTAAGCACCCTGCACGTAAAGTTTGTATATGAGTTGAATTGACTTGTTTTCTTTCAATAATATTGTCAACTTAACTGTGTGTTTTTGTGTCCAGGGCAGAGAGGGAAAGAGCCAGGGTGCAACAGGAGAGCATCAGTAATAAACTTTTCACTTTAGAAGGAACAGATGACTCAGGTCACTTGATCTACAGCCCCTCTTCTCAGGTCCAGCAAGTGTGCCAGGTGGTGGATGGTTTCATTTATGTTGCCAATGCAGAGCCAGGCAAAGGTACAGTCAGAAAAGAACATTTACTGTTTTTAGTTTCTGTTCTCCAGCTGTAACAGTGTCCAGTTGGTTTCCAGCTCAGAGCCTCTCCATTAACAACGTTGTCTCCACAGGGGAAGGTGAGTCTGAGATGGCTCAGATCCGGGCTGTGCTGAGCTGTGCCAAAGCTCCAGCATCCAGGCCTCTGCTGGTGCTCTCATGTGTGTCCAGAGAAGAACCAGAGGCAGTCAGCAGAAACATGGCCAGGCGTCGAACTCCCTGTGTTTACATGGCAAAGAGACTTGGCCTCTCTCAACTGTCTAATCCCTGGATGGTAACTGTTTGACTATAAATCATACAAAGGTCTGAAGACTTTTTAATCCAAAAACTTACTTACTCTGAAGAAACCCTCCAGCTGTGGTTGTGTTTCTCTCTCTCATTCAGGTCCAGGATACTGTGGCAGAAACCCTGTCAGGTCTTTTGGATGGTGTTTCCTGGCTGCTGAGATGCTCTGGAGTCAAACTCTCTGGTAGCTAGTTCACTAACCTCTGCTAATGCCAGAAAAATTATAACCATAGACATTACTGCTGTGTCATCCTGACACAAAAACACTCTGGCATTTCCTGAGTAATGTGCACCAAATTTGCACTCACTGTCTCTGGATGAGAAAACTGCCTGTGGAATTCACTGAGTTTGATTCGCAGGAGGACTATCAGGGTGACAGAGTTCAATGGCAGAGACCTCGTTCATATTGACGAAGACTAACAAAGTGTTTACACAAGGACTGAAGGTTATACACACACATTCGTAAGATTTTTTTCTGCATGCTGAAATCTAAATACCAGCTGTGTACGGCATCTCTCTTGAAGATGCTGTACACAGTAATTATCTGTCTACATTTGGCTGCCTATTTAAGATTAAAATCTCCTTCACCCTGTTTGACTTAGCTTCCACAGGAAGCAACAACAATCTCCAACCTAGAGTCCTTAGGAGATGCCGGTTCTGAAAGAGATTGGGTCAGCTGTGAAAGGCTCAGCCAGACATTTTTACTAGAGTTGGGACAGTGCTATGTAAGAGCTCAGTAAAATAAATGGTAGGAGGAAGGATAATCTACAACCAGGTATAGAGATTAATATGATCAGGTGTAGAACAATTAAATCAAAAGTTTGACCCATTCTGTTCATTTTTTTCTGTAAAACTGAAGGTCTCATTGGCTTATTCCTTTTCTTAAATACAACAATGAAGTTCGTGCTGCCTTAATGTATGTGCCATATAATGACACAGGTTTAGAAGTTACAACCTGCCACATTATTGATTAAATTAAGAAGCGAAGCTATAATACAAGCATATTGATTTTTATGACATTAAGAGAACTATGTTTTAATCAAAACACTTTTGCGTATACATGGACAAAATACTTTCCAATCTTAAATGTTTACATTTTTATCAGTAGCACAATCACTCTTTTCTGTAAAGTGTATGAAAATAAACTATTATTGTGGTGGATGAATCACCCACTCAGTCTCATGCTTTTAAATGCGGAATGAAACAGCTTTGAAATAACTGTGACTATTGTCTCCAAATGAGTTCATATTTCAAATTCTACTTTATTTTTATGGCACTTTTCAGACAAAAAATGCAGTTCGAAGTCCCTCACAGAGGCTAAAAACAACAATTAACAACAATAAAACCCAAACTTCCCACCCACCCACCCATGGACCCACTCAAAGACAAAGACACACACCCACCCTCACTCACCCACACATACACACACACACACAAGCATGCACAGTGTGAGAATTTAAGATAAATTGTTAAAGAGACATGGCCTGAGTCCTTGACATTACGTGAGGAAAGAGCTACCTTTGAGGAATAAGGTAGTTGATTTTAATGTTTTTGATTTTCTTTACTCATTAGTTATCCTCTTCCATTCCTATTTCTTCCTTATTCATGTATTCACAAAGTGAGAGAGGTCCGTCCTTTCCATACTGTTGAGTAATGTGCCAAAGAGTTGCCCAGTTGTTCCTTTCCTCTGAGCTCACGCCTGGTTTTAAAAGCCGAAACCACAGCTGCATGCCAGCAGGCACAAGAGAGTATCCTCTTTGGCCACCAGAGGGGGCTACATGTAGGTGTGAAGTGCTCTATCATTTAACTGCCTTTGTTTTTGATGTAGCTTGAAATTTTAAAGGTCTGCGGCACACCACACAGACATGTTAACTAGGTAGGCTGCTAAACGAAGTTACACATTGTGGTGATAGAAAGAAATACAACTTTTCTCAGCAGGAAGCTCAGGTATGTTAAAAGGACTGACTAACAAGTAAAAGGTTTCTGTTTCTATGAAGATATGAAATGTGAAAAATAATAACTACTGAGAAGAATGACAGTGGGAGCACACATCTTCAAACCATTAAGTTGTTTCAGTGTTTTTTTTTTTTTTTTGAGGAAGATAATTCACACTCAAAGTTTTAAAACAACAGCCTCTTATACATCAGCACACACAGATCATTCACTGCACCTTACAAGACGTGCAAACTCAGATTTCAACGTTACTTTTTTTTGCATGTGCTTGTGTACAAAAGCCACATTCCCAGTCAGTTGGAGCCTCACTGAGTTAACGTGATATTGAACCACCCGTTGGATGCTTAATGTCCCAGGCAATAGTGTTCTCATGCTGTCATAGAATTGTGTAAGACGTGACAAGATAATGTGTCTCAGTGATGCTCTTTTTGTTCAAGTTTCCTTGGTAACCACAAAACTTTGGTAAAAGTACATTTCCCCCTGCAGCTCATCCATCCATCAAAAGGTTCCTTACTCTTGACTTTCATTATTCTAGACCCACAGATTAAGAATAGGACTATGATTGGTGCAATTTAAGTGCATTAAGCGGAGCTGAATACTGGTGAAGCGGAGATTGATTCTTTTTTTCCCTCTTGTGAAGAGAAATAATGGCGAAGCAAACCACCGTGTGTGTGTGTGTGTTTCTGAGAGGCAGACACACTAAATCAGGCTTCAACATCTCTCTATATACTCTGTAAATAGGATGTCCTCTGTGGTCCTTGACAGCTTTACTACATACATTTGTACGAGGGTATGCACACTCGTGGTTGCACAGACAGTCCAACAATGAAGGTGGACCACATGCATGAAAACAGTAAACCATGGGAGCCTGATTTTCAGGGCAGGTATGCAGGGAATAACATCACTTAATCCTCTGTTATTACTCTGTGATCCTGAAGAGCCCATGGAGGTAGAAACTGAGCATGGGCAGGCACTGTGAATGTGGATGAATTTGATAGGTTGTGTTTACAATGCAGTGCATGAATGGAGAAGTGAATGAGTTGTCTGAAGGCAGGTCACTTTCATTCTGAATGGAGGCCAAAGAAAGCAAAGTGTATCAGAGGTGTGGGTTTGCAGCCACAGAGTGCAGTATCTATGACTAGAACTTGCTTAGAGGAGAAAATGTCAAGGTCTGCAGCCCATGAACCATTAGCACACGTCTATGTGTAACTGAGGCTTGGGTAAGGTGGGGGAGGCCATGTTTTCAAAGTTTGAATGAGCACCAGACCTCCAGCTGCCTCTTGTCCTCCACAGGCTTAAGGGGCCTCTGGGATATGATGTCACATGGAAGAACCTCATATTTACTGACCCAAGACAGTTTGCAGATGCAACAGGTCTGCAACATTGCAGTCAGAGTTGGGACAGTTGAAGTTTTCCATGCGTGTAAGATGTGTGCACAAAAGGGGGGAAGTTGGTGGCAAATGAGAAAAGGTTTTTGTTCTTCATTGATGCTTCAACTGAAAAATGCAACCTCGTTTAAGATGTTTGAACAGAAAATTGGGATATTAACGCTAATTTAATGGCAATGCCTTTCCAATGCCTCTTTTTTATGTTACACCAAGAATGTGTTGGCTTTGGTGATTTCCATACATTGCTGGTGGTTTCCCTCCTACTTAATGAGATACTGCTGTACTGCTGTACAACATTCATCGAGAAAACTGAATACTTGATTTGCAGAAATTAATTTATCAGGGACTTTTATTGCACAAGAAGTTATTATTTTACTCAAACTTGCACAAAAAACTAGACAATTTATTATTTCTTTTGTACAAAATGTAAAAAAAAAAAACAGATAGAGCTTTGTATACAATAAATTGTGGCAATATAACAGCAGTATAAGACTGACCATTGATTAATCAATGTTGTAACCACAGCTCTTAAATCATCAGAATAATTGTATGTGATTCCCATTTAATAAGGATACAATCATCCCAGACCAAACCATTGGGAGGAGGTCCCTTCATGCACAATGTGTGCAGACGCAGCAACTTTAAGGCATGCTCTGTCAGGTTGTTAGGGTAGTCTGTCACAAGTTTCGTCACGTGTGTTTGAAAGCTTAAAAAAGGAAATCAACGTAGGGGTTAGCAGGTTAATTCAAGCGAGAAAGATGATCTGTGAGGGAGAGAAATTTTAAGGAGGTTGTTTCCTTAACAGGCATGAGTCAGGTCACTGTCAGATTGCTGGAGATGCAGGTCCACTTGGTAGGAAAAATTGCTCCTCAGAAGATAGTCTGCTACAGGTTTGTTTCATGGAACTGATAGCGCCCTTAGGAGTGGTAGTGGGGGAGGCATTTGAGGGGATAAAGCTTAGATATGCAGGTGAACAGCAAGGATGAAAACTTAAGGTTTGTTTACAAGAAGTAGGATGTAGAGGGTTCATAGTGGGGGGTAAGTAAAGCAGACAGCCTAACCCTATAGACCAAACAGGCCTCTCACCCTGGCTCTGCCCTCCCTGTCTTCTTCCTAACCTCTCTCAACGGGCGCCTCTCTTTACCATGTTTTTGGATTGTGGGCATTAGAGGCTCACATATATGGAGCCTGGTTCTGTTGAACATGGCATTGCAGTGCGGGTTGTCTTGAAATTTAAAGAGGCTTTTGGATTTGATGGGCGGTAGGAGGAGGTGGCTCTGACTAGGATGTTAGAGCTAACTGCTGAGCCTTTCTGAGGTGTCATGGGCCTACCTTGATGGAACACCGGTAAAGCGAGTCACTGGGGTGATGCGAGCAGGGCATCACCCCAGTGATGCCCTGCTTGTCACTGCCCATCTGTTCCCTTTCATTTTGGGTTGCTGTGGACATTGAGAGCCATGCTAGACTCAACCTAAAAAGCTTGTGGATATTCCTTCTGCTATTTTTTCAGCATAACACAATTGTTTAGCGTTTTGTTGTCCCTGGCCCTACTTTTTAAAACATTTTGAGAGTATCATCTACATTTAAAAAGTCAGTTTCTACATTTGATTATCTTTGAACTATTTTCAATCAATAATAGGGTGTCAATAATTTAGAAACCATCAAATCAAGTTTCAAGCAGCATCACAACTTTTTGGTTTTAGGTTTTTAGACAAAAGGGTAATAATCAAACGTCTGAAAGAATAATCAAGTCAAAACAAATGCCAAGAATGCAATGAGTGGCTTGTTACTGAGTCAACACTTTAATAAAGAAGTTGGCTTAAGACATTTCACACATGGTTAAAAAAAATAATGACAGCAAACAAGTCTCTTCCTCTCCCATTTTTGAACCTCACCCACTTCCGCTGTCCTGCCTCCTCATCTTTGTCTCATCCCACTCGTTTCGCTCTATCCTCCTTTCATTAGAGCTAAGTCCTTGATTTGTATTCCAGGATAACAGCCAAGATTAAAGTAGGCATTGAAAAAAAAAACATCATTTGCATGATGCATTCACTGATTAGGCTAAGCGGCCCTCTTAATTGTGTTGTTTTGCACATGGTGGGGCTCTCATGCTGATACTCTGTGGATCTTGCTCGTCCCATGCAATCTTGCCAATTCACTTCAATTTCCTGTCCATCTTTGCGCATCCGGCCCACCTCCCTCCTGCTGTTATATGTTTGGCAGGTTAGGGACACATAATACTGGATTAGGGCTCAGACGTGTTAATGGTGAATTATCTGTGAATCACTGGCAGTCTATGAAGAGCCCTGTATTAAGGAAGATATGGAACAAGGAGCACGGTGATCTGTCCCTAGATTTGCTGCTGTTGTTGTTGTTATTGCTATGTGTGTGTAGCGGTTTTTGTGTGTCCCCCTAGAGCCATGTCCTCTTGCACCTTAATCCAATCGTCGGCAGGGCGCTGACATAGTTGTGAATGGCCATGCATGAGATGTGAAATTGCACTAAAACGCATTACAGGTGATCAGACGAGGACGACACAGAGGGCACTCTTTCGTTATCCGTGACATAAAAACAGACTTACAAACAGGAAGGGATCTTCAAAGGCACACTACTGCAGAAAACTGTTCACTATGCAAGGAATATGTGCTTACTTGGGCCCCCCAGAAGGGAGAAAAAAACTTCAACCATTTAAAGAGTTGTTTTGTAATTAGGGTCTCATTATTCCCTGGACTAATCCCATTATACAACAAATCCACCATCAAATAAACCTGTTAGTCAAAGCCTGATCTGGCTTAGACTTCTGGACCATGGGTTTAGATTGTTCCTTGCAACACATAAAAAATCCGTATTGCTATATTCAGTGTCAACCAAATTTTTCAGTGTAGTTTTTTTTTCTTTATTTAATCCAAAGCAATGTACACTATAAAGACTCTCTCCTCCTAAACCGATATTCCGGCTTAAAATTAATTTAGGGTCAAACACACAGTAACACCGAGTTAGACACCCCCCTCAGGAGATGAATGTTGCTGACCGCTTGCTTCTCTAGTTATACCAACTTTAGCAACGACCGCAGGATAGCAATACACAGCCGTCTAAGGAGCCACACACAAACCTCAACCAAAAAGCCACTCTATAGCCACAAATAATGCTCAGAACAGCACCTAACTTCATCAACAGTACATATAGGGTCCCAGCCACAGCACTAGCCGCCAAACATCTTTTTAACTTTCCCTAATTTCATTAGCAAAGAGACTAGACGCAACTAACCTACTCTCTTCCAGCAGCCGCTTGTTTGTAGCGAGACCTCAGGCCAGTCCATTACGGACTGCTGCGGGGTGACACAGCTCAAGGAAGAACATTTATGATCATTTCCTTTAAGTGATAATCACCATGTCACTCATTTTGCACTGCAGACGCGGTAGTTCTTCTGCATTAGCGTCTCGGTCTGATTGCATTTCCATGAAGAAATGATCATAAATGTTCTTCCTTGAGCTGCGTCACCCCGCAGCAGTCCGTAATGGACTGGTCCGTGGTCTCGCTACAAACAAGCAGCTGCTGGAAGAGAGTAGGTTAGTTGTGTTTAGTCTCTTTGCTAAAGAAATCAGACTAAGTGAAAAAGATGTTTGGTGGCTAGTACTGTGGCTAGGACCCTTTATGTGCTGTTGATTAAGTTAGGTGCTGTTCTGAGCATTATTTGTGGTTATAGAGTGGCACTTTGTTTGAGGTTTGTGCTGGCTCCTCAGACCGCTGTGTGCTGCTACCGTGCGCACGTTACTTAAGTTGGTATAACTAGAGAAGCAAGCAGTCGGCAATATTCCTCTCTCAATGGGGTGTCTAACCCGGTGTTACGCGGTGTTTGACCTTAAATTAATTTTACGCTGGAATATCCCTTTAAAGTAGTCCACATTTAGAAGCACATTATCCCATCAAAATACGCTGCTTGCTTTAGTAACCAAAGCTATAGTACAAACTACACGTTACATTCCCTCATATTACAGTTAGAGCATCAACGATTTTATCATTTACCTTCATCATGCCACAGACATTCATGCAGACAGCACTGTCACTTTAAATCAAACCCTGTGCATTTTTATTTATTAGGTTGATAAAGTTCATTCACAAAACCTTTGTAAAAAATTCAGCAAAAAATTACAGATTACACCTTTAAGAACAAAAAACTTTCACACAGTAGCTGCATATCAATGAATTCACACCAGACTCTTTACCAAACATTCCACTTCGGGTATCCCTGAACAGGGAGCACAGCTACGGCACCTCCTCTGCAGGCACAAGCTGTGGGCCAGATGTATTGTTCTGTTGTCACATTCAATCCCGCACAGGTCCACATGATCACTCAGGGCAGACAATCACAGGAACGAGTATTCCACAACAAAGGAACTAATTCAATGGACGCCCCCTCTCTCCTCCAATCACGGCCCTCTGTCCCATAACTCTCAGCATGCTCAGGGGTCATTTATTACTAATTGTTTGGCACTATTTTTTCTGCTTGGTTGATAATGCTCCTCAGAGCTCCAAGTCTGCAAGAAGGTCAGCAAGTTAGCGTAAGACTTTTTTATTTTTTTTAACACAAAATAAGGCAGGCTACTCATCTATCTATCTATCTATCTATCTATCTATCTATCTATCTATCTATCTATCTATCTATACTGATTTCCACAGTTTGTGTTAAATGAGAGTAGACCTGCTTTGCCGTTGAGAATTTTTATGCTCACTGCAACCAGACGACTAGGAAAAGCCAGGTCGTAACTTGTGGACCTTGTAAACGAGAAGGGGACAGGGATATAAAAAACGCAAGGATGGCTCAGCTCATTACAGACAGGCCAATTCCATTTCTTTCCCCACGCATCACAAATTATGTCAACAGTGCTTTGGCAGACAGAAAAAAAAGGCACCGGACCAAGAAAATAGAGCCTCCAGGCCTTGTCTGCCTCTCTCTCTGTCTGCTTGTGTCCCTCTTTGTGGTCTCAATGGGGCTAAAATCGTTTAATAAAACATATGCCATATGTGTTTTCCTTCGTTTGTCCTGTCTACTCATGAGTTTGAGTGTATTGGAGGCCTAAAGTTGCTATAACTAGACAAAAAAATGGGTTAACTCCCTTGCACAAGTTGACATATGGTCTGACTTCACAGTGTGGGGAGCTTTCATGTAAAGTTATGCTTCTGTTGCTTTGGCCTGGATTGAATAAATAACGTGCTCAGATTAATGTTCGTCTCTGGAGGATCATAGAATAAAAGGAAAACAAAAACATGGCCCTCAGAGGCGGATACATACATCCAGTTTATGTGCAGGAAAAACTGCAAGCCATGCAGCAGCAACAGCTGGGCCTCATGGGTGTGTTTTTCCCTCACGTGTTGGGGCGGGCCGTCCATACTAATTGATGGCTCTTGGGTCGGGGGTGTATATCCACTTACAGCTGAATTTCTGGGCGAGCCTCTAACGGCGTCACTTCTCCAGTGGACCCTCCACGTGAGCTAACACAGGCTGTAGTTCTCGGACAGGCACAAGTATTCATCACAGGCGAACACTGTCAATATCATTTCAGCTCGCCAACAGTCTCTGATACAAACTCATTTTTACAGTTTCTGCTCGATTTTTTTCAAATGCGTCATTCTATGTTGTTGAGGAATCAGGAAACGGGAAAGGGGGTAAATTATGTGACTGTAAATTGCCACATAGTCCACAGAGTGTGTAATATTTCACGACTGTACGAATGAAGAAGCTTTGTATCCAAGTGCGCCACAGGTGCGTAAGGCGCGTCTGGCCACGTAGTCACACACTGCGTTTTGCAGACAGTCTGCGCAGCCTTCAAGAAAAATGTGCACCTAAAACCAAATCAAAAACCGTGATTTAAACTCCAGTAGGTTAAAGAACGAACCAATGAGGCAGGTGTTCTCCTAAGAGTAATTCTGCATTAGAATCGTGTCAAACCTTCCTGTTTTTCCTTCCGCTTCTCTGATCCATCATGATCACCACCTGTTGACCGCGCGTAAAGTTTGATCATTAAGAAGCCAACGATTAATTTTTCAATCTTGTAGCGATCGACCACTTCATGTCGATAACAGGAACTAATGAGCACGTTCACGTAATCGGTCACACAAGCGCACGTGTGCACGACAACGCCTCCTTCCCCAAAAATATGTTCTCGAGCACATGGTTTTAAGTTGTGGAAGTCATTTGCATACACAAACACTGACACTAATGATTGTTTGTGCAGCACAAATATGAGGAATAAAATAGGAATATTAATTGGAATGGTTAGAATTGGTCTTGGAAAGCATGGTGTAGATAAAAGTTAATACGAGACAAATTTGAGGGACAATTTTCCATACTTGGAAAATAGAAATATGGGAAAATACATTTTGACTATGGTAGAGGACTGAACCAGTGCTGAGTGGTAGAAAACATCCTTCAGCCAAAAACGACCCATATATGTCTGTTGTGTCTGGTTCAGATCTTAAACATTTTTGTTGTTTAAAGAATATGATCTGATGCAGACATCAAATGATGATTTACCCTTTTTCTCCTCCAAAAGAAAAGGCAATTTAAAGGGAATACATCATCAAAAACTTGTATCAAATAGTCCAATTGGTTTAAGATGGAAATATCTCATTTTCAGCAATTTTGCGCATTGTTTTCTCTAAATTGACATACAGAACATTTACTCGACACTTTGTTCTAACCTCAACTTTCCCCTAAAAAGTAATCGTGTCCACTCATTCCCGTATTGCTTTATTTTGGAGGTCTGGCCCGGTTGTCTGTGGTCACACTGGAGCAGATTGGATTGTTGGCGGATGAGGGCGCTTCACCGCCATTTGAAACACACCACCTCACAGGATCTGCCGCAGCTACGCAGTGTGAGCAGCCCCGAAAGTAAGGCTTGAAGATGAAATGAGCAACAGATCAGAAAACGAATTTCCTCAAAGCGAATTGGCACAGATCCGATCCCACGATTGGGTGATGTGAAAATCCTTAACGGTGAGATCGATCGTTCTGGGACGAGCAGGCTCAAGTGAGGGAGCAGGACTTTTCAAGATCGCTGCTGTTCACGTTGGCCACCAGATGAACAAGTTCTGAAAAGTCGACCTGCGCTGTCTCTGCAGTTTTTCCCTAACGAGACTTCAAATTGTGTGAGTACTTTAGTGTTTTAAAGCGTGTGATAGTTTTCTCCCACTGTGTTGATCCAAAACTCTACGTTTTACGCAGCTCACGCACGACTCAGACAAAACTTTGCTCGAATTGCAAGACATTACTTTTACACTTGGGAGTGTTTACAGCTCAACGTTTCTTACTTTCTCATCTTGAAGTACCTGCTTGACATAAGGCTCAAAGTTAATGGAACGTAAATAAAAAAGCAAAGCAACTAAACTTGACCAAAATTTGGCTGAAACTTGGAGTAGTTCAGACAGTGGGACACTTGGCAGGGGATGGGATGAAGTGACAGCCATGGTTAGTGTGTATGGATGTAGCCTTGTTACCCCTCTTGCTAATGACAGGTCTCGGAGAGCATAATTGGTGTTGTGTTATAAAGCATAATGTCAGAGACAAAGTTGAAAGCTAGTGGGTGATATGTACACATGTGATTGAGGTGACAGAGATGCTGGATCAAGCCACTGACTGCTGAGGGAAAGATGAACTCAAGAGTATTTTGAGATATTGTGTATGTGATGCTTGATTATTCATGCTTGTATTACTCTAGTGACCATGTGTTGGCTGGATGCTCTTTACATGATGGTAGAAACTATGATGATTTCACTGACAAAACTGAAGTGTTCATGTGCAAATGAGTTTGAGACTGCACCTTTAATTCTTCTTCTTTACCAATAATAATTGCATATTATTCCAAAGATAATTCACTAAACATAGTTTGAACTACATGAATACTGGAGAGGAAGCGAATGATCCTGCTTTTATTTTTGACTAATCAGGAATATTTATCTTCAAGTACACAAAAAATGGATTAAGTCAGTGTCACACCTATTCTTACAACTTTAACAAAGTGTGCTCACCTGTGTATCTGACTGAAGTCATATATGACAAATAACAACTTTCATGTAATTGTGAGGAGTCAATAAAGTAATGACAAATAAGTAGATTGCACTTGCTTCTCTGGCGTCAGCATGTTTGATTTTAGAGCATCTGATATTATCTTCTCTGTCTGTTTGCTCCTCATCAGTTATTGGCATAATGCTTCGTTTAGTCTCCAGCACAGAAGAGCTTCTGCTATTTAAAAACAAAGCACAATGCAGTTGTGCACATATATTTGATTATGGAGCATCTATGATTATCTTCTCTTCTCTGTCTGTTTGCTCTTCATCAGTTATTGGAATAATGCCACATTTAGTCTACAGCACAGAGGCGCTTCTGCTATTTAAAGACAAAAAATGCATTATGTAGTTGTGCACAAACTTTCAGGTGCTATTTTAAACATGTTTCATCCACACCAGTCATAATTTATGTTATTTTATTTTGAGCTAAAGGTGTATTTGAAGGTCTTGATCTTATTTACGACTGAATTTTTAAAGCAATTTTGAATCTTACAGATTAAAGCTCTTGTCAGGAATTTGTTGATGGTTAAGAAGCAGATTGAAATTAATGGTAATGCCTCTCTATGACCAAAAACAGTCTGAAAGGAGATTGAAAATTTTTGTTTTTTAATGCCTGTAACCACAGACCAGACCAGACGATTGGCAGCATGCTGGAAAAAGCTTTGCTGTGTATATCTGACTTATCACAAATATTTCCAGTGTAGATGGTAGCCACCATGATTTCTTTAGCAAAGAGACTAAACACAACTCACCTACTCTCTTCCAGCAGCCGCTTGTTTGTAGCGAGACCTCAGGCCAGTCCATTACGGACTCATGCTATAAGAAAGCAGGGTTGTATCATTTATAATTTCAGAAAATGTAACATATACGAACAAGTTTAGTTATAAGCTGAACAAGAGTACTTTGTCCACCGGGGGTGCCAACATCAACACCAGTGGAAAGTTTCCCACAGGAGCTTTAAGTTGTGACATACTACTGCCTCACTGTCCTTTTTAATTTGAACACACAGCTAAGTGAAACCCTCTATGTGTATTACATTTACTGCAATTACATCCACTATGTTGTTAAGTTGAGTGGGAGGTCAAACAAAAGATAACAACCTGTAGCTCTGTGGTCTGCACACACTGGGGGGTGTGCATCCTTCCTTTAAAGTGAATAGTTTGCCACTGTTCTCCTTAATGCACCTGCAGCCTTCCAAAGAGATATTACATCTGCAAAGGTTGCTCAGTAGGTATTAATAGAGAGGAAAAGCATGATGAGGGACATGTCTAATGGCAGCCATTATAAAATCCACCAGGTATCTCTCTGTCAAGAAGAGATGTTTTAATAGATGAGGCGAGGAGTTTTAAGAGACATTAGTCCATCAGTTCTTTCTCAGCGTTCACTTCACTCCCACATACAACGTTAAATACAACTCTTATGTTCTATACCCTTTGACAGCTTGGGAAGCCATTAGATTTTACGCACATTTAGGTGCTCTTCGTTGTCAGGATGTGTGTGTGTGTGTGTGTGTGTGTGTGTGTCTGACAGACAGAGGGAGAAATGTCAGGATTCAGAGCACATCAGAGAGGAACATGCTGCACATCTATATTTAGAGCTACACTAAACAACATGTGGGCTGATAAAAAAAAGTTTCATTTGCTCTTTTAAATCGGATTAAACTCTGCAACCTTAGGCTCTGAGTGTGTACCTATCCAGCATGCAGTAAATCATAACAACCAGATCTCAGGTGAGTGTGCACATGTGGCTGAATTAATTTTCTCTTTAATGATCAACCATGACGGCCACTTATTTCACTGATGACAAGCAGCTGTATGAGAGAGAGAGAAAAAAAGCAAATTTTTAGGCAAAATTCACCCAGACTTATTTGGTTCTAATAACTCAGACAAACGGTTACATGCCCATGCATGCACACACTCTATGAGGAATGCTGCATACAGAGAATTTCCAGAAAGGTCATTTTTAAAGCTCATGTTTTGTCTATCCTTGCCGAACTCTGGAGGCTCACATTTGCAATCTTTACCTTTCTCCTTCCTGCTTCGATACACGCGTATACACATATGCACATGCACTCTCCCAAGCAATAGTCCTTTTCCTATGCTTGCCTCCCACACAGGCACTCACACACACTTACTATAGCAGTGTGTGCAGATGTGTGTTCTAATCTGCTTCCAGCACGGGCTCTTCTCATGCCAGCATGCTGACTCTGAGTTTTCCACTCTCTCTTATGAAATGAGAGTCAGACATTAGAGCCATCCAGATCTGCATGCCTGAGAGCTCACACAGATACACACACGCACCCACACACACAGGTTAAAATCTACTTTCTGTGTGTCTGAGTCTGTATGCTCACATGCACATGTGCACACACACTCTGTCTCTTAATGACTCAATGTAAATAAATCCAACAGGCCCATAGGAGCAGCTGGTTGAGCTGCAGTTTTTTGGGCCCCTCCTCTTGTCTGACAGGCTCTGCCTCACCAGTGTCTGGTGTAACGTGCAGGCTCATGTTTGAGTCTGAAATATGTTTACTTAAATTTTGTTTATTTTAAAGAAACAGGTTAGTGGTGGGGGGAAGGTTTGGGGGCAGAAATTCTATTTGCTTGATTCTTGTGCAATCACAGTGATACCAGACATTGGACCTTGGACGACTTTGTGTATTTTTGTTCACAAACATGATCATTAGGAAATGATTGTGTTGAACAGAATCATTACTGCCACGTTATTATTATTATTATTCGTGAAATTTCATGTAATATAATGTTATCGAGACAGCGGTAAAGACGCTTCATTTGATTGCTGTGTTTGTCTAGATTATTATAAATAGATGATGATGTGTACTTTTCTCTTTAACTTTTCCTCACTGTTTAGTGAAATGACAAACTACTTGAAGATCTAGATATAAATGTATATGAAGTAACCTGAAACTTCAATAAGCAAACAAACACCAGTCAGGGAAATCAAACGATTGGAGTGGCAATGTGGGGTGTGAGCACCATCGGGTGACTCCTTTACGGCACCGCTCACTATCTTTTAAATTTCGCTCCTGTTGAGTAAATCATGCTGCCTCCAAGCACCTTACTTTCTCTGTGCTTTCATCAGAAGCATTAATCTCACTTAGGTTGTTTTTCCAAAACTAAAGTCACAGTCTAAAGTTTGGGGATTGAAAAAAAACCCCCACAAAACTACAAGAAACCAACTTTGGTATGTTGTTGTCTTTTGTTATATTTGTGTGTCTTCCAGTGGGAGCTCGTTGGTGTCCACACCGCTGGGTAGATAACAATAGAACAGGATAAATAAGCTGTCGTGGTGCATATGGGAACAGAAATTGCTGTGCAGCTCTTAAAACACACCTCCCTTCAAGTGCTCGCTCCTGTCTGTGGTTTTGAAGCTATTACACAGATTCCTTGTGGCAGCACACTCATCCTTTACCGATGTCAGCATTATTCCATGATTACAGTTGATTGCCTTTGTTTGAGTTTTTGTCTGTCTGTCTTTGAGAAATCACACTCTGAATAGCTTTGGATTTCATTTTAGCCCTGACCAGTAATTCGTCAGCTGGTAATTGACGAGGTCATAGTAAATTAATTCACATCTCCTTTTAATTCCCCCTCAGCCTTCCATTAGCCAGAACTACTCAGAGCTGTGAGCGTCAGGGTGTTTTAATAGATGAGAGACTGAGTCAGAAAGAGCACGAGGCTTAGACAAGAATTAAAAGACACAATGAAGAGTGGATAGTGAGGAAGAGACAAAGCAGAAATACACCAATGGATGGTTTTACATTCACACTATTGCATTGTTTACTTGAGGAGTCCTGAACACCTTAAAGCCCCAGAGAGGTTAGCATACTCTTGCATGCCTTCACCATATTTTTTAAAACTATTTCAGACTGGATTCTTTATTAAAAGCCCCTGTCTCACTCCAGTTATCTTCAAGATCTGGGAAAAGCCTTAGAAATACAGTAGATGGGGGGCTAGCTTAGCGAACAGCTTAGGTTAACTTGCACACCTGTTGCCCAAATCTGTTTAAAATCACAGACAGTACTTCCTTTAGTAGAATCTCAACATTATCCACTAATTACCCACTAATTTTAATATGCAAACGTGTAGAAAAATTGCAGTCTCACAAGAAGAGACCTATTCTTAACCATGGAGAGTTCCCAAGCTTCAACATCCTAAAGCATTAGAAAGTAATTTGGCAGCTTTATGGCATGTCAAATTTTACATTAGTGGTGTAATAAAAACTTGATTTATTTTGAAGACATGCTAAATCCTCCAATTACTCCTGGGGCTAGTTTGTATCAAAGATGCCTTCATGATGTGAAAAAGAAAACTAGATATGCTGTAACATTGTTTAATTTTGTGGTGCTGCTGTGTGCTCTTGCTGTTCAGTAGATGTAGATGCATGGTGCGCAAGTATGAATCATGATAGAGATAGTTTTTTTTTGCAGTGAGTTTATTATTTCTATTTTTATTTATTTATTTGCACTCCTGTCAGGGCAGTGAAGGCATAGGGTGCAAACAACAAAGTAATTAGGACATAGACAGGTTATAAACATACAATGAGTAGGGAAAGGTCAAAACATGTATAAATTGTCATAAATAAAACATAGACTAATCATCAACCAGCCGAATCAGAGATAGAGACAATATAGGTATTCATAAACAGAAAAGAAACATGAAAATGACGTGTTTAAGACATGATTAGATGAAATTTCAATGATATTTTCAAGAATTTGAAGGATAATATTGATTTTAGACATACATCCAGATCGTTCAATAGTTCCGGTCCTCTAAAAGTGAAATTAGACAGATGACAAGAAGTTCGACAGAAAGGTAACTGGAGATGGCCATTTTGTCTTGTTGAGTACAGGTGAAGATAAAAAAGTTTTGGAAAGAGTCAGGAAGGTCTTGTTTCCACCTCACTAACAGATTGTGCATGCCATTAAAAGTAACTTTAAATTTAATGTAATTCTGTATGGTAAAAAGCAGAGATGTGACAACTCAAGCACAAAAACATTCATCCATCCATCCATCTATCTTCTACCGGATATCCGGAGTTGGGTCGCAGGGGCAGCAGCCTAAGCGGGAAGCCCAGACTTCCCTCTGTGTGGCCACTTCATCCATCTGTTCCTGGGGACCCCGAGGCATTTCCAGGCCAGCTGAGAGACGTAGTCTCTCCAGCAAGTTCTGGGTCTTCTCTGTGGTCTCCTACTGGTGGGATGGGCCCTAAACACCTCACCAACAGGGCATCCGGGAGGCATCCTGATCAGATGCCCAAGCCACCTCAACTGACTTCTCTCAATGCAGAGGAGCTGTGGCTCTATTCCAAGCCCCTCTCAGATTACCGAGCCTCTCACCCTGTCTCTGAGGAAGAGCCCAACCATCCTGCAGAGGAAACTCAGCATCTTGTTCTTTTGGTCACTACCCACAGCTCATGAGGTATTGGTAGGAATGTAGATTGACCGGTATATCAAAAGCTTTGCCTTTCTGCACAAAAACAGGCTTTTTTTATTCACTCAATTGTAAGACTTTGAACCTCCATGCTGCAGATGCCACTCTGGTTGCTGGTCACCTTATTTTTTCTGCGGTGCCACAGAAGACAGTTTTTCTCCGTTTTGGCATAATTCTGTATTTCTCAGTAATAATCCAGCAGAAATACGTGAGTTTCTCTGGGTCACTTCACCTGTGTTTTATCTATCTATCCTCACCTTCAGTCTGCTCACTCTTAATTTCTTCTGGACCTTTGTTGACTCTGCTCATTCAATCACCACAACTATGTGATATTACTGAAATGTGGACAGAGAAAAAGACGAAAGGTACAAAACACAGATGGGCTGTATAATCATGTTAATAAAAGTATGATCAGGGTTTAAACGACTACTTGCTAACTCTTAGTTACACACTCCAGGAGATCGTTTCTGTGGGTTTTTAACATTTTAAGTCAATAACCAGAGCGTTACTCTCAACCTTCAGTGCATAATGTGTATCCTTGAGGTCTAAAAAGCAAACAGGATGTAATTACTCCATCTTTAAATATTTACAAAGCTCTATTTTAAGATAGTTATGTTGGTTTTAATGTGTTTTAAGTTTTTGTTACAAAACTTCATCCAGCAGAAGACTTTGGAGAGAAAGTGTCAGAAACCTGCATTATTCTGTCAACGCACATTTAACCGCCTGAGATAAAGACCCTTCTCCTCAGTCAGAGATTCACCTTCTTCAGCTTTTCCCTGTCAGCCTTAGGGTGTCATTTCATGTCTTGCTTGTACAGGTTTTGAAAATTAAAGACAATTATATATCAAGTTGAGACATCCATGAGAAACCAGGGTAAGATACTTTTTGTCATAACCATATCGAATCACACCGTATCATTGATTTAAAAGTATTGTATCAAAACGTAATGTATGAATTGTATCATTTTGTACTGAATTGAATCATATTGTATTGTCTTATATTGGATTTTGTCGTAATGTATCCCACTGAATTGTATCTTAAACTGCATCATCATGTGGAACTTGCAGAATCTTCAACTGATACCGAAAAAAACACATCACTAAATGACCCCCCCTATCACTGCCACCACCAGGACTGACTAAATGATTGTGCAAGTTTTCCAAAAATGTGTGTTTGTTGACAACCACACAACCTTTTCTTGCAAAACTAAAGCTCAACCTTAAAAGGCCCAAACAGACTAAATGTATTAATCCTGGCATGGTGCAGAAGTAAACTGAGACTATAGGCTGAGCACATCACCTATCTGTGAGGAGAAATGGTCATCATCACTCTGTGTTACTGCTCTGCAGCTATAGACGAGCAGATCTAATGTGCCCTCTCACCTCCTAACCTTTCTTTTCCTTTGTCTCCCCTCTTGCACCATCACCCCATCTGCTCTTAACCTCCTCTTCTTCTCCCTCTCCTGCTCTTGTCAGCTCCTTTTGTACCGATACACTGATGATTCAAAGGGATTTGAGGAAACATGGGAGCGGCATGGCGCTGGCAGTTGGGTGCCAAATCAAGATGTTGCATGCATTTGTATGTGCTAGTCTGTGTGTGTGTTTTAGGGCAGAGGTAGTGAGAGGAAGGTTGACCACAGAGGCCTTAAATGTTTACAGAGGGACCCCAGGAGGCCTGAGCTGAGCCTCCCTCTTTTCTGATTGGTTTATGCTGCCTCCCCGTGAGTCTGAAAGCCTGTAATTGGCTGAAAGAAGGAGAGGAATGGGGGACAAATGTGTAGAAGATGGAGATGAACAACAAACTTTTGCAGACGCTTTCACAAGAAAAATGGGAGACCCATTTGGGGTTACCACGAGGCACTCTGTTGGGATAAAGAGGACTGTTTGGCCCCTTTTTCTTTTGTCTCATAACTGATCGAGCACGTAGGACGTCAACAGAAAAGACAATGTAGGAAAACAAGAAAAACAAACATCTTAAACCATCCTAGAGTCATTAAGATCGAAGGTCTTCATTTCAGGGTTGTGAAGTTCAATAGAATAAAAGTGCTGTGGCTTTTGATGGCGAGATGGTTTTAATCATGATGTTATAATGACAGATGATCAAAGGTAAAAGCTGTTTGAGACAGAATGATAGAAATAGAGGATCTGAGGGGAAACTTGGGTAGATGACAAATGCAGAAAAAAAGCAATAATTGGTCGTAAATGAGGCATTTCGGTCCGGCCAGATGAGCCGGCAGTTTGACAGCTCCCTGCCATAAATTCTTTCATTGTATAACTTGGCCTTGTATGGCCTCTGACACATGGAATTCATCCGCACAAAGAGGCGTACACACAGAGACACACACATATAGTCTCGGCTGAATGTTCATGCAGATGAGAAGTGAATTCCAGAATGGTTATTATTACTGTGTGAGTTTTGCCAGTCGTATAATATACACACAATAAACTCATATTTTGCAAAACTATCTTGATTCTTCTTCCAGCACTCTTGGTGCAATGTGTTTGTCGTTTGTTCCTCATGCACTGTAGGTATTGGTTATTTCAATCTGCAGTTAATACAACCCAGAGTTCATTAATGTTTTAGGTTTTTGCTGGAAGCTGATGGCGTGTTTTGTGAAATCTGGATCCATACAAACTTTCTGCAAGCATTTTTTGCCTCTTGGTCTGCAAGTTCTCTACAGAGGATTGTCAGTTGTGAGGCTGTGACGTGGCGGCAATGTCCCTCAGAAGTTGTTTTCCTTTATATGAAAATAAATCCCGTTGACATATGGTTTTATGCACACACACACGCATACAGATGCGAACTCTCTTTCATGCAAAAACAGAGGATTTGATTTGCCATGTACCTTGTTCCTCTCATATGACTTTGTGGTCCTCTGTCCTCAGACTGCACTAGAGGCCAGGAAATGTACTGAGAGCTTTGCCCCAAAAAACACAGCGTCTGGGTTTAGGTTGTTGGCTGCCCTGCAAACTTGTGGAGACACAGCTGTAAATAGCAGAGGGTGCGGACAGAAAGTTTGGCCTATATTTAGTGGTTGAACTTGACTGGTAGAACTTGTCCTCAGACACTGGCTCATTGACCAGGAAGATGGTGTAACTGTTTGTTCTATATAGGGCACCTGAAACTCTTATTTTAGGTCTAACTATACGGCTCAGATATGAGAGGCAGTTTTTGCATTTCTGTCTAAAGTTTCTGTCGGGAAATGTAAGATTAAAGGCCAAGACTGGGAAAAATGTTCCCATTCTGTGTGGTACAAGTTTTGAACAGAAGTCTCGGTAGATTCCCTCGAATTTAGCTTACAGAGATCAGACAAAAGTCATTATTACTACTTTTTAGTAGAGTAGATGGGATATGAATGTCTTACATCTGAATTTATCAATATTTTATACCATAAACAGATTAAATGGATGCTATGAGACATTGCCTTTAGTTATCAGCAAATTAACATTTTCCCTCAGCTCTATGAAGCTTTTTGATGCCCAACTTTAATTACTCACAACTGGATTGTTTCATAGTAAGGCTGTAACCACATCAGATTTTACTGTCTCGGTTATCATGGCAATAAAATACCACCATAATGATATTATTCTGATATTTGTGTAAACAGGGAAATTAAAACAACGCAATCAGTCAAAATGAGGAAATGAAAGACAAAGGTGGAGCAACATGTCATAAACTTAACTAGTGCACACATTTATTATATACTGTGTGTCATCTTCTTTTTTTAATCATTTTCATGCTTTTATTAAACTATGCTTTTATTTTGAAGTATACCACTTCTGACTGGTCGTACGTTATAGACCTGAAAGAAAACAGTTAAATGTATGGCTAGGAAGTACAAATGTGTGATTGATTGGTAACCCAAAGAGGTACCAGCCTAAACGTTGCTTTTAAACCGTCAGTTTTTCAAAGGGCTGCTACATGTAGCTTTCTACTTTGTTTTTGTCTATCCTCCCTTCTCCCACCATTATCATATGCTCTTTTTTGTGATATTCATTTTCCTGTCATCCACCTTTTTTCCAGAGTTTTTTTTTCCTAAATAGCATCAATCAGTAGACACAGTGAGTGACAAACGGGTTAAAATGACACAGCCAGATTTATATTTCAGGTGTTGGTGGAGACCAAAACCGAGCCAATAACCAATACAAAATGGATGTTGATGGCCCTCTCTTTTCCTGAATGCACCTGCATGTAGGTGTTATAATCACTTAAATAGATAAAGATACAAAATAGGCCTGGCATCACTGACTGACTGTTGAGAGTAGCTGGCCTGGTACTTGATATTATTTGCTTTTAGTTGCTACAGTAAGAGACGATTGCTCCACATGCTTTTAATTTAAAGCTAATAAAATAATAAGAAATAATAATATAATAAGTAACATTGTATCTCGATTAAATATTTGTATAAGTTGAGAAAAAGTGATCATTTTGGAAATTGTTTCAAGAGGAATTTAAAGGAGGACCACTGCCCACCTAGGCAGAATAACCTCCTTCAACTCTCAAATGCTGCAGCAGCAACCTGGCATGATCATTAATTATGCCCTGTTCCGTGTTGGGTTTCACATACACCAGCTGAAAATAAATGGCAGCCAGAATTCATGCTCACAGGTCAGAGAGAAGGAAAGAGAGAAGACAGAGAGAGCGAGGCCCAGAGCCGTGAGAGAAGGAGGGTCTTTTTCACATGGGCATGTCATCATGGAGTCCGGCAGATAATTATAATCACAGTGTCTCTGTCCCTCTCTCATTCTTCCCTCTGTCTCTCCATACAGCATCATGGCTGTCCCGTTGTCCACCTCCCCCAACCTCCTGATCCTTCTCCTGGTTTCCTCCCTGGATTGGCTGTCTGCTCCAGGGTCTGCGTTTCTGATGGGTCGGGACCCTCTGACATCATCAGGTAGGTGTTTTTTCCCTTTTGCCTTCTTTTCTTTGGGGGGAAAAAATTGATTGATGGTAGATAAATGTTTCCTCAGACACTTAATCGTCTCTCAATGTGCAGCTTATTAAACATTAACAAAAAGGATTCAGGTTGTGCGCACGATATGTTGTTGACACTTGTTATCACGTCTTATGTCAGACATCAGTTGCAGAATGTTGTTTGTTCTGATATATGTGGAAAGGTTCGCTGTTGAGCAAACGCCGCACTTTCCCGGTTTGGCCCGTCAAACAGGCTGCTGATCAATAGAGCCTGGGTAAATAGTCAGTCAGAGCTCCTCTGTCAAAGTCCAGGGACGGGACGTGGATGAAGCAGGATGTTCAGCCAGCTCGTCCTGCTGTCACTGAACCGTCTCAGATAATTAGGTGAAAGAATGTTTGTGGCTGAAAAAGCAGGCCATGCTTTAATTTTGATCAAATTTACCGCTTGAAATCCAAAAAGCAAAAGAGGGCCACAAATTTCATAAGCAGCTATGCTGTCTTTAGCTCCATAATTAAGTCCTGTTTACTAAAAGTGGACAAGAATGATGGTTAAGCATTTTCTCTAATGGTTGAGGTCAAGTTTGAGGCCTTGGATCACAGAAATCATTTTTATCACCATGCAGGAACAGCATATAAACCCCTCAGCCAAGACGCAGCAATGATGGACTGCTGGCTTTGTTGAGGAAATTCTTCCACTTTTGGAATATTAAATGTCATTTCCTGAGTCAGGTTTTTATTATACTAACTGAGAAACCTTTGTTTTGTTTTTTTCTCAGTATGAAGTTTGCACAAGGTTACCTGGGGTGTGACTAATGATGTTTATTTTCATTGATTTACCAATATTTGCATGATTAGTTGATTAATCATTAGCCAATGAATGGCCAGTTGCATTATCCCAAGACCCATAATGATGTCTTCATCAAGCTTCTTTTACCCAACAAACAAACATTTGACATGAACACTCTTAAACAGCAAAGAAAAAAGATGAATCCATACATTTAAGCTAGAAGCCTCAAACATTAAGTTTTGCCTGAAATGTGACAAAAAGTTAGTTAATTGCTAAAGTTTGTGTTTGGTTTTTGAAGAGTTGTGAAACTGATTGGCTGCCTAATCATTGCAATCATTGTGTGTTGATTCAAACACAGGTGAGGCAGATTTTTCAAGTTGTATTTTCAGACTTTTGTGCCTTTATTCAGAGAGGGTTGGACAGGGTAGGGAGCTGACTGAACTGCTTGGATTCTGTGTGTTCGATGAGGTTCATCCATCCATCCATGGAGTAAAATCAGGCTTTGGCAGTTCTTTTAAGTTCAGGTGTTTATTTGGGTGTGGTTGTTGTTCAGTCATGCAACATAAAAGTTGTCCTCAAATGTAAACTCTAATCAACTTGCTGACTCATCAGTATATTCTTGGACCCGTCTGATGAAGGAATCGAGATCATGATCCGAGAAATATCTGAGCCGCCTGCCTCTGCTGCAGCACCTGCTGCCAGAGTGGAAAGCATGCACGTGCCTTGAAGGGGTTTTAGCTGTTGGTTATGGCATCCTATTGAAGCTTTGTTCATGGACTAATTATCTATTTAGAAATATTTTAAGTGCAGGTCATGACTTAAATGGTATTAGAGTTAATGAAATATCAACACTGGGTGATTTAATCACTTTAATTTGGACCTTGAATCCTCAACTTAAACCTTCACAATAAAGGCATTGACAGAGCTGACATGTGAGTTACTGATGTTCTTCCTCAGGAGTGGATTTGAGGATACTTTGTTTTCTTAATTTCTAAAATTTTGCTGTTACTTATTTTGCATGTTTTTCAAGCTGTAGATACTGACGTCAAAAAATGAACAATGCCAACTCATCGTGTGTACCCATTCAAAGTAAAGGCCAGTCTCTCTTCTTCCCTTTTTCTGATGTATTTCTGCTTTCCTGAAAGAAAGAGTTTTGTTTTGATAAGGCCATGTAGAAATCTGCAGCTCTCCCAAATCAATGACACAGCTAATTATTGCATCAAAACTTTAATGACTGCATTGGTTAATTCAAGTTTTCGAAACAGCTAAACAGGCCCGAGTGGTACAGATGTTGGAGAGTATTGATCCTGTTTTATCCCGTGAACATATTGTTCTGACAGCTCTGCTGGTTTTTATGTGGAAACACAATTTTTTCAAAACAGTAATTCTGGTGCCAGTTCTGGGACCAAAGCAGCCAAAATATTCTGTTTCAGAGAACTTTGGTTTGGAAACAGCGTCCTTCGTTTTCTTTTAAAGCGCCTGTCAGACCAGTGCTTAGAGTGTATTTGTTTGAACACAAGCGTTCCCATTTGGATGAAGCAGTAACGCTTAAAAGCCAGTTTGACATGCTGAAGAGATTCTTTAATTGGCTGACTATTGCAGTTTCTGAGTAATCGAGCCATGACTTTGGTGTTGTTTAGGGTTCAGATGCTGCTTTACTGAGGCAAGTTTTTTTCGTGCTTGATTTGGTGTAGGAGTACACCTCAGAATCCATGTTAGATATATAGTGTGAAATTGAAGCAGTTCCATAATAACATGATTTGTATAAAATTGGGTCAGTCAGTTCTTTTACAGTTGAATCATGGAGTATTTTCACATACAAATATGCTGTGGTATAAAGTAGATGGGTATGACTACACTCTATCATGAATTAATATCAAAAACCACACAGAGCTCTGAGGCCTTTGCCCTCCAGCTTCATGACTTTCTATTTGTTCACAGACTGTAGCAAAAGTCTTTATTTGTGTAGGTGTGCTGATAAGCTGACAGACAAACCACTGAAAGCCAGGTGAGGTCAAACCATCAATCAGTCTGACTGGCCCGCCTCCTTTAGTCATTAAAACGGCCTCCAGCACTGGCGCTATGGGTAATCTAGCTCACAGTCTTCCTCAACAACCGTTAAAACATCTGTAAACACAAAGCGGGCGCTGATAGCATGTGCAAACAGACACAGCCTGGTTCTTTCTCAAACCTATCAGCCCTGACACCTGCCTCACACACTTAACGTCTCCCAGATTTGACTTTCTACCCACAATTCTTCCACCAGGACCCATAGTTGATTGGAGAACTCATCAAAGCCCTAGATAATGTGACTCAAAATCATCAAAATTACTATATAATATCAAAGCTTTGAGTATCCGCAGAAATCTGGGTAAAATAATCTTTAGCTTTTCTGTATTTTCCAAATCTGTGTGGGTGTAGCCTCTCATATTTTAGCATGACACACAACAAAAGCACAAAGTTTGAGTCATCTGAGTTTAGATAAGGTAACAATTTTTCACGTGGACACCCAGTGCTGAGTTACAAAATGCTTTGCTATCCATCGCATAGATATCAGTTAGCATGCACACACACGTGCAACATTAGCCAAGCTGCCCCTATTTGTCCCCAAAGCTATGACTGCAATGCTAAATGATAGCCCTGTAGTGTTAGCGAGCGCTATGTTATTACTGAGCTAAACTAAACACCTGTCGCTGAAAATAGATCGTCAACGACCTGACTCAACCAAGCTAGCTAAAAATAGACAGCATGGTCCACATTCAACACCTGCGGCCGTCAATACTTTGCCCAAGGTTGAAGCTAAAGCTGGATGCAAAGTGTCAGAAAGCTGCTTTGTCATGTTGTCCTCCAATTGTTGTAACTGGATGTAACCATGCTTTCGTCAACCCAAATATTAATGTGTTTTACCATGACAGTTTCATTGTAGCTGATTTAATTTCAAATTCTCAAAGGATCATAACTATAACGTAATATAAGGCTTATTATGATTTGAGTCTCCTTAAATCTTGTTTAATAGGCAAGTGTAGATTATTTTGGTACTCCACTGCAGGCCTTATCAAGCCTTCCTGGAAACCTGTGGCTTATTCTCCTTTTGTCAGATTTGTATGTCTGTTGTAGAGCCAGCCACATAACAAACCAAGACATACAGAGTCTCCTATATATTTAAAGGCTAACCAGATGATTATAGCCAGTGGTAGTCATTTGTCTTCCTCTGTCCTCACACACACACAAATGCTCTTTTTTCCCTTTCCTGAGCGTCCCTGTGTGTCTCAGGAGGACACGCGCCTCAGGCTCTCGCATTGATTTTGCAGAGCGAGGCTGTGTTCTTGGCCACTGAGGTGGTAACGAGCAGTAAAAGTGTAGACGCTCGGTTCATCTGGCTCATCTCGCCTATACACACAATCTATGGTTACATCTGCCTCAAAGACAAGTGGTGGATGTGTTTGCTCTCAGTGGTGGAGCTGGGGCCTTGTGTGGGATGTGGTGTCTAAAGCTAAATACAAAGTTGTAATGCATAGTGGTGATAGTGAGATGGAGGATACATGGTGGAGAAAATGCAATGTAATGAAAGGGTAGCTTCAAAGTTGCAGATGCAAAAGGCAATGTTCTGCATGCACTAAACAAGACTATTTTCAAACTGCAGAGAAGACTACTGCAGCAACATAAATGTACAGAGCAACGCTGTGAAGCTGGAACCCTCTATGCAGGACGTATGAACTCAGTTACTCTTACATTTGCTGCTACATAAGTTAAAAAATACAACTTAGTAGCTTTTTTAACAGTATTACCTGCAGTTCTTTCCATCCATGTAGAGAGGTAAGGAAAATTGATGAATCTGTACCAAATTTTTTGGTCCAATTGTTGATTATCAAAGAGCTTTCAGCAGCTAGTTTTTTTCCCCCTCACAAATCAGCACTAAGAATGCTAAGCCAGTAAGTATTGTTATAATATAATGTTTTATTGAGTCCTACAAGATTATAAGTCATTTGGTAGCTTAAGTTTAAGGGCTTGAAATTGCAACACAATTATACTTAAGGCATATTTGATACAACCAGCTAGATTTACACCAACTCACAAATAACTACTGAGATACAAGTTCACTCCAGTCAAGTAAGTAACAAACACTTCAAATCCTAATTAATGCATTAAACTTGTTTTTTTTAGCTCATTTTAACAATGTTAAGCAGTTCTGACTCATTTCTTCACATAGAGATCAGAATGAATGCAATAAAGTGTTCATTATGATCCTGGCTTTAAGATTTTTAGTGAAATAAATGCTGCTTTTCTGCACCTGTCTGGTCTGAAACAATGTCTCAGAACTAATATCCAACTTTTTGAGTACTCTGTGAAATATGCAGGAGTGCAAATAAAGAGTCAGCAGAAATATGGTGTGCAGTGATTCTGTTATCTAGTGATCACCTGTTGATGCAACAGCATTTACACTTTTCAGGAGTTCCAGTTTGGTTGCTTCTAGCTTCCTCATGGGTGGTAGCTTGTGTACTTGGGTGGCATTTTAGCATCTGTTATAATCAATCAATACATTTGAATATATTGTGAGTATGTCAGTTTTACACTTGTTTGGTCACTAGATCAATATTTTGACCCATATTGTATCAGAACACATACTTAAGTCGTGATCAGTATGTTAATCTCTACTTTACAGCCTTTAAAATATGTGGTTGATACATCATTTTGCTCCAGATAGTCAGCTCTCCTGTGAAATACTGTCCCATTGGATAAATATTATAGAAACAATTCAACTACAATCAACAAATGATTGGCCAGTCTCTCAAGCTCAAGAGTATGTCAACTGAGTATGAGAATAAGGTTTGCCAAAGGAGGAGATCTCTACAGGAACTCATTTTAAAAGCAGAGGCTCATTCACCAAGCCGGTTCTGTTACTTGTTACAGATAGCTTTTCTCTCTGACTGAGCTCTCAAACAGTGGCAGTAACCAGCTGAACTAAACATGTAAAGTCATCTGACACCCCACAGGAGGACCAGAGGGTGACAAAGTGGAGTAATCCAAGACAAAGACTGTGAAGTGTGCAGGTGTCCACGCTGTCAGACAGACAGCCTGCTCATACACTTACTTAGATGTATTATGGCAGAACTAACTCTTCTCTGTGGACTTTAATGGTATTACAGGAGATTAACATCATTATTATAGATCAGGGGTCGGCAACCCGCGGCTCTGGAGCCGCACGCGGCTCTTTCTTCCCTAAGCTGCGGCTCCCAATGGATTTGGAAAATAAATAATAAATACTTAATTGCATTTTATTTTATTTTATTATTATTATTATTATTATTATTTGTAATTCTAAATTCAAAGATTATAATGCTCTTGTAACATTAAATTAACTATTAAGGCTGCAACAACGAATCGATTAAGTAGATTCGTCGTGACGAAAAAATCCGTTGCCAACAAATTCTGTAATCGATTCGTCGGGTCTTTATATATGTCCATGGACACCGGCGTGTAAACATCAGCAGGACGCACAGAAAAGAAACAGCCATGGCCGAGGCAGCGGCTGAGAAAAACATGGACACAACCCAACCCAAATCCCGACCTAAAACATCAGTGATGTGGGAAAACTATACCAAGACTGAAAAGGAAGGCGTTCAGTGCAACATTTGCAAAGACCGTTTTGCATGGCTCGGGAGTACATCGATGATGCGTGAGCACAGGGTATGACACACGCATTCCCACTCGTTCACACGCTCACACACCACACATTGTATTTCTCACGCATTTAAATGAACACGGTGATGTCCACCAAGTTGCACTTCTTCAACTATGGGACTGGGGGAAATCAACTGAGTTCCTCCGAGAGTTCAGAAGCTGCGTGCCACGCACAAGCCAATCAAATAAAGTATATCTACTGAACAGCCAATCAAAAAGCAGCATTGCTGTATCCGGGTAGATTTTGATATCTTGCGGTTTAACTACAGAAGAAGACAGACACTCGCCGAAATAGTTCATTTATTTCATAAATGCAACTCGCTACAGTTTTTTATATACTTTGTATAAAGGTAAAAAAAAAAAAAGATATATGCAATGTTATCTTCATTTTAGATGTCAAAGAGGTTTTGTGGCTCCCTGTGTTTTCTTTTGTGTGGGAAACTGGTCCAAGTGGCTCTTTGAGTGTTTAAGGTTGCCGACCCCTGTTATAGATGAATCTGTTGGACCAGAGCAATCTTACTGGGTCATACCTAACTATGTGTATGTGCTGAACATCAAACTTCATGTATTGTTGTCATACTGGGAAGAAAAGCTGAAAGTATTCAAGGAATAAGACAATGGTGCTTTGATTGTCTTTGTTGGTTTTGTTTTGAATGTGCCCTTGTGCTTATACACGTATATGTGCAGCTTCATGTGCGCGTTGGAAGCTATTTATATCACCTGTTTACGTTCCCTTGTTTGTATCTTGTTGCAGTCTCTCATCTTTCTACTCCTCTCCTCTGGCCCACTTCTCAACACTTCTGACTTGCATGAATGCTGCGAGCCCTTTTCAGCCTTTCACCAAGACAACTACACTCACTTTGATATGCCAAAAAAAGAAATGCTGTTCTTTTAATGTGGAAAATAAAGTATAACAGATTAGTCAAAAGCTCAATTTGAATTTTCCAGACAGTCTCGATCTCCTTTTTCTCTTTTTATTTGCTCAACCTTTCTTGTCCTCGGCATCCAAATCATGATTTTCCATTAGACAGACAGTGCCATCTGCATCTGCAAAGGTGTGCATGCAAGTGTGTTCGCAGGGACATATTGTAGGACTTGGCAGACTGACATGCACTCTATCTCCTCTTTTGATGGTTTCAGTGTGTATTTATTAGAGACTCCATCTGGTTAACAGAAACACACACACACACATAAACAGACTGATGGTGTTTCAGAAAGTGATGTGCAGAACAGAAACCAAATATGATCACCAGTCTTAAAACTGTGCCCAGCGCTGTCTAACGCATAGACCAGAAAGTAGCCACTGTAAATGAAAAATCAGTGTGTTGATCGAACTTAAAATAAGAACATCAAACAGCGGCGTTAAATCCCTTAAACTGTATTTTTACTCTTTCTGTTGTGGTTAAACTGAGACCTGCAGCTGTCTTTTTTGCTCTGACTGTCTTATAATTGTGTTTACTTGTGTCAGCGGAGAGCAGAGTACAAGTTGTGTGAGTGGTGTGATCAGGGACAACAGGTTCGACTGTTCAGCAGTTGCTCGAGTGTTCTCTTCAAGCTGAGGCAATCATACCAATTATGCGCTAATACCAAGATGAAGAGACACTCCGAGTCTGCAGTGTTTTCTTTTTTTTTTTAACATAGAAGCCGAAGTCAGAAACACATCAGAACTGTACATGTAGTCCAGGACGTGTAATGGATGATCACATTGTTTATGTTGGGTCTTAAATTCAGAATAAAGCAAAGATGTGCATCAGTGCGATGTAGAGGAAAAAGAGACCATGTGTAAAAGGTTTTCTCTTCATCCAGACAACACTACTGCAGCAGCACTCTGCACTAATTGAAGACGGGAAATACTAGTCTGTGTTGCTGGAGTCAGAGGTCGAGAGCATACAACGGGCAGTGCCAATACTAGCTTGATGCATTTTTAAATATTATAAAATAACTTAGCATTAAGTGGACCATCAAGATGGAAATAGATATGGAAGACAAATAGTTTTTTTTATCCTTGAATCATCAGGTAACATTGAACATTGTGACATTTTGAGCTTTTGTTACCAAATTTTAGTCAAACACGTTAGATTATCGTCTGCATAGAAGGTTACACTGATCTCCTGATGTGGTCATTTTGGGCTTACAATCATGAAAAATATCAATAATTTGTTAAACCATCTTGTGATACTTGTGCCAACCAGCAAGGGGAATGACATTTAATCAATGTCACCTTATCGCACACATCCCTCCACACTGACTAATTACTGGAGAAGACGAATACTATTATTAATTCAAAAGACTTTGAACCAGGTGTAGACAGCAGTTGGATCTGATTTAAACTTGGATTACTAAAATGTCCGTATTTATCTGTTATGTAATGACTTAAGCTTTATTCACTATTGTATTTCTGTGTTGCAGCCAAAGCTCACACTGGCTCACTGTTCTGGAGGTGTCACTTTATAATCTATACGTTCATTTTCTCTGACAGTTTCCATCTTGCTGTTGTTCCTCCTTCTTACCTTATATCCTTCCCTTCCCTAAAGCAGTCCCCTTAGGTGTTTTTAACCTGAACGGTAACTGGAAATCTGCAAATGAGCCGTAAAGGGTGATAATTCATAGTGTCATAGCCTCATTTCCCCCAAGCATTTTACAATATAGGAACAGATAGAGCCTGTTCTCAACACCTTTTAGTGCTGTTTGCCAGCAGGTATTAGGCGCAGGATAGGAGTGCTTTATTCAGGCTTTTTACTGTATTTTTAACCTTAATGGCTAGAGCTGATGTGAAAGTGGATACGTGGTCTCCTAGCTTCTTTGTATGGTCTCAGGTGTAACAGACAGATACATATGGATAGCCACAAAAACAGGTTTTGCCTTCCAGTTGAAGCATCTTAAGTGCTGATGTTTTCGTGGCAGCTGGCAGGTACAGGCAGGATTTCCATTCGATCAGTTAGACTGGTTATATATCAGTTCATAAAGAAAATGGGGTGTATGCACCCTGCAACAAAATTACCAGCCTGTACGTGGCAGACGACATGTAGCTGTCAAGTTGTCCCCTCTGGCTTGTTATCTAGTTACAACTTGAACAATGTCTTTTTTTATATACTGTGCAAAACTGAACATGGTGAGAATGTGTTTCATTTTTCTATAGGGATTTAATAGTCGAGGCCTGATGGAAGTGAGGGAAGACTCATGACTGTGCATAGAAGAGTGAGAATTTCAGTCACTCCAGGTGTTGCAAACAGCATTTTACCTCTGATTCACAGCAGATTGGGGAAAGTTGTGCTTGGAAAATGACTTTTTCTAACATGGCTGGCCTTTCTGCTTTTTACCAGCAGAACTTCATTCCTTGGAAAGGCTGAGTAGGAGCAACAGTCTAGAGTAGAAAAGAGTTAGAAGAAGAACACAATATGACGTAGTAAAATGTATGATAAAATGCGACTATCCAATCAGGAGAAAGATTTTATTTCCACCCCCAAACTATGCATTTCTTTAGTTGTTTCGTACGTTATTGTAATGTTTCTTGTTGAGTTTCTTCTTCTATTTGCATCCACTGTCTGCACAAAGGCTGTTGGTGGTGGCAGCTGGAATTTGCTGAATGGGGGGAGGGAAGCCGAGTTGAAATAGCAAAAGCTCTGGGAACCGAGACAGTGTGCAGAAGATGAAGGGAGGGAAGGTGAAGAAGGGGGAGGGGTGTTGAGAGCTGGAGTCACAGTGGCGTAGGAATGCGATGAATTACGAGGCAACACTGGCATCAGATAGAGGGTAATCAGCGCGATGGTCTATGTTCGCTGTGAATAAATCATGAGTATTTGCGGTCTGGCTTGGGTTGGGTTTGTTTTCAAGGTGTTTTGTTGGACGGTTTGTGTGTTGATGTCAACTGAGGGTGCATGCTGGGTGTGTGTGTGATTGCTGCACATGTCCACGTTATGTATACAACACATTTCATAACTTTGGCGTGAGAAAATCCTTCAAGAAAAGCTATCCCAATGATGGTGCCTCACTGCATTTGCAGGGCATCTCTCTTGTCGGTTTCTGATCCCCGGTGTTGCGTTGAAGAGCGTGTTTATGCTCTGGGTCCGTGTGTGATTTATTCGACTGCCAGCTCTGGAGGAAAGCAAGTGGAGCAGAAATCAATGATACCTTCAGCTGCTTATTTATGGCTGCACCAAACCTCCTGGACTGGCTGCTGAATGAGAAACTGGCCCCCAACAGGAGAGGGAGATGGCAGAGGGTGGGGTCAGTGGGGGTGAGAAGTGAAGGGGTGCCAAGGGAGAGGTGATAAGGGCTGAGTCAGAGCCTCACAGTGGGGCAGAGGGCAAGTGGTATAAAATGTGTGGAGAGATCTAAAGGTTATGAAGTTTTGGTGACTGATATTTGACGCCATATGAATCCATCTTATATCAAGCTGTTTTAATTAAAGGTGTGTGTGTTTTTTGTCTTTCAGCTACCCTTGAACCACATTTCACAGAGTGCATATCCAGAGAACAGGAGACATTTCGATGTTGGTGGAATCCAGGTGACTTCCACAACCTGTCCTCACCTGGAGCGCTCAGAGTCTTCTACCTTAAGAAAGAGTGAGTTTGATATCCATCTGAGTAGCACACAAGTAGTCCAAGTTATGGTGTTTCAGCTCTTTGTACTCTACGACAACCATTAGTCATTTCTTTTTCTACTGTCCCTCATTGTTTCCTCCTTCAGCTCTCCCACCAGTGAATGGAAAGAGTGTCCAGAGTACATCCATTCAAAGAGGGAGTGCTTCTTTGATGTAAACCACACATCCGTCTGGATACCTTACTGCATGCAGCTCCGCGGCCAAAACAACATCACCTATTACAATGAGGATGACTGCTTCACTGTGGAGAATATTGGTTAGTAACAAACATTGTGGATAAATCTGGATTGGGGGGGATTCAGCTCAGTATTTCTAGGAAATGTTGCCTACTGCAGCATATCAGCTCTACCAGCGAATGTCACATCCTTGTCAATATTACAACAAGTGTCTGACACAGAGTGTTTTCACAGTCGATGTTTTCATGTCTGCCAGACTTTATCTTACCAGGGCTGGAGAGGATGATGATAGATAACCGAATTACCACATGCCATATGTTTGCTGATGTCTGTGCTATGGAAAAAACTTTGTTTATCCGCTTTCATCCTGTGAACGCATCGATTATCAGCGTGTTTTTATAGATAATATTTGGATCTTGTCCTCTTCTCTGCTGGACCTCAGTGTAAGCTGCTGATAGCAAGTTTGTTGATTTGAACTGTGCAACATACACTGACTGCCTGTAGCTGTATTTCCAGCATGTGACTGTTAGAAATCAATCATTAGAAGGCTGGTCTTCATCTTTTTTAATGACCACTTTGATCAGCATAAGGCCACAAATTCTGCCTGGACCAAGAGTGTTTGTGATTCAAGATTATAATTGGAAACTTTTATGTCATTCACTAATAATATTCATGAAGTCTTGTCGTCTATCCCTCATAAGTTTACTCATTCCTTCTTTTTGCAACCCAAGGTCAAGATGTAACTATACAAGCTCAACTATATTGCAGATTGTACTCAGAGAAACCCCTCTTATTTTATTCACTGCAATGATTTCGAACTCAAGAGGATCTTTAAGTGTTTTACTGAAGTGGTGTTCAAAAGTGAAGTCAGTGCAAAAAACAAATTACTGCACTTTGAGAGAAGCTACAAGAACAGAGGAACCCCCCATTAAAACCCATTTTGATACTGAAGTAACACACGTACCAAGAAAAAGAGAAAAAAAATCTGAGTACCCGATTTCAAAATACACAGTTTGGGGTTTAGAGTACGGTCTTCATTGTTTATTTTCAAGTAAAAAAGAAAAATCAATAAAAATCTTTAATCCAGTTTGTTTCTTTAATATAGATTTTTATTTTTTTAAGACAGTTCAAGATGCAACATTTGAGTCTTAAAATACCTAGACATTTTTTTATGCCTGGTGTTTATTTCTTTGTCTTTCTTTTTCCTCTATCTTTGTTTTTCTTCTTTTTATTTCTGTTTATTATTTTATTTCTTGATAATTATTTTTATTAGATTATTATTTTATTGTTATTTCTTTCTTTCTACCTTTTTGATTCCTTTTTTCTTACTGTTATTTCTTTCTCTGTCTTTCTTTTATTTCATTTTTCTCTTGTATTTTTTCTATTTTCCCCTTTCTGTCTACCTTTCTTTCCTATTTTTTCTTTCTCTTATCTTTTCTTTTCATTCTTTCATTCTTACCCTTTTCTATCTTATTTCTTCCTGTTTTCTTTTGTTACATTTCTTTGTCTCTCCTTTTTTTATTTTTTTATATTGTTTTCCTTTTTCTTTCACTGCTTTTTCTTTCTTTCTTTCTCCTTATTTATCTCATTTTTTGGGTCTGTGTAACAGATAATTACTTCCAGCATTAGATTATTTTGGCAGTACCACACAACAGGGTGTGAAAAATGTTCTCATAAAATGAACTCATTGTGCTACTTCTGATTTTACATGTATCTATTATTTTTTTCTACAAAACATAGTACAACAAGCTGTTTAAGTTTCTAAACTGTATTTTCTAATCTGTAACAACTTGTTTGAGGGTGTTTTTTTTTTTTAACAATACACACAATTTGATCATGTTAAAGTAAAGAGGTATGCATTGATAGGTGCGTTGTGGTTGGATGTATGTTGTATAGCTACTCCTCCTCCTCTTTGCCAGTATCTGAATTAGCTGCAGGTTAGTTTAAGTCAGCAGCACCAATGAAGTGAGCACCATCACACGCCTACTCAGATAACAGTGAGTGAGCTCACTGAGACTATCTCTGTGTTTTTGAACAGTCCCTGCTTCAGCTTCATGTCTGTTTTTTCTGCATTTGGGTGCTCTGTTGGAAGACAGTTAAATCATTTCATTTTTTTATTTACACTAATAAGTACCAGCTTTCTCACTATGCTTTAGTTGAACTTTTGCCTTTTGCCTATCATGACAGTGCGTCCAGACCCACCGGTGTCTCTAAACTGGACCCTGCTGAATGTAAGTCCCTCTGGACTGAGTTATGATGTCATGGTCAACTGGGAGCCCCCACCCTCTGCAGACGTCAGGGCGGGCTGGATGCGCCTAGAGTACGAGATCCAGTACCAAGAGAAAAATTCTACAAACTGGGAAGGAGTAAGTCCTTTCTCTTAAGCTCGCCCTGAAATTCTGCCTCTTTCTCACACTAACTCACCACTCCCTAACATGTCCATGCACATGTAAACACACACCCCATGGTATTACAGACTGTCTCTGTGCACATGCACAACCTCACGCAAATGCAAACACTCGTGCACCCCTCTTAGAGTGAAGTGTAGGTAGGTCAACCAGCCACAGTGTCGTGTTTCCTTCCCCCTCCTCTAAACTCTGTGGCTGAAAGGCAGTGGAAGCCTGAGCTAAACCCTCGGGGAAAACACAGCCTTTCTAAAGGAAGTAAAGGGAGGGATCTGTAGGTCAGAGGCCATGGGACCTTGAACAGACACATATTCATTACCACCGGGCCTGCCAGTTCTACAAACTCAGCCTTGGATTATGTTTTAGAGCCCCCCATTATAACACTATGTCCTACATCCCGTGAGCCAAAAATACATCAACCTTAACCCTAACCCCTGAGAAAGATCAAAGCTACAGGTACCAGGAATAAACATAAAGCGCAGGACACCATGTTTTACTTCAAGTCTGAGTGTTTCTCCTGAGATTTTCACAATTGGAATAGCCTTTATGTTAAATTCAATCACAGAAAATCGTTATTTTCCTCTCACTCTCTTTCCTCTGTGTTGTTTTTAATAACAGTTGGAGATACAGCCACACACTCAGCAGACGATCTACGGCCTGCACATAGGGAAAGATTATGAAGTGCACATACGCTGCAGGATGCAGGCTTTTACCAAGTTTGGAGAGTTCAGTGACTCAGTCTTCATCCAAGTGACCGAGATACCAAACAAAGGTAAGGTCATGTTTGGTAGTCTAATTAGGTAGAAGTAGATACCGCACATAAATATGGCCTCTCTGTTTTGTTCAGACTGAGAGCATCATCAAGAGTAACCAGGGAAATTGTCGTTATGATGAAAATGATTATGGTTTTTGTTTTCTGTTTTGTTTCCAGAGTCTACCTTCCCACTCACTCTAGTGTTTATTTTTGGGATTGTGGGCATCCTCCTTCTCATCATGCTCATCATTGTCTCTCAGCAGCACAGGTAGGAACAGATAGTACGACCCCTTGCTTGTTACACATAAAACATATTAAACCTTTGCTCCAGGATGAGCTGTGTTCAGTGTCTGCTGCAGACTAGGCAGCACAGCTCTCGGGGTGACTCCACTGAAAATAAATGGCACACACACACAACTGTGAATAGATTGCCTTCATCACTTCCTCTTCCTTTCCTCTTGTCATTATAGATTAATGATGATTCTGTTGCCACCAGTTCCTGCACCCAAAATTAAAGGCATTGATCCTGAGCTGTTGAAGGTACGCTTATTTTGGTTGGTGTTATTTTGCCTGGTCTGACTGTGATATTCTTCTGTGAATTCTCTGTTTACTCCAGAGTGCAGCACATGTACAGGCATACAGAGTGGCTGCATGTTGTTTACCATTGTACAGTAATGACTGTGGATATGTTGCTGAAAATGCCAAAAGGCTATGTGATTGCATGATGAACTGACAGTCTTTTGTCATCTAACAGATGGTACTTTCTTTGTCTTAGAGCTAAAATACATTTTGATCAGTGCTTTTATTTGATATTATATCAAGGCATTCGTTTACAAATCCATGGTTACAGTATATTGCAAGGTGCTATTTTCTGATATTTTTTCTCTAATAAATGTAATACCTGTCAAAACCAAGAAAATTAAAGTTTGGGTAGGCAGGATCTGAGGAAGTGCCAGTTTTTGGGAAAAATCTTGAATGTAAACACTAACCAAGTTATTGGTTGATGTGGAGCGTGCCTCACAACACAAGGAAGCAGCATTCACCTCACAACCAATCAGGATGGGGAAGCGGTGAATGGCTTTGTTTACAGTCAGAAATAGTGGGCTGCTCAAAAAATTTAAAATGTTGACTACACAGACATAAAAAAACACAGCGATATGGTTATATAACCAAATGTCATCAATAACTAATAGCTATTGACCAATATAAAAGCTTTTTTGTATATACACCACAAAAAAAGATGCTTCTTTAACAGAATCCTGCCTACCCCACCTTTAACGTTAAAAAAGATGTAACTAACTGCATTTTTACTAAATTAATCTGTTAGTATAGTTGAATTTTAGATTGTCGTTTTTAGACATTGGGTGAACAATAACCCAAAAAGTTGTAAAAGCCGCTCCTCAAACTTTCCCAAAACCCAAAGTGACATCTTCAAACGGCTATTGTCCAAAGCATTTATCTTGAAGTTAATTAAAAGCAGCTAATCCTTAAATTTAAGATGATCAATCCCATCAATAGCTCACATCTTTCAACACATGGCACCGCGTATTGTTAACTCAGCGAGTTGATTATATAATGTGTTGTGTAATCAACATTTCTGTTACATTCCTATTATTATTTGATGACAAACAGACACTGCTCAGGCGTCCATGTGGCCCATTTAGCTGAAGCACTTCGAGCTTTGTAAACATCACATCTACCGCTTTTCCTTCTCCAATCACGGCCTGTTTTCATCCATACCAATGATCAAATAAAAGCATACATGTCCATAAATAATGTGAAAAGAAAACCGGCTCTGTTGTTCTGTGTAGGTATACAGGAAGAGGAGCAGCACTGAGGGGATAATAACAATGGAAAGATGGTCTTGGTCTGTGTTGTTGTTGGTGTATTATTGTCAGATGATGTGGGATGCATTAAACAGGCAGCCTGTTTGCTCTTCACAAAACACACCTCACCTCTGAACCTCGGAAAAATAAGTCCTGATTATGAAAAAGGGCAGCTATTTCATACTCAGACAAAGGGGAAACAGGGGGTGTGTTTTGTTTGCACATGAAATTTACACATTACTCACAAAGCTGTGAGGAGAATAGGACTGCTACAATATTTTCTGAAAGCACATTTCTGCTCCTCTATTTCAAAACACACTCATTCAAATACAAATTGCTTCCACACAGAAGGGGAAACTGGATGAGCTGAATTTCATCCTGAGCGGTGGAGGGATGGGTAGTCTGCCGACGTATGCAGCCGACTTCTATCAAGACGAGCCGTGGGTGGAGTTCATCGAGGTGGATGCGGAGGATACTGATGCTGGAGAGAAGGAGGACAACCAGAGCTCAGACACCCAGAGGCTCATTGGGGTGCACCAGCCGATCAGCCACCATATGAACATAGGGTGCTCCAATACAATGGGGTACAGTAAAGATCCTTATTCAAAGCGTGTTGGAACCAATTTTGTTGTATTTGATAGAGAAGCGACAATGTATCCCAGTCCCACACTGCAAAAAAGGAATTTCAAGAAAGGAAAACAGCCTTGTATTAAGGAAATAAGTCTTATTTTTTGTACAAAAAGCATTTTTATCTTGTCAAGCATGTTTGGCATTAGAAAAATTCTCTAATTTTAAGAGAAAATGGCCAACTTTTTCTTGATAAGATATTCCAGCTAATTTTGAGATAGAACGAACCAGAAATAGAGCAGAAAAATGTTTTAGAATAAAATCCAGCGGAGCAACAAGATCATTCGTCTCATTTTAAGAATAAGACATATGTACAACCTCTCAATTTAAGAATGCCATGAAACAAGCACAGATTTTTAAGATTTCCATTGCAGGTCATCTGAACCTGACAGAATCTGCTGCCTCACACATTATCTGACATATGAAGATGTCAGTAGGCTAGTCTTTACAACAGACAACATAATACAGTGACCAGATGAAAACTGCAAAACAACAAAGAACAACAAAGAACATGCTTGCTTTCCACATGCTTGCTTGTGGAATAAAAAATATATATTTAATGAGAATTTTTTTGGTATCTTGATTTAAGACAACATCACTTAAATTTGCTATGCTGTTTTAAGAAATTATATCTTATTTGAATGACTGTCATGCTCATTAATAATAGTATTTTCCTGAAGTTCATTTATTCAAGAGACTAAAATTCAAATTTTAAATAACTTCATCTTCATTTTTCATCACTTGCTGTAGAAAAAATTAGAATAAGATTTTCAGTCTAGTTTTAAGTTTCATTTGAGTCTGTCAGGACTAAGAAATTTGTTCTGTTTTTTTTGAGAATTCTTGTCAAGCAAAAAAAAACCTTACCCCATTGGTAGATTTTTTTTGCTTGATACAAGATTATTTGATTGAATATAAGAATGTTTTGCTTCTTTCTAGTAGGGCTGTAATTTCATTGTGTATTTCTTAAATTTTGCCGCTAGTATGGACTTTACATGCACAATGAAATTAAATTACACAGTTTCAGCTGATAATTGCCTCCACAATAAAAAGTCTACATCCTCTTTTTTCTTCTATTTCTGCTTTTCTTTTCCACAGTTTCCCTGATGACGACTCAGGCCGGGCCAGCTGTTACGACCCAGATCTGCCCGACCAAGACACCCTAATGTTGATGACCACCCTCCTACCAGGCCAACCAGAAGACGGGGAAGCCTCTTTCAACGTGGTGGAAAAAGTACCAGCTCCAGAACGAGATGACAGACCCCTGGTCCGAACCCAAAGTGGAGGGCCTCAGACTTGGGTCAACACGGACTTCTACGCGCAGGTCAGCAATGTGATGCCATCTGGGGGCGTGGTTCTGTCTCCTGGCCAGCAGCTCAGAATCCAGGAGAGCATCTCAGTCACAGAGGAGGAGGCTCAGAAGAAGGAGAAAGAGAAGAAAGGAAGCCAGGACCCCGAGGAACAAATGCAGAAAGAGCTGCAGTTTCAGCTGCTGGTAGTGGATCCTGAAGGGAGCGGCTACACCACAGAGAGCAGCGCCCGGCAGACCAGCACTCCCCCCAGCTCTCCGCTGCCTGGTGAGGAGTATCAAACCACACACCCACAGATGGGGGAGACCAAACCTGCAGCCACAGCAGAGGGAAATCAGTCCCCTTACATTCTTCCTGACTCTCCACAATGCCCTTTCTTTGCCCCTGTCGCAGACTACACAGTGGTTCAGGAGGTGGACAGTCAGCATAGTCTGCTCCTGAACCCTCCTCCTCCCCGCCAGTCTCCCCCTCCCACCCTAACACAGCACCCCCTGAAGCCTCTACCTGCTATGCCTGTTGGGTACATCACCCCAGATTTACTGGGGAACCTAACACCATGAACCAAAACGGACAACAAAGGCCTTGAAGATGACCAGGAAGTCCCCTGCATTCACAAAAGCCTGTTTCTACCTGATCCTTTGCTGGAAACCAAAACAAAATAACACTTGGAGCACACAGGAGAGTGTGGAGAGTGTACGGGAGTTTTGTTTTCAGAGGATGCTGAAAGGGAGATATAACAAGCTGTATTCTTGACTCTTTTGCATTTGCTTCATCAGTTAATTTGATGCAGAGGCGGAAAAAGAAAATCACAAACCAAATTCACAGCTGGCTTTGTTCGTTAACATCTGTGCATACAAATGTAAAGCTGTGACTGTGATTGTAATGAGTCGAAATACATTAGCCCACTGCCAAACTGCCTTGGTTTGCATTATATGTGGCTAATTATGTTAGATTAGAGCGATGATATGTTGAAGTCTTAATCCAGCTGAGGACTGTCAGTGTGTGATTGATTGAGAGAAGACAAGCACATTCTCGTTACGGTTTTTCACGCCCCGCCAAGACACAGTCATTGCTGTCTCTTGCAACAAGAGATGTTTTTTCCTTCGAAACGGATTCTCTTCTCTTAGTTAGAGATATATTTTTGTATAAAAAGGCATTAGCTCAAGGACAGATCCACCCTAGTTGAAACACAACTATGCAGTTTCACTTGCATTCCTAGCTTTATTTTCTTTAAGAGTGTCTTCATATTGTCTTGAGAAATTGGCCAAACATAGATTATATGATGTCAAGACTATTTTTGTCTCTTCACGAATGATATAACTCAAAAACACACTGCACACACACAATACACAAACACACACACAAGTGAATAGGATAGATAATATCAACAAAGTCAAGGGAGTAAAAACAGAAGCTACTATATATACTTTTTTGTGGGGTATTGGAAGGAATTCTGGGAAATTCAGGAACTAATCAACTTTAAATAGAGTCAATGTGACAAAAAAAGGGAAATTACAACATTCCTGTGATGCATTAAATATTGCAGACATAGTATAAATTTTTTTCATTTTTTATCCTGGGATTAATTTATTCACGTTTTATTCTAAGAACATTACAGTGCTTAGCTGCTGTAGGATAGGAGGAACTAGTCACTCAGATTCATTTCGAACTGTGAGCCGCTCAGTACAAACTGTGCCATAGTACACTTAAGTGCCTTGCTCAAGGGTACACTTATGTAGTTATTCAGCAGAAAAGCAGGGAAATCTACATTTCAACCCGAGACAGCAAGTCTCACCTTTAAAACCAGCACTCATTCATAAACTGTCACTCAAACAGAAAACTTAAGGAGCTAGCTTTCTACTTTTGGACTTGTGTTCTTCTCATGTTTCATTGTGATTGCAGGGAAAGTGACTGGAACAAATTGAAAGACTGTGAAAGTGCGCGATTAGCTTATATTTTATCCGCCAAGTACGTCGTGTAAACAACCCGTGCCTATGATCGTGTTTATATGCTTATATAACTTGGATTTGTGCTTTTAAAAATAGCCGTAGCTTATTTTTAATCCGCTATGTGCATCTATTCACCATAAAAATCTGCATAAGCACTAAAACTAAAGTGTGTGCATGCATTCTCACACGCTGCATAAAAGTATTTGCCTTAACTCACGTTTGATATAGCCCTTCTGACAGAGTCGTAAAATGTGGGGCTCGTCTGAGGAAATAACTGCGGGGGTGAAAATTTTCTGAGACCAATAAACTGTAATTTACACACTTCCGATCATGCTCATAAAGCTGACCATGATTTTCAAACCAAAAGTACTGATCAGGGAAAGTTCTGAAATACTTACATACACAGATGAATACACATATGTAAGACTTTTATTTTTTGTAGTTAATTTGCCCCTAAATTTGAATTTATAACATGATGCTTAGACTTAAATTGAGTCACACTAACTTTTAGTGTAACCATAGCTTTAGTTAATTGTGGAAGTTTTCTGTATCAGCCTGTGTGGGTGAAAAAAGAGAAGAGGGGGGGTTTTACCGTGCGTTCACACCATGCACAAATAAAATCATCTACTCGCTTAATTGGCGTGTATCTAGACACATACATCAATAGTATTTACTTGCTCAATTCGCGCGAATAGAGCGAGTCATTCGCCAGAGTAGAAAGAGAATCTCATCGCATCTTTGCATTGACTTTACATGCAATTCATTCGCGCAAATGATTTTACACTTGGTGTGAACGCCCCTTTTGTCTTCTCATATGTTTTTCAGTCTAAACTCAATAATGAACACTATGACAATATGCCTGTGACGAACACAGCAGCATGGCGTACTGCGTACAATAAGCTATCTAACCTTAAGTCGGTGGAGTTTTTTTGTAGTAAATCACACAATGCATTTTCATTTCAACCAGTATGTGAATGGGCTAGAAGCCCTGTTGTTGTGTAGCATCAATGTAACCTTCAAGTAGACCCATCTCAGCGTAAACACAACATCCTCCGCAGTGAAAAGGAAACACATCCTGCTTTTAGATTGTGTTCTTTGGGGATCATCCTTGAGAAAAGAAGCGTGCTAATGACTTAGACAGTAAAGTTTTTTGTGTCAGACAATCTCACAATGAAGAGAGGCAAAGCAAGAGCCATAACATGACAATTCTTTACAATGTGAATATGATAGATTTGTGCCATTCTTTGTGTACTTCTCTCTTTACTCTGAAAAGAGCTCAGTGTTCTATTGTTGCTGCCTTGTGCTGATGATACCAGCAAGTCCATGCTGTTGCAAAATGTCTTAATATATGAATAGTGCTGTAAATTACAGTTATATATTTGTATGTCATTAATGTTACTAATCACAGAATATTGCTGCTCGGTACATTATTTTTTCCCGCGTTTAGCCTTACTGTGGTGGGAAGAGGTCAACCAAGACAGCACAGGTATAAGGGTTTGTTACAAAGACTGCAAACTGGATGAGATCAGGAGAAACTCAATGCCATGATTTGGTTCGGTTATTAGTTTAGCTATCAGTAGCAATTCAAGCTGTCAATATTCTCAAACTTTTTCTTTTTTTTTCTGTGTTTACACCTGTCCTCTGAGGTGCTTTCTGTATATAATGAAGGAAGATCAGATGTTGGAAAAAGCACAGTGGAGGTTCGGTTTCAGTTGTACCATGGTAATTGTGAATGTGTGCAAACTGGAATATGCAATGCAATTCTACAGAGAAAAGGTGTTTTCTCTAGGTTACAGAGAGGGAAATAAATTGGGAGGTGCTTTTATTTTTTTGTGTGTGTATGCTTACTGTATAGGTGTTTACTGCATTGTGTCTGCAAATCCTCTGCCAGGCCACAATGAGCTCAATCTAAATGTAGTGTAAAGGTTTTGCCTCAGTTATTTCAAGCTTCTAAATGTTACCGACACTTTAGAGCAAGCACTTTTTACCCATGCCTACACCTAATGTTTCAAATAGTATTCTGACATTTTTTGTCTTTATTTTTTTGGACTCAATCAAGTCTAAATGTTGTCATGAAACAGTTCTTTATTCAGCACAATAATCACAAAATGAGGAACCTTCAATATGAATAAGCTTTTGTTTTACAGAGTTTATGTTTATAGGATGCATTTAACACTACCAGATTGATAGAATGATGTACTGTAATGGAGTATTTAATGTATGTTGTAAGATAAATGGACAGATAAAGCAGGTAGGTATAGTCTTTTATGAAGTCATATGAAAATATAGGCAGAGTGAAATAGTTATACTTTAACTCTACACTCTTAACCTTATTCCCTTTATAGAAACGAGGCATTTCATTATGGAAAAGTGCATTTTAAAGGGGCTACAGTGTTTTATATAATGCCTTTTTACCCTCCAGCTTCTTGGATATGTGTCATTTCCGGGCTTGAATTTATCGCTGTTTAATGTCTGGAAGTAATTCTGCGTGCTGGAGTTTGTCCAGTTTGCTACCTTCTATCAAACAAAGAAAGTCCAGCCAGATATCGTCATCTGGTTTGGGGGAAATAGTTAAATTCCTGACTAAAGTTCAGCATTCACACCCCCTTGGTTAGTTTTTTTATGGCTAAATTCAGTGGCTCTACTTCATAGTTCTGTCAATGTGTTATTTATTTGTCTGCTTGCAGCCCTCAGATCACCCCTCCACCTTATCTGACAGCGGTGGATGAGGCAGCATGAGTAATGTGTGCGCTGCTATTCTCCACAACATGTCATTCAGGCTCATAAAAGTAGAAATACTCTGCATGTCAGTGTTGGAACGGCTGCAAAGCGGCCACAAATGTAAAAAAGTCAGCCATAATTCATCCGTTTTAATTCAGGAGGTCTATTTCTTCATGCCTCAGTTATTAATTTCTGTAACCTCTTGACCCTGGAGCCACTGATGATTGTCGTTTTCAAGGCCAAGAGCTGTTGATCTTTGATGATTTGATCTTGTCCTCTCAACCAGTTGAGTCTTTTGGATGTTGTATGTGTGATCGATCTGCTTTCAGCAAGTTACACAATAAATGTATATACGGCATCTCATCCATTTTGTCTATGTTTTTGTTGCAAGATGTCATTGAAAATAAAACTCCAAAAACATTGAACTAGATTGTTCTGATCTCTGACTGTTAGACGGTTAGAGCGCCCCCATAGCTCCTCCCACTGTGAGATGTGAAGCTTAATGACTGGTGCTGACATGTCATGCTGGTGGAGTTATGGGATTAACATCAAATTCCTTCTTTTAACCAAAACATACATTTAACTACACCAAACACTCAAAGATCCCTCCAGTCAGAGCATTAGAACATTCCTCCTCTGCTCTGCTGATCCAAGAATGCTACAGAAGCTGAGTTTTTCATCAGGTCAGCCAACCAAGCATCTTTTTAGTTCAAAATGAAGAATTAAAACCAGGGCTCAGCCATTGAGATAGGGTACACTGCTCTCTCGCATCAAAAGGATCAGGCGAGGTGGTTTGTACGTCTGACAATGATGTCCTCTGGGTGCTTACTTTTGAGGGTGTTTGGGCACGTCCAGCTGGGAGGAGACTGCGCGGTGGGCCCAAAATGCATTTGAAGGATCATATTTCCCATCTGGTATAGCTCACAGCTCATCCTGGATCCTCCAGAGTGAGCTGAAGAGCATTGCCAGGATGAGGGGTGTTAAAGGCAACTTACTTAGCTAGCTGCCATCACACCCTGGATTTATACAGATGCAAGAAAATGGGTGGATAGAGTTTGGCCCCTGGCCATACCTGCCAACATTTGGGTTATAAAATCCGGGGGATTTTCGCGGCATGCGCCGGGCAGTTTTAGGGTTACCTTGTATGGTGGATATAAGCTAATTATGAGAGTATTTGTTGTTAGATTGCTCATCCAAAGAAGTATAAGTGAAGCTGCACACTATTTTCTTTTGTTTTAACAATAACAAATAGTAATAAAAAATAATAGCTACGACATGCCTTGAACTTCTTTAGTCCAATTATTTTGGTGTTTAAGTCCTCATATGTTTTACATGCTCTCCTGTATGAGGCTCTCTGAACATCTGTGCATGAAATACAGCACTCTTTTATCTGAGGTGGCCCTGAACGCATCACTCCGAGATGGTGCAAGACTGTCAACATTAAATGTTATATCTCACGTTTGTTTCCCTTTCATTGAAGTTTTGCGACAAATATATGATGTAAATATAGTTAACATCTTAAACCGACCTGAATCATCCCAAATTGTAAAGTAAAAGTATCAATCCAGTGTCTGTGAGGCTCAGCAGAAACACAGGACTATCTTTGGTTGACTGGAAACTTTGGACAAATATAATGAGCTGATTCACGAATGAACGTGGACCATCAAACTACTGGTGATTCCCGGAAGAAATGACAATACGGGAGGTGGGTGGGAGATAGGTCTGAAATATGGGAGAGTCCCAGGAAAAATGGGAGTGTTGGCAGGTATACCCCTGTCCCATCTGTTAAAACAAAAGGGGCCGGGCTTGTGACCTTTACTGCAGCCAAATAGTAGGGGGAGCTCCAAATATTTTGGATTCACAGTCCACTAATACTACTGGCATCCATTTTTATACAACCCATTATTTAGTTTGCTATTTCTAAAGAAATTTCACATGCATTTACAGCTTTTACCAGCTTTGTACAAGTGATGTGTGTGTTTCATCAACAGTATAATAAAATGTTGTCATCTTCACCACACTTACTTGCTGGTAGAATTAAATATTCATATCCTTTCTAGGCCTAAAGTGCCGGTCACATGTTGTGTCCAAGCTTAAACTAGGCTGGAGCACCAGGTAATGATGACTGCCATGATGTAATGCTGCAATATTCTACCCAGATGTAAAAGCAAACAGATGACCACTTCAGTAGCATGGGCAGTTTTGCAGTATTTTGATCAGATAATGGAGATAGTTGTTGGCTGTGTCTGGCGATAACTGGCATATAACCTCTCAACCAGCATGTGGTTGTGAGCCTACAACAACGTCTGAAGGCTGTTGGTACTAGCTCTGCTAATGTTAGTACCATTTGATAATGGCATTGTTCAGCCACAAAGTCTGTGATCCATGTTTAGCCAAATGAATTTTAAGTTTGACTGTTTTCTCTGCCTTTGGAGGAGTAAGGTAGTCTTTTATAAAAACAAGGAAATGGGCCACTAAAGGATATCCCCACTTTGTTAAATGAGGCCCAGGTTTTAAATAAACAAACACTGTTGCATAGTTTTTGAAACATTCACTTAAATTTAGTGGATTTCACTTGGAAATTAAGTTAACGTGTAATTTTAGTTTGATTTAAAATATATCTTGCCTTAATCGATTTATTGGTCCATTAAACTAACTGTGAAAAGTGCATAAGGAGCACATAGCATGGTGAAGATCAGCTCTCAGTGACATAAATTTATGTTAATGGAGAAAACGTACAACCTTCTGTGGTGTGAGAGTTCAAACGCGAAGGAATTAATGAGTCTTAATTAATGAGAGAGAGGAGGAAAATATATGGTGTGCATATATCTGTGAGGTGGCTGCAGAGCATGGAGTGCATGTGTGAATGAGTTCACAGTTGTTAGATTCTACCTCTCACACTCAGTGGCTTCTGGAGAGAGCGCAGAGGAAACAGCCGCAGAAACTGTTGTGCATCGGGGGAAAGCATATCGGACAATTAAGACCTTGGCTGTGTGCTGTTCTGCTCTGTGTGGGGCTGATTGAATCACACAGACAGCCACTCACAGCTCTCAATCTCAGGACATTGCAGGTAATTACCCATAAGTCACTGCTCCCCTGTATTGGATCTTCAGCCCAATTACGCCCACACAAGCAGTCCACCTCTGCCTCATTTATTACCTCCGGTTGCTTGTTGACCTTTTCAGATGCAGTCAGACAGCCAATTCAGATACTTTACACCAAGCACCGGGTGGTCTTGAGGACAATTTCACAGGTTTGGAGGTGTACTTTTACGTCTTGTTATGTGAGTGCAATGAAACAGAAATAACGTGTGCAATAAAAGATAGTCCTCTTATACTGTAGGTACCAAAACAACCAAAACAGGAAAACAGAAAGAGTCAAAAATTAAATTAAATCCATTTATTCATAGTTTTCTATATAGAAAAGGCATGTAAATATGATTAGGTCTACATTATCAGACATCAATATATGCAAGCAATATATTAGACACAAGCTTTGTAGTTAAGTAAGCAAACCTCCATGATGTAACTAAACAGGGTGGATATTTTTCATTTTCTGAAATGAACTTTCACCTCATGTCAGCTTCTCCTGGAAATATCTCAAGCGGGTATTGGACATGTGATGTATTTGCTGCTCATGTGACAGCAAAACCTGGATGGTTTGAAGAGCTGGCACAAAAAAGATCATGTGTTTGTTCATGTTTGATATTGTAAAAAAAAAAAAAAAGAGAGAGTGAAAGAAAGGCGGGAGGATCTCTGAAGTGCATGATTCTGTAATTTGTGGATAAAGTCACTTTAGTCAGTGATATAAAGCACAGAGACTGTGTTTTAAGCTCCTCCGGGTGGAGTTATCCAAGAATGTGGTAAGCCTGTATGAGGTCAGTGAGGTGGGCAAGCGCCACCAGTTGGCTCAGAGTAAAGCATTATTGTGGACCTTTGTCGCCATCTGCTGGCTAAAGAGTCACACAAGCAATCTCACAAATTACTTCCAGTTAAAGCATTTTTCTTAAACTGAATTAATATCTGCTTACTTGTAGACATACCTGCATTTTGTGGACTCTTATTAAGCTTGAAATATAACGGATTTGTGGGTCTCAAGATCCCTATGCTTTCCAAAAGTCACATGTCCAACCTTCACAGGCACGTGCAGGATAACTACCAAATACCACAGAGTGACACTCCCATCAGATACCCAACACATCCCAGACTCCCACGGTTCTTCTTACACAGCAAGTTTAACCATCAGTGTGCCAAAATATATAAATTAAGAGAAATTTTTATGTCTGACTTTGAAAAAAACACACACACTCAAACTACATTGTAACTCAGCCATCTTTATTCGTCTTACGGTTTCCATGTTTGACATTTTTCACACAACACAGTCTCTGTGCAGGCATCAGGTATTCAGGGTGACTTGTGTCTTCCCGCAGAAACCATCATTAAGTACAGAGTGTATTCCATCAGCCTTTTACTGCCTAACTCTCAATTCCTTTTAAACAAATACAACCAACTGAGCATGGTATTTTTGAAGCAAGCTTTTTTTTTTAACATAAATGAGTGCAATTTGCAAACTCCAAAGAATATCTGAAAAATGTGAAGAGGAAGAAAAAAAACAAATAAACAAATGTGGAAAATTCAACATTCAAAATGTGCATATTTGTTAGAATGGATTCCTTTGCTGTTGTTTTATGTGCTCAAGGACAATGCAATCAAATCGTGTTGCTTGGGTTAATTTTTTTGGTTTACTTTTTTGAGAACAAGTTTGCTAGGTTTTATATTTCCTTAAAGAAAATTTTAGGTTTAGTTACTACATCCTTTAAACTCACAAAATCTGTTGAGGACCTGATTGATAGACGAGGAATTTCTTTCCAAAGTTTTTTACAATTATTATTCCTCTTGTGTTGTTGCTGTTTTTAGTATCATATATTTGTTCCCTTGAATATCCTTTATTTCTGAACTTAAAATGTTTCAAGTGTTTATCATGCCCAAAAACAAACCCTCTCCTCTCTCTCCAGCCAGACTTCGTACAGACGCCACTAGAGCGTAGTTTCTGCGCCTGGATTCATAAAGGATGGAGAGAGCAAAGTGGAGGAGGCAGTTGAATAACATGATAACCACGTACACTCCTGAGAAAAGATGAGAGTGACCTCGACAGACATGCTGACAGGTGAACAGATGGGAGAGAGCATTGGTTTTTCTTTAATGCATTATCAGTTTCCAAATGTAACATCACAAGCTGACTATAAAAGCTCTGATGGTGTTTTTATCTAGGCTACTTGTTTTTTCTTCTTCTTCAGTGTGATGTTGCACTCCACCTGTTCATCTATCCCATGCTGTCATGAACCGCTCTGCTCTTCTCTCAGGGTAATACTAGTTGGTAAAAAAGAGCGCTGGGCCCCTGGTGTTTCTGGTGTTAATATAAAGCTAGGATCAGATCCAGCTTACAGCTGCTCTCAGGCTCAGCTAGCACCAGGGGGTCAGGCTCAGGGGGCTGACGGAGGCTGATGTCAGTCAGCAGGAGGTGAGCGTCACTGTCAGTTCTCTCTCACAGCATTGGCTACATCGCCTGTCAGCCCGTGTCACTGTCAGGAAGCAGGCAACGCCTCCTCACAGTGTCAGAGACCAACTGGCTGCTCGCTCCCTGCTTCACCAAACAGCCTTCGTCAGTGTCAGCATCAGCTGGACTTAGGAGAGGCTCCATTGTCAGAGCCTGCTGTCCACTGTCAGCTGTGCTTTGACTTTCACCTCGCCTTCTCTGCTACTCAGGGTGCCACAGCGGCTGCCTGTGAATCCCTTTGCATTTGATGCATTTGCAACACTAGCTGCTCTAAGTCTGACTGATGTTGCTGCAGAGACACTCCTGTATCTCTCTGCTGCCCTTGGTGCCCTTGGTGATGATCATGGTGGGCATTGTGGTGAGAACCATGAACGTCCCTCTGGTGACCCTGACCATGCTGATTATCACCTCCATGGCCTCTGTGATCTCCATGGCGATCATGGTTACCATGGCCAAAGCCACCATGATCTCCATGGTGTTGACCACCACTATGGCCAAAGCCACCATGATCTCCATGTTGCTGACCATGGTCATGATCACGGCCATGGCCAGAGCCACCAGGGTGGGAACCATGGTGATTCCCTTGGTGGCCATGACCTTGGTCATGTCCCTGATGGTGAGCACCATGCCCATGGTTATGATCATGTCCCTCTGGGGGATTATCAGGCTGAACATCTGGTTGTTCTTTGCATTCCTCTGGTGGTTCAGCGCTCTGTGGAAAAAAAACAAAAGCAAAGAAAAAGTTGAACATGATTATTTTATGTTAGTGTGTAACAAAGACTTGGTAAAAGACTTAATTTCATTGAATCAATGTGTGTTCTTGATATTAAGAGTGGTTCATACCATATAAGGGCAGACTCCACACAGGGGTTTGCAGTAGGTGTCTTTGATGGCACTCTCAACATGACCTTCTCCAATGATGGAATTTGGAAGGGAAATGTGGTGAGTGAGACGACCACACCTGATTGAACAGAAACAAGAGGAAAGGCATGGTGAGACAGAGAGAAAAGAAAAAAATATTTTCTCTTTCTTATATTTGAATCTAACTCTGGCTAAGAATGACAAACCTGTCATAGATGAGAAAGTCGTCCTTGATTCCATTCAGAGTCTGCCAAACATTAGGCTGTTGATCATCCTGTTTGTAGAGGGTGATGTTCTCTGATAGTCTCTGTGCCAGCAAGGGGTGCAGGCGCTGAGCCTGCTCCCCCTGGTCGTTAACGACGATGTAGCGCACACCCGTCAGACCTTGACGCTCCAGCTTCAGGCGCAGGGATTCCAGTCTGATCAAGTGAGAACGTTTCAAGATTAAAAACCAGTTGCAAAGACAAAAAAGCTTGAAAAATCTTTTGTAAATAGTCTGACATAGGACGAAGAATTAATAAAAAGCATTTTTGCAGCATAAGAAAGCAAGTATGACCGTGTTATACATTGCTGCCCTTTTATCAAGCAGAGAGAGCGCCATGAAACATAAGAGACCCTGTCAAATCTTATAATAATTTTTGTGACAAATTCCTACCAAGCTGCTAGTCATGCTAGCTCTTTTGGTTTTGCAATAGGATTTAATGATTTTCTTGAATGTACAAAGTGAACTGCGAGAGTTCAGGGTTTAGCATTGGTCAACACATGAAGGGCAAATACCTGGAAGCCTGCACCAAGCAGAACAATCAGCTGGCCTGGAAAAGGGCCACCACTGTCACCTGGCCCATGGCCCCCTTCATGGGCTCCAGCTCCCCTATCCTCCAGGCTGGTGGCAGCTGGCATCGCCGACCGCCTCCGTCACTCTCTGCTCCGCCCCCATGGAGCAGGCAGAGAGTGAAAAGCAGGCTGAGGCACGCCCTCATGCCTGCAGTTCCTCCTTACTCCCCCAGTCTGCTAGAAGTGAGGGGGGAGGGAGGTGGGAGGAATTTGGGGAAGAGGGCAGGCAGAAAGGAGAGATAGAGGGAGGGGAGGAGTTAGAAGATTGGTCAACCTCAGCAGACAAAACAGCTTGTTGGACAAAGGGTCAGAGATGGGTCATCATCTTTTAATTCCCTGGCTGTCCTCTTCAGCTGTCACCTCTGTAAAGTACTTGATAAACTGGACTAAACTACATGTAAAGTAATCAAAGCAGTTTAGCGTAACTTCACAGACTTATGCTTGAGGTTTTAAGTGACAACAAGATCATAGCACGTACAAATAACTACAGAAAATTGCCTAAAAATGTGCTTATATCAAAGTTTCTGCAAAAATCTGATGATAAACAGGCTGTTTGCAGCTGTGTGCCTGGGATAAATTGAGCCATTGCATACACTTGACACATAAGTACATTACGCATACATATATTTCACTTCATGTTTGATTTCTAGTTAATTTTTTAAGTAATTTGTGAAAATGTTGTGATTTCTCTGGCTTACCCCTTGGTTGAAAAGTTCCTCTTCTCTCTGCTCAGCTCTGTGTAGCTTCAACTCCTTCCACAAAAACAAGTCTCTTTCCCCGCCTCTCCCCCCCTTTTATACTCTGCCTGTTGTTTTTCACTCTGGTGGGAGGACAAAGTTCAGCCCCGGCTCTATGCTGATGCCAACACTTTTCTCAAGTTCAGAAAGGCACACAGATCAGAAGCTGTTCCAGTTAACAGATTTCAAATCCTGTTTTCAGAGGGAAATGTTTTGTACTGGCACTTTGACAAAAAGCCCTCACAGGAAAACTTTCACAAAGGACACTTACCTCTGTAAAACTGCTGCTGTTGGTATACCACCCCTATATAAAATCACACTGAATACTTTTATATTATCTAAATATCATCATGGAGAGGTATTTTGAGTGTCCAGGAGTGCTCTACAATGTTGATTTTCCCTTTAGGCACAAATAGAGGAACTCAAGAAGGACAGGGGGTGGGTCTTGGTCAGTGTCCAGCATACTTTGTAGGGTCCAAACCAACACTGCCTGATAGGAGACATTCCCAACAAATTTCTGATTAAGTATGCCACCGTTTTACTTAGGCTGAGGCTACAACTTAACTTAATCATAAAAATGAACACCATTGTACACACTGGGTTAAGGGGAGCCTCCAAAGAGAAGTGCAATTAATACAGGAAAGATTTTTTACAAATGCCAAATGGAAAAATAAAATGACACATGGTGTACTATGGAGAAATTGAATATAAGATGGATCAATATTATAGACTTAGTCTTGCATAACACTGCATTAAAAGCACAGTAATATACATGTGGTAAGAGGTTTTATAGTAAATAAAAATGTTATAAAAGCTTTAAAATCTTATCAGACAGGTGTTGTCTGTCTGCAGATACAGGCCTCACAGTTCAAGGCAACCAGTGTACAGTTACATCATAGGGGCCATAGGTCAGTTTAAATGGGCCAGCAACTCTCAACCTGCAAGTCTTGCAGGTCTAGACATTGTGCAAGACGGAATACTTCTAAAAAATCATGATGTCTTGGTGTTCAGTATGCTTTCTGTTTTAATACACAAACAGCATTGCTTGAAAGAAAGAAGTGTAGAAAACACTGTGGAAAATCAACCAGGTAGAAACTAAATTGTAACTGCAGCTCAAAGAAATTGGAGGTCAAAGAAGCATGAAGGTTTTGCTGCAACAGTTTCACTAGAAAACATGCACAAGCATTAAATGTAATGTAGTGTCTGTAAACATCACCTTAGATGTGACTGGTGTTGCAGTCAGCTGATTTAGCAGAGCATGACATGTGACTGAGTATCCTGCCAGGACAGGATTTCTCTGTGACCCAGCGTTACTCATTCACAGTATCTGACGCTCTGGTCTTTATCAGGGCACACTGACCTGAAACATGAAAACGCATATCAGTAAGTCTAGAGATCTGAGGAGATAACATTCTTTCATAGTAAGCGTTGCCTCACTTAACACTTTAATGTGATATCATAGAAAGTTTGAGATCATTAACTCTCCACAAAGTTGCCAAGAACCCATGCATAGTTTGACATTGTGCCAGAGTGTGTCATGTGATTTAACTGAATGCATGGTTTCTCAGTCTTTAAGAGGCCCATTTGTTCTATAATGAAATCAGGTTACTGTGGTGGAGAATCCCTTACTATCAAGACTCGTTGTTCCTCCTCAGTCCTTGTATTTTTGCAAAGCCGGTCCCAAGAAACATGTAACTGAACCATGAGTTGATAAATCCAACATTCACTACCTTTAATGATTTCTAATTTCACAGTGCAACTCAGGATAATTTATGTGACAGATATTCAACAACATCTTCACAACATGCATTCTGGTATTTAAAGTGGGGATGTTTTGCTCTTTTTTAGGCTTTATATTGTCCGTTTGGAAAGATTCAATTAGTAGCTTAACATGATTCACACCTAAAAAAAAAAACTAAAAAAACTTTATTTCAGATTAGTGTCTTTGGAAATCTGAATTTCAGCCTCTGCCTGAAATGCTTCATTTCAGTTACTGTCTCTTTAAGACCCCCCTCAATAACTTAAGAACCAGCACTCAAAACCCTCCTCTGCTGTTGCCATGCTACAAAGTTGTTGTTATAGAGTCAACTGTTGTTTGACTATGTAAAATGAAATTAAAAATAGAAACATGATCATATGTGTTGGACCATAAATTTAAACCAGGTCTGGAAAGGGACAAAAAAAAATCCCCCGCAACAAAGAAAAGGTAGGTCTCATATTTGTTTTGCCCCTTCAAGGAGAACCACCAATTGGTTATTACCTGAACTGAGTAAATCTCATGTAGATCTTTCTTGGTTTTCATGTGACTTTTTGAAAAAACTGTTCAGGGCAGTCGTATCCTGGGATTACTCCAACATACTTCTCAACATTTTACTGACACTTAACACTTCAACTCCATATTTGCTAATAAACTACAGAGAAAAAATACCTTGCTAATAATTGGCTTTTATTAACAACAGTTTTAGTAGCCAACTGATCCTGAATTTTTTTTTAATTATTTGCATATTTTTCAATCTGCACATCATCTATTTTCAAAGGTTCAATTATTTTTAGATTATATATATTTTTTCTTTTTCTTTATCAAACGTTACGTTATTAACCAATATTGTGTTGCTTATTTGAACACCTGACTGCAAAAAGTCTTAATGTTTCTTTGGTACAATAAGTCATTTGTTTATATTTATGTCATGTTGTTTTATGCTTTTCATTGAGGGCTGGAGCTGGTGTATGGGAGTTTAAGATGGTGATGGCTTGAGGAGAGAAGCTGATTTTGAGTCTTTTAGTCCTTGCTTTTGATTTATTGTTGTTAATTGTTGTTTTCAGCCTCTGTGAGACACTTAGAACTGCCTTTTCTGTCTAAAGTGCCATAAACATAAAGTTGAATTTGTGGATATGCATTGATATAGAGAGACATGGATCAATGCAGTCAAATTCATTTAGGTTCTAGCCTTGTATATAGTTAATGGTTATTGCATGCTGCGTGTTTGATTTTTGTTGAATCAAGATGTTGAAACTTCACAGGGCTCTGAAGTCTCACGCATTCAGCGTGTGACACACGCATTCCCACCCGTTCACACGCTCACACGCCACACATTGTATTTCTCACGCATTTAAATGAACATGGTGATGTCCACCAAGTTGCACCTGTTTAACTATGGAACAGGTAGGAATCAACTGAGTTCCTCCGAGAGTTCAGAAGCTGCGTGCCACGCGCAAGCCAATCAAATAAAGTATATCTACTGAACAGCCAATAAAAAAGCAGCATTGCTGTATCCGAGTAGATTTTGATATCTTTCGGTTTGACTACAGAAGAAGACAGACACTCGCCGTATTAGAGCAGGTTTTTATAAGGACGAGATAGACCCGATGATTACAGTAAGTCAGTAACCTACACATGCAGAGACCTCAACACCTCATGGCATATAAACTCATATGATAAACTAAAGCCCTATGCTATTGCTATTAACAGCTGTATTGACGGATTTAGTCTCTGTACAGCCATTTCCAGCCATTTTCCCCTCCACAGAAGCAGCATTTCTCATATATCTCAAATATAAGTTCTGATACTCATGACAGTGTAATGCTCATGTACCAAAGGATTAAGTATTGAATTGTACTTAAGTATCTCCATGTTTGTGAAACCTATACTAAAGTACAATTCATCTAAATGCTCCACAGTGCTGATTTTAACAACTCTCCTTCACAACAGGTAACTTTACGACTTAATACTGATATTAATGACTTTATTCTCCCAAATAATAACTTTATTCTTTAATATTTAAAAACGTTTTTTTTCTAATTGTGCCCCTTATATTCCGTTGTATTTAAGAGATAATTATACCAATAGTTATCTTCAATATAATGCAAGCCAGTAATAGTCCATACATACTATATTTTATTTCCTTGTGTTGCTTGGTGAAAGATCATAATTTCTCCTAAATCTTCTTAAAAGGGCCCAGTTCCCTTTAAATGCTTGAATATAAAAAAGACTTCTGGTAAACCTTCACGTTTCTTGATTTACCGCAACTGAAAAGAAAAGCCAAGAAAAGCTAAGGGCATCGACGTCGTCTCTAAGCAACGCTCTGCCGCGTCCTACACTGTGCAAGGGATTCTGGGAAATCGAGGCCTGAGGCTTGAACGACCGCCCTTTTTGAGAGCACCGAGACTAGAACAGCGGTACATGCGTCGAGGGAAATACTATCGCAAAACAACTTTTAGACGCAGCGCAGTCAAACTTGAGGTACGTATACCGACGGGTTTTGACGCGCATTTGGACCCACAGTGGTTATAATGAGAAAATCTGTCCGGGAAAAGTGTATTTTAATGCGCGGTTTGATGACGTAATGTTGATTGTCAAACGCGAAATGGCGAGCGTGCTAAGAGGCCCGTTACCTGCAACTCTGTGGGGTTTTACAATGTTTTTTACTTTCGTATTATGTTATCGAAAGGATAACATGGGTATAAATACTTCCGGTGAGTTTGCTTTCGTTGTAATTTGCATTCCATCTGTTTGCTAAACACTAGTAGGCTTATTCAGTCGGGGGTAAGCTAGCGTGGCTAACGTGAAGCTGGGTCAGCGACATAGCAAAGCGGCTGTTTTGGCTAAATTAGCAACATGCATGCGTTCATCACTTGTCCAATCATTCACCTGTCTGAGATGGCATGCCAGTCAATGCTACTGAGGTTTAACGTTACATTATACAAGATATTATAACACGTGTGTCAAGTGCATTATTCTTGGGGATGTTGATTTCTGGTCCCATCACGTTGACTTCCTTCTTCTTTTGATGTCCTCAAAATATTGTTGGATGAAAACTTTCGCCTTAGTGATCGTGAGGTAGACTTTACACTGGCTAAAAAACCTGCCTTGAGTACTGTTAACCTAATATTTCCAGCTTAGTCTATCATCACTTCATGATTGCAGGTGTGAACTTGTTTTTTTTTTTTTTTTTTTTTTTTTAAAGGTGTGGTTGTCACTTTTGGACTTGTCGAGCTAGTTTCTTGTGTCATCTGTTTTGGAAGCGTCCTCTGTGATCATATGTTTTTTTTCTGATACTTTCTTTTTATAGATTTTCTTCAACAGTGTATAATACATTATACGTGGGGGTGGAAGGGGAACACATTAAAAAGGAAATAAAAGAAAATTAAATTTTTTTTTAAAAAAAAGCAAAAATATATATGTAAAAGAACATGTTGGATCACCATGCCCATAGGCTGTATATACTATGGACAACTTGGTTCCGCCTTCCGTCATTATACGGATTTGAAGCCAAAAAGCTCTCGGTATTTCTGCGATTTTTCTTCATTTCCTGAAACCAGCGCTGCGCATTAGCATTGTGCGCATTCAACAGTAGAGTAGCCAAGAGTTTCTGTGATGACGCTCGGCTCAAACAGCGTATCCCCTGGGTGAGCTATGCAATCCCTGAACGCCAATAGGCTGTATCAGGTGTCAATCATAGAACACATGAACCTCCTAATGACTTTTAAAAACGAAGCTGCACAGTGAAAATGAGGACTTGAGCACAAACCAGTCTCACAATAACTACATGTCAACATCACAAGCAGGGGGGAGAAAATTTTATGCTCTGTGTAATTAATTTTAAAGTTTTTCCACATCTCCATAAGCTTTGCTGGCAGAGGTGGGATTTATGACCTATACTGCAGCCTGTCACCAGAGGGTGCTGTTCTCGGAGTGACTTCACCCAGCAAGGAGGCAGACTCTGTCCATTCTTTATACAGTCTGTGACCATGCCTCTACAGTTTGATCATTTTTCTTTGTCAGTGTGAATGTCTTCGTCCCGTTATTTTAACGTATTTGGTCCATTTTTCCCATTTCTGGCAGCACTGTTCTTCTTGAGTCTTTATTTTATAAGTCAATTGTTCCATAGTTTATATTTCGTCCATAATTTCCAACCAGTCTTCCTGTGATGGTGGGTCCGCCCTGTATCATTTTCTTGTAATTGCCTTTTTACAGGCTGCTAATATAATTTTCAATATGTGTCTATCGTCCTTCAGTATGACATTTCCTGTAGTGATACCAAGATATAAAAATGTACAAGACTTAGATACAGCATAACCCCAAATTTCACCTATAACCACATGAACATCTTCCTAAAATTTTGCGATCTTAGGACAGAGCCAGAACACATGTGAATGGTTCACATTTACCTCTCCATAGCTTCTCCAACATGGCAGTGGTATTGAAGTGTGTTTACTCTTGATTTCGGGTGTTTTAAAAAATCCTATTAGGTTTTTCCAGCAGTGCAGTCTCCAAACATGGGATGATGTTTTCTGCTGTGTTCTCCAAATATGTGGCCATTCATCGTCAGATATGTTCACACCCAGTTCTCTCCGCCATCTCAGTTTTACATATGTCGTTGTACTGTGATCATATTTTTATCCATCCAGCACTTCTTAAAAAAGAGTCTCAATATGTCCAATAAATAAAAACAGTGAAATCAAACAACAAACAATAAAAGGATGATGATAATTATAAAAATGTAAGTAGGGCTACCATTACAACATAAACTACAGTCAAAACAAACAACAGCTGATTACATCAAATGTGTAAGATTCAATACTTCAATAAAATATGGTTAGATATAGAAACATAGCAAATCCAGTGGGTTTCAAGAAGATTTAAAAGGGGGCATTGGGAGTAGGGTGCTGCTGGAAGACCACAGGCAGCATCAGCCTCAAAGGGAGTTATTAACTCACAGTTATAGGCAGGAACCTGGCTATTTAAGATTTTAACAACAATCAGAATAATCTTAAAATCAACTTTGAAAGTCTTATCTTTTTTAACTCAAGATAGCGTTTCCTCAGTCATCTGTGGCAAGTTGAAGAGTCCTCACCTGGTCTTTTGTGTATGCATCGGTGTGTGAGTGCTTTATGTGTTGAATGGAGGTTGGGAGGGTGAGTGGGGTTTGGTATCTGTATTTTTATTTATTTTATTTCATTGTTTTTTTAATATCCTGGGCGAATGGACAGCACTTTGTGCTACATTCCATGTATGAAAAGTGCTTTAAAAGTAAAGTTTGATTGACAGGAATACCAACCAATCCCAATATTAAGATCTTTGTGGTCATTTTCTCTGTTCCCTGCAGAGCAGGATAAGGTGAGTAATGGCAGCAGAGGTGGAGGTTGAATTGGATGGATGTAATGAGTACCCAGCACATTACAAAGTCATGATGGACAAACTAAATGAACAGCGACAGCTGGACCAGTTCACAGACATCACCCTGATAGTGGATGGTAAGTAAGCATATCTTATAAGTCCTGGTGTCTTGGGAAATTTGAAAGCCTTCTGAGAGTTTATAACCTCTCTGATTTTGATGTCTGTTATGTCTTCCAGGGCACCAGTTCAGAGCTCATAAAGCAGTGCTGGCAGCATGCAGTCAGTTTTTCCACAAGTTCTTCCAGGATTTTACCCAGGAGCCACTGGTGGAGATAGAAGGTATTCAGTTCTCAATTGCAAAAAATGAGAAAACTTTACAGCCATTGTTTGCACAAAGAGATGTAACCTGTTACTGTTAACATACAGCAATTTATATTCATTATTGCTGTTCTGTCATTTTCTGACAGGAGTGAGTAATACGGCCTTTCGCCAGCTGATGGAGTTCACATACACAGCAACTCTATCGGTAGGAGGAGAGGAGGAGGCCTATGATGTGTGGAAGGCTGCTGAATACCTCCAGATGCAAGAAGCCATCAAAGCACTTAGCAATACGTAAGACTAACATACATAACATACTAACATACTTGACTCAATTAATTTATAAATGTTGTGGTGAACTGTGTTTCTGATCAAGAGCTTATCTCCTCTTGTAGGGTAAATGATAATCCTCCACTTACAGCCAGGAGCAAAGGTAAAAAGAGGAAGATTGCTGAGACATCAAATGTCATAACAGAAAGTCTACCATCAGTGGAGGGAGAGCAGGTCAGTGGGTACATAGTGGTCACATTCATGGAAATATAGATTTTTGCCAAAAAAGATACTCTATTGTCAGAATCAAATAGACTTTGAGAAAACGTTATCTGTACCTTATCCACACTTTTAATGACTGGACTTGGATGTTTACAATGTGATCCAGGTGGAGATTGAGGTGATAGGTGAAGGAGCCATAGAGGTGGAAGAGGCTGGACTGGAGGAAGTGGTGGATGCAGCGAAGAATGCACAGGCATCAGATGACTCTGCTTTGGCTCTTCTTGCTGACATAACCAGCAAGTATCAGCAAGGGGCACCTACCCTGCACATCGTTAAAAAAGATGAGATAGAGGAAGTATGTTGAACAAACCTCCATTTTTTTGTTTATTAAACATTTAACCGTACAGTTCTATCTGAAAGTATGAACCGTGGCTTGTCTCTGCTCATTAGGAGGTGGTCTATCAAGAGGAAACAGTGGCTGCTTCCAAAGTGCTGGAGAATGTCGAGGTTGTAGAAGTCCAGATTTCCCAAGTGGATAACATGTTCCGCTGCAACAAGTGTGACCGGAGCTTCAAATTGTATTACCACCTCAGACAGCACCTCAAAACTCATATGGGCTTACTGGAGAAGCCCCATGTCTGCAACCACTGCGGTAAAGCCTACACGCGGGAGGGCGCCTTGAAACAGCACATCAGCACATTTCATTTCGAGGCAGAGGAACTTTCTCGAAATCAGAAACCACAGAAGAAAGTGCACGTTTGTGAATACTGTAAAAAGCACTTCGACCACTTTGGCCACTTTAAGGAGCACCTACGGAAGCACACTGGTGAGAGTGAAAAATATTCTTTTACAGATTAAAACACAACTATATTTTTGCTTGCTTAGTGTCAAACATATTGCTTGAAAACACATGCTTGGATTTATCTTTGTATCCATAGGCGAAAAACCTTACGAGTGTCCAGATTGTCATGAGCGATTTGCAAGGAACAGCACATTGAAATGCCATATGGCCGCCTGTCAGAACGGGGCTGGAGCCAAGAAAGGACGCAAGAAACTCTATGAATGCCAGGTACTGTTTGTGCAGAATTGAGGCTATAAAATGCTCCTCTACTAATGTAGGGTGTCATAAAAATATACAGTATATACTTTTTGAGGTCAGTTCAGGTAACTTGATCATGTTTTCAGAAAATATTCTCTGTTGCTAAGCAATGCTTAGAGAATTTGAAAAATGGAGAAACAGAGCAGCAACTACTTTTATAACACAGATTAGTTTTCTCATATCTTATCAAAAGAATCAAATATTGTAGCTGTTGATGTAGTAAAACAAGAGCACTGACCTTTTTATGGCCTTTATTACCTCCGCCAAGGAGGTTATGTTTTCGGTAGCGTTGGTTTGTTTGTTTGTTAGTTTGTTTGTCTGTTAGCAACCTTACGGAGAAAGTTACAGACGGATTGACCTGAAGTTTTCACCAGAGGTGCGTCTCAGCCCCAGGAGGTGGTGATCCGGATCACCTTCTGTATCCAGGAATTTTTTGAAGGATTCTTTATCATTGTGAGATAGGGCAAATTTTGGAATTTTTGCATTTAACTCTATAAAAATGCCCAGAGTCTTTAGTAAAAAATGACACAAAAGGATCTCAATGAGTTTTATGAGGTGTCAAAGGTTGATCCTGATCCAGACAAAATTCCAGATACTGTGATCCAGAACACACAAAAATAAGGGTGTCGTTGGAATTTTCAATGCTGAAAGATAACCAATGGGCAGCACAGTGGTGTAGTGGTTAGCACTGTCGCCTCACAGCAAGAAGGTCCTGGGTTTGAATCCTGGTCAGGGCATTTCTTGTTTTAGGAACATTATGAACAGTGAACATACCAGTTTAAACACAAATAAAAGTTAATAAAAGACACGTAACAGTAAAAGTTTTGGTGTGAATCACAATTTAAGGGGGCACATGAGCTGCTTGGCGGAGGTCTGCGCTCTCCGAGTGCTTTTCTAGTTTGTAGTTTAGAGTGCTTACATCCCTTCACTGTGTCTTCATCAGGTCTGCAGCAGTGTATTCAACAGCTGGGACCAGTTCAAAGACCACCTTGTAAGCCACACAGGAGATAAACCCAACCACTGCACAATGTGTGATATGTGGTTCACGCATACAAAAGACCTAAAGGCACACCTCAAACAAGTCCATTCCATCGAGGACAAGTCAACCGAAGAACTGGTCATCACCGACTCTGCTGCCACAACAGCCATCGCCATCGCAACACAGAGCATAGACGGAACCGAAACAGTGCTACTGGACGATGGGATCCAGGTGGAACACGTCACCATGGAGCCCATGGATGTGATGGAGATGGAGGAGACCACAACAGTTGTAATGGAAGATGGAGGGGTTACAGAGATGTGCGAGGAGGATGTTGAGAGACTAAAGCAAGCTGGGGTGCAGATCCAGGTGGTGCACGTGACTACGACCGAAGTTGATGGGCAGCAGGAGATGAACCCTCAGGTGGAAGTAGAAGTGGAGGGAGAAATGGTACATGCTGAGGAGGCAGTGCAGGCAGTGGTTGTATGAGACTGTGGCAAGAACTGACTCTGACTCTTCTGAACCCTGTAGCTGACACCTTCTAAATATGTAAAGAAGACTGCATGTGGGATAAAGCATGTCACTTCAACAGACCCTCCTGTCTGCCATCACTTTGAATGAATTGGTTACCAACATTATGACTCTTTGAAATTTGATTGAAAGAGTTTTGGAAATATATGATTTTATGTTGATCTTGTATTTATTTTTGAGCCATGTGTCATTATACAACATGTTCTTCTGGACTCCAGAATGCTTCATCAATCATAGTTCATGTGTTTTTTTATTATGATTGTCTGTGTCTTCATGTAACCCCAGATTTCTATTTACCTTTAGTTCTGGTTACCTACAAAGACAATGAGACAATAAATGAATGATTTTTGTTGCAGCTGATGAAACAGCTGATACACTTTGATGCCAACGCTCCATTCAGTCTTGTTCAAGCTCATTTCATATGAATTTTAGTGTTTTTGTAAGAAAGACTCGGAGGAATAAAAACATTTTCTAGGATGAGCTGCAAGGCTTGTATCCATCTCACCCACTGAATGCTTGATAATGAAACCAATTAAGCAAGGGTCCGAAAACAGTTGAGTTTGCAACTTGAGAAGTTTTAAAGACTTACCTGTCTTGCTTTTTTACAGCAGCTTTGATGGTTTAAAATGAGTTGCCAGATGTAACATGGGACTGTTGTCAGTTAAAAAAGCTCTGACAGTCACAATTTTATTGCATCAGCCAAACTGCAACACACAGACAGTTGGCTACTACCTGGTTCCTTTTACTCAATGAGGTTAATGACAATACTCAAGGCTTGTGACAGCATTTACAGCTCGTTTCTACTGCCCTCTGGTGGCCAAAAGAGAAAATGCTGATTAGGGCAAATTGTAGGCTGAGTAGAAATTGGTAATAAAAGGATAGCCCAAGTGAATATGAAAAAAAAGTACTTTCCTCTAATGCTCAATTTGGAGATGTGGATTTTAAAGATCCCTGAGCTCCACCAGTCAATGTGGATTCTCAACACATAAGAATGACTCAGCGTGGCTAAATTTTCATTATCTCTTATGTTGAGCCCTGTTTGTATCCTGCCAAGGCCTCCCCCCGATCCCCCGACCCCACGTTGAACCTCTGCTTTGCTGAAAGCGTGGTCAGTCACCATGGTAGCTAGCATATACAGGTTAGGTTACCTGGTGCGTCTGGACAGCTCTTGTGGTACTGAATCATGAAAAAGCTGCAATCCTCGCTGCTCATTGGATAGCAGATCCACGTTGTCCTCTCTGTCTCGCTGCTGATTGGTTGGTTTGCCTGTCTATCATTGGATTTCCTTCACAACAGTCAGAATGAACGGTAGGGAGCAGCTGCTGCGGCAGAACCGTTCAATGTCACCAGTGACCGGGGGAGATGGTTTTGAAGCCAGGGTGGTAAAGATTGTTTCCGTGGGTTTATGAAGACATTCTTCCAAGTAAGTTTCAGTCATGGGTCACTTTGCTTGTTCTGTGAGGATTTCACTCGGAGGTACATCGGTTTAATACAGGGGATGGCCTGTCGCGAGGGTGTTAACTGTTGACTGTACTGAAAACCGACTGATAAGTCCTTAATTACAAGGCGAGGTGTAATTATGGAGAGCTGATGTTTGCTTGGAAAGTACGTTTTCCCAAGAAATGGGGAGGCAATATGAATATAATCGGCTATTTAACAACACATTGCAACATTATCTCTCACGGTAGAGCCACAATTCGTTTTATTTAAAAAAAATCCTTCTGGAGAGGCCTAAACTTCCAATTTTAATGTTATTTTAAATGGCTGTTCAATCCATACCATCTTTTCTTCAGGGTGTAAAAAAATGCATCAGTTACTCGCGCACGTGTCGCGCCAATTAAGATATCAACTTTGGGGATCTGCACTGACCCGCCGATTAACCTTATTTACTCTTATTTAGACACCAGTAACCATAGAGTCAGGTTAGAAATGGAGAACATTAGCTGTAGCACCTGTTGCACTGCTGTGTGCTGTTTTCCATATGGATGCATCATCCAGTATAATTCAGTATGGGTCAATTAAGGATAGTATGCTGATAGACCGTCACCTGGGGAGGCTTTCGAGTACAGCCTTCACAGAAGCAATGTGACTGAATTAACACAATAGTATAAAATGATGTGTGTCTGAGAAGTGCAACTTATACATCAATGAAAATAAAAACAAAGCAGTGATAATTGTGTTATTCCTGTTTGTTTATAATAGAGAGAAAAAAGATAAACAGTTGCCAGATTTGGGTGTTACTTTACATCCCCTGTCTTAGCAAATACTACTGTCATGACTTGACACAATATGTGTCTTTTCAAAAAAAAAGAGTTGCTAAATCATGGGGATGATCTACACAATATTACATAACAATAGTCACATTTGAAAACCTGCCATGTGACCATACTTCTTACTGTATTTAAGCCGAAATTGTTGCATATTTCGTAAGTTAAAAAATAGCTCTTTTGGAGTTCATTTATTCCCTCCTGACATAAATTTGTTCCCGGTTTTTATTCTTTTGATGGTCAATCAGTCAGAGAACATGAAACATAGCGCTTTATGTGTTCTTTCTTTGATGCAACCCTCTTTGAAGCACTGGCAGTGAATAGCATGCATACTCAGATGGCTCTTTAAAGCAGGGAGAAACCATTTACTGAAAAAAGATTTAGATTTGAACCACCGGATACAGGGTTGGCAGCGTATTCTACATTGTGTTATTGTGCTCCTTGTTTATATTGTCATGGTGACTTTGTTAAGGCCTCAGAGACTGTCGCTCTCTAACCAAGATGTAGTGGGAGCTATAGGGTAGCACATGTCTGCTCCAGGCTTGGGCAATAAAACTGTGAACTGAAATGTTTGGGTTGAATCGACTGCTATTATCTGAGAGGGAAGCCGTCCTGTTACATCAAACAAAAAAGATTAACAAAATATATTAAATCGGGGGGCGTTTACATCCCTGCATACATTGTCCATTTGACCACTTGGAAACCTTTTCTGCTTGTGTTTTATTTACAAGTGCGTTAGTTGTAAAAGTGGTGGACTGTGGGTTTGTGTGTCGGGGGGAAGGGCTTTAGAGGTCAGTGTGTTTTTGGAAATGGGAAATATTTGTCCCATAGATTCCAGTGAGGCCTGACTGTCTGTTCCTAGGGTGCATAGTCTTCATTGTAGCAGCTCTTTCACTGTTGAGCTCTTTATTCTTGTCAGCCGTGCATCTCAATTAACACACTGGGGAGCTTTGTGTGGAGAGAGCTGTCTATGTGTTTGCGCACTTGTGTGTATGTCTTTACAGGAGTGTGCTCGTGCATGTTTCTATCTGAGGGAAGGGAGTGTGAATGTGTGTGTTTGCTTTGTGCATGGATGCATAATGGCAGTGAAAAAGAGAGAATGGGACTTAGGCACGGGGGGAATGAGGGTGTAGACATGGAGTGAATGTGAGGAAAAATGGAGGAGTATTTGGAGCCCAAACAGAGAGGAGGAACTCTGTCACAGATGGACGTTTCTTAGCTTGTGATATGATGAACAGCTCCTTGTCCACAGGAACAGACAGGCGTTTAGGAAAGAGTGACTAATTCTTGGACCCCAGCTGCTGTGGATGGGCTCTCCTGTTTTCCATTGTTGAAGTGTGTGAAGAGGCTGCTGATGCTGGCAGTGTGATCAGTAGCAGAGCGAGCCTGGCAAATCCGCCTTCTTGTCTTCAGGGATCCTCAGACACATGATTGATTGTCCGGTGAGGTAGAGGCCGTTCTTGGCTTCGCTGATAGTGTTTGCTGATAAAAGGCTGGCTGTGGATCATAAACCTACTTTAAGAAAGCATCTTAATGAATTAATTGAGCCATTGTTTGTATAGTTTAGTCGTTGGTAATCCAGATTAGATTCTTTGTCTTTATGTATCTTGAAAGTCATGTAAAACCACCAAAAGAAGGCATTAGCTAGATAGTTCACCATCATGTTGGTCTACCAGGTGCTCAGGTAATGTTGGCACTGCTGTCTTCTTTTGACAGGCAAAAGAAAAGTCAGAGTTTAACTTGTGAAATAAATGCTGATTCAAACAGTACTCAGCAGGAAGCTTTTGGATCCCTTATATTCACCTTGCACTTTTCACATTGCAACGCCAGGGAAGGGGTTATACCACTTTGCAAAAAGTTTAGCCCAACACTGTGTATTTTGTTGCTCCTGCACTGATTCTCACTGTTACTGTTTCTGGTACTGTTTCTCAGTACCCCCAGCCACCACTCTGCAATGCCTGGAAGTCAGCGTGCCTTGTATGCCCTGTCTTTACCTGCTGTCCTGTTGACAAAGCATCAGGCTCCATTGTCTCCTTTTGGAGATGTGGGGCCCAAAGAGCAGCATTTAAATGCATGCTTTCAGACAGGGTGGTGGGTCTGATTACTGTGCTTGCTTTTAAAAAAAGAAAAAAATATATATATTTTTTTGTTTTTTTCCGTGCCTTCATTTAAGAGGCGAGGACTGTGGCTATAGCATGAAATGGCGAGAGAGAGAGAGAGAGAGAGAGAGCTGAGAGTGACATGCTGGACAGGAGCTGCAGGCCAAAATCCAACCCCAACCGTCAGCTTGAGGCATAACCTCCATATATGGGGCACATGCCTAGACCACTAGGCCTGTGGTGCCCCACAGTGCTTGCTTTTTCGCTTGTTCTGTTTTCAGAAGTGGGCAGCATACAGTCTGAGACATATGAGTATTTTCCTACTCCCCCCTTCTTAGTATAGATGTGCTTGTGCTCATGCTTTGACATGCTTTTTTCCCTAACAGCCAGATAAATTGTGATGTATATTGTCATGTAAATTCATAAGGCTACTTATTCTTCTCTGGTGCTCTGTTTTGTCTCTGTCTTGTGTGTGTATGAGTGTATTGACGCACCGTATGTATGGGTCTGCTAGTCTGCACACGTGCGTCATTAACAAGAGCACTCTAAAGCTCAGTGCAGCAGGGCAGAAGCATAAACACAGCACTGTTTGTTATTATTCTTGACGCTCAGACTCAGTTAATGCTTAATCTTCAGGATGAAAAAAGACATACAAACATGCTCGATCAGTTCCCATTACTAGGCAACCAGGCAGACATAGGCTCACTCAACATTTGTGAAAGCAAAGCACAAGGCAATCTGAGTAACTAAAACACATCGATAGATTCTCTGTCAAGATGAGTTGTAGTAACCAGCAGTGGATCCATTTAGCTATTAAAAACAAGTATATCCTGTGGTGTGTCATGTAGTTTTAGTAAATGTTACGATAAAGGGTAAAAGCTCTACATTCTAGATATAAAATAGACAATATTATAGCAGAGTGTTAAAAAGGACTCCGCTTATATTCCAAGACACATGGGTAAGTCCTTATGCAGTCAACAATGCTTTAAACTCCACATTTATTATGGTCATTTTGTGCCTGAACTCCCATTATAGAAATGTTTATCTCATGCATCTCATGGTCTTTTTGTTCACAGACACAAAAGGCTGGTATTCAGGTCCCGTTGCTTTGTACTGTAAAGTGGAGGCCTCTCCTCTCTTAGCAAGCCCTTTTAGGCAGCCTAAGATCAATGCCTAGATATTCATGCTGCGATCGCAGGAAGGTGTTTGAAGGCCGGGAGACTGCCAACCTCACAAAAGAGAAATGCTTTGATTCCCTCGCCCAGCTTTAACATTGATCTATTCATGTTAATATAGAAACAGATGAGAGGAACCCTCCCAAAGAGCCACCTTACTCTGGGTTAATCATATTATGTCATGGCAATGTCTGCTTATCAACACTCCACTGCGCTTTATGATATACTCTGCCTGACTTATGTTACAGTATGCAATTTGTTATGTGGTTTTTAGTGACACTGAAGGAGAAACATATTCTCACAGAAGCTTAAGCGCATATCTTTATAAATATTAATTCAGCATTTTTTCTCCATTTCCTGAAACCACCATAGTGCAGTAGCGTTGTACGCACTCCAACACTTGCGCAGTAGCATTGTACGCATTCGGCAGGAGAGTCGCTGTGATGACACTCGGCTCAAACAGCGTATCCCCTGGGTGAGCTACGCAATCCTTGTACGCCCATAGGCTGTATCAGGTGTCAATCATAGAAAACATGAACCCCTTAATAACTTTTATAAATGGAGCTGTACAGAAAAAAGAGGACTTGAGCACAAACCAGTCTTACAGTAACTACATGTTAACATCACAAGCAGGGGGACAAAATTATGTTCTTTGTAATAAATTTCTAAAGTTTGTCCACAGCTCCATAAGATTTGCTGGCGGAGGCGGGATTTATGACTTTTACTGCAGCCCGTCAACAGAGGGTGTTGTTCTCGGAGTGGTTTCACCTAGCGAGTCGGCAGACGGTGTCCATTCTATATACAGTCTATGGTTAGTGATCATTAGACTACTAGTGTGAGATTGAAACTAAATCAAAATGTTGTAAACTTGCATACCATAATAGAGTCTCCAAACAGTTTAGATGAAACATTGGTTTCACTACGAGTTTACTGGTCAGTGAATACTCATTATGGAATAGATAGCTATAACCTTACCTGTGGATTATGTAAACAAAGTGAATGCTTCAGTTTATGGTCAAATCAGAACAGTTGCCTGCTTCTCCATTGAATTACATCAAACTAGGTAACCAGGACTTCTGTAAGAGTATTTCCTGTTTACATTTCTGCGGCCCCCTTGTTTTTGTTGCAGTGTAAACTGGTAGCTGTGAAGTGTATTAGGCTCCTTTGCACAGATGTGCCTGCTGATAACCACTGACTGTTGTTATGAGGTTTTGATAAGTCAAGGGAAATTCCCCCCAAAGTCTCGTGATTCAGTCTGTGTGAGTAAACAAACAGCTGATGCTCTAATTGACTGATAAAATGTTCTTCACAGAAAACATGTCTCTGTAAAATCAGGGTTCCCACTTCACCTCTGATTCATTTTTTTCCCACTCATGGGACATTGTTAGAGCTCTGTTTTCAGAGCGGTACACAATTATCACCTTATTACAAATTATTTACACGTACACACACACACATCCACCCTAACATTCACATGGGAATGAAAGTCATCAGCTCAACAGGAATGAAATCAGTCGGTCAGATTTTTTTATTTAGATTTTAAATACCTTCTCTGTGTGGTAAAGTGATGAGATCCCTGATTTGTTCAACCTCATCGCCCTTGGAGCAGGACTCAAGCACTAAATTGAGTTAGGATTACAATGGGCATTAACAGGCACTCAGTCACACACTGCACAGGCATACTCGTGTGGACGTGTGCACACAATCTCTGTCTCATTTCAAAGATGCATGGTCATTTTTTTTACGATAAAAGAGATAAAGATATCCTTTGAAAAATGACAAAATGATAGAAGACTGAAAGAGATGATTACCTAAAATAATTATCACAAATCACTGGTGTTTATTTCTGTGTCTCTTTTGTTTTATTCCAGGTTGTCTCTCTCAATGCCTGAGGCTGTACCCTGACACTGTCATCTGTTCAACATCTCTCCCCCAACCCTCCATCCAGCTCTCCTTCCCTCCTCCTCCTCCTCCTCCTCCTCATCCACCTCCTCCTCAACCTGTGGCCTATTTATACCCCAGAGACTCAGAAGAGCCCATTAAAGCTCCACAGACCTCTTCAGCTAGGAGACAGCAGTGAGTGTGCAGCTGATAACACATGGTCGATCTGATCACTCCAGCATCATCACATTTCCCTCAACAGCTACAAATAAAGGAGGGTTTTAAGCGCTGGGGATTCCTCAAATGCAACAAGACCACAGCTGGGTCCAGCCTCGGATGTGAGCTGTGGATTCTACATGTTTAAATGAGCGTTTACAGATCTGCAGACTGGGATCATTTTTGGATGCTGCATTCACTTGGATTCACAGACTGGAGCTTGTGGGCTTTTAATGTTGAAGACCAGAAACTTTTGACGCAATTGCCTGTTTGGCTATGAGTTACATGCAGGGATAATAAAGAATTAACCTTTTAAATGGCTCACACATCTGAAGGTAGGTTACGAGTTTTGATTCTCATGAAAGTTTCATGATCAACCTGTACATATGATTTACAAAGATGGGTCTATGCCAATGGGAAAAAAATATAGGTTTTCTGCATATAAGATCATTTAAAAGCGCCATTAATGGATATTGAATTTTTAGCTGCTGGTTATTTGAATTTCTTTTTTTTTGATGATGTGGAAAATATTGGTATTTATTTGAACATGATACTGAGGTTTATCATACCTTTGACATATTTATGTTAAATGTAAGGACAATTTCAGGAGTAAGATTCAAAAAGATGCTGGTGCACATGGATCACCTATATTTGTGCAACCCAAACCGAACACTCAAGTAGGAATCAGTCTTGAAATTTTACCAGAGAAGAAGAGAAACTAACCAGAAGAATAAAATGTTGTTTTCTTGTGGCTTCAGCCCTTTCACAACTCCAGCCATGAGGTAAGTCCACACCACCCTGGGTGTCCCTCGCAGGATGACTGCTGTCTGCCCCTCAGAGAGCAGCCCAGAAGGGGCCGAAGCTGGGACTGGGACAGCAGGCTCCAGGGGATCAGGGGCAGCAGGAAACACTCGGAGCATCTCAGTGTCTGTGGCTGAGACCTCGAACGAGTCTAATGGAGACTCTGTCAGAGGTTCAGTCGGAGGCACAGCTGCGGCCACCGGGGGCCAGAGGTACTCCCGCTGGAGCCGGCAGGACAGTTCAGACATTAACACAGACGATGAGGGGGCTACCATTCGTAGACTCACCCCGCTAGAGAGGCTCAACCTCGATATGTGCCAGGATGAGAGGTGGGCTCAGGAGATGAAAAACCTTTTCATATTTCCTCTGTGGCATTTTGTTATTTTAGATTCAGGATTATTTTGATTTGTTGTTTTATTTTTTTCTAGCCAGGAGCTTAAATTCTAACTCTACTCAAGTTTATGATAGGAACTATTTCAAATCCTCCGCTATGCACTCTGGTCACAGGGTGGTCCGTGAGCTGACAGTTGGCAGGAGAATTGGCTTCTACAAAATCCGTGGAGAGATTGGATGTGGAAATTTCTCGCATGTTAAGCTTGGAATTCACGCTCTCACCAAAGGTAAGATACAGTAAGACATCCAAGAAACATATTTTATGTAATTTAACTTTTAAGGTAATTTTAAGACTTTTGACACAAACTGACGTATAAATGCCCTATCACATATAAAGATTCAAAATAGGGGAAAAAGCAACAGATACAACAGCCCGACTGAAACAAAAAATAAGCAATAAATCAAACTCTGGAGTCAGCTACAGGGGCAGTGGTTTTGCTCAGTTAGCGAGGCAGGCGCTCCATGTATACAAGCTGCAGTCCTCCCTGCACTGGTCATAGGATTGATCCCTGATCGCAACAGTATTTAGTGTATGTCTCTTCCCTGATTACAGGAGACATAATCTGTTTCTCTTAAGCTGTCCTTTCCAATAAAGATATAAAGCCAACAAATAACCTTTAAAGGCATTCATAATGTTCCCCTGATGAGATTAAACCTGAAATTTGATCATAGAGGGTCAGCAGTTTGACTTAATAGGCGTTTTTAAACACATCCATCTTGAGGAATAAAATCCTTAGTTCACTTCCTGTTTCCTCTTTACTCTGAGATTTAAGAGATAATTTGGCTAATGAGCTGTCTCCATCAATGGGCTGCAACACTGACAACTGTGTCCTTATGAAGCAATTCACTAAAAAGGCGATGTGTGCACCAGGCCAGAGGGCTGATACAGCCACAAAGAGACAGACTGTCTGCTGCCCTTGAGCAGATGGATTGATTAGAGATCTCCAGTTTCCTTAGCGACGGCTAAAATTGCTGCACGTCTCATCAAAGGCTAAAGAGAGGCAGTAAAATGACTGTGTGTGTAGCTGTGTGTGCACGCTCAGTGGTTTTTAGGGTTGTCTGCGCTTCATTGTCTATGCCAGGTCATGTTTGTGTGTGTGCGTATGTGCGTGTGTAGGTGGTATCATTTAGCCCATACACAATATGAGCTGCGATGCATTTTGGATGCCCCTATTGAGAGCTGAAAGAGAGCCCAATACAAGCCTGAATAATGCATACTGATGCACAATTAGATATCTCAACACCATTTTGCCTCTTAAAAACTTTTCTGTATTCAGTTACCTTGGGTCTGTTTTCTCCTCTTTATGAATCATTAAGCAGAATACAGTACAGATATCAGTGTGAATTTGATACGCCAGCTGCATGAACGCACAAGTTTTATAATTTGCTCTTCAGTGTCCTCTCAAAACAGTTTAATCGGAATAAGTCGTCTGATGAATTAGCCGGGGTACAGCTTGAGGCTTGGTCACTTAAAGAGCAACCCTGTGTACATTCACTGGAAACAGACTCAGACAACATATCTTCTATCTGCTTAGGAAATTTACACAAAGCATTCACATTCATATAAAACAACTTATGCTTTGGCTACCAGGAATGTAGAGGTATTTAAGCATTGTCTTTCTTTGTACACATTTGTTTCTTGGTGAAATAAAAGCCATATTAAGTATCTCTCAGCATCACTTGTCAAACTGTCATCGCTCATCTTTCAGCGATCACTTAGCTTCATTTTTTCCATCGCCTTTTCCAGATAAAGTGGCCATAAAAATCCTTGATAAAACCAAGCTGGACCAGAAGACCCAAAGACTGCTGTCTAGAGAGATCTCCAGCATGGAGAAACTACACCATCCCAACATCATACGCCTTTATGAGGTCTGATTCCTTTACATTCTCAAATTGACTCACATTCATTTTTGTGTTGGTGATGATTTATATCCTCTGATTTCAAGGGGCTGTTTAGAGCCATCACTCCACAGCTCCAGCCTCTTTAGTACTGCTTTAATAATGCTAAATAAAGCACTCTGATGTGCTTTTGTTCTGTTTCCTTTTGTAGGTGGTGGAGACGTTGTCACGGTTACATCTGGTGATGGAGTATGCAGGAGGCGGGGAGCTCTACACCAAGATTACTACTGAGGGGAAACTTTCCGATACAGAGAGCAAGATCGTCTTTGCTCAAATCCTTTCTGCTGTTAAACACATGGTCAGTAAAAGAATAAATTCAAGTTTTAAATTGTCTGATATAATAAGTAAAACCATTTAAAATGAACTCCTGAGAATATAGATAAAAAGACTCAATTAAAATGAATGTCCTGTCCTTGTTCATCTCATATATATACAGCAAACTTATCACTACTTACTTTTTTTCTTTTTAATGAAGGAGGACTTTTCCTCCCTCACGACCGCCCTCAAACTGCCTACAACCAAAGCGTAACAATGCTGCAAGAGTACAAACTAGGTCGTACGAACTCATATCAACCCGTACTAAGATTCCTAAGAGGTGCTTTTGGAATATAGTTAAATATACCAACTCTCAGTGACAGATCCTGCAGAGTCAGGCCCAGACTTAATTTGTGGAATTAATGAAGTCCCATCAGCAAACCTGTTCCCTCAGGTCTCAGTGGCTTGAATTCAGTTCCATGCACACACTTTTGAGTGCCACTTGCAGGTTAGATTTCTTATGTGAAATGTGGTCGTTTTCACTTCACCTGGGTCTCATTGCTCCTCAGTTTAGTGACCCTCCTGTGCTGTTATGACTTGAGAAGTTGTTGTTGTGTATTGACTCATATGTGTCTTTGAATGAACAATTTCTCCACTGGTGTCTCCAACCTGCAAATTACACCAGCCTGTGGTGGCAGAAGGTTCAAGACTACTGCTTCAAACTGTGGGATGATCAGAAGCAGTGCACTCTGCAGGATCTGTTGATGGCTTGAAAAAGCTGCCAAAATATACCTGTTGAAGCAGGCATTTGGCTGGCTACCTATCAAACTCTTTAATTGTTTAACTTGTCGTAAATTGTTTTTTACTCAGAGGAATCTTTGTTCTTTAAACCTGTGGCTCTTGTGACCTTCAAGACGCTTATTTTTAACATTGTCTGTGTGTCTGAGTAACACAGACAGTGAAACATTTTGATTTGTCGCTTTGACTCAAGGCTATTGCTGCTATTTTTGGAGTATCCTCACCGCCAGCGTAATAACTCATTAATAATCTTAAAGTCCTGCATTTCACAGAATTGGTTCATAAGTGTATTTACTCACACAAGTCCTAGTATTTATGACCCATATCTACCACAGAATTTGATGTTAAATTTTGATATTTTGACATGATTGTAAGAACCCTAATGATGATTTGTGTTATAGAAATGTGGTATTTACATAACGTATTCTGTTTTTTCTCTCAGCATGAAAATGATATCATCCACCGTGACCTAAAAGCAGAAAATGTCTTCTACACCAGCAGCTCTTGTGTTAAAGTGGGGGACTTTGGTTTCAGCACTCTGAGCCGCCGTAATGAGACACTCAACACGTTCTGCGGCTCTCCGCCTTACGCCGCACCTGAGCTCTTTCGAGATGAGCACTATGTTGGCATCTTTGTGGACATCTGGGCCCTCGGGGTGATGCTGTTCTTTATGGTGACCGGCACCATGCCATTCAGGGCTGACACTGTCGCTAAACTGAAGCGCTGCATCCTAGATGGGGCCTATATTCTCCCATCATGGGTGCCTGAGGCATGCCAGAGGATGATAAGAGGAATCCTCCAACCAGTACCATCTGAACGCTGCACAGTGGAGCAGATGATGGGCTGTGAGTGGATGCTCCCTGTGGACTTCCCTCGTGCCATGGAACCCTTTAAATTGGACCCATCCTACCTAGCAGAGAGTGATTTAGCTGAACTCCAGGAAGAGGAAATTGAGGTAAAGACAGCCCTTGAAACTTTGGGAATCTCCTCTGAACACATTCTCAACAACCAGGGGAAAGACTGCAGGAGCTCCATCACAGGGGTGTACAGGATCCTGCTACACCGTTCTCACAAGAGACGGGCTGTTGAGAGCTTGCCTGCGGTAACACAGGCAGTTGGACCAACTACAACCAGTAAAAAGGAAAGACTTAAAGTGTACAGAAGTTTAAGGCATACCTCTAAACTCTGTGTGGTTCTGTGACAAAATGCTGTCCTCTGCTCTGTAAATGACTTGATTGTCTGGGGTGAGACTGCATGAACTGCATTAGAAATAAAAACCTGCTTTACAGCCAGCAGTTGACATTAATTTCATGTTATATAATCCCATACAACTCCTGAAATCTGAGATTTCAAACTCAAGTATTTTTTCTAGGAAGTATAAATTAGTCTCTGTGAGAATGTTGCAGGTAGAAAAATGTAATTCATACCATTTCACAGTGACAGCATCTCATGATCATCATGAGATATGAAACCATTATGAAATATCATCTCCTAGAATGTAATGGTGTAACTTTGGGATTGGGTTGTGCAGGTCATAACTTCATAGCCCTCAAACACTCTGCTAGAACGCCAATAAGCCCCTCTGAGAATACAATGTAGCATATTTTTGAAAGAAGAGGACATTGTGCTGAGGCGATAAAAAGGTGTATATGTGGTCAATTCATGGCAAGTGGTGTATTTGATGTTTACTTGCACTTTTCTTTGATGCCTTAGTTTTCTGTCATCGTATGAAATCAGACTTTATTGTACTCCTTAATGTTTGTGATGAGAGATGCCACATCTTCCGTTCTATTGTGAGGTATCTCTATGAGATGTTACACTAATTAAGCCGAGTGACCTTTCTCTATTTCCCCTTTAAACTAAAAAAAAAAGCCAGTAAATCATATTTAGCTTGGAAAACCATTGGCTGGTTATTCATGCGGCATAAACAAGAGCCCGCTATCAACTCAGGCAATTTCAGAATGAGTTTGTGATTAAGAGATTTTTTATGACCTGATGCCATCCTCATGTGCATATATTGATTAAAATCGATTTGAATGCACCATATTGTTTCTGTGAATTATTTCATAAAGTATACTATTTATATGTGGTGAGAAAAGTGTTTGGAAATTTTGTTCCACTTCTGTTTTGATTTCTGATTTCTGTTGTTTAGCTTCCACAAAGAGGTTGCTAGTCTTCCTGGGGTCCAAAATTTTAAAATCACAATACAATTACATTACAACAGTTAATAATAAACACAATTACAGATTGAAATTATGATTCTTCACAACATAAAACATTAAAATCACTCCAAAATCTATGCTTTAGTTCATTTATACATAAAGTTTTGTTTTAAAGTTGTTTTGTTTACACGGTTTTGTCTTTCCTAAGTCACATCTATTTTATTCTCTTTGTATTGCAAGATATGTTTTACTACTAGTGTTTATGTGGCGTATGAATGGACGTTGTGGCTTGGCAGGGCACCGTACTACACTTCCCAGAAACACCCGAGGAACTTACGCACTCATTTCCGCTCTCACGTGATGACGCAATTTTTGCCTTGTTGGAAGGTGGTTTTACTAGGAAGTAGTGTGACGGTAGACGATCGCTGTAAGGAGAGAGCTACTCAGAAAAACCCAAAGACTCCCGGACGGACTCACGCGAATGGTATTTGGCGTCCTACTACTGAACAGTAAGACAATGAAAGTTAAATATGAAGCTTTTTAAGGTTTTTTTTGTACGTTTTATGTCATGTGGGACCACGCCCTCTCGGTGTTATAGATAATAAAGGGATTATTGAGCTACCATCGAAACCGGCCTAATGAGCCAATCCCGTCTACAATGGAAATTGTTTTGCAATGGGGCTAATATGCTCTCTTTCAACTTAAACTAATGTTTTCCACTGAAAGTCGCCTTTGTTTTCAACGCAACGATAAGTAGGTCATTTCATTTGAGCCTTCAATGAGTGACAATGCTGCAGGATAACGGCCGTATTTAACAAAACATTAAACCGTGCCGTACGATTTGTTTCTTTTACCATTCTTACATTTATTAATTGAAAAAAACACATTTTTAAATAGCCTTCTGTGCATATTATTTGTTTTGACATTTGATATTGTATATGGATCTCGTGACAAAGGCATGTGGGGGCGGGGCTCAATAAAAGATGAGGTCATAGTGGGAACGTGGATGTGATGCAACGCCAAGTTGTTTACACGGCATTTTTGTAGACGTGTCATTAACTCATTGTGAAAGAAGGTGTTATCTGACATGAGAAACGACGCAATTTCTTAATTATTCTTAGATAAAATCTTATTGTCATGTGTATGCATGTGATTCTGCAGCTCTCACTTGCATCTTGTTTGCACGACAGACCCATAACAACGCATGCTCAGACGACCATTCCTCAAAGGTCCATCACATTAGCATCAATCGTGAATGCATCATGGTGATACCATACAGTCTATGGGTGATACTAAGTACTGTACTTAGAGTGTCATACAACCTAATCGAGAGTGATTTATTTGTTTGCTCAAATAGTTTAAAGATTACTTTCGTTTCAACAAGCACGTGATGGTCATATTTTAGTTTTTGCTTTCGGTTTCCTGGACCTTTTTTTCCTATCAGCAAATTGCATCAGTTTCTGCAAACACTACACATCTTCACTGTCATTCTTTTTTTAACCTCAATTTTCTTAACAACCCCCTTTAGATAGCTTCTTTTTATGATCTGCCCTAACTCCAGAGACCTTCCACTGAAGTAAAATGAATAACTAAACAGAACAAAGACAGAAAGTCAATGAACTTTGTTTATCATTGTTAATCTGCATTTTAATCAATATACTGCAACCAATTAATGATGTTTTTATCCACCCATAAAAGTACCTCTATGATATCCTAAGCAAGACCTGATCCTAGGTCATGCATGCATCATACCACTGTCATAAAACTATTAAGATAGATGCTAAGCTGCTGTGGTTTTGTCTTTTCCTGCAGATGTCAGTCACTGAAGACCTACCAGACATGGATGGAGCAGACCTGATGGGGCTGCTCTTCCACAGCAGGGAGGATGGATCCACTGAGCCTCTGTTTCCTGATGAGAACGGACTCATTGAATCCTGGCTGTCTGAGCAAGATGTAAGAAAGAGAAGTACAGATAAACTTTGTGAAAGACCATGTTTAAACACAAACTCCCCTTTGTTTTTGGATTCCTGTACTCCAAGGATGTATTTTGGTGTGTAAAACAGTGTATTTTCCTTCCCAGATGTTAACAGGCATGGATACTGAAGATTTTCTGTCCAGCTTGTTAGAGGGAGAAGACAACATGGAGGCTTTCTGTCCCTCTCACTCTCCTCTGGGCAGTGACAGCGGGATTTCTGATGACAGCAGCACTGGAGTTGGAAACAACAATCATCTGAGTTGCCCCAGTCCTCAGGGTAGCGATAGTGACGTTGTGCCCAGTCCAAGCTACTCCCAGCCCAGCCCGGTGCCCTTTGACTCTGCCCTGCCTCCTGCAGAACAGCAGACAGAGAGCCCGGAGGCCTTAACCGTCCAGGCAGATCATAGCTACTCTATGCTGCAGAGCGAGGACAGGGACATGGATCTGCTGCAGAGCGTGAGGGCTGAGAAGCCTGATACTGATGTCTTCATTGATTTAGGTAAGTGGATTACAAGAATACCTGATACTGACACCAATCATGAGGCTTACTACTTATCCTCCTAAATATCAGAAAACGTGTGGATTCAAAGTTCTTTTAAATGGAAAAATGGAGCATTTATCACCTCATACATCAGAAAATAATCCCTTTGATGTTTAATTTTCTTTCGACAGATGACTATGTGAGTGAGGTGATGGAGGAGGACATCACCAGTGAGCTGCCCTGCTCTCTTGACATAGAGGACTCAACAGAAAACTCATCAGAGCCAAAAACAACAGACCAGGTCAGTTTTTCCCTCTTTCATCTTATCTTTACGTATTTTGACCAAACCAAAGACAGACATTTCTAGTTTGATTTCACTCATACATGAGACACAATTGACAAGATTGTGATCAAATTTTACCCGCTGCATGATGCAACTGTGGTACAATTGTATATATTACTGTGCAGCCAAAAATGTAACAGATGTGAAAATCTTTGTCTTCTCTTCCTTCAGTTCCAGTTTAAAGAGATTGTGCTCACTGAGGAGGAGAAGCGGCTTCTGTCGAAAGAGGGAGTCACTATTCCAACACACATGCCCCTCACAAAGGTAAATCAAAGTCAAGGGGAAAGGGTAGGGGGTGTTTTCTGTACAGTTGACTCATAGCATAACATGAAGTGAGTATTGCCAACCTTCAGTAGCAGTTCAAAGCAGTTGTGTTATTAATTGCCATGTTTACATTGTGTTTATAACCTTTCTTCTCTGTGTAACAGGCAGAGGAGAGGACCCTAAAGAGGGTCAGGAGGAAGATTCGCAACAAGCAGTCTGCTCAGGAGAGCCGCAAGAAGAAGAAGGTGTACGTTGATGGTCTAGAAAACAGGTGAGATAAAGAGAAAAATGTGCTTTCATTGAGTTAATTTCGCACCCGAGACACATCAGTCAGCTACTCAGATTTTTTCCACACAAAGCTTGTGGTGCTCTGGTGGTAATTGTCACGATTCAGCTTATCTTCCAAATACCAAAGTGTACTTCCAGTGCATGTGTGATAAAGATGATCAAATTCATAGGAGTTTGCCTTATACTTGTGCTAAAAATGAGCAAGATTCAACTAGTTTGATTAATACTTTCTGAAAATAAACACTGTCATAAAAGTTTCCTTTAATAGCTGTAATTTATTATATGTTTTTATTTCAATGGTTGTTCAAATCTTCTGTGTATGTTTGGAAAAACATAATTCATAAATCAATATGCACCACAGGGTTGCCATCTGCACTGCACACAACCTGGAACTACAGAAGAAAGTCCAGATGCTTCAGAAACAGAACATGTAAGAAGTCTGAGATAACGCTCCTGCACTGATCTGTAATTACACAATCACAGGAACTGTTTATGACTCTTGAAATTATCCTGCCTCTCCCAGATCCTTGATAGAGCAGCTGAGGAAACTGCAGGGAATAGTGAAAATGTCAACCATGAAGGCAAGCACAACCAGCACCTGTGTCATGGTAAGTTTCTTGACATTGACCCATCTTTTCTCTTAATTACTGTCATATTACAAGTTTTTGTCAAAGTGCTGGATTTCCTCCTCACTCTTTTCTTGGCTTTGTCTTCCAGGTGTTCCTGCTTTCTTTTTGTCTCATCATCTTCCCGTCAGTAAACCCATTTGGTGGGAAGACAGATCAGAAGGAAGTCTACACACCCTCTTCCAGTAAGCAACCTCCAAATGACAGAAACTTTCTTTGTCCTTTGTCACACTCTTACCTTTGTTGACGCCTCTGTCAAGAAGTAGAATAATGGGACTTTTCATCAGGAGAACACACCTTTTCAGTGTGCTCTAGCAAACTGCATCACGTTCCTTCAGAGATTTTTAATTAAAAAGCTTTCCTGCTTGGCATTGCAGTGTTTCCTTGCTGATCGTTCACTTTTCTTATTCACACACGTGGCTTTGTTTGCTCAGCTTTGGTATTTGATTTTATTTTCTGTTCTTTGTTACAGTCATTTCCCGAACCTTGCGCTCAGTGCCCCCAGACAGCACAGATGCCATGCTCTACCTCGAGTCTAAAGAGGAAGAAAAAGATTTTCTCCTTATTCCCAAAGCAGAGGTGGAGATCAATGCACCCATTTTTGCCAGCGGTCAAAAGAATCACACTCCCGACTATCAGAGGCCCGACACTGAAACTGGAGTCAACAGCAACTCTTCTGCAGACTTCCCCAGTCCTGCTCAGGCTGCAGAGATGACACCTCCAGGGGTCGGGGCCTTACAGGAAGGATCTGTTGATGGTTCTGTGACGTCGCCTGTGGCATATGAAGTCAAAGGATCCAAGGATAACTGGATAGACCAGAACCCCCCATCTGTCATATTACAGCAGCATCGTTCAGATGAGATGTAGTACTGAGATGTGGATACATTTTACCAGCAGAGGGAGCCATACTTTTAATATTTTAGCAGAGGGTACCTGAACTTTCATAAGTAGATGGAAATTAAGAGTTATAATCAAGATGTATGATCATTTTATTTGTCCCTACTTTTCCCCTCCATAAGCCCTCTGATGTACTACTGTTGTTTAATTTGCACTTTTTTTTTAACCCTTGTTCTAGTGGACAAAAAAAACTTGAGAGAGATGTCCATACTACTGCAGCATAAATGGTGCAAGGTATAAAAGATATACCAGTGTTGCTTGAGGCTATATGCTACCAGATAGCATTTTAGGCTCACAAATTCATGTCAAAATGGTGCTGATGACCAAAAATTTAGAATTTGTGGGAAACACCCTAGGTATGTTCAATGAAACTGCAGTAAAATACTGTTGAATATTCATGGCTAAATTGAAGGGAAAGCCTTGTTTGACACTTTCTGTTGAAACTCCAGTAGATCCAGGTGTAACGCTGCTCATGAATGACTCTCTCATGTTTAAGTATTGTGAAAGTAATTTGTCCAAAAGTTTGCATTGCAAACTCACCAGAAACCTCCATTGCATCAGTAGGAGATTAGCTGCTTAACTCTCATGAAGCTTGATCAAAGTGGTTGTTAGACCACCGTAACGCTTAAGCCATTGCAGGACATTTGGCCTTTTAGAAGACTTGTAAAGTTTTAGTATTTCCCTTGTAACAAGGGTATCCATGCTCTTTTTTAATTTTGGAATGCTTTAGTTTTATGTTGTACAGTAAAGCAAAAAAAGGAAAATCTGCAAAACAACAAGACAATGGTCCCTTGATGTTCTCATTGTTCGTAAACTCCAACCTGCCCCTACAGTCTCCTCTTTTCAAACTAGGTGGGACAGTTCCTCCTTTCATATACATGCCTGAAATATCATAATATGGGGTCTAAGGTATTTGCTGAGATGACCATGTTGCAGTAAAATATTTAAAAATGTAATGACCTGTTCCGTCAGTGATGCATTTTTGTTATTTCTTTGTATATTTCTTATGTTACTGTCAGTAATTAATGGAATCTTATGGTATTGGAACAGCTTTTTGTCCTGATAGACAGTCAATGAGATTTGAAGTGATCATGCTAAACAAAAGCACTGATATTTGATAAAGTGTAAGAAGGGAATGTAAATAGGCTTATATATGATTGTAGCTCTTCTGTACATTTGAACTCTTTATGTACAAGACATGTCTGGACCTCTATAATAAACAACTTTTTATAAATCAGAGAGTATCAAGTTTGTTTGTTTTTTGGAGCTGATATTACAGAGTGAAATGCTTGGATTGCTGATGAGCTGATCAGGGGATGTGACCCAGAAATGATCTGTTTTCAAAGTTGGCACCAGCTTTTGATCATTACACTTCCCGGAGTTTTTCAATCTGTCGAAAGTCATGCAGGAAGGCTTCTGATTATTCATCTGGATCTCATGCCAACCTTGGTTTTCCCCCATCCTCGTAGCCAAACTGCTTTCTATAAAAGCCACAAAAATGTACACAATGGTGTTGTTGATCACGTGAGTGCAAAGGGGATTTTACTATGGGAATATGGGACACTTTAAGGAGGGCAAGGACTTTGAACTCATGTAGGGGACCAAGTAAAGCAAGGTTTTTGGTGCTGTTCCCTTTAACAGATGTTTTCAGTTCATGTATGCCCTGCTCCTGCTGGTAAACAGTCTCCCTATTTGTCGGCTTTACAGGTAATCCCAGCTGTCTGGGAATAACAACTGACTATATATGGATCTGCTGATGACTCACTTAGTGTGAGGCGTAATCATGAGTCACGAGCTTATTCAACATGTTGAGACAAGTTGTACTGTAAGGGAAAGGTCACTCTTTTAACGGGCAGCAGGTGGCGCTGTGATATTACATTTCTGACTAGAGCCTTTGTCTGCTACTTGTGTAGTGCAGATTAGGTGATAGGTCATTGAGATATCACCTAGGCCACTCAGTTCACTTACTCTCAGTTAAATGTCAGATTGTTGGTATTTAAAATGAAAACCACTATCAAGGAAATAATTGGTGCTATGTTAGTTCTTATTGAGTGGTGTTAATGTCTGAGGGGGGCATATTTTGTTTTTTATTCGGTGTATACGGTGTCATTATGATTTTCATGTTAAGACATGACCACCTGACTGGGGTAAACAGTCTAAAGCCCCCGGCATCTGTCTGAAAAGTGGATAATGTTGAATGTAAACAGATGCAGTGCAGTTTTACTGATAAGATAAACTACTGACCGTGGCACGTGGCGCTTCTAGGGGAAGGGGCCCACGCGCATCTGTCGGGCATCTGCCTCGGGGCACTGAATAGAATGGGGCTAATTAAGAGTGTGAAGCGCACGCGGGGCACAAGCACACTCACATATCCCCCCCTTAGCTCCGTGAAAAGACCGGGGGCAGGTGGAGGACGTGGGTATTGTTGTGACACAAAAGTGTGTTGCCTTTTTTTTCCTCTTAAGGAGAGACGACACGCGCCAAGTCAGACTGACAATTAGACCCCCGGACAAAAAACTGGCGTGTGCCGACGGCAAGCTGTTTGGGTCATTCTCCACTCAAAACACGACGCCATTCACACACCTCGCCCCAAATTCCACTTTTAGAAACTTTGGCAGACAGTCAACATTGGATATAACAGGTAGCCAGGATGCACGCGCATACAGGTGCTCCTACAACAAGCTGTTTTTAAGGACAAGGTGAAGCTTAGCTACAGGGAAAGTTCAGGCTATATTTAACACGGCAGTGATTTCCCAGACTGGGAAAGTCCTGTTCTTCTAAGACTGCTCCAAATGTTATTTCACTGCTGGTAGCCTACTTATTGCCAAAGTCCATTTTGCGTCAAGCATTAGTCCAAATAAGTCACCTTCACTGCCCCAACTTACCCCTCCACCACCACCCACCAATTTATGAGAAGAACAGTTGTTGTGCAGGACCATTATATAACTGAGAACATAAGGCAGGTTTTGATTCCTGATATTAGCGATGACTTTTGAATTTTCATGTACAAAATTCGGTCTAAAATAGCCATAAATGCTCGTTTTTTATTCTTTATTTAAAACTTACATTTTTCTTTATAAACCTGTATGTTGAAAAGACTAACAACGTAAGTGAGAATATCGTCATAAGACTGTTATGGTAAACAGGGGGGTCAGATTTAACTGGTCAGCCAATTCTGACATTACATCTGTTTGCAGAGACTCTGAACGATCATCGTAAACAGGACTTTCGAGTTTTTGCTCATTGTGGTGATGTTGTCTGTTGACAGGACAAGGAGGAATCGGGAGTGGGTGGGGGGGAATTTCTTGAAAGGTTGTAATATTGGCCCACGTGGGGTTGTCAACATGCACCGCGTAACTGCCAGGGGACTTTTGCTTTCCTCACCGAGACTGCTCTGAGCCAATGGTAGGAGGCCGGCGCGGAAAGGACTGCCCCTTGCCGAGAAACAACGCTGAGCTGCTATAAATCCACCCACCGCCTGTTCCGAGCTCAGAATAACGCCGGAGACTTTACAGACAACTACACACAGCCTCTCTCTACTCACTGACGAGCACGATCGCGCTTGGATTATAACTATGACTCTGGAAGAGGTTCACGGACAAGAGAACACAATGAACAACACAGACAGGTGAATATCTAACTCAATCTTTTATCGTTTTCAAAGCTGTTTGGTGTTTTTTTTTTACACTTCACCAGATTGTGCTCGGTGTACTGATGATGTGTATTTTTCACTCCAAAGGGTGCAAAGTGCAGGCGCAGCCCTGGAGGAGCTGCTTGTCTCTGCTAAGAAGCAAGACTACCTCACAGTTGGAGTTTATGAATCTGCAAAAGTCATGAATGTGTAAGTATTGAACTCTTTGAACGTCTAAAACAATTGCCATTTGTTCATTTATACGTGTTTTGTGTTATTTTATGATCGTGAAAGGGAACCACATTCTCACCATCTGTCTCGCTTTCCCCACAGTGATCCAGACAGCGTGGCATTCTGTGTCCTCGCAACCGACGAGGAGTACGAGTGTGACATCGCTCTGCAGATCCACTTCACCCTCATTCAGGCTTTCTGTTTCGAGAACGACATCAACGTGGTGCGCGTTAACGACATCGATCGCCTGGCAGACCTCGTGCGTGCAGACGAGACCGGCGAGCCCAAGGACGCGCACTGCATTCTTGTCACGGTACGTTTCCCCGTATGCACCCACGCTCAGCCAACCACCAGCCAGTGAATCATTCATGCATCACCTCCCCTGTCTGACTTTTGTGCACGGTTACTGCATGACTCTAAACGTGTCTTCTTCGCTTTTCATTCCAGAGCCCCAGTGCAAACCCGTGGAAAGACCCGGCGCTTGACAAGCTGAGTCTGTTCTGCGAGGAGAGCCGCAGCGTGTACGACTGGGTACCCACCATCACACTCCCAGAGCGCTGAAGTGACATTCCACCAACAATGCTTCACATGCTGATGATGAAGATGATGAAAAGAAGAGTCATGGAGCTGAGCTTCAGCTATGGGTGATGAGCCTTACTGCTGCACATGGCAGGATTAAGAGGCTGCAAGAATGGTGCACCCTTCCAGTGCATTCTGGGTCAGTACGGTGGCTTCTGGATTACCCTTGAGGAAGGGGGTTCAAGTTAAGAGGTCGAGGAGTGGACTGGGTCATGTGTTTTGAAGAGTGGACCAGAAAGCCTGATGGACACTGAGAAGGATTTGGAGTGTGCTGCATAGTGCATGAAAAGTTATGACCCACTTGCTGCCCTAGATTGAAGGCGATGGGGAATGGAGCAAAGAAGGTCACAGAAATATAGACTGTGCAAGAAATGGACACCTGAAAGTGCAAAGGCTGGACTGAATCTCCTTAAAGATGATGCAGATTCAGAAGATCTTGAAATGGACTTAAAGTTTCTTTTTCAGTGCAGCTATCGGGAAGTTCTTGGGGACTTTGCTTGCAAATCCTGATCTGAGCTGCATCTGCAACAATTTTTTTTCCTGGACTGATTTTTACTTTGAAGTATGCACACAAAGCAATGCAATATGAAAGTGAATTGTACTCATTTTTAATGTTTTGTGAATAAAAAAACTGAAATCAAACTCATCTTTCTTGTCAGAAATTCATTTCTATTGTGGAACACAGGCACTCAGCAGCACCTCAGTTTGGCGAAGTGTGTGGGAAGTTTAAGCAGATTGTACCAATATAGTCGTATCAGGAAGTGATGCAAGATGTCAGCTATACCCAGTAAGAAGGAAGAAGTAAAGAGTAAAAAGTGGGCGGCGGACGGAAAGAAGATTAGATTGCGATTATGAGACTATTTACTATGAATTGATAGATGCAATATGTGCTTTTTCCCAGCACTGATCTTAAACTGCTCTCAGACCAGCTGCTTTGTGAGACAGCTTGCACAATCGCTGCAGCCAGGAACCAGGCCGGGTGAGGGGAGGAGGGGGGTAAAGGGGGCTGCAAGAGAGCTTTCTTTTGTTTTCCGAGCACAGGCAGCTGAATCTGTGTGTCAGTTTTGTGCATTGGAGTGGAAACAGGAGACAGTATAGAAAGAATAACCCACTTTTGCTAATTTGCAGTGTGTGCTGAGGTCAAACTTCATGTACCAGGGTTGCATTGTTAGAAAATCTACAGGACTGCGTAGTTTTCATGCACAAAGGTTCAGTCTGGATGAATTCTGCAGTTGCTTATAAAAGACCATTAGGCAACACAGAGAAAGAAACGAAACTACTCGTTTCATTTTTCTTATAAAAACATGCCTGCACGACCACATGTGATCAGACAATAGAAACTGGACTGAAACTGGGGGTCAGCAAGATCATCGTAAGCAGGTTAAAGGAAAGTGTCAGAGTGTCTCACCGCTGCGGTCAAGTCTGAGCTGAAGCTGACAGTAAAGGAAAACCCACATCAAAGAGGATGCGCTCTTCGCAGGAACTCACCTCACTTGTTCTTGGCAGCACTTTGGTCTCTAACCAACCGCTGGTCATCCCCTGCACTGTGCACACCAATACACAAGTACATGAACATACACATGCCTTTACATGCACACGCACACAGACAAACAAGCAAAGGAGGCAGCATATCTCTTCTAGGAGTCTTCTAAGGCGATTCTAAGAAGAAAGGAAGCCTTACTCACACAGATTTGATGGAAAACACTTTTTATAGTAAAGCATTTATGGGGCTTTCCACATGCATAACTGTCTGCTGTAGGAGGAGGAAAATTAATAAAAACTTGCCAATGCAAAGAAAACTAGTCATTTTGTATGTGCACTGTCAAAACTATACCTTGATTTGACACTCTAGTAAGACTGATATGAGGCAAAAAGTACCGTGCTATGACTTTTTGTTGTGGCTTCTGCACTCTGGACTTTGGTACAACATGAAAGTTGTGTCAGAGTGAAAAGAAATCTACAATATCTTCTAAAAAAAGAAGAAGAAGAAGAAAAGTTATCTCCAAAGGCTGCAGCCATCTCAAATGAAAAATATTTGAAAAATCTGGAACTGAAAAAACAAAGAGCTGAAAACAGAAAGTCTGCATGTTTCCAAAAGCACCTAAAACGCTCTGGTTTTAATCTATGCAGGTCAGTGGTCTTCAGGCAGTCTTTTCTACTGTGGAAATAACAGATTACACACAACAACAGCAGAGGCAATCATGTTTATCTTGACCTGTTTCTAGAAAAAAAGCAATATTTAATGCCCCAGATAAGACCAATTGTTTAAACAAACGATAAATGTTGACATCTTGGTTATGGGCACCATGTAAACAAAGTAGTGTTGCCTAAGTGTGAGGTAGTTAAAGTGAAGTAGTAAGCCTGGTGTTGACTAAATCCTTGACCTACTTTCAATCAGAGTCACATTGATAGTCTTAGTGACGATCAGATGCATCCTCAGAAACCTAATATCTACTCATCTGTTTTACTTCAGCCCACATGGCTTGCAATCTCAACCCTAATTTCTGTGGCAAGAGCCCATGCAAGTCTTCAGACAGACTTGAAACACAACAACACCAGGTGTATCTGTACCAGCAGACAACAAATAAGACAGCCGGGGTTGAAAAAAGCTTCTAGTGTCTGCCTCTGCTACTGTTTGTATGGAGTTAACAAACAGCTCTTCACTGCGTTGGCTGTTGTGCAAAAGCCTAAGGCAAGAGTCCAGACTGGTGAGCAGCCCGACTGTCTGACTGTCTGCACAAGGTCTGAGCCAGAGATCTGGGGCTACGATAGATGGAGAGGGAGGGAGCAAGACCAGACAGATGTGTGCTGTGACTTAGAAACATAAGTGTGCTCAGCCGTGGTGCAGAAAGATGATAAACACTGAGGCAGTAGTCAACAACAGAGTGCTATTGAGGCTGTGCTATTTTTCTGCCAATATGGAGTGTTGACAATAGACTCAGTCACCTACATGACAGAACACGCACACACAATCACCCTATGATTCATTGCATGTGTACACTGATGTATGTAACTTTTTCCGCTGTGCAGATGAATATGTAAATGTTATGACTCTTGGATATTTTCATGACTATAGACATATTGAGCGATGTAACCCAAAAATCGTCTGAAGTGTTGGTTTAAGCACATACTCCTCTGTGTGCACTGTTTGAGAAAGAGGCCCAGTGGTTTCCCTTTACTTAAGCAGTGACCCCTGACACGATTTGCAGCGGCTCTTACACATTGTCATTAAAAGGTAGGATATTTACTCCTGGTGTGCAGTGTGTAACAGAGGCATAATGGTGGATTTGTAACACCATGTGGATCCTTTATGGGGATACCAGTTTTATAATGTTCCTGGGTGCAATGTGTAAGCTAATTTGTTTAGCTTACTGCTTATTTTTACAAACAGGAAGCCAAATACTAGTTATAAACACCTCTTAGATGTGCCACTGATATGTCAGTATAGCCCCTTTCACACATGCACAAACTCCTGAAAATTCCCTATTCTACACAGCTATGTTGCATGGTTGTGTCAAACACTGGAATTTTTCATCCCAACCTCATCTAGAGTTTTTTTGTCAGACCCTTGAAAAATTTCCAAAAGTAGTTAGGCTAAGTCAGCGTGTGAATGCTGCAGGTAAAAGTAAAGATTAAAGACATCTTTCGTGAGCAATTGGGCATATGTCGCTCCCAGTAACCCCGGATTTCCGCCGTATCTGGAATGGCGCTGATTTTGGCTGTACACCGATTCCTACTGGATCCGTTTGTGAGGCCAATTTCATGGTGAATTATTGACAGCAGGAATCGCGAAAACTCACAAGAACCCGCGGATTCATGTGCAATCGCGCGATAACAAGTTGTCTTTAGCCACATGGGCTAACTATATAAGCAGTAGATTGTGTCCTTCCAGAGGAGGAAATCTACTTCTAGACTTATAAAATCAGCATCTCCTCATCCAAGGTGTCATCGGGGTGAAATGCTGTCTATAAACCTTTCACTTGTTCGTCCCCACCCATTTGCATGGTGTGAAATACGATCCGCCTGAAACATGGAGTGCTTTATTTTGAAAAGAAACCAGATGTTTTATTTTGTGTCTGTGCCCGACTTCCTTCCTGCACAGGTTAATCTGTGCTGAATTTATCTGGCATGCCTCTGAGCACGGAAAAAATTGAGCTCTTGCGATCAGCTGTGAAGTCCGGCGATCTACAGCGGAACGGAAGGAGGACAGTGGAAATTGACAGATTAACTTAAATGGGTACGATCAGCTATGATCGGCTGATACGGCCTTTTGGTAGCTGTTCCGCATGCGGTGGGGGTAAGTCACTTTTTCTGCCTAATACTCTTGATCTTTCTTTGTCATATAAAAAAAACCCCACTTATTTACATCATAGTTTACAGTTACACGCACACTGATTTACATCATGTGACTAGCATTTGCTGGAAAAGCAAACTGTTTATAGACTGAATAGAAACATCTCAGGTCGACAAAGGAGGAGAATCATGTCTAAGACAAGGTAAGAACAGAAGAGGTGTCTTCACATCTGTCTGTACGCATGCGACATTGATACAAACGCAAAAACTGTCATCATAGTTGCACCATCCACCATCATGGTGTAGACATTACACTGTGGCTTCCCAGCGTGTTTTTGATGCGACTTAACTCCTTCCACCACCCTTGTCAAACAATAAAGACTTAATGCTATGGGGACATGTATGAACAAGCATCTTTGATTAACTTTAGGAGCTCCTTAAAGTTTCTAAAAAATTCTTGAATTCTTCAGCAGCCAGCAAAAATTTTAGGAATTTTCCTAAAAAACCTCTTTTACACATGCACTACTGAAATTGACATCTTTAGCAGACCTGTTCTGTGAGTTTTGAAGCTTTTGTTGTAGAATGGGGGGAGTCTTCATGGGTTGGACATGAATTCAAAAAGACTTTGTAGTTACTTCCCATTCAATTGAAAAAATTTCAATAAGTAGCTGGAACTGACAGCTTCTGCTCCCAACTTGAGCTAAGGTAGCATTTGTCAACAGTAGAAGAGCTTGACTGAACACCTGTTGCACAATGCAAGCGTCATCTTCCCACGCTTGCTCCGTCGCAGTAAACTAAACATTTCCTGCTACAGTCTTACATCACCTGAACCGAAATTTACCACAAAATTTTACTAGAGGGCTAACAGAAAAAATGCAGACCATATTGTGGTACATTTTTTTGTGGTTGTGTTCACACATGCAGCTCACCTGGAAAATCGGGCAGGTCTTCAGGAGTCTTTTTGCACTAAGAATTCTAGAATCCCCCAAGCACTTGGAGCTCTTCTTATTGCACATTCATGCAGAAGACCTCAAGAAGTTTCACAAGGTTTAAAAAGAAAGTTTAAAATCCAGGACTTGTGTGCACTTTATTGGGGGAGGAAAACAACAAACAATTTTAAAGTTATGACTACAAATTTGTTGCGATAACACATAATGGCTTCTGCTTGGCTTCTTTGACCCAGTTGAAATGTTACTGTACGTGTTTCCATATTGGGATACGATTCCCAGACTTGGGGTTTGACTGTAAATGCTAAATGTTTCAGAGGGACTCTGGTGGAGTGATACTCTGCCCTTCCCAGAGCCATTAACTTCCTGGGTAGCTGTGGTCCCTTATTCCTCTTTCCTTCTCTGT